GCAGAGCTAAAAAGGTCCACTGGACAAACCTCCAGACTGCCCGAGTTGGCGTAGGGTTCTCGAGACACTCTACACTCTTCCCAATTTCACTACTTTGTACTTTCAGACTGTTCCCACACGCAAGAGGGAGGGTTGCATTGCATCTGCTAGCTTCGAGGCTGTCCCGCGGAATGGGTCCCGGGAGACAACCGAGTGACAATAGGCGGAACGTCAAAAGTCAGAAACAAGATCCGCACGCAAGAAAAACAAATAGAAAAAAGAGGAGAAAAAAAAAGAAAAAAGAAAAAGAAAAAAGCGCGAGCAGACGTGACAAGAGTTGAGTTGAGACGGCCTCAAGTCAAGTCAAAACCGACACAGTGTTGGCATCCCTTGGGATGATGTGATGTTTGCCGTTTCCTTCAGAACTCATCGTCTGTGACAAGTGAACTGCGGGAGAATGTCAACAGCCACAGGTAGACTGGGACAAGGGACGGAGGGACGGGAAATGGGCTGGAGATGGCTGGAAATGGGCTGCTTAAAACTGGAGATAGACTGGACATGGCGGGACGCGAGGGAGCCAGGCCTCGTCCCGTCCTCCCCGACGCCACTAGCAAGCCTAGGCCGGTTGGTGACAGGATGTGCTGAGTATGAAAGATTCTGTCGTCAGACAATAACGTCGAAGTGGTTCGAAACGGCTGGTGCAAAAAGCAAAGAATCAGAAGAGAAACAAAAAAAAAAGAATCCCAGGGAGGGCATGTGTCGAGGAGGCGGACGTTGGCAAGATAAAAGCGCAAGAAAAAAAGAAAACGAGTCGAATCGACGACTCTCATTGGCGGCAAGCGGTTCGGTGAGACATGCAGCAGCTCTGACGGAGGCAAAAGAAGCCACATCGTAAAGAGTTGCACCCCTTGCAGGCAAGCCTCCCTCCTCCCTCGCGGGGTTTTGATCTGGCAGACTCGGCTATCAAACAGCAGCCACAGTTTTCCGCAATCCAGAGAGGGATACGCAGCACGCACTCTACTTGTTTTACGGTCGTCTCGGGCGCCCTTGGCTGTTTGGAAATGTCTTGCATAAACGAGAAGAAAAACAGCTGTTTGGACGAGAGCAAAGGAAGGCGAAGCTAGAACTTTTTGAAAAGAAAATCAACAGGACGAGAAAAGAAACGAGCAAATAGATGATGCAACAAACTAATGATGTGAAGGACCACCCGTTGGCAATACAAGACAGCACCAACTTACGACACGACGGCGGACAGCCGACTGCCAACAGTGCACGGCCAACAGTAAAAGAAAGCCTGGACCCTGGGACGAAGGAAGACAAAAGAGTCGAGGCCGTTCTTTTGCCAGAGTAGCTAACGCCCTTTGCACATTGTGGCGACGATCCGTCAGATCCTTCAGGACTGGAATGCCCACTGCAGGAGAGGCGGGAGGCAGGAAATGCAGGAGATGCAGGACATACAGGAGATACAGCAGGTGTTATTGCGCGACAAGTTGCACTTCCACTTGTAGTGCATTTGCAGTTGCTGTGGCTTGCAGGCCTGCTTCGAGGTGGTCCACGTTTTCGGTCTTTGTTTACATTGAGAAAACTAGCAAGCAAAATACAAGCATCCTATCGACGGGCAGCACTTCAACTAGAGTACTCAGCATAGCTGTACAGGACACGCGTAATATCCCTTCCAAACGAAAGACCCTCTGTCTCTTGTCTTGCTTGGAAACGGGGGCCATTAAACAACATTAGGCTGCATCAGACTGAAGCACGTGGACAAACATATACCCAAGATAGTACATACTCAGGGGGACCAAGCACGCTTATTCTGTATATCCAACGGAGTCTAAATTTGCACATTGAATGCCTGCCGACTTTGATAGCTTCTTCTCACCAGAGACAATCTCACACGTTCGCGGAGATGATGGTCAGGGACGATGGGGACAAAACGACAACTTTTCTTTTCTTTTTCTTCCTCTTTATCTTTTTCTTTTCATTTCTCTGTTATCTTTTCATAACGCCCTCCGTGCCGTATGCAGGACAAAAGATGTAGCATGCACACTGCACGATGCACGCCTCCCCGAATGAGACATACAAGGACACTATTGCGTGTGGGCGCTCCGTGCAAAGAGTCTAGGCCGGTGATGCAGCAACTCAGGGGAACGGGCAGAAGGGACTACTAAGCATGGCGGCAGACATTGTCATTTCGTGAGAGTACAGGGGAGGAAAGTCGGGTGTCCCGTGCCCCTTTGCGAATGGCGGAAACAAGAAAAGACAAACAGACCAAAACAAAACACTACCGAAATGCCGGCTGTCATCGGTGAGGCATCCAAAGGAAGATCCAAAATGGGTCAGCCCCCAGCCCTCGTCCGGGGTAATAATAACTGACGGGAGTACCGCCGCAATGGACGATGCTGATCTCGCAGACGAAAAAAGAGGAGCAGGAGGAGAAGGAGGACGACGAGGAGAACGACGGCGACGAAGAAGAGCAGCGCGTGAATATTCGTAGGCTCCCTCCTTGCGAGGCAGTTGATCACTGCGATCTTCCTGTGTCCTATTCCACGGACGCTACGCTGTGGCTTTTCCATCGTGCTGTTTTCAGCTCTCGTCTATCTGGCTCAGGTTTTGGGCTGACCGCTAGTGCACCTGCTCTCGCTGTCGCCCTTTCCAGTGTCTCTCGCTTTGTGGCCATCGTCCTGCCCTATTCTGGTCTGCTCTCTCTGCGTCTCCGCGTCTCTGAGATGTACGACGTATGTAGACCCATTTTGACCGTATTGATCGACAATGCATCTTAAAAGGAGTCTGGACTTTTTATCGGGCAGAATTAATTTCCCGAATTCAGACATGCAGGTTACGTTATCCAGAACGGTGGGAAGAGAGAAAGAGAGAGGAGGACCGAGTAAAGAGGCTGCTATTTCCAACGGCAGAGCGCACCTGTTTGTGCTGATCCTCTCGAAGTAGCATTTACAAGGACTGAAAAGGGCTGAAAAGGGCTGAAAAGAGGCCTAAAGTCAAGTGGTCTCGCCTTGCTCGTGAGGTTCAGTGTCTTGCATGTTCAACGGGCCCTTATTCCTGTTGAGCTGCGGGCTACGTTGCGGACGATCGTCTCTGTTGGCAGGAACGCTACAAGGTCGTATTGTCAGGGATGAACAACAGGATCAAACACGTTGCGGCTGCAGTAGAGATCTTGGGGTGTTGATGTACACGGGCAAGGAATATAAGGACATTGACATCCAAACGAAAGAAAAAGCCATCATCATATGCTCAGCAAGTGTGAGCGGCAGGAAAATAACCTGAGCGTCTTCATCCGGGAGATCTCTCCTGGCTTCCTATTTGAGTAGATTTTGGCGAGTTACAAGTTCTGTAGTAGACCACAGACATTTTCTGTTTTCCCATGCCTCTGTTTTGGCCAAAAGCACAGACTCGGCTATCTTGCGTTTTGTGCTACCGAGGAGGAGAGAAGACAAGGGCAGGGGCAGAATGTCCTCAACTGTCCTCAAGCTATCCTTGGCTCTGGTGGTGGTTGTACGACACGACAAAATCCAATGACCAGGCTGCCTTGCACCGCGAGGAGAGACATGGAGAGTGCACATGTCATGTTGTACGGCTGTGGCGTCCCAGAAAAGCTCTGAAGCTCGTTGGATGTCCTTGGACCTCGCTTCGGGACAAAACCAAGCCACCGCCGTACAGAAAGAGAGATTCACGCTGTTCTCCCTTTGCGGCCTTGGCTGCTATAATAGAATGGGCGTACATGATCGATCGTGAGGCAAAAGAAGGAGCTGGTTATGATGATCTACGTCGACGCATCGCGGGGTCCAGAATGGCCATCTCGTGGTATACCATCCGTCAGATCCTGGATGCCACCGGACAATTATGTGCCGCTACCAGCCGTTTGGAAAACATTCTAGAAGAGTTTCGTCTTTCGTGTGGTACTCTATTGTGTGTCCGCGTCGCCATGCCTTTGTTTCTGTTGTCAACCAGGGCATCTGCTCGGCGCCACCTTCCAGCCTCGTTTTGCCGACTCGTTCGCTGTGTATAGATTCTGTACCACGCTGTTCGCTTCTCGAAGCGAGTTTGTTCCTTCCACCGTCGGATCATCTATGGGTATCCTATAACGACCACAGCGTCTCTGCCGGAAGCACGAAAAAACGTGGAAGCCCATGTCCCCCGTGTCTGCATGACAGATGCTAACAGATGCAAAACATCACCGACTGGCATCCCATGCAGTGGCTGACCGACATCCAAGGTATTCTGAAAACACCCACTCTCTACTCTCCACCGTATGGCAATGCACATGTAGCAATCGGTAAAGGGCCTCCCATGCCCGAAACCACGTTTCCGAGCCACGGTGCCCTGCCTTGTGCACACACTCTGCAAAGATCGAACCATGGAAATCTTGGCGACGATGTTTATTCGAAACAATAGCTACATGTACAGGGTTTGCATGCCAGACATTAAACCCGGGTAAATAAAGTAACCGACGAAATATCACGAGGGGGCGTGGGAAAGAGAATTCGGCATGTAATGTAGGAAACGGACAACTCGAGAATGTAAACAACGAGTCAAGTGAGCCTCCAAATGTCAAAAGAAAAGCAGACTATAAATAATACAACGTCGACGGAAAACAATGGCATTATGCGATTCTCCTCGTAGAATCAATCGTAACGTGTGACTTGCCTACTTTTGCTGCGTCGTTCGAAACGAACAAACACGAGGCTAGAGGACATTGTGGTTGCAAGACGCATTCCAGTGTCGAAAATAAAGTTGGCATAACACCACCCACGATGACACTTGACTCTCGATCACTAACGCGAATAGAGACATTCCCGAGCGACAGGACAATGGCCGGTGGACTGATATCAAACGTAGACAAGGCGCGACGCCATGTATTGTCAAAAACGGCATGCAGATACACTGGCTGGATTCATACACCGACTACCTGTCTGTCACCCATTTTGTACTTTGTACTGCTCATGTCCTCCAGCACGTCATGTTCACAACTCGTTGGCGTGGACGTGTCTCATCCATGTGCTTGATCACAGCTTGGATGCACCCTCCCCGCTCGCATCCTCATCCTCGTCCGCTCCAAACAAATTTGTAAACGCCGTGTGCACCTCGTCTGTGAGGTCGCTGGCCTGCAAGCTGCGCCCGCGCTTGACGAACGCCAGCCGAGAGCATTCCTATAGTGTGGTTAGCCGAGACAGTGTATAATGGGGGTGCTCTCGCGGACCTCGCAGAACCAACCCTTGTAATGGCGCTTCCGGCAAAGGCCGCGAGGAGGACCGTTTCCCGCTCGTCCAGCGGCTTGCCCGACTTGGTGGTGTCCCACAGACCGTCATGGTACGCCTTGCGCCACCCGAGGAGCGTGCCGATGGCCCCCGTCAGCGTGTCGCCCTGCCCACCCGACCGCTTGCGCCCGCCCGTCAGGTCCGACTTGTACGGTCCGTATGCGCTGTCGTCCGTGTAGGCCGCCACAGTGTCCACGGCGCCCTTTTCCACAATCGTCACGCCGCCGAGCGCCTTGGAGAGCCGAAGCGCCTTGCCGCCGGCGTTTTTGTCATCCTTGCCGTCCTTGTCCTTGTCGTCGCCCAACAACGCCTTCTCGAGCCGGCCAAACTCCACCACATTCGGCGTCAACACCGCCAGCGGGTACCCCCGCACCAGCTCCGGCTGCTTCTGCACCAGCTGCAGCGCGTCCGCGTCCAGCACCAGCGGCAGGTTCGCCTTCCGTGCAGCCGCCACCACGTGGCCGACGGTCTGCTGCATCAACGGGTCGCGCCCGAGCCCCGGCCCGACCACGAGCACGTGCAGCCGGGGCAGCAGCTCGTCAATGACGCGCTTGCTAATCGCCTTGGGGTCGGTCTCGGCGCCCTCGGAACCGGGCTCGCGGCCCTCGCGCATCAGCGGGTGCACCATGAGGTTGGGCGAGTACGTCTTGATGACGGCGCCGGCCGCCGGGGTGCAGATGACGTGGGACATGTCGCAGCCGAGGCGGGCGCTAGCCATGGCCGAAAAGTACGGTGCGCCCGTGTAGTTTTCGCTGCCGCCGATGACGCCAATGCGTCCGAGCTGGCCTAGCCATTAGTTAGTGACTGTCTTCACCTTTTCTCGAACTCCACGACCTCCTGCCAACGCACCCTTGTGGAAGCTCGATAGCATGGGCGGCACCAGCTGGCGCGCACGCGCAAGGATCTCTTTTGTGGCCGACGACATCTCGGGGACAGGTGAGTCGACTGGCGACATTGTCGGGGGCTGTTGGAGTGGCGTAGCTGGTGGTTGTGGATGCGTTTGGATGCGTTTGTTGTGCCCGACGTTCTTGTGCCAATTGATGTCGTCTGAAGTATGGAGCTGTTGCCTGTGGGGAAGAGGGCTGTTTCAATAGGGGTGGAATAGAGAAAGAGCGAATGGATAATGGGAAGAAGGGCAAGAACGACCGTCGGATTTGTCGCCCCTTCCAATTTGGTTATATTGTCTATAGGACGTCGTTGCTTCCCGTTCTGGCCTATCCATGATGTCACGCTCTTTCCGTCTTTGCACTGGATTTTGGCGGAGCCAGTCCGCAATTTGACGCCGGGAGGGGCCGATGCACAGTGGGCGCAGCGGGCCTTTGTCAGCAGAATCGAATCAGAGACGGAAGGTGCTCTCAACGACACACTAGAACGGACGGACAACACAACATAATATGTATATACGACAATTTCTAAGAAAGCGAGTATGGTTGAAAATTTTATTGCTTCATTTTACGGGTTTTTTGGCGCCGACAAGTATAGAAATTGGGTTTTGTCTCGCCTTCCACATGATCGGCTTCCCATCATTAATTTCCTTCTTTTCTTTCACATACTTCATACCGTTTCGTCGCCCGTAATTTTGTCACAGATGGGAAAAACAAATCAAAAGATGTGGTAAACCAATTAAAGCACAAAACAAAAAAGAGCCAATTCAGATGGGAAGCAAAAGACTGAAATACCAAAATATAAAGCTGACCTCAGACAGTCGCCCCAACAAAAAAGACAATACAACACAAGGCACAACGAACCGCCTTCTTCCCTCTGTAAAGGTTTATAAAAATGAATTCTACAGGTTCTCGCTCCTGGTTCCGCAGCCGCCCTTCTTCTTCGTCTCCTCCCCGGTTTTGTACCTTGCCAAATCCTGTACGGTGGCAGAGAACTTTTTTTTATTTTACACCACACCCATTAACAAGTCCATGTCCATGTATATTTGTCCATTTGCATTGTGTCCGGACGGGAAGAGCGACGGGGAGACAATTATCCGCCCCGAGAGTTCAGTAAGTTGGATGCTTTAACCCAGGAAGCTCTTGGTGAAGGAACCGGTGATGTCGCGCAGCTTGGCCTCGGTGTCCTTGCTCAGGGCACCTTCCTTCTCAATGGTGGCCAGGATCTCGCTCTCATTCGTCTTCAGGTGGGCCAGGAAGTCGGCCTCCCACTGCAGGATCTTGGCAACAGGAACGTTGTCAAGGAAACCGTTGACACCAGCGAAGATGAGGGGAACCATCTCGTTGACGGCGTACGGCGAGTACTGCTTTTGCTTCAGGAGCTCAGTCAGGCGCTCACCACGGCTGAGGGTCTGCTTGGTGGAGGCATCCAGGTCGGAACCGAACTGGGCGAAGGCGGCAACCTCACGGTACTGGGCCAGGAAGAGCTTCAGCGAACCGGCGACCTGCTTCATGGCCTTGAGCTGGGCAGCGGAACCGACACGCGACACGGACAGACCGACGTTGATGGCAGGGCGGATACCCTTGTAGAACAGCTCAGCCTCCAGGAAGATCTGGCCGTCGGTAATGGAAATGACGTTGGTGGGAATGTAAGCAGACACGTCACCGCCCTGCGTCTCAATGACGGGCAGGGCAGTCATGGAACCACCGCCAAGCTTGTCGTTCATCTTGGCAGCACGCTCCAGCAGACGGGAGTGCAGGTAGAAAACGTCACCGGGGTAGGCCTCACGACCAGGGGGACGACGGAGCAGCAGAGACATCTGGCGGTAAGCGACGGCCTGCTTCGACAGATCGTCAAAGATCACAAGGGCGTGCTTGCCAGTGTCTCTAAATGCTTCGCCGATAGTTGCCTTCGTAAAAAGTTAGCATTACAAACCCTTATCATGATCGAATTGTATTGGAAGAGAAAAAAACTTACACCTGTTTTTTGTTTGGTTAGCGAGAAAATCAGCCACGTGACGAAGTCAAATACCAAAACTCAGATAGGAAATAAACGCGCAAAGAAAGCCACAAAACCCTTCTTAACCTCTGGGATATCTTTTAAATCCTTTTGGAACCATTTTGAGATTGTCGTGAGGTCGTTGTATTGATATCTTGAAATTGTCTTGCCAGGACCCACTTTTTGCGGGATCGGGACTTGAGACAATCGCCGAGAAACACAACTGGGAAGGAGCGACCATCCACAAAAACAGGAAGGTACGACGGGCATCTTCAACATAGGGCAGGTGCGCCCTGGCAACACAACGCACAAACGATGGCGCAAAAATAAAAATCAAGTAACAAAATCAATAGGAGAGTGGCATTGGTTGCTTACCAGTGAAGGGGGCGAGGTACTGCAGGGGAGCGGCCTCCGAGGCGGTGGCGGCCACAACGATGGAGTACTTCATGGCGTCGTTCTCCTCGAGGGTCTTGACGAGCTGGGCGACGGTGGAACGCTTCTGGCCGACGGCGACGTAGACACAGTAGAGCTTCTTCTTCTCGTCGCTGCCGTCGTTCCAACGCTTCTGGTTCAGCATCGCGTCCAGGGCGACAGCGGTCTTGCCAGTCTGACGATCGCCGATAATCAGCTCACGCTGGCCACGGCCGATGGGGACCATGGCGTCGATGGACTTGAGACCCGTCTGGACGGGCTCGCGGACGGACTGGCGGGGCAGAATGCCGGGGGCCTTGAGCTGGGCACGGCGGCGCTCCTTGGTGTTGACGGGGCCCTTGCCGTCAATGGGGTTACCGAGAGCGTCGACGACACGGCCGAGCAACTCAGGGCCGACGGGGATGTCGACAATCTGGCCGGTACGCTTGACGGTCTCACCCTCAGCGACGAGACGATCGGAACCGAACAGCACGACACCGACCTGGCCGGCCTCGAGGTTCATGCACATGCCCTTGACGCCCGAGGCGAACTCGACAAGCTCCTCAGCCTGGACGTTGGCCATGCCGTGAACACGGGCGATACCATCACTGTGACGTTAGTACCGTGCACAAAGAGGACGGTGCGTGTTGGCCAACTACGACCAATAGCAACACTATCATCAACAACACACGACTACCACACACGATAACTTACCCGACCGACAGGACACGGCCGGTCTCGGCGAGACCAGCCTCCTCCTGGACACCGCGGATCCGCTGCTCGAGGATGGTCGAGACCTCGGTGGGCGAGGCCTTGGCATCGGCGTAGGTGCGGGCCTGGATGAAGGCAGGGGCGACGACGCGGGCCTATTGGGAAGGATGTTAGTATGTGATGCTATCGTTGCGACGAAGCAATAGGCCGATGAAGCAGTAAAGTAATAATGTAGCTCCTGTATTGCTTTGGGATGCGCGACACGACAACGGAAGACGGAAGAGAGCGGTTGTGGACAGGTTGGAGTTGGATCGCGACACCCAAAGCTTTGACCCCCAAAGCTTCAAAACCCCGAAAGCTCGACGAATCAGAAACGCCAAAAGAGACAAAAATGCCGCGGCCGCCATTTCGAGGTCCGCCCCGGCGCCGGCACGCCATCAACGTGTCGGCTCTCAATAGAGCAAGCTTTCTCTGATGGCGTCCCCGTCCGGGCTGTCCGATTCCATCGAGCCTTGTTGTGTTTGGGGGTGGAGGTTGCGCTGTTTGAGGTGTTTTGTCGGCTTCGGGTGCATTTGTGTCCGTTCGTTTCACTTTGACGACAACCTCGCCAGTTACTAGCTTCGTCTGTCCTCGTCACGATGTCCGATCCGCGTCCGGCCCTGTCCATCGTCTTCATCATCGTCCTTGTCTTCCATCGTCGTCGTCGTCGTGCCGTTGTGTTCTTCGTCAAGAAAACTCTTTCGCCTCGGGACAACGTACCCCAGCCACTCTGCTGGCAGAGATGGCGCCGACGGCGCGCGTCGACTGTCTGAGAGCGTTCCGGAACATGGTCGGGACCGATTTGATGTGAATAAAAGAAAAGGAGAGGAGTTGAGAAAAGAAACTCGAGTAAACAATTGCAAGACCAATTGCAATTGAGAGCGCGGGAAGGGGGAGGGAGCGAGAGGTCTTGGGGGGAAGGGAAAAACAAGGAGCAAAGAGAGGAGGTGTTTTGGGAGGGTAAGGGAGGAGGAGACGAGGAAAGCCGGAAAAGCCAGGAGAAAAATGCGAGACTTTTTTTTTCCCGCTGGACGAGACGAAGAAAAGCGGCCGGGGGCTCTATGGCGCAGAACGTTATGGGAAGGGATTGGGCGTTGGAAGGGGGAAACTGGGTGAAGACGCCAGTGGGAGGAGCCAAGGAAAGTGGAGACGCTGGTCGTCCTGGGTGCAGAGGGAAAGAGCGAAAAAAAGTGAAGCAGCAGGACACAAAAGGGAAGAAAACGAGCAAATAGTGGGGCGTGCGAGCGGGTCGGTCCAATCACAGCGGGCTAGCAGGTTTTTCCGCCCTAAAACTTCCGGTAACAGGCCCCAGCTCAGATTGGAGAGGAGGTCCAGGGGAAACAACAGGGACAACCTACAATGCAGGAGCGACACAGTACAGGCATGGCCGCTGGTCCGGCACGGCGGCAATAGAAAGCTCCAGTATGCAATAAAACCTATGCAATTAGGCCGTATGTGGCTTTTCGTCCTTTCTTACCTGCGATTTCTCTGTGAGACAAATCAACAAATTATACCAAGCGAATACAAAATTGACAACAGACGACGACACTTGCATCATGCACAACTCAACGACGGCGCGACGACTCCCTCGATCAAATCGACCAGCCTCGTCTCTATGCGACGCTCTGGTTTGCCTCGTGCGTGAAGTCCTCGGTAATTCGGAAAGTGGAGAGCGCCAGATTCTGATTACCGAAGCGCGACGACTGTAATTTCAGAGACAATTTCAAACTTGACGTCCGATGGAGACGAGACGGGGAGACGCTTCAGACATACATGCACCCTATTGAATAGACACATCGTAGACTGCCAACAACATCATGCTACTTCAGAGTATCCGTGTCGACATGTGCATCCTCGACGGCTGCGGTCGTCTGCAGCCGGCTTGTACCGGAGCTGCTCCACTTGGCCTTGCGCAAAAAACAAGCCTGTATGTTGTATGCCGTAGATTGAGGCACGAGCTACGCGTTTGATGGGTCCGGGAGGGCAGGCTCCCATGAAGAACATAAACGCAGGTCCCGTGACTCGCCGCCTCAGGCTTGTGCCCGAAAAGGGTCGTTTTTCGAAACCTCAGCTCTGAGCAACTCAGGCCTGGCTAGGGCGAACAGGGTCTACTTTGTACGGTACAGCGTGAAGATAGGTCAAGGACAATGCCATCCATCTATATTGTATTTCACATCTGTATTTTTCATCTTCACAATCCGCTTCCTCGACATATTGACTTTCAATTCTCCTTCCCCTTAAGCAGCCTTCCACCAACGTGCAGATACGTGCTTTGCCTGATGATATGCGTGTGGCTTCCACCGTTGGCTTTGACCGTTGACGTGAATGGCGAATGGCTGACCTCGCCTACAACGAGATACAGCCGTTGGCGCTGTCCTCGATAAAGATGCCGCCATAAATCTGGCCCTCTTTCAAGCCGGACTCCTGGAAGCCGCTGTTGACGACATCGCTCGTGCCCGTCGGCTTCTTGAGGATGCCGATCTGGAACTGGCCGGCACCCGAGAGGTCGTCGGCCGTGGCCTTGAGGACGGACGCCAACGGATCGGTGCCCTTGGAGTAGTAAACTTGGACGGTGCTGGAGATGTCAGTTAGAGGACAAGACTGCAAACCCAAGACACACACACACACCCAATCTCTCTCTCTCTCTCTCTCTCTCTCTCTCTCTCACACACACACACACACACACACTCACTCACTTCTTGTTGAAATCCAGGGTAAAGGCAAAGTTTTGCCAGTCGGTCGTCGAAATGGGCGTCGACCACAGCTGCTTGTTCTGCCGGCTCATCACCTTGAAGGTGTTCTTGGGCAGGCCCGCCTGGTCAATCAGCGTGCCCGCCTGGAACATGATCTGGTCGGCCGAGTAGTCGCTGGCCTCGTGCCAGACGTTGAGGTACTCGTGGCTCAGGTTGAGCGGGCGCTGGGCGTCCTGCTTGACGCTAAAGTGCAGCGTCTTGATGCCGGTGAAGCCGGGGCTGCCCGTGTTGGTGTCGCCGTTGAGCTGGAGACCGGCGCGGCGAAAGCCGTTTTGCTTCTGGAAGATGGACTTGTCGCTCAGCGTGACCTCGAGGGCCTTGAAGGCGGCGGCGCCAGACGTGTTGACGGCGGCGTCGAAGCGGCTCGTGGGCACGCTGGGCAGCAGCAGAATCTCGCTCCACTTGAGGTCGTTGCCCTTGACGTACTCGGCGTTAAAGGGCGAGCCTTTGCTGTACGAGTCAAAGTCGGTGAGCGCCAGGGTCGACGGGACGCGGCCGTCAAAGACAATGGGGCACTTGACGGTAGCCGCCGGCGTGTCGGCGTCGGCGGCCTGACCAGTCGGCACGGCCGCGGCCACGCCAGCAAACAGCAGCGACGAGAAAGCCTTCATCGTTGTTGCAGGACGTAGGTGTATGTGTGGCGACGATCGGGAGCAGCGATCCTATGCTGTGCTTGTGAATTGGCCTCACTGGAAGAAGATCAACACTCGTTGCCGGGTACGGGAGATCAAGACGTCGCTTGACGCCATTTCGCCTACCCTAGGCGTCCTTTTATTGCCCTCTCCGCTGCGTCTTGTCAAGGCCGAATTGGCGTCTCCTCTCGTAAATTGAGACCAATTTGGCGATTTTCATCTGGTTCCGCGCAGCGATGTATGTGCTATGTGCTGGTATGTCGGGCCATCGTCTTTACGGCTGAATAGGCCCAGTCCACCGCGTAAAGAGGGCACAGGGCACAGGGAAGCGATCCAGGCTCGTCCCGTCTTTTGGTCTTTTGGTCTGCCCCTTGGAGCTCATATGCTGCAATTTGAACGACCCGGGGTTGTTGTTTCTCTTTTGCTGTCTCGCCCGCTAGACCATATTTCGACATCTTCCGTCACCCGGCAAATAAAGGGCAGCGGCAACGACTTCCATATTGCGGTTGCATTGGCGCGTCTGGACGCTGGTGGTCGGACACAACTGGATGGAAATCTGCACAGGGTATTGTGCTTGTCGTTCCATGGCCACGTACAACATATTTTGCTTTCGTCTGTTCGTGGCTTCTGCGATGCAACATCCCCGGCAGCCGACGTCGCTGTCGTCTTGAGTAGCGCGGCGTAATTCCTCTTTCGGCACGTCGACTGTCCCAATTGGGCAGCTGAGTACAACATAGACATGCAGGAGCCTTGTGGCCGTCAATGGTCCGTCGAGTCAGACGACCTTATGCTGGTAAGATAACAAAATGGACCAGAACAGAGAAACAGCAACACTCGACTAGCCCACCCAGGGGGACACATGACGTCAGAAGCAGGACGGACGAGCTCTCACGGCAACGGATGCCGAGGAGCGAGCCAATTGAGTTCAGACGAAGGAAATAGCATCATGGAAAAGACGAGGTCGAGAAAAGGGTTCACCGGCATCTTGATCTTGGCCTTGGAAATGTGGCTGCCTAAAACACACATCTCCGCGCCGCGCTTGTGGATGTGACCAGAAGCGCGCCAGAAGAAAAGAACACGGGACTGTGAAAGGAAATGAGCCACAAAATTGCGGGCTCGGTCGGAGAAGCAAAAAGTCAAAAGAAAGCAAAGAAATGCGATTTACGATTGGATGGTTCGCGATTGACGTCTGCCTTCACGATGCATGGATCCATTGAATGGCTTGCTAAAGGCAGCTGCCAATGTTCGCATTGGGGCGCCGTTTGTAGCATACTTTGCAGGGCTTTAGTGCACTGCCTTGGCGAGTTGTGGCGGCAAGCAAGGCGCTGGAAACGCCTCGTTTTTCGTATCGGACAGAGTGGGTCCCGCTTTCCTTGGGCGAATGCCGATGTGCCGCCATGGCAGGAACCACCTCGATGTGTGCCACACGAAACACTAGAAAGGAAGGAACCTGCCTCCCAAAGGTCACACTGCGTGTAGATGGAAATACTGTGTATGCAAAAGAAGAAAATGGATCGGGCTGCAAGGCGAAGCCGGCGATCTAGGCTTGTGGACTTGGCGCGGGTCTTGGAAGCTAAGCTCGACATCATGATCGTCGAGGCCGCTTTCTTCAAAGGGAGTCGAGCTGCACACCAACCTCCATTGTAGATATAAAAGACGTGCATCTGCCACTGCATTTGGGATTTCCGTTTCGCTCCTTCCCATCATCTTCATCTCATCTCCTCATCGTGCCTTCCTCTCTCTTCTTCCTCACTTCACTAGTCGTCCCAAAAACGCAACTACCAAATCGGGCAAGCTACATACCAACCACAATTACCAACCACATCCAATCACCAGCACCTAAACGACATCCCCCATCTCCCTTCACAATGCCTCGCAACGACATGCCCCCGGAGCTCAGTGACCTCCACTGCTTCACCGAGACCAACGGCGTCATCACGACGACCATGATCGACATCCCCGGCTACCGCGTCGTGCGCGTGCTCGGCGCCGTCTACGGCCTGACCGTGCGCTCGCGCAACTGGGCCGCCGGCCTCGGCATGGTTCTCAAGAGCATGGCCGGCGGCGAGCTGAGATGGTTTACCCATTTGGTAGGTCCACTGCGGCGTGCACTCCGCTTTTCAATGCCTGCCATGTCTACCTCATACTAACTTGCTGACCCCCCCCAGCTCTACTCGGCCCGCAACGATGCGATTTCGCGCGTGGTCAACGAGTGCCAGAGCCGCGGCGGCAACGCGGTGATTGCGCTGCGGTTCGACGCCGGCGACATGGGCGGCTTTGCGCAGGTCTGCGCGTACGGCACGGCCTGCGTTGTCGAGAAGATTGACGAGCAGCTGCCCGAGTACCCGCAGCTGGTCCGGCAGCAGCTGCTGAACCAGGTGTAAGGAGGTGTATGGAGGAAAGTGTATGGAGTGCTGTGATACCAGTTTGATTTTATACTCTGTCGTTATTTTTGTGTTGAAGTTTGGGAGGTCTTATCTAATTAAATATGAACACGTATTTTTTCAAGAAAGTTATTAACGAGGGTTTTTTTTAAAATAAATAAATAAATAAATAAAACAATAAAGTAACACTCTCGCGATAGTGCTTTATTTCATACAAAAGAGGTGCTAAAATACAACTGGCTCGCAAACATAAATACGAATGGTATACAAACATGTCTTACACAGAATACATAACGCCATGCCACGCCAAACGCCTGCTCCCTCTACACGCGATCCAAAGACAGCATAGCCAAAACTACGCAACGGGCTGGCCGACTGCTTGCCGCTTCTTCTCCTTGTTGTCCACGGGCTTTGCATCGTTGACCTTGAGCCACTCGCCATTGAAGGCATTAATGAGCCAGTTTTCAAGTTCTGGGGTGGTTAGCAAGCAAACAAAGAAGACACAAAACAAAAATACAGAGTCGAGCACAAAACCTACTGTCGTAGACAATCGTGTTGCCGTTGTGAAAGTAGATGCCGTGGTCGCTGTCCGGGAAGACGTGCACGTCGTAGTTGCTGACGCCCGCCAGGTCCAGGCGGTCCAGCAGCGCCAGCGAGTTTTGAAAGTGCACATTGTCGTCGGCGACGCCGTGCATGACGAGGAAGCGCGTGTTCTGCGCGAGCGCGGTCGCGTTCTGCACGCTGCTGGCGTCGTAACCGGCCGCATTGGCCTGCGGCGTGTTCATGTAGCGCTCCGTGTAGATGGAGTCGTAGAAGCGCCAGTCGGTCACGGGCGCGACCGCCATGCCGTACGAAAACGTCTGCCCAGCATCCTGCTCGAGCGTCTTGAGCGTCGTGAACCCGCCGTACGACCAGCCCCAGATGGCGAGGCGCTTGGCGTCCACGTACGGCAGCGCCGCCCAGTGCTTGGCCGCCGCAATGTGGTCGTGGGCCTCGACGACGCCGATGCGGCCGCGGACGAGCACGCGGTTCTTGCGCCCCATGTAGCCCGTGCCGCGCGGGTCGACCGTCACGACAACGTAGCCCAGACTGGCGGCCACGTACGCCTGGAAATCCACGCGGAACTCGTGCTTGACCTCCTGCGACCCGGGGCCGCTGTACTGCTGGAAGAGCACCGGGTACGTCTTATGCGGGTCAAAGTGCGGCGGCCGGCGCTCGACATAGTTGAGCTGCACAGGCGGGTCGCCGGCATCGTAGCCGGGCGCCTCGAGCGTGCCGTAGACGCGAAGGGGTAGGGCGTGCTTTTTCGCACGGTCCGCCAGCTCGGCGTTGTCTTGCAGCATGTGCTCAAAGGCCGCTGTCGATCCGGACGACGATGCTGCCGCGGCTGCGGCCGGTGTGCTAATCACCTTTTGCCAGGGAATCCCCGGCCCGCGGTACTCGAGCAGCACGTAGCCCGCGCCGGCCGAAAAGGACGCGGCGTAAAAGGCATCGGCCGACGTGTCGGTCAGCGCCGTCGGGCCGCTGCCGCCGTGCAGGTCGACACTGTAGACGTGGCGCTGTGTCGCGCCCTGGATGGTGGCAACAAAGTACACCAGGTTGCGCTCGAGGTCGACGCCGGACGGCGCGCTGACCACTTCCCAGTCCGGGCCCGTGGTGAGCATGATGGGGTCGGGGTTCTCGGGCGGCGTAAAGTACGCCAGGTGGTCGCCGTTGTTGTAGACAATGGTGTCAATGTAGCCGTCGTCCGGCCGTTGGCGCGCCGGGTCGGCGGGCACATAGCGCGTCGTCGTCGAGATCTCGAACCAGCCGCCGTCGATATGGCCGACGTCGACGGTGCGCACGGCCTGGCCCGTGCGCGCGCCCACGTCGACCACCACGACGCGCATCACGTCGCTGATGCGGTTGGTCTCCTTGACGAGCACCTTGTGCGGGCCGGCCCACAGCACCGTGGTGATGAGGCGGTTGTCGTCTGCAAAGTCGCCCGAGACGGGCACCGTGAAGACGTCGCCCTTGGCCACGTCGTAAAATTGCAGGTTGACGACAGGGTTGTGGGCGCCGGCCTTGGGGTACTTGATCTGGCGCACCTCCGGGTAGTTCTCCTCGCCCGGCAGCGGGTCGGTCAGGCTGGGCCGCTCGATAAAGTACTGGACCGGGTACTCGGGCACCCCGGTCTCGTTGGTGCGCAGAAACGCCAGGTAATGGCCGTCGGGCGACCACCACGTGGCGCTGGCGCCCGCAAAGACCTCTTCCTCGTACACCCAGTCGGGCACGCCGTAAAACAGCTCGGCGCCGCCGTCGGTGGTGACTTGCTTCACGGGGCTCGCGGCGAGCAGGCTGGCGTCGGCGGGCACCGGCCGGAGAAACAAGTTGTTGTCGCGCGTAAACGAAACGGCGTCGCTCGCGGGGCTCCACTGCGCCAGCTGGACGCGCGCGTCGGGCTCGCCGGGCACGAGCGGCTCGACCGCCTGCGAGGCCACGTCCAGGACAAAGTAGGACGCCGTCGACGAGTGCCGCCAGTTGGACTTGGTGTTGACGCCTAGTAGCACCTTGGCCATGTTTTTGCTGGGCAGCGTCGTGCTGATGACGTAGCGCGTCGAGCCGTACTGGAAGGCGGCGTCTTTCACGAGGGTGCGGCTGAAGAAGGTGGAGCTGGACGAGACGTCAGCACCGGCACCGCCTGCCAGGCTGCGCACGTCTTCGGCCGCCAGAAACACCTTGCCCGGCACGTCGCGGCTGGTCTCGAGCAGCAGGCCGTCCTCGCCGGCCGGGCCGCCCACCCACTTGATGCTGGCGCGCTTGGGCGAAAAGTAGCCCTCGGCCAGCTGGGCGCGCGTAATCTTGCGCAAGCTGCCGCGTGCTGCCGTGGCCATCGGGTCGTGCTCGTAGTTGGAGCCGTGCAAGTAGGAGTGGTGGGTCACGTAGATGGCGAGACCACCGAACCAGGCGACGGCAATCACGGCGGTGAAGATGAGGACCAGCCGCCGCAGGCCGGGGTCCATTTTGGTGTAACGGACGGACTTGGTATACGACGGGCTGTCTCCGTCCGCCGCGCCGTTTCGGTCTCGCTCTCGGTCTCGGTGGTTGGCGTCTGCGCCATGGCCGTTGGCACTGTTGTTGCTGTTGGTCCCGCCCAGGAACGGCCCGGTCTCGAGATCGTAGTCGGCGCTGTTCTCGTCCTTGAGTGGGTCGTCGTCGTCAAAGTCGGACAGCCGGTCGCGATGGGAACGGCCGGGGCTGCCGGCGTTGTCCTGTGTGCTGCCCTTGCGCGAGGACCTGGATGCGTTGGCAGCCGACTCAATGTCGGCACGCTCGCTGATGCGCTCGAGGATGAGGCTGGCTGTCGAGACGGACGACAGCGACTCGTGAGACATGCGGTGGTCATGGTCGTTGTTGTCGTCGTCGTCGTCGGCGAAAAACGGCGGCGTCAGGGACGAAGCGTCGGCCGGCGGCGGCGGGGAGAGCGGTCGTGCGGCCATGTTGGGGGGTTTGGGGAGACGTAGAGACGGACGTCTCAAGGTCTTGGGTCGGAGGGATGTCGGGATGTTGTCGAGGCAAGACTGGGTTATCGTTTCGGGTTACCGTCTCAGACAAGGCATGGTTTGTCACCTGCCCCTGTGCTGTCTGGCGCTCCGTCTGTTCAAAGGACAAGGGCCGAGCATCAATCTAGATAGCAAGACAGAAATTTTGACGGCTTCGAGAGCCAGTCGAGAGAAACGAGCGATTGACAAAAGCAATGGACTGTCGACAAACGCAGTGTGCAATGTCAAAACAAAAGACAAAAAGAGGCCAGCCTCTTTGGTTGCCTGCGGGCGGATGGGGTGTAGTGTCGCAAAGAGGTGTCTGTGTGTCCGTTGCGTGTCAAACTGTTGGATGGAGAAAGGAGTAAAGAGAGCTGTCTCTTCTTCGCTCCGGCGATGCTCTTTTGGAGAGCTATTGAGCACCCGATTGGGAAAGTCTGGCTGGCACAGGCTACAAAGGGAAGGACCAAAGGGAAGGAAAGAACGTTGTTGCCCGTTAAAGGGAGTTGACGAGAACGAGGCAAGAGCGATCGATGGCGGGCTAGCACGCGCAATAGGGTCGCGACAGTTTCCGTTGGTGGCACGCCTTTTGGCCTTTTGGCCTTTTGGCCTCTGGGCTTCAGCCGTCAGGGGCATCTGTTTCCGGCCACCTGCTGTTTCGTCATCTGCCGCCAAGCAACCAAGGCCTGGCTTATCTGGGCGGCCTGGGCATTGGCTAATTCGGCGCAGGGGTAATTACAGTGGAGAGCTCACGCTCACGTCTCAGGAGCTAATGTGCTAACGTGCTAATAGTGTTAAGCCAACTGCGGCTGCATCGACAAGTTCTTCATAACACATCACGACGACCTTCAACAGGCACAGGTTGGTTAAGAGTGATTAAAATATCTGAATTTAGCTATGGTACATGAAAGCGCAAAGAAAAATAAAAGAGATAAAAGGAAATGGGTGTTTTGCGAGAGACGTTTTGGGTCGCGTGTTTTTTTTGTTCAGATGATCGAGAACACATTTCCACCACCACACGCCGTTTTGGTTACATAGCCACAGAGAAGTAAGAAATGATAAAAAGCAAATCAAAGTCGGAGACGCACAAGGCAACAGAAAACAGCAACTAAGAAAAAAAAAGCGCAGCAAACACCCCTCGTTTCGTCGAGGCTTATACAAACCGTCTTTTTTTCGTCTCTTCTCCAGCCAACCTCGACTCTTTTTCGCTGCTCTCCCAGAAAGGGACAACAAAACAGAATAGACCAGGTCAGCTAGCACGCCACCGGATTTTGGCAGGTGCATGGCTGGCGAGGAACCGCAAACCGCGTCGGCGCATACGGGAGTGGATAGAACCACGCGTGTGGTGCGCCAGCGCCGCCGTGCGGCTGGAGAGAAGCAGGCGTTGGAGGGGTGGGCGCGGGCGCGGGCGCAGGTGCAGGCGTCGTCATGGAGGGTGTCATTATTGGTGTAAACATGGGGCCAGCCGAAGTCTGCCTCTAGAACCCGAATCCGGTAGGCTGCGGGGCGAAGCCGTTCGCGCCTGCAAACGGCGCGGGCGACGCACGGCCCACGCTGCCGCCGGGGGCACCCGTCGGCCCGGCCGTGATCATCAGCCGGTTGCCGCCCAGGATCGGCGTGTTGTCCTCGACCTTCTCCTGCTCCTTCTCCTTGGCCTTGCGCTCTTCGTTGTCCGCCTTGAGCACCGCCAGCTCCTTGGTCTGCTGGGCCAGCAGGTTGATCAGGTACGGCATCGTAAAGTCCGTCAGGCCGTGGCGCCACGAGAGCTCCAGCACAACGTCGGGCCGGATCAGGTCGTGGCACGCGTACAGCATGCCCACGTAGCACTCGCGGTTGCCCGTGTCCACAAAGTAGCGCAGCAGCTCCTCGACGACCTCGCTCTTGCCCGAGATGGCCGCCGTCTCGACGGCGTCCTTCCACAGCTTGTCCTGCTTCGAGAGCGCAATCGACTTCTCCCACCGCTTGTTCTTGCGGTAGATGTTGGCGGCAATCTGGCGGAAGAAGACCAGGTCGTGCTTCTCCAGCCGGGCGGCCAGGTCCACGGGGTCGTAGTTGTCGTAGTGCTCGACCGAGTCGCGCAGCGTCTTGTAGTCCTCCTCCTCGATCAGCAGGTCGTTGATCGCGTCGTTGACCGCGCGCTTGTTCTGCGACTGCACGTTGAGCAGGAACGGCTTGATCAGCGGCAGGTTGTCCGACTTCTGGAACATGCGCACCACGCGGTTGACGTCGATGCGCGGCGTCAGCGCCTGCAGCAGGTCCGTGATCAGCGACGGGTGCTGCTCCAGGTAAAAGTTGATGGCCTTGTAGTAAATCTCCAGGTTGGCCACCTTGACCACAATCTCCTTGAACTGCTGGTGCTCCCACGAGTTCTCGGGCCGCTCAATCACCGCCAGCGCCGCGTTGTCAAACTCGTCGTAGTGGTAGTAGCAGAAAATCAGCTCGGGCCACAGGTTGGCCTCCTCGCACGCACGGATCATCTTGGGCAGGTTCATGCGGCTCCAGAACAGCTTCAGGTGCTCCATCAGGCGGTCCGGCGTGTATCTCGACAGCGCAATGCCGAGCTCCGTGAACATGGCCATGTGCGCACGCTCCAGCCCGAGGCCCTGCTCGAGCAGGTTGATCAGCTCGTCAAAGTAGCCGTTGCGCTCGTACTGCTTGACGAGCTGCTGCAGCTGGTCGGCGTCGATGATGAGGTTCAGACCGCAGATCAGCGCAAGGCGGAACTCCTTCTTCTCCACGCACGCCTCGTGCACCTCGCGCCACACCTTGATGTTGTTGGCCTTGCGGGCCGCCTCCACAGCCGCCTGGTAGTCGCCGAGGTGCACCAGCGTCGTCGCGAGCTTGGCCCAGTTAGAGATGCTCGAGAAGAAGATCTTGGCCGCCTCAAAGAGACCCTCGCCGTACGCCTTGTCGCCGGACTCCTCAATGTTGGCCACGTTCGTGCCGCGCAAAAAGTCCTCCAGCTCCGGCAGGTTGTCCAGGCGCGCATAGCAGAAGGCGAGGGCGGTGTCAATGGCAGGCTCGCGCAGCGTCTTGCGCGACATCAGCAGGTACTTGACAAGCTCCTCGTTCTTGCCAGCGTGGGTGGCCGTCTCGATGACCTCCTCGTAGTTCTTGGGGTCCTGGGCCTTGATGTACGAGTCGATGGAGTCGCTCACGCGCAGGCCATCCAGCTGGGCTTTGGCAACGCGGCTCCAGACCTCGGGGCTGTCGACCTCCTCGGCGTATGCCTGCGCACGGTCGATGCTAACGACGTGCTCGACGAGAACGTTGACGGCGCTGGCGCTGTCGTTGATCTTCTTGAAGATCTCAAACGCCTCCTCGTACAGGCCGACGTTGATGCAGGCCGCCGAGATCTCCTGCGGGTCGAACGCATCGAGCTTGTGGATGTAGTCCATGACACGGGCCTTGTCGGCTGTCGTGGCCGTAAACAGCAGCAGGTTCTGCAGGCTCTGGTTGTCGCTAAAGGGAGACGGCTCCAGCACGATCTTCTCGAGGAGCTCGATAAGCTCGGCCGGCAGATCGGCCTTGAGGAAGCAGGCAACGGCCTCCGACACCTTGGTGGGGTCAGTGCACTCGGGCACGGCCGTAGAGATCACCTGGTCGATGACCGAGCGGCGGTGGATGTTGTTCTCGCTCAGGACGAACTGCCACAGCTCGCGGTCGGCACGCTCAAGCAGGTAGCGGGCTTGGGCGCGGTACATGGAGTTCTCGTTGGTGACGTTGACGAGCTCCAGGTCGTTCTGGCCCTTGCTGTAGGCGATGTAGGCCAGGTTGGGATCGCGCTTCTCGCAGTACTTGCCGACGGACAGGGTGTCGTACTGGTCGTTCTCCTTGAGGAACTTCTCGGGGTTGTTGTTGGAGTCAATGTAGATCTTGGCGAGGGCGTTGTAGATGGCCTGGTCGTGGTTGCCAGCAGCCAGAGCAGACTCGAGGAAAGGCAGCAGCAGCTTGAGGCGGTTGCGCGACTCCACCTCCGACACCAGCTGGTCAATGGGGATCGGGCCCGGCTGCACGGACGCAAGCAGGTTCTTGATGATGTTCTCGTCGCAGTCAACATCGAGCAGACCGCCGATGACGGCAGGCGTCCGCGACGGGTTGATGCGCTGAACATAGGCCTCAATAGACTGGAACTGCTGGTTCTGGTAGAGGAAGAGGATCAGGTCGTGGACAAGGTTGAAGCGGTCGCAGACAATGATCAGCGGCAGCTGATCCTGCAGCTTGGCCTCCTTGAGGAAGTTCTTGACCTTCTCGGCGTTGTAGTGGTTGCTCTCGCGGCAAATGCGCTCGACCTCCTGGAACTGGCCCATCTTGGTGGCAGCCTCAATGTACTTGAAGTGCACCTCCGAGTCCTCCGACAGGTTGACAATGCTACCCAGGTAGTAGTACAGGCCCTCGGACGTCTTGTACTTCTCGAACAGGTCGACGAGGTTCTGGGGACCCAGGAGGTCCGAGTACTTGGTGGCGATCTGGACAACGGACTGGAGGTTCTGGCGGATGTTGTGCTTCATCATGGCATCCAGGCAGTCCAGGGATTGCTCGACAGAGAGCTTGCCGAAGAACGTGGTGAGCCACTCCGGGTCGAAGTCGGCCGTGCCGGGGACGTTGATAACGACACGCTTGACGGCAGCGGGGTCCTCGTAGAGATCCAGAGCCCAGCGGAACAGACCGGCCTGCTCACACAGCTTGGCAATCTGTGCCTTGTCGAAGTGCGTGAACATTTGGTTGCTGAGGATGGCGTCGGCCACCTGGGGCGCGTTCAGGAGATTCATCTCCAGGAGGCGGGTCTGGAGGTGAGCCTGCTCGGGGCGGTTCTCCTTCAAAGCGTCAATGAGGAACGCAGTGACCTGCGGCAGCAGGCTCTGCGACTGGAACACGTCGACGGCGCGCTCGAGGTCGATCAGGGGGCCGCCCTCGTTGTTGGCCAGCATGGTCGCGAACTCGACAGCCTTGTCTGGGTTGGCGCGGGCGACGTGCTGCAGGAGCTGCATGTAGTCGGGGGTGTAGCCGGCTTTGGTGGCGTAGGGAATGATCTCGTTAAAGCGGTTAGCTTGGGCGAGCGAGGCGACGACCTTGTGGGGCACGTTGGCCTTGAGGTAGATGCGCAGAGCCAGGGCCAGATCCAGCGGCCGGACCATGTCACCCAGCTGCTCCGAGCTGTACAGCTTGTCCTCCTTGGCCCACTTCTCGAGAAGCTCTGTGCGCTTCTGGGCGACAACGGGTTGGGCCAGCTCCAGCGTCTCGGTCATGTTCAGACTGCCCTTGTCGAGCAGCAGACCAAAGTACTGCAGGATGTACGACATCTGGCCGGGCTGCTGGGGAAGCCGCTTGAACTTCTCAATGGTCTCCGACGTGCGCAGGAAGCCCTGCGGCGAGTTGGCGGCCACGCGGGCAGCCTCAACGTAGTTGCCGGCGTTGAAGAGCTGCTCGAACTGGCGGCCATAGAGCTGCTCGGCGCCAGGCAGGTCGCCCCGGGAGGCAATCTTAATTGCCAGCTCAGTGTTGGCCGGGTTTTGCAGAAGGTAGGGGATGATGGTCGTCTCGTCAACCTTGACGGACAGGGTCTGACCCTTGCGGTTGATACCGACGACGCCGGTCGACTCGCTGTCCGTGCAAGATACGAAGATGGTCTCGCTCGACATGCGGTTCATGAAGATGCAGGTGCCAGTCTCAATGTCGTACAGGTGGATGAAGCCGTACTTGGTGATGAGGTAGACGATGCCATACTTTTGCGACACCTGAACCGCAACGGGGAAGTCGTTAACGGCCTCCGCGGGGAAATAGACATCGACGGCCTTCTTGGGGAAGGCGGGGTTGGCGTCGGGCTTGTCGATCTCGACAATGTGCAGCTTCGCGGCGGCGGCAGTGCGAACGGCAAAGACGAACAGCTTCGAGACCTGAGGGGCGCCGTCCATCTGGTATGTGGCGAAGGAAGCGGCGTGGCCCTCGATGGCCTGGCTGACACCGCGCTCCTTGGAGTAGAGCTGGATGGAGCCAACGACACGGCCCTGCTGCTGAGAAATGCCGACGACGGCCATCCATTTGCTGTCGGCGTCGATGCGGTAGTTGATGATCTGGCAGGCCTGGAGTGGGAAACAGTGGGGTTAGATTACTGTGGACTCCATTGGACCGTGGTAACTGAGCAGCCATCTCTAGCAGACCGATAGCGACCAGAAATCGGACCTGCCAAAAACAAACAGGAAACGGGGGAGGGGGTTAAGAGCTTACGTTCATCGCGGCATTCCGCTTGAAGACCTCCACAGGGGCCTTGTTCGCCTCAAACACGTCCCAGTGGTGCACGCCGGTCTCGGTGACGAGGCCAATGGTGCTCTCGCTGATCCACTTCCAGTAGACGACGTCCTCGTTTGTGGTTGCCGAGTTCAACTTGGCCTTCTTCTCGAGGTCGAAGATCTGGAGTGTCCGGGACTGGGCCCGCAGGGCAATGACGGGACGCGACCAGTGCATGATGGCGCTGTCGGCCTTGATGCCACGGCGCATCACATTGCTGAGGTTCTGGAGGTCGACGATGACGACTTCGGGCGAAGCGGCCTCGTTCTTCTTCTCGCGGACGCAGACATATCGGTCGGACTCTAATGTCTATAGAAGGGATTAGCAGGTTGTGTTGTGAGCAAAAGGCGAGACGAAAGAGAAGACGCCAGATGAGATTGGGCCCCTCTTTCAAGCTCGCCCAACGGAACGAGGGGGGGGACGCAGAAAACGCGTCGCAATGTCGACTGCACGTACGCAAGAGTTGAAGCCGATGGCCTGGCTGTCGATACCGATCGAAGTGAGCTGGACGATCTCGCCCAGCTTGATGGGTAGCGGTGCCATGGTTGGTGGCTGTGTGCGGGAGACAAGCTCTCGATCAAGCTGACGAAAACAAGACAGGGCGCGGTGATGCGCAGGCTAGGTCGACGAGCTCGCCGACAATGGGTGGGCGAAAGAGAGAGACGTTCGATTCGACGACGGTTGGATGAGGGATCGCGAGATCAACAGGAACCGGGTCTGCTGAGAAGACAAACGAAAGCTGCAGGGACGAAAAGGAGTGAAAGAGGAGGTAGTTTACGGAATCCGTTAGCTTCCCGCACAAGCGGGAAATAGGCGGCAGGGGGGAGTTAGAAACTGAAAGGGAGCGAACAGAAGCAACAAATCAATTAATGACACAGTCAAAGAAGAGAAGAAGGATGCAAGGTGCAAAGAAGAGATGGGCCTCGAATGGGGGGTGGAAGATGGTGAGAGGCTCGGATGCGATGGGATGCGAGGAGAGAGAAGAGAAGGAGGGAAATTTGGGGCCTGGAGACGGAAAGGGTGAAATTAGGTTGCTACAGGGTACCGTATCCTCTTCTGATTCCAGAAGGAAGGAGCGACCCAGGGCGTTCTAGGGGGGCCGACGCGCTGTGTCCCTTGCTGCAGTTGGACGTGGCGCTGGTCGCAGCTTGCCTGGCCTGTGCACGGGCCGTTCAGGGGTGAATAAGCGGGAGCTCTGCTGTCACGTGCAACGAGTTAGATTAGGTTTCTTCAGGAAACTGGCAGGAACGCGCAGAAGAATGCGCCCAAGTAGGAAAGAACGCGCACACCAATTGAGGCCAGATAGCTGTTGAGCTTCCCTGTTTCCGTACTGGGCAATGGACACACCACTGTAGCCTTTTGTTTTTACTTTCTTTTAGGTTTAATTTTTATTTTCTAGACGTTCTTCTTGACATCGACCAACATATTCACTAGTTTTGCAACACGTTTGTGTGATTCCCTGCCCAGCACATCCCGAATATCTGCGGCAAACCGGGACTTTAGGCAGCGACAAACCGGGAAGGGCAGGTCCTCAGGCGCGGCTTCATGCAGGAAGTGACGCAACAGTTGTTTCCAATTCGGCCAATTCGTCACGTGATACAAAGTGGTAACGGTCGGCAGAAACGACGATCAACATGAGCTGAGCGAAGCTTCTGATGTGATGTGTACGTTACAGTACAGAGTACGGTTACCAGCGGGTAACGTGTCTGACAACGTTCAATAAAACAGGCTCTTGAAGTTCAGTGCCCAAGCTACGAGTTGGCCGCGTATCTGAACGGGCTATGAAGGTGTCGGGATCAACAAATCAGACCGCAAGGACGTCCAGTACTCTCGACAAGCGCAGGCCGGAACAAAGTACAAAGGTGGTCGAGCGAGGGACAAGAAAACAGTTCGGACTGGGCCCGTCAAATACCGGCGTTGCGCAGTTCTTTGGTCGGCGACGTCGCAACAGGATCCGCTGTCCAGCTCGGCTGCCGTCTCGTCGCATCTTTCTTTGTGCTATCGTCGACCTCTCTGCCACCGCCCCCGACCGTGGCTGCCAGACACATGTCACCGTCTTATATCTGTATGCGCAAGGAAAAGAAATGTTTGCTCAATCATTGCGGCCCTTCCCACCGCCCAGAAGAGGACAGGGAAGCGCCGCACCCAAGATTGTTCAAATATGGTTTGTTCTCCGTTTTGTCGAAAAAAAGATAGGAAAATGTCCTGGGAGCTACTTGTTCCGAGGAGCAAGGTCCTCGTTCACCCAATAAGTCATCGATTTCGTAAACGTGTTTTAATTGCGTTGTTCATGAAGAAGAAAAAAGAAGAAAAAGAAGGACAAGAAAATTTGGGCGAGCCCCAATCGGTATATATTATGGTGCCTGCCAAAAATTAAAGCGGGGAACCAGCTGCCAATGTGCCTCAGGCTAAAATCTGCTACCAACCAGCGTCGTCGACCTTTCCTACAGCGCCAGGACCTCCTTGAATAGGGAAAGTGGGGCCTCGTCAGTGACGCGGGCTACAGCGGCATTGCACTCGCACTTTCCCAGCTTGTCGGTCACAAGCTGCGACGTACAAATGCAGGCTTTCAGTCGTGAAACTACGAGCGCATCTGTCTTCAACCTCCCAACCCCAGGAGCGCATCTACCCACGCATCACAGACCAGACCACAGACCGCGATGGCCCTCCAACAATCCCTGCCGCGCTTTTTGCTGCCGCAACTGAGCTGGAATGCACCCGTGCGCCAAGCCCACGCAAAGCCGATGCTTTTCCGCCTCGCCGCGACCGCGGCCGCCTTTTCTACAAGCACAACAACGGGCCCCCGCTGCCGCCCACAGACACAGACACAGACAAGGCATTCGCCAAGCCCAGTCTGCAAGGCGTCCACAGGACCGCCCTCCTCCCCTCTGGCCCGCCGCGCGTTCCACGCCGCAGCGGTGCGCCGCCGCGACCACCACTTTGACACGCTCAAGTTTGTGCAGCGGCTGCAGGACGACGGCTTCACCGAGGACCAGTCGGTGGCCATGATGAAGGTGCTCAACGACGTCATTGAGGAGAGCATCCAGAACCTGACGCGGACCATGGTGCTGCGGGAGGACGCGGCCAAGGCGACGTACACGCAGAAAGTGGACTTTGCCAAGCTGCGGAGCGAGCTGCTGTCGGCCGACAGCACCGAGACGAACACGACGCGGGCGGCGCACGAGCGGCTGGCCAACGACCTGGCCAAGTTCAACAGCCGGCTGCGCGACGAGGTGGGCCGGACCCAGGCGAGCGTGCGGCTGGACCTGAACCTGGAAAAGGGGCGCATCCGGGAGGAGGCGCTGGGCCAAGAGCTCAAGGTCAAAGAGACGGAGACGAAAATCGAGCAAGAGGTGGCGGCCCTGCGGCAGCAGCTGGAGCAGGTCAAGTTCCAGACGCTGCAGTGGCTGATGGGTGTGTGCACGGGCTTCGCGGCCTTGATGTTGGGTGCGTGGCGTTTGTTGATGTAAGGGTGATGGGGGAAATGGGGGAAATGGGGGAGGATGCACCATGGGGAGAATTCGACATCAAGACGATCGTCAAACGCGAGACTATGCAACAACGGGCATGGCGTTTGAATTTTTCTACTTTGTTCATTTATATTAGGTCGCTGTAAAGACCGAATCGTACATATAAATCGTACATATAATTCAAAAATGCTGCATCGGCCACACAACGAATACCATCATGAATGTGCTGGCAGTGGACAGTACAAGCAAGCGACCTTTGATGTATTGGTCTGTCGCTATCAGAAAGTAAGCAGAAACCTGCTCCTATGTAGAAAAAAGGTATGGGAAACTATGTAAAAAAGTGCGTGTTGCTAGTAAATAGTGGTAGCAGCCGCCTGGTATATATAAACAGAAAGACGACAAGGAAGCGCAAGGTGACTCCCAGGTGACTGGGCCCTTGCTTCTTAGCCATCAGAAGAAGAGTTTTGGAAAACCGACAAAGGAAGAAAAGAAAAAGAAAAGAAAACAAGAAGAGGGCAAAGGTCAAGCAAACTTTGACAGGCAGACAAAGACAACCACCCCTTGTGCATATCCAAGCGAGAAGAGCGAATCAGTAACACCCCCGAATAGATCGTCGCCTTTCACCTCCTTCTTGCCTCCCTCTCCTCCTGTTTTTGTCCACCCTTTCGGTATTGAAGGTATATATTGTCGAGTAAGGAAATGGAAAATAACAAGCAAATATTTGTTGTCATGTTTGCGTCATACTGGTACACGTGAGAAGGGTAACACCACCGATCGAATCAACAGCGAATCCATTTTACTCTGCCTTTGGGAGGCTTTCAATGACGGAGCGGGCGGCGTTGTAGATGGCGTGCAGGTCGCGGCTGGCGTTGGCGCAGGCACCGCCGGGGGCGTAGCAGCGGGTGCCGACGTTGCGCTTCCAGCAGGACTGGCCCTTCAGGGGGCAATACTTTTGGGCCTCGGCATCCGCCTCGGCCTCGCGCTTGTACTTCCAGCACGACTGGCCTTTGAGGGGGCAGTACTTCTGGGCATCGGCCTCGGCGTCGGCGTCGGCCTCCGCCTCGCGCTTCTGGACGGAACCGCCCTCAATGGCGTTGATGACGGCCTCGGCGGCGCGGCGGGCCTTCCAACAGGACTGGCCTTTCAGGGGGCAGTACTTCTGGGCCTCGGCGTCGGCCGCGGCGTCGGCCTCGCGCTTGTTCTTCCAGCACGGCTGGCCGGGCAGGGGACAGTATTTTTGTGCGTCGGCATCGGCGTCGGCCTCAGCCTCACGCTTCGTCACGGGCTCCTCGACGGGGACGGGGAAGTGGGACTCGAGGGACAGATCCGAGTAGAAGGAGCGGGGGTTGTACTGGGTGGATGCGACGATGGAGGCCAGGCCGTCGATGGCGCGAATGGCGTTGTTGTGCACGCCGCCAAAGGACAGCGAGCGGCGCGAGACACCAGCTTCCGGAGCGCCCAGGTCGGCAATGGCCTCGGCGAACGCCTCAGCTGCGCGCTTGACCTGGTAACACGACTGGCCGGCCTGCTGACAGTAGGCCTCGGCCTCCGCAACGGCGGCAGCCGAGGCACCGACGGCGAGGATGGTGAAGACGGCGGCGGTCTTCATGATTTTTGATTTTTTGATTTTGATGTTTGATTTTGTGAAAAAAGTAAAATTGTGCAAAGAAGAATGGTTGATAGAGAAGAAGGAGGACGATCTCTTGGCTGTAGGAGTTGACTTGTCCTGAGAGGATTAGAAGAGAAAAGAAAAACACAAAACAAATGGGATAATACAGAGGTGGGGAGGATCTTTATACTTCAATAGGCCTCGTCGACAAAGGTCTATTGACGGAGGTGAAGGTGGATATCTATTGAGGCCGAATCGAGAAACGACCAAGGGCCATAAACGAATGAACAAAAAACGCCAAAATGAACAGCCGGGAGAAAGAACAAGGATACTTGCGGTGGCATGACTCGAGACTATCGCCAAAGCATCCTTTCCCGGCGTCTCTCGCCTCGGTCTTCTGTTCTCTCCCTCTCTTTTTGCCAAGGTAGAGACACAGCAGGCTTTCCGTTGGCTGTAGCCGCATCCGATCTTTCTCTATCTCCGTTGCCATCTTTTGTTGTCTGGCGGCCGGTTTCCTGTTTCGACGTCGCCCTGATCACACGATGTCTGACAAGGAGGAGCAATACACAAAGTTCATTGTTGCGGCCTCGTCCTCGTCTCTACTGCGCTTGCCTTGCGACGGATGAGTTCTTATTGACACCCCAAAAGAGAAAGGACCAAACCCTGCGAGCCCTTGTCCTGCCTCCTGATAAGGAAACAGTCCGCAAGACTACAGTGCTAGGGGACATTAGAAAAACGGTGGACGTTGATCGCCAGGGTCTGGGAGCAACGGAGGAAGACGATGACAGATCAAGAGAGGGCTAGCATGACGATGGCGACAAAACAAAGAGGCCGGGGGCGTCGGTTGATGAGCATTGAGCTGGCGTTCTGGGCGACGGGGGAGATACGCAAAGCTGGATATGGCCTCTTGCCGAATTCGTCTGCTCGTCGTGGCCTCCTCTTAACGTCTTTCTTGACAGCGTCTTTTTTTAGCTTGTTCATGCCGCACAGTTCCGTTTGTTCCTGGATGCGTCAAAGGTACGGGAGGGTGTGGTGGCGAGTCGTGTAGGAAGGGGTTTTGGGCGTCAGGCAATTTGCCGAGTGAAGCTCTATTGATACCCCAAAACGGTAATTGAGCGACCCACACTGCGATGCGCACTAACACGCTAGACCACAACGCAGCTCAACCACCTCAATTGACAGCAATTAACCATGGACTTTAATTGACGAGAAAGGACGGGAATAACATGTACAACGGCCAAAAAATCGAGAATAAAAAAGAGAAATGACCACTACCAAGTCTCATCTCGAATGCGGTGCCAACATTCTGCGCTTGGCGAGACGCTGCTTCAGGACAGCGGCCATAGCAACCGCAGAAACGAGGAAGACGGAGAAGACGCGGACGGTCCAGGAGATGAGAGACCAGGGATGTGGACGCCAAATAGCAATAGTCATACGCCCGGGCAGGCACTGAGGCAGCGGTGGAATGCTAAATGCTGCTCTGGTCCTTTTGGGCCCGGAGATGATGGCGTTGAGAGCAAGGGCGGCTGTCACAGCGCTCGTGAGTGGAGGGAGGCTCTGAGGCGGCAGGGAGAAACGGTGTCTGGGATGGTCTTGGACGGTCTTGGACGGTCTTGGATATCAATAGACAGAAAGATGAGAGAGTGAGGTCTGGATAGCAATAGACAGAAAGAGGAGAGAGTGAGTGGTTCCAAGGGACGAGCGGCGAAGAAAGACGTACGAAACGCTGTTCGCCTAGCTAAATGCAAGAGATGTGCTTAAGAGATGCTTAAGAGTTCTGAGGAGATGCTTAAGAGATGCTGAAGAGCCGCTGTAGAGTCGTAGTTGTTCGTTTCCGCTTTCACTTGACCAAGTCTATCCTGAACGGCCAGTCTGCGCAATGCTCTTTGATACGCTCCTGCACCATTGTAACATGGCATCGTAAATCGTCCGGTCCCATTCCCAAAATGGGCGCTGTCCGCATCTCGCCACCTCACTTTGTGGCTTCCTTCTTCTTTGTTTTCGTCTTCGTCTTCGTCCCTTCTTTCTGTTTCTCCTCCTCCTCCTCCACGACCCCTGCCTCTTCGCCCTCCCTCAGCTTCTTGGCTGCTTGGGCCACCATGGCCTCGACCTGCCGCCACCGCAGCGCCAACAGGCTCCGCTGGCTCTCGGTCCCGACGTTCGCCTTGGCCAGCCGCTCAATCTTGGTCAGCGTCTTGTGGGCCAGCTCGGCCATGTCGTCCAGGCATTCCAGGAGAACATGCTCACGCTCGTCTCGTCCTCTGTGTCCCGTATCCTCGTTGTCCCCGTCGTCGTCGTCGTCCTCGTTGCCACCGCCCTCGACAAACTGCAGCCAGGCCGTCCGCTGGGCCGCGCCGTTGCCGCACAGCAGCCGCCGCAGGGCCACCTGTGTGCGGTAGCAGCCGCCCGGCGTGGCGGCGTCAATCATGTAGTTGCCCCAGAAGCCGGCGGTCTCCAGGTCGTCGCGCACAACGTCGTGCGGGGACGATGCGAGGCGCGGGACGAGGACCGCGTCGAGGGCGACCTCGTCCCAGCGGTTGTCGGCCAGGACGAAGCCGTACTCGACGAGCAGGGCGTCGTTGGCGTGGGCGCCGTAGCTGATGGGCACTTCGTCGCCCTCGCTGTACGGGCGGTCGGCGACAAACGAGAAGCCCTGGGCGGCGTAGGCGGCACGGCAGCCGCGGTCGGCGGCGTGGTTGAACAGGTCGGCCACGGGCTGCATGGCGATGCGGTCGTCGTGGCTGGGCAGGGCGGCCTCGGAGCGCGGGGTGGTGTAGTAAAAGGTACGCGAGTTGACCAGCAGCCACGCGCGGACGTAGTCGCTCTTTGTGAGGGTTTTCCTTTTGTCCTTGTCCTTGTCACTGTCCTTGTCACTGTCCTTGTCACTGCCCCTGTCCCTGTCCCGGTCCTTCTTCTTGTTACCCTCGGCCGCGCCGTCTCCAAACGCCGCCTTGACGGCCGCCCAGTCCGCATTGAGCTTGGTCTGCTGGCGCTGCAGGGCGTTGCGTGCCGGCGTCGGCAGCAGCTCGCGCAGTTTTGTCGGCCAGAGCAGCGGCATGCCGGCCTCCAAGTCTTCAGGCGTCGGCAAGACAGCGTCCCAGGCTGCGTAGTCGCCCGACTCGTCGAGCACGAGATGCGCGGCCAGGATGCCGTGCACCGACACGTCGCGGTCCAGGGTGCGCGAGATAGCCTTGGGCACCGTCGCCAGCGTACGCAAGGCGCGTGTGGGCACGACCAGCACCGTCTCGCCCTCGAGGACGTCGCGGACGGCGACCATACCGTAACCACGGCCGGGCAACCGGCGGGGCGCAATGCCCGTCAGCTGGACGCCCTGCTTGGCGGCATAGTGCAAGAGGTCCTGCAGTGTCTCGTCCTGCATCGTGGAAGGCGGCAGAAGGGCGACGTGACGAAGCCCGGCGGCAGAACTTTCCAGCGGATGAAGCTAAAGTGCTTAAGAACGTAAATTGTTGATTGGTCGAGATGGACCACTACTATTGCAGTTACAAAGACATGGTACCTTAAGACATGCTGGAAATGTAGAGATTGCCAAAAAAAAAAAGAAAAAGAAAAAAATAAAAATAAATTGAATGCAAAAAACAACTGGAAGCTACCTTGCAAGACGTGATGCTGTCGCAATGCACAATTACTCGATTGACTCACCGCAGGACAATGGCCGAAAAGGGAAGAAAATGGTGTACGCCACGGTCACGGGATCTGGGGTCCTTCACGAGACAAGTCTCGAAAGAAGCGCCAGTGCAGAGACAAGTGCAAGGATCTTGATTCTTCCTCCTACCAACCCATTTTTTCGTATCAAACAAGAGTCTGCTTTGCCTTGCAACCACGTCGATTCTACCGGTTTTTCTATCAATTCTACAACGTAAAATTCGCATCCTCCTGTTTTCGTCCGTCAGATACGCATCACTTCTTTCTCAACGGTCCATCTTCTAAATTCTGTTGTCTACCAGTGTCATTTTTATCTTTTCCGTGACCATCACTCACAGTTTCCATCAGGAGTCCTTGTGGTCTTCGCACAGTTGTCTCCATCAACAAGTCGTGCATCTTTGCCATCCACCGGCCGCCCTCGCCTCTCAACCTGTCTCGCGTTCACCGCGTCAACGTCTTCCCATCCTGCAGCAAAATTTGCTACTTACAAGGGATAGTTGACTCATCTTCAGCAGAACAGGCGTCAATTATTTTCTCGCATATTCTGTCGCAAACCAATCAAGAGGGCACTATTATTGCAAAATGGCCAACCAACCTGCTAATACCTTCCCGACCCCATTACCTGCGAGTGTGCACACTGAAGAAGGTTTCCGTGAGATAAGAATCTCGCATCTCAAAGAGCAAATCCCCCAAGTTCCCGACGAGGAGATTAAGAAGAATTTCGAATTTCTAGTACGCTACTATGAGAATGGCGGCACGCCTCCGCCAAATAACCAGACGTGGTTGGTATATGACGGCAAGTTCGTAACCAGTGCGAACGGCGATCGGGCGACAATGAGAACGATTGGGCCGATGGCGAGCTTCCGAGGCTACACCTTGGAGGCTGTGAGTTCACTTCCCTTGATACGAAGTCTAAACATGGGTAAAATCCGAGTACTAACGTGATATAATAGGGTTTGCACCGTATGGGCCTCCAGACGACTTTGCTGCCTGCCGATCATGCCGGCCCTTAGTATAGGCCAGCAGAACCGCAGCAGATGGCTCAAAACAGCCACATTTGGCGCTGTTCCTGGGTCGCACATTCACCAAGTAAGTTCCCGAGAACCCCCCCCCCCCCCCCCCCAACTAACGAGAAGGGTTGGTCAGTTCTGACATGCAAGCAAAGATGGTAGCCTCTGTGCAGTATAATGCCAACGCGCGTTTTGATGCCATTTTAGCCACTGTACTGTCGAACGACACCGGATCTACGGTACAGACCCTTACGCCCTTGGACGTAGCAGCGCTCGGAGTCGACCGCTCGCTCATGAACGAGATCTATGACACGACAGCCGCAGGCACTGTGCCGCTCAAGGCCATATACATCATGCTGTATTTCGTACGTGTGTACGTATCGCCGACGTTAACAGCCTTGCGGCACGTATTGCCTTGCCTGCAGGCTCTGGACAAAGCACATCCATGTCAATTACGCCCGTTGGCCAAACCGTACAACATACTTGATGTTTCTTTTCGATATACAAAGGGCACACAAGTTAGTTTGACTGGACAGGACTTTATTCATACAATTTGGGAAGGTTTCGAGCTTGGGAAGAAGCTCGAGATGCTCTATATAAACTGCCAGAGCGACCTGAAAGCATGTATCTTGGAGATGTCAGAAAATTAAAAATGTTCAAAATGCATTCTTTTCCTTGCCATAGGTCGTACGTCCGTCTAGATTCTAACAGCCGTTTTTCTATTTTCCCTTCGAATTGGGTCATTTCGCCGTGACCCAACCAGAAGCCGTTCTTTCCTTGTTTGTGCGCCACGCGCGCTAGCAATTACACGGTCTTTCCAATTGTGGTTTGCGTCTGCCCATTGTCCTACATTGAACATCTACGCCGTACTTTCCTTTGCATGGAGCACTCCTTTTCTATCATCACTTCTCTCCAATCGTCACGACGAACGCAAACATGCCCTCCTACGCACGCTCTCTTTCTCTCTCTCTTCTCTCTTTGCATGTTGCACGTACTGTGTCGCAGTCGCCCTCTGCTCGCCTCTTTCCTTGACCGACGGCGAAAACGAAACGATCGACAACGCACGGCGCGATGCATCCACAACGGCCAGGCGCACGTGAAGAGAAAAGGCTCTGCGTGTCGTTCAATGGAGTGAGACGATGGGGACTGGGAGACTGTGACTGGGCAGACCGGCACAAGATGCAGATGACAAGCTTTTATGCATGCACCCGCCTCTCAAAAGCGTGGCTGCCCGCCTCGGCGCATCGCCCCCCAATTCGGTCGCCAGATCCGCGATCCACGTAGGATTGCGACCAGGGCTGCAGGGGTCCTGGCAAGCCGTCAGGCCGTCTCTTTTTGTCCGGAGTGAGTTGAAGGTACAGATGACCCCGCCATTTTGTGGCATTTTGTGTCAACTGTGTCAGCTTTTGCGAGCTTGCGGCCTTTTGGGTCATTTGACTCGACATCGACTTTGATCTTTGATTCTTTTTTCCATGGTCGTGGACACACGGCCCCATGTCATACACTGCTGTCAACGATGCCGACCGCCGGACGCTTGCTGCACATGGAGGGCCAGAACACAAGGGAAATGTGACCAGGAAATGGGAAATGCCAGTGGCTCGCAGCACAGACTTGACGTGAACGACCAAGATACAAACAGTCGACACATGCAGCGGCATACGGGGCACCTGCAACGACGTGGACGGGGTTGGTGTGGTGGCACATCGGCCAAATAGCCAAGTATTGGCCAGAGTCGCCAGGATGGCCAGAATGGCCAGGCACGGGTACGAGGGTATTCGTCGACAGCGTCTCTAAAGTGACGAACAGGAAGGTGTCAAAGCTAGGGGTGTCCATACTCGCAATGTGACCCGACCGGCATTCCACAAGATGCAACCTCGTTGTCTTATTCGTTCTGTACGGGAAATCGTCCTTCTGTTGCCTTTTCTGGCTCTAGCTGCGGTTCAGTTTGCTGCACGTCTTTACACCTCCGTTTACTATGATAAACATTCTTTTTCTTTCTTCTTCTTTTTTTTTTTTTCTTTTCTTTTTTTCATTCTCATTCCAGCTCGACCTCCGTCTCCACGAGCTTTCTCTCTCTTTTCCCTCGTTTCTTTACAAACACGTTTTTTTTTCCCTGCAAGCAAGTGCATCACCGCGGGCCCTTGTCCTTTGACGGTGTCCCGACACCGATTCTGTCAAGGAGCGCCTCTCTGCCTTTCCCGCTTTTCACAGGAAGGTAAACCGGTCTAAACATACGGCCGGAACGAAAGTATAAATACACACGGGAAGGCCCGTCTCTGGTCATTTGTATTTCCATTTTCTCCGTTCAGGATCGACAGAGACCCTCAACCCTCCAAACACCTCCAGCCCTATATCATCACTTACACCCTTTGTCTCCCTTCTCTCCACTACTCCATCATGCCCTCCATCCGCCAGCTGGCCGGCATTCTCGCCGCTGCCGCCGTCTCCAGCGCTGCTCCGGCCCCTGCCCTCTCTTCCTCCGCCGGCAACAACAACAACAAACGCCAGACCACTCCGCTCCCCGACTACGCCCTCACCTATGCTCCCATCTCCTACCTCTACAGCGGCGAGAGCTGGTGGCCGTCGGATGTTGCTACCCACCTTGCCAATGTGATTCCCGAGGTCGACTTTGTCCCCGTCTCCGGCTACACGTCCGCCGGCTCCGTCACGCTCGCCACCCTCAACGACCAGAGCAGCAGCGTCTACCTCACCTCCAAGGACAATGTCGACACCAGCCCGGCCTGGCTGGTCTCGGCCTACGGCAAGCCCACAACCACCACCGGCGGCTACAGCGCGGCGCCCGGCACGATCATCGCCGTGCAGAAGAACGCCACCTGGGTGGACGTCTTTTACTTTTACTTTTACTCGTACAACTATGGCGGAAAGTATGTTTGTGCTGTCCTCGCTGCGTTCGCTTTATTTAGTATCCTCGCTACGCTCTCATTTGGCGCCCATACTTACTCTTCATAGGGTCATCGGCATCAACTTTGACGACCACGTCGGCGACTGGGAACATACCATGGTCCGTTCCTCTCCTCTCGTCCTCATCCTCACTGTTTTGCTGCAGCTCCCGGCTAACATGTTGCCACCGTAGATCCGCTTCGTCGACGGCGCTCCTACCGCCATGTACTTTTCCCAGCACGGCTCCGGCTCCGCCTACACCTGGGCCGCTCTCTCCAAGGGCACCGGCGCCAACGCCGGCCGCCCGCTCACCTACATTGGCACCGGCGGCCACGCCAACTACGCCAAGCCCGGCAAGGAAGACTACACCATCGCGCTCGGCATTGTGAGCGACACCACCGACGCCGGCTTTGCATGGGACCTGGCCCAGAACTACCGCGGCTACTGGTTCGACACCGCATCCGCCACCTTCTCGGAAGCAGGCGGCGCCAATGTCGGCGGCAGCGAAGAGGGCAGCACGTCGCCCGCCGAGGGGGCGACGTGGCTGCAGTGGGGCGGCGCCTGGGGCGACGAGCAGTACGCGTCGAGCCGGTCGGGCCAGTACTGCATCTTTGGCGAGTGCCACTACACGTCGGGCCCGACGGGCCCCGTGGCCAAGAACCTGGGCCGCACGGCCATGTGCCAGACCGAGTCCGGCTGCACGGTGTTTACCAGCGTCGACGACCTGACGCACCAGTCGAAGCGGACACACCGGTCGAAGTGAGAGGAGGAGGCGGGTGAGTGGATGCTAAAGATATAATGGACGTGCTGGTAACTCGTGCTTGGATATAATGACGTATGACAGATGAATCGATGTATATAGCAGAGACTTGTTTATCTCAATGCGTGAACAAAACAGACACGTTCCCTAAACTATGTGGTAACGATATACGCGGCATATGAGAAGCTGGATAGAGCAAGCTAACGTTGGCCCCCAGAATGTGCCATGTTCCAAATTTCGTACTGTCGTGAAGTCGTATTATCTTGATATCATAATATCGTGGTATGTGGTATGTGGTATGTGGTATGTGGTATGTGGTATGTGGTACGTGGTATCGTACAAACACTGTTGCTGCTTGCACTTAGTTCCTGTCCCCCGCGACGGTTGCAATCACACGACCTTGCCATCCCACCAGCCGCCGAGGCGCAGCGTCACCAACGGCCCAAGACTGGTAGAGCCATCCGCGTTGGCCATCTCGTCTTCGGCCTCCCGGAAAATGTGGTCCCAGTAGGCGCCGGCGCCGCTCAAGTGCAAGATGCGGCAGATGGCAGCGTGCACGGCTAGCAAACGCGGGAGGGGCGGATCGACCGTGTCCGATAAAAACAGAGTTCTGGTGATGGGCTGTAACGGCCTGCGTCCCCTGCTTTGCAAAACAGACTGTATGCGGTACGTATGCAGTGGCCCGTCCATGGCCTCGAAAAATGTCCGAAAGGAGCCAAAGACGCTGTGGTAACCCGAGGTAAGGGTGATGGCATTTGTTGGACGATCCATGCTGGCGCCTTCAAAGAGATGCGGAACGCCAGTATCCAGCATTTCAAGAATGGCTAGTGCGTTGCGTCGTGCAATGCTCCTGTCGTCGTCGTTGGCCATGCTCATGAGTGAGTGGGGAAGGATGTGGGCAACTTCCAACAGCTCAAATTCGTCTGTTTCGGGCATGTCGGCAAAGCGGACGCCATCGTCGTCGGCCGCATCGTAGCCGTGCTTCTTGGTGCGACGAAACGCCTCGTTCTCATCGAACTGTCGCGTAATAACACACCGATGCCTGTCCCGGATCAGGCAATCTCGTCGTAGGGTCGCGACGCGAGATTCAGACCCGGGAAGACTCTGTTCTGACGATAGGAAGGGAACCGAGAACGAAGCAGGCGTAGGCTGGGGCGTTCTCTTTCCCGCGGCCTTGACTGTTCTGGTGAGTTTGTGCGGTGGGTGGCGTGGAAGAAACAGGGGGCGGGGGAGGCGGGCAGGGAAACAGAGAAAACCACGTACGAGGGCCAAAGAAACTACCGTTGAGAAATTGAGCAAACTCGACGGCCCGAGATCGAACGTCCTTGATGTCAATAGTACTGGCCATGCCGACTGCCATGTCGACGCGGATACTTGCGAAAAAGTAGTTTAAAAAGAGGTCTTTGGAGAGCTGCGAGAGGCTGACTTGATGCATGACGCGGAGCATCACGACGGGACGAAAGCCGTGTCCACCTCCATCTCCATGTCCATCGCCAAGTCCATCGACCTCGAGCTGGTCTAGAAGCGAGGAAAACAGTTCCTCGGCATGGCGTCGGCTGGCTGCATCGTGAAAAACAACGGACGGGTGCGGCGAGTCAAAGATGCCTTCCAATGAGGACTGGTGTCCAATTGCCATGGCGGCGTGCTGGTGTCATGCTGGCATTTTTGATTTCGCACGGCGTGGGTTGTCTGGAAGATGTCGAGGGAACAATCCGCATAAAGTAGTTTCGCAACAAGGCCGGATTCAAATATCAACACTATCACGTGATACAATAGGATACATGCGCTGGCCATTCACGTGAAGATTTTACAAGGCCTTCATCTGCTCGATTGATCGAGACTCTGTTGTGTTCTTTACCCGCTGCACGAATGGGGCCTATCGTGTTTTATTCAGGAGTGAGACGACAACGTCATGCTTGGTGTGCGATATTGGTGCACCGCAACATGTGCCGTGGCCAAAGAATAATAAAAAAAGAGAGAGACACAAAAATGAAAATAAAAAGACGAAATAAATATCACGCGAACTAAGCAGCAGATAAACAGTTTCGAATTCTGAGCTCGACGGTGAGAGCGTCGGATGTTGACCATTGCCATATCGGATATCGGTTGGCTGTCGAAGAGAAAGGGTGAGAGGAGGGAACATATTCACCGAACGTGGAGTCGCCTTTCACATTTGGCTGCTCTCGATTGCTTTCCACCTCTGCGGAGTGCATCGTCATGGTACACAATTTCACTTCACCTTTTTATGTCGTCATTTTGCGTCAATTTCATATTATTGGCCTGAATCATAGAAGGCATAGCATCATCTTCACCTCCCAGAACGCCAGAACCCGCCATGCTGTAAAAGACGATGCACCAAAACGCTACAATACAACTCAAAACAAACAATAAAATATCAAGAGGAAGGAGAACAACGTCCCCCCCTTCCTCCTCTCCCCTCTCCCCTCCCCCATCACGCAACATACCGGTACGCCGCCGGCTCCGAGTCCTCGATACGCTCCAGGTACTCGCGCGAAATCAGGTCCTCGATGCGCTTCTTGACCATGGCCACCTCGGGCCGGAACCGGCTCGCCAGCTGCGTGACCACCTCGGTGACGAGCGCCGTGTGCGTCAGCTCTTTGCGCTGCTTCATGATGCGCACGACGGCGGCGTCAATGGTGTGCGAGCGCGTCTGGTTGTTCTTGTCCTCGGTGGCCTTGCGCTCGTCCTCGCCCTCGACCTTGGACAGCGCGTTGATGACGGGCACCTTGATCTTGAGGGACTTGCTGGCAAACTGGGCATTGAACGCAAACGTGTCGGTGGGCTTGATCGTCTTGGTCAAGGGGCTCTTTAGGAGGACGCGGCACTTGGGCGGGATGCACAGCGAGGCGAGGGCGCGCGTGAGGTCGGCGGCGGGGATGTTGGTCCGGCCCTGGATTTCGTCGAACGACAGCGCCGGCGTCGAGCCGTCGTCGCGGGCCGGCAGCTCGTTGAAGAGCAGCAGGACAATCATGCCGTGCGTCGGCGCATTGATCTCGTAGCGGCGCTCGCGGCTCAGCGGGCCCTTGTCGTAACCGGGGATGCGCGGGAAGACGCAGCGGATGTCGGCGCTGCCGGCCGACCCGACCCACGAGAGCACGCGGCCGCTGCGGTTGCGCAGGTAGAATTTGAGGAAGCTGGCCTGCAGCCGGCGGATCTCGGGCGGGTAGGTGCAGCCGGCCGGCGCGCTCGACAGGCCCGCCTCCAGCTGCGACGAGCGCCCCATGACCTCAGGGGGCCAGTTGTTGCTAGTCAGCACGTTGACGCCGAGGTCGATGGGCGCCGCTGTGTCGGCGCCCACGCCGTCGTCCGCGCCATCCCCGTCCGCATCGTCGGCCGTAGATGATCCGGCCGTCTCTGTCGACCCCAGATTCTGCACGTAGCTCGCATAGTCGCGCGTCAGCTCCTCGGACGTCGCCATGTCCTTGAACATGCCCTCAAACTTGCTGGTAAAGGCCTTGCCGAGCTCCGACTGCATGCGCGAGATCATGAGCTTTTCGGCCTCTGGGTTCTCGCTCTTGTTGTGCAGCAGCCGCCGCGCCAGGTGCTTCTGGTAGTAGCGCTCCAGCATGTCCTTTTCCGTCACGTGCTGCACCATGACCGTCGCCTTGTCGAGGGCCGCGTCGATCTCGGCGTCGCTCTTGCCGCGCAGGCCGCGCTTGAAGTTGTCGTCGATGAACAGCGAGACGTACTCGGCGCTGCGCGTGCACAGCCGGAACAGCTCGGTGAAGCTGCTGGCAATGGCCGACTGGATGGCCAGGTCCTGCTGGAAGCAGTCCCGCCACAGCCGGTCGAACTTGTCCTTGAGGTCCAGGATGTCGTTGACCCACTTGATGGCGGCCGCCGTCTGCTGCGCCGACGCCGATAGCGGCGCCTCGCCGGCCACCGAAAAGTCCGTCTCGCGCAGCGTCTTCTCGACGTCGACGCCCATCTCAATGATGCGCACCTGCAGCGCGTTCCGGAGCACGACCTGCTTGCTCTCGACGCGGCCCACCAGGTCATAGAGGATGGCGAGGTCGTCGGTGCGCTCGTCGTCTACCATGGCCTTGAGGCCCGTGCCGTCCATGGCCAGAAACTCCTCGAGGTGCGCGGCAATCAGCTCCGCCTCGAGCACGCGCGCCGTCTTCTGCAAGGTCTCCTGCGACACCGTGTGGCCGCAGCGGTCGTGCTCTTCGCGCAGCCGCTGCCGCGTCTGCCGCAGCCAGACCCGCGTGTCGCCGTCCCGCAGCAGCCGCTCGCACTCGGCCTTGTAAAAGTCGGTCGTCGCCTGCAGGAACTGCGGCTCGAACATGGTCAAGTAGAGTTTGTCGTCTTCCTGCTCCTCGTCCGTCTCGTACAGCGCCTCGAGCATCGCCACGCAGCTTCGCAGGAGCGGCCGGTCGACAATCTCGCCGTCACGGTCCATGTTGATCTGGTCGAGCACGACGGCCGCGAGGGTCGTGTAGATGGTGGGATGTTGGTAGGAGACGCTGCCGCTGGTTCCGCTGGTTCCGTCGGATCCGCTGGTGCCGCTGGTGGTGCCGTTGATGCCGCTGGCGAGAGCATGGCCGTCCGCACCGCTGCCCGCAAACTGGTCGGACTGGCGGTTCCATATGGATGGTGGGAGCGGTGCTTTCAGGATGTGGTCGCGGTAGAGGCCAATCGTCGTCGCGTAGATAAAGGGCCGGTTCGAGTCCTGCGCGTCGCGGTCCAGATACATCAGCACGTCCGCCACCATGTTCATCGACATGTTGTGCCGCTCCCAGGTCTCCTTGAGCCCGCGCAGCAGCCGCTCGCCCATCTCGCGTCGGCTGTGTGCCGTCGTGCTGGCGGCATTGTGCAGACTGACAGCCACCAGCCCCTGCGTCACCAGCGGCCAGATCTGCGAGATGACCTTGTCGGCAAAGTACCGCTCCTCGAACCCCCTGACCCGGTTGTAGAGCTCCTCGCCACGCTTTTTGAGGACGCTCTTGTACGAGGCGCGGTACAGCTGCTCAAAGGACAGCTTGCCAGCGTTTTGGTTGTGGATGTCGTCGAGGGCGTCGCGGATGAGGCCCCAGTTCTCTTCGAAATCGTCCACGCCGCCCACGGCGCGTGCGACACCACCGACCTGGACAGAAACCGGGTTAGTATGTCCTTACAGAACGACAAAAAAATAATATAAAATAGAGGCTATTTCACCATTGACATACTCGTCGGGGTGCGCGGATCTTGCCCTTATACATGGTGGGCGGCCGTCGTGAAAACGTGAGGAGACAGAAGCGTGAGTGTAAAATCCGAGATTCTGGTTCCGGTATATAGGTAAAAGGTAGAAAATAAACGTGAAAAGGATGAAACAATAGCTTTGGCGTGGCTCGCTGTCGATAGGTCGGGACAAGTTGTGTCGGTAGCTAGGACAGAGATACCGGCGCATGGATATGTAAAGAGATTTCGGCGAAGACGCTGAAGCAATCCATTCAGGTGATTGTCAGGTACGAGAAGCGAAAAGAGGTGAGAGACGCCGAGACGAGAGGCAAAAAGAGAATCGAGGAGAAGAGGACGTCGGCTTATATACAGAAGTGCCTGCGAATTAGCGGCAGAGGTGGGCGACGCAGAAGAGTGCACTGTTAAGGCTGGAAGGTGCTCGGCGCGCAACACTGTCGGACAGTACTCGGGGATGTTGTCGTGAGGCTATGACGTAGCGCGTTCAGTGCGGAGTCGACGATGAGAAGATGAGAAGATGTTGGGTGAAGTTAGGAAAGTCTCCTTTGCCCGTGGTAATTTGAAAATGACAAGCCGGGCAAGAACCCCGCGGCCGTGCCTGCCCTGTTGACCCTGTCCACTGACCCTGGAGCTCTGTCCAATTACAGGCTTGGCCTGCCCAACGCCGCCCGTTTAGTAGCAGGCTTTGGGTCCACAACAGCGGGAGGCGGAGGCCTTATCGATAAGGCCGAGAGAACGTCGCAGAAGCCGCTGGCAGAAAATCATAAAAAACAAAAGTTCAAATTAACGAGTTCGTCATCAACACACCACTGGCTGACACCGTTTCTCTTCTCGTCTCACGCGTGACGCCTACCACTGCCAAACGATAACAAAGCAACCCTGATCAGCCTCCTATACCAGCGTCTCGTCATGGCATCTCGAACTGCCTGGTCGCGTCTTGCGATGCAGCCTCTCTCGACTCTTGCGCAGCGCGGCACAGCGCCCGCCGCTGCCTCGTTCTCGTCTTTGTCCTCTTCTGCTCTCCGTAGCCTCGCCCGACGTCCGGCGCCCGCACCAGTTCCATTAGCGTCGTCTCCAGCTGGCACATTCGTCCGCCTCGCCCACAACATTCCGCGGCCCAAGGCGGCAGCACCTGCCGATCCCTTGTCTGAGGCGTCCACTCCGTCCATGCCAGCACGACAGCGCGGCAGCGTCGCCGGCTCGGGAAAGAACCCCAACAAGATTGGCCTCGCACCGCACTACGAACTCACGTTCACCTGCCTGCCCTGCGGCACCCGCTCGGCCCACCATGTCTCCAAGCAAGGGTACCACCACGGCTCTGTGCTCATCACCTGCCCGTCGTGCCGCAACCGGCACATCATCAGTGACCACCTGGGCATCTTTGGCAATGTGAGCAAGGAGGGCGGCAGCGGCGGTGGACGCACGATTGAGGACATTTTGCGCGAAAAGGGCCAGCTCGTGAAAAAGGGCACGCTGGGCGAGGACGGCGACGTGGAGTTTTGGGAGGACGGCACGACGAGCGAGCGGCAGACGCGGCTGGCGGCGGAGGATGTGATGCTGCCGCAGTCAAACGAGAAAAAGGACAAGGACAAGCGGGCCGACAAGGAGGCGGCCCCCGGGTCGACCTTTACGAGCGCCGGCAAGGCGTGAGGCGAAATGGGGAAAAGACGAGGAACGAGAATTCGTTGGAAAGAGCCGCTGAGCTGGTTATGAATATATCACATGGCGTTTGGACTTGGGATCATACTGTGGGACGGGATTGAAAGGCGTTTGGATCTCTTTTTTATTTGCATTTGTGCTGCTGTGCAGTTTCTCACATCTCCCTTCTCCTTTTGCCTTTAGACTTGGCACGGAACAAAAGGCATCTCTCTTTCATAGACACAAAAGTGCACTGCAATGTAACAATGTGCTTTATTATAATTGCGAATGGCTACAAATCTGCTCCCAGTGAATTGCGTATCCTGCCCGTTCCACCGTCGTGCGTACCATGCAATGTCCCACCCATCGTACTCCGCGATAAAACATTTGTTACTCCTCATCATAATTTTCTCACGCCCCCCCTCCCCGCCTACTTCTTCCCCAAATCCTCCTTGAGGGCCACAATCCGGTTCAGCACAATCTTCTCGTCCGTCGAGTCCGAGTCCTCGGCAAAGTACGCCACCCGAATGCCCTGGAACCGCACGCTCTCGGGCCCGCCCTTGCCCAGCTCGCTCTCGCCGGCCGCCTCGGGCCACGGCGCCCGCCGCCGCACCTCGTCGAAGCCCGACTCAATGAGCGCGTCCGGGTAGACGATCTCGCTGTCCGGGTTGATGTCGGCCAGGTAGCCGCCCTCGGCGTCGTTGGGGTTGTCGGACTTGAAGAGTGGGTTGTAGACGCGGACCTCGGCGCGGCGCGAGCCCTTGTCGACGGGGGGCACCCACTGGATGTACGTCTTCTGCTTCTTCGTCCCCGCCGACCGGTCGAGCACGGCGCGGATCTCGGTGACGCGGCCCGTCGTCTCGTCCTTGGTGTACGACGTCGCGCGGATGGGGTAGGGCACCTGGAGCAGGCCGACGGACTTGCCGGGCGCCAGCCGGAAGAAGGAGGGGTCGGCGTCTTCGCGGAAGTCGGCGCGGTCAATGTAGATGGTGCGCGAGAAGGCGACGTCGTGGACGCCGACCTTGGGGTCTTTGGGGTTGAAGGGGATCGACAGGGCCTTGCCGTCGAGACCGCCGAGGTTGGCCGCATCGGCATCGGCATCCGCCTCGTCGCCGCCCTCGCCGCCCTCGACGCCCTCAATGACCACGGGCACAGGATCTAGCACTAGCATCAGCCGCGGCACGGTGCGCTCCAGGTACTTGCGCACGGCCTGCTCGAAGCGCTTAATGTCAATCACCGAGTTGGTGGTGGTGACGCCGAGCTCGTTGACAAACTCGAGGATGGCGCCGGGCGGCACGCCGCGCCGCTTGATGCCAATCAGCGTGTACAGCCGCGGGTCGTTCCAGCCGCGCACGATGCCCGACTCCACCAGCTTCAAGATCTTGCGCTTCGAGAGCACGGTGCCGGTCATGGACAGGCGGCCGTACTCGCGCTGCATGGGCTCGTAGACGCCCAGCGTGTGGTTGAGCCACTCGTAGCTGACGCGGCTCAGCACAAACTCGGTCGTGCACAGCGAGTGCGTGATGCCCTCGTACGAGTCGCACAGGCAGTGCGTAAAGTCGTACGTCGGGTAAATCTTCCACTTGGTGCCCGTCCGGAAGTGCGGCGTCGCCAGCACGCGGTACGCCGCCAAGTCCCACATTTGCGGGTTGCCGTCCGCAATGTCCTGCTTCATCCGCAAAAACGCCTCCTGGGGCTTGTACTTGCCGTCGCGCATCGCCCGGAACTCTGTCAGGTTGTGCTCGACCGTCTGCTCCGCGTGCTTGCACCGGTACCGCGGCCGGCCCTCGCCGCCGCCGCGCTGGTCCTTGATCTCCGCGTCCGTGCACTGGCACACGTACGCCCGCCCGCATTCAATCAGCTGCTCGGCGTGTGCGTACAGCCGGTCAAAGTTGTCCGACGAGTACGTGATCGTGCGCGGCTGGAAGCCCAGCCACGTAATCATGTCCAGGATCGCGTCAAAGTACACCTGCTCCTCCGACTCCGGGTTCGTGTCGTCGTACCGCAGGTTGCACGACCCGCCGTGGTACTTGGCGAAGCCAAAGTTGACGGCGATCGCCTTGGCGTGCCCAATGTGCAGGAAGCCGTTGGGCTCCGGCGGGAACCGCGTGCGCACGGGCTTCATCGGCCGGATCTTGAACACCTCATCCAGGAAGCCAACCTTGAACATTTGCTGCGGGTCGATGCTCGGCTCGTCGGCCTTGGGCGCCGCCGCCGGCTTGGGGTTGGGCGCCACCGGGTTGCTGGCGGCGGCCGCCGCCTTGGCCTCCTTCGCCTTGGCGGTCGCGGCCGCCTTCTCGCGCTTCTTCAGGCGCTTCTTGAGCTCGCCCTTGGACACCATCTCGCCCGTCTCCTCGTCGAGCTGGAGCTTGGCCGTGCTGTCCACGAGGTCGGCCATGGTGGCGGTGGTCGGTGTTGGTCGGTGTAGGTCGTATGCTATGAGGGTCGCAGCTCGTAGGAGGACTGCCGCGTTCTCAATGGCGAGATACCGTGCTCGGTCGGTGTTGTTTTGAAGGTTTTAAGTCGGATAAGTTGAGTCAGAATTCAGCGAAGAGAGAATGGACAGAAGGTCGAGTTGGTCGTCTTATAATCGTCTGTCGCCCTTACCAGTCCGCTGGTCGTCCTCTGTCGTGTATGGACTGTTGACCGATGTGTCTATCAATGCCGTGGTGGTCGAGTGACTCAATGCTTCCCGTGTTTTGCTCTCTCAGGCTCGCCTCTCCCCTCCCTGAAACACTTAAAATGCCTGAAGCTTTTTGGCGCGATAAGAGATAAGACATACGAACCGCTGGACTCCGCCCCGCACCTTCCTTTTCTCGGCCAAAGTCACTCGAACGTAGCACGCCGAAAATGGATTAGCGGGCCAATTTTTGTGGCAGGTGCGACCGTGTAAGTGTGCAGGAGTGCACGAGAAGCTGCATCGCCCCTTTTTTCACTGCCTCAATGACAGTTAACAAACACAATGTCTACAACAGCCGTTACATGCCGCTTCGATCACGGCAGCCGATGGAAAGCGGACAGTTACGGAGAATGACAGCCATCGATGACCTTGGCGGAATACACGAGTGTCTGCGCGTTGGCTTCCGCTCGACGGCACGTGCGATGTACTGACTACAAAACAAACGTCTACGAATAGTGACGACAAGCCAACGTGGCAATAAACGTTCAAACACTTTATTCATTCGTGTCTATCATACTGTCATTGACCCTCCCTTAGATGGAAAAGTCCTTGATGGCCTTGGTCAGGCCGAGCTCCTTCTTCTCGGACGCGTCGAGCAGGCCCAGCGCCTCGCGACGCGTCGGCGCGTCGGCCTTGAAAAAGGGCTTCTCGGCCAGCGAGGTCACGCGCGTGCCGTGGCGCGGGTGGCGGCCGCCGTAGTCCCAGCTCGCGTTGTGGATCGTGATGCGGTTGTCCCAGAGCGCGCTCGTGTTGGGCGTCCACTTGAAGCGCACCTGGATGTCAACGTTCTGCTCGTAGACGTCGTACAGGTAGTTGAGGATGACGTCGCTCTCGGCCTTGTCGAGCCCGACAATGCGCTCCGTCATGACGCGGTTGACCCACAGCGCCTTCCAGCCCGTCGCCGGGTGCACGCGCACGAGCGGGTGCGTGCGCTCAATGTACTGCGGGCCGGCCTCGGGCTTGTTGCGGTCGAGGTACTGGTGCGCCGAGCGGTAGACGGCGAGGCGCCCGTCGATGATCTTGCGGAACTCGGGGCTCAGCTTCTCGTACGCGGCGTAGCCGCTGGCCCACAGCGTGTCGCCGCCAATCGGCGGCACCGTGTCGTTGTGCAGGTGCGTGATGCCCGCGGGCTGGTGCTCGTGCACCAGGTCCGTGTGCCAGCGCGACGCGCCGCCCGGGTGGCGGAAGTCGGCCGAGCGCTCCGTCGCCTGCAGGTCGGGCCAGATGACGGTGACGCCCTCGACGCCGGGCACCTGCGGCACCTGCGGGTGCACCTCGACCAGGCCGTAGTGCTCGCCGAGGCTGCGCTGCTGCTGCGGCGTCAGGTCCTGGTTGCGGAAGAAGACGACGCTGCGCTCGGCGATGAGCAGCGCCAGCTCGTCGCGCTGCTGGTCCGTCAGGTCCTTCAGCTGCAGGCCCTCAATCTCGGTGCCAATGTGCGTCGTCAGGTCCGTGACCTTGGTGGCCGCCGACAGCAGCGCGCTCTTGCTCTTGTCGGCGCGGGCGCCCGCGTCCTCATAGGGCCGGTCCTCGCTGCGGATCTTGTACACGTCGTCCAAGTAGAGAGGGCGGGAGGGGCGGTAGGGGTAGCCGTTGGAGAGGTCGATGCCGGCCTTGGTGAGGCGGTCGGCGGCGGTCTTGGGCAGGCCGAGCGTGTCCTTGCGGGGCTCGGCGACGTCGACAATCGACGGGTCGATGGGAGCAGGGGCCATTGTGTATGGGCGTGTGGAGGTTGTGTTGGGGAACGGTTGTCACAGGGACACAAGACGGGATGCCTCTTTGGGTGTCTTGTACGTTTGACGAGTTGCAGGTGAGTTGGGTGTATACAGCAATACGAACGACTACAGGACCAGGCGCAATACCTGCTTTTATAACGGGGAAGCATCAACGGCAAGTCACTCTCGCATTCATGATCTCATAAGCACACTTGAGTTGCCCACCCTTCACAATCCCGACTTCGACGCCATATGCCAGCCGAAGACGACACAGCACTACCCCTCACACTTGGGAGCGACGGCCTACCCTTTCCAGAGGCCACTATCGGTTGTGTCGTCGTTTCGTCGACTGTGATTTGTTTGGGTTCAATACGTTAGCTCCAAAGGCGTCACGGAAGGAAGGCTCGGCTACATCGCGTGAGCATTGTGTGCATTTGGCGTGCGCAGAGGACAAGTCAAGGATGTCGCAAGGCAGGTGTCGCAGAGACAGGGCGAGCAAAAGGTCCGAAGGCCGTGGGAAAGGGCATCCCATGATGAGGCAAGAAGAGACCAAGGCCAGAGACCCAAGGCTATGGTGAATGGGCATCGACAACCCCTCTTTCGTGGCTTTGCTTATAAACCAGGCAGGACAAGCTGGGGAGACGGAACGTCTTAAATGCAAGGAGGAGCAGAGAAAGGGTGACAAAAGAGTGCGGAGTACGGAGTACGGAGTCTAAGGCAGGCTTCTCGGACTCTGCACGCCAGTCAGATTTGCTGGAGAATGTAGGCGATCGTCGCTGGTGGGATGAACAAATTCAAGGGCCAGATGACGAGATTTGTGCAGCAGTTACTTGTGAGACGAGAAAAGAAGAGGATAGGGACTAAAGCTAGCTGGAGATAGAAGGACAGACAACTTGTCGGCTCCAACGTGGGATATAAGAGGATGGCTTTTTTGGAGAAGGATGTGGGGAGGTGAGATGACAAACTAGCCACAACAGCGGACTGAGAGGTGTTTGATTTTCTATTCTTTTTCTTTCTTTTTCTTTCTTTTTCTTTCTTTTTTCTTTTTATTTTGTGCCTTGCCCTTCTTTAGATATTCTTGTTTTTCTTTTTCTTTTTCGTTTTCTTTGCTGTTTCTTTTTTATTTATTTTGTTTTATTGCCCCCCACCTTTTTCGCTCTCTATTCTCAATTACTGACATTTGATACTATTGCCTTTCGCATCCATTTCGTCCCCTTCCTAGCTCCAACTCCTCACTAACACCATCAGCACGGGAGTGGCGCAATGCGTGGGCGGTCGATTGTGTGATCTGGCCTGGGCCTCTGCAAATCTCCAACTGGCGCGGCGATTGGACAGGGTACTGCGCTTTTACCACTCGATACGGTGACCTTCGTGAAAGTGGAAGAGAAACGGCAACCAAGGCAGGGCAGAAATGGGAAATAGTTAAACTTAAAAAAAAAAAAAAAAAGGAAGAAAATGACAGCCGTCACGACGTTTGCATACGGCCGATACATTTGAATTTGAATGCCGCTCGTTTTCCCCTTTGTCTAGACCCTGTACAGGAAAGCGCCGTTGAGCTTGTTTGGGCTCCATGTCTCCTCTAGACGACACCCAACGTCTTTTTAAACGTCTTTCCCGGCGCATGTCCTGGTTCAGTCTCGTCCGCAGCGTAGTCGTATTGTCGATAATTCTAAATTGTCTCCTCTACAGTATGCCCCGTTGCCCCCACGCGCTTACCGGCTGTTGTTCTTGTCTTGGCTAGATTCGATCTTGTTTTTCGTAAATCGTTCCATTCACGGATTTGAAGCTCTTGAGGCGCTCAGTCTCAGTCTGATTCGTATTCATTATAGATTCGCAGACAGCACAAGCAGTAGGATGCGGTTCGTAGTTGCCCATTTGAAATATATCTTCAGCATCGTCGTCTTGTGCCGCCCGATAGTTTGCCAAGTGCAAAACGTCCCGAGAGGATCCCGCCGAATGGAGGGCGACTACGACACTTCCTGTTCCATCGGACCATTTATCTCCACGGCCTGGCCGGGGTTGCCCATTTTCGTTTCCATCGTCGCAGGCAATAACGATGGCTTCAGTGGGGAGCGAGATCTCATCATCACAGACGTCGTCGTCCTCATCGGCTTTTGTCCAACCAGAGTCGAGAGACAACGATGATGGAGCCGGAGGAAAAGCAAGACTGAACGTTGTGGCCCCGTTGCAACGATAAACCTATCCATGCTGACCTCGAACTGCTCGGGGAAGGCTCGCGGAAACAGGAAGAGGCGACGTTTGGCAAAGCACGCAACGACATACAAAGTACATGGGGTTGGGTCAGGAAGAGGAGATGATCGGCGGGCGTGTAACCAAAACGCGTATACTGTGGGTTCACCAGATGGATGCATGGCACGGAGACATATTTTCGGAGACCTAGAGGTTAAGTAGAAAGGAGAAAAAAAAACCGGATGCCATGCATACCATTTGTACATTTGTAGCTGTGCGGTCAAGCTATGGGTGGCCTGGCTGCAGTGATTATGGACGGATTTGGGTCTGGATCAGCTAGGTCGACTGACTTACACGGGACAAGTTCTCTGGCCAGGCGAGTAGACGAGAATCTTGGTGTCTATCTTTGCCATACAAACAGTCTACAATGTGCTAGAAAATATGCAATGTATGACAAGATTACGGAGTATTAGCAGATTCTTAACAACTCCCTGTCTAATATCTAATGTCTGACGTCCAGCGAGAGCAGCGTGCAAAGTTCTGCATCATATCATCCGTGCTCCCATGCAGGCCGTGCAATGCAGCTGTCAACAGATCGTCACCGCCCTGCCGCATATATAAGATTCCGCGTGTGCCGCGTGCACTCTTGCAGGTCTCTTCCTGCCCAGTGATTTGGTGCTTCTTTACCTGCACTTTTCTATTTCCTTTTATTGCACTTTCTTGTACCATAACATCACCTCACCCTCCCCGCACGCACGCTCACTCCATGGCCAACGACGAAAAGACGGCCGTCGGCCAGACCACGCCAGTGTCGACGACTGCCGACGACAGCACCGCGCCCACTGCCGACCACGCGGGCCATCTGCACTCTGCGTCGCCCTCCGACGACGATGTCGACAAGGACGGCCTGACGGCGGCCAACCGCGCCGTGGCCGAGCGGCTCGTGGCCCAGACGCCCAAGCAGACGTGGCGGTCCAACTTCTGGGACACGCTCGACAAGAGCCCCGAGGAGCGCAAGTTCCTGTTCAAGCTGGACGCGGTCGTGCTGACGTTTGCGTCGCTCGGCTACTTTCTCAAGTACCTCGACCAGGTCAACGTCAACAACGCCTTTGTGTCGGGCATGCGCGAGGACCTGGGCCTCTTTGGCAACCAGCTCAACTACATGACCACCTGCTGGACCGTCGGCTATGTCATTGGCGAAATTCCTAGGTAGGTCGTTCGGGATTGCGGCCCCTTTTCCTCTTCCTTTCCTCCCACCTGTACCTGTTCTCCGGTCTCACGCAGACAGCAACCTCATTCTCACGCGCGTCCGCCCGTCCATCTGGATCCCCGCCTGCGAGGTCTTGTGGTCGGTCCTGACCATCGTGACGAGCAAGTGCAACAACGTCACGCAGCTGTACGTCCTGCGCTTCTTCGTCGGCCTCGCCGAGAGCACCTTCTACCCCGGCATGCAGTACGTCATCGGCTCCTGGTACCGCCGCGAGGAGCTCGCCAAGCGGTCCTGCATCTTCCACGCCGCCGGCGCCATCGGCACCATGTTTTCGGGCTACCTCATGGCCGCCGTCTACCACCTCGACGGCACCAGCGGGTACCGCGGCTGGCAGTGGCTGTTCATCATCGACACCATCATCTCGCTGCCCATTGCGATTGCCGGCTTCTTCATGCTGCCCGACGTGCCCGAGATCACGCGTGCCTGGTACTTTTCGCCCGACGAGATTGCCATTGCCAAGCGCCGCATGCAGCTCGAGGGCCGCGCCAACCGCGCGCCCTACACGCGCCAGAAGCTCGCGCGCATCTTCCGCAGCTGGCACCTGTACCTGCTGGTCCTCCTGTACATCCTGTTCAACAACGGCGCCGGCTTCGGCGGCCAGCCCGCGTTTGCCCTCTGGCTCAAGTCCCAGGGCTACTCCGTCACCCAGTACAACGTCTACCCGACGTTTGCGTCCGTCGTCCAGGTCGTCTCCACCTTTGTGTACGCCTGGACCTCCGACACCGTCTTCAAGGGCGCCCGCTGGCCGCCCATTGTCTTTGCCGGCGCCGCCAACTTTGTGGTCTACGTCAGCTTTTCCGTCTGGACCATCCCCGCGAGCTGGAAGTGGGCCTGCTTCCTGCTGGCGTATCTCGGCGGCGGCATCTCGGGGCTCACCTTTGCCTGGGCCCACGAGATCTGCAAGGACGACAACGAGGAGCGCGCCCTCGTCACCGGCGCCATGAACGAGATGGCCTACGTCGTCCAGGCCTGGCTGCCGCTCATCATCTGGCAGACCGTCGACGCGCCCAACTACCACAAGGGCTTTGTCACCGAGATTTTCATCAGCGTCGGCCTCATCTCCGTTGCCTTTATCATCCGCTTCCTGCACCGGCGCGAGCTGCAGCAAAAGGCGCGTGTCCAGCCGGACGCGGGCGGTGATCAAGAAGCGGCCGTAGACAGCGGCATCGAAGAGCGGAGCGAAGGCGAAGGCGTCGAGTCGGAGGTGGTGGCGGTCGACGGCAAGGCCGTCCCGGTCACGGTGTCCGAGAAGTCGGGTTAGTGTACTGGAGGAAAAGGGCCGTGGCCGATGACCGGACGAAGGCAGTGAAGAACAAATCAGGGATAAGACATCTTGAGATCAATTAGCGCATTCCCCTAAAACTCTTGAACACGTCGTACAGAGCGAAAAGAGAAAGAGCGACCCTCTACACCGCAGTGTCCCCGTTTCTTCCACCTCGTCATGGAAGGAGCTTGATGCGGCCTCTAGCGCCTTCCTGCGCTGGGATCTTATCTCCCTTCTTTCCCCTTTTATCAATCGTCCCCTCCCCCTGGACAAAAAAAGGCGTACACACAAAATGTTCTAGCAGTCTTTCAGTGCAAGAAATCTTTAATTTAGCACTGTAACAGTGCGGACATCTCAACCAAAAAGCGTTTGTGTGTACGCGTTTTTTTGGCCAGGTGGAGGTCCCTTAACACGTGCACGGGCCAGGCCACTACCATCCAAGTAAACTACCGGCGCGCGGACCCTCCCTGTGTCACAGGCCGTTCCAGGGTAGCTCTTCAGGGGAGATACCCACTCTGGGACAGCTACTGTCTCACTATTGCCCCCAAGTCCCTTCTGGGGTTTGCTCACGGACAGAGAAGGAGCGAAGCTGTTTGCTCTTGCTGCTTGGCCAACGGGATCGGGTCATTGCATTTCTACTGCCGAATTCTGTCCTTTCATTTTTAATCTTCTTTATTTTTTTATTTCTTTTATTCTCAACAGTCTCAACAGCCTGTCACTGCCCCTGGTCTCTTGTCGAGTCACTGGTCCGCGAAATCCTGCCCTCTTGGCGAAACGCTCCTACCGAGCACATTTTTCAGTGGTTGCAACTGGTCTCCTGATTTTGAATTTGCTCTCCTTCTTTTCTTCCCATTTCACCACGCAGTCAACGGCTTCGGCGTGTTTCTAGTTGTATCTTCCTCAAAACTCTACTCTTGATTCCTCATCACCCCAACTCCTCATATTCCAACATCCACCATGGGCGACAAGCCTGTTGAGACACCGGCCGCGGAGGTCAAACCCGCCGACGGCGTCGAGGCGTCAGCTGCTACAGCGGCTACAGCAACTACTGAGGCTGCTGAGGCTCCGGCCACCGAGACACCTGCTCCTCCTGCTGCCGAGGAGAAGCCTGCCGAAGACAAACCTGCAGTTCCCGAGAAGCCTGCCGAGGCCGCTACCGCGGCTACCGCCGTCGAGGACAAGCCGGCTGTGCCTGAGAAACCTGCTGCCTCCACGTCTGTCACCACACCCATCCAGACTCTCTATGCTGCCCAGCAGGAGCACGGCCATCCCGAGATCTGGGGCGTCACCCTCGCCGACCCGGCCACCCACGTCCCGAGCCAGGTTGTCTTCCAAAAGTACCTGAATGCCAACGATGGCGATCTCCCCAAGGCCAAGGACCAGCTGCTCAAGACGCTGACCTGGCGCGCCGCCACGAAGCCCCTGGAGCTGCTGAACCAGACCTACAACCGCGACAAGTTTGCCGGCCTGGGATACGTGACGTCGTACCACAAGGACGGCGCCGACGGTCCGGAGGCCAAGGAGGTGTTTACGTGGAACGTCTACGGCAACACCAAGAGCATCGACAAGACGTTTGGCGACTTGAAAGAGTAGGTCCCCCGCTGTCGGCTGCGAAGCAGAGTCAACCGCAATGCCGCCACCACCACCACCACCACACCATCACACCACCACACGTAGCTAACTTGGCCAGATTCCTCCACTGGCGCGTCGCGCTGATGGAGCTCGCTCTCCTGGATCTCGACCTCGCCTCGGCCACCAAGCCAATCACCGCCGACTACGACCCCTACAAGATCTACCAGGTCCACGACTACAAGAGCATCAGCTTCCTGCGCCAGTCGGCCAGCGTCAAGGCCGCCAGCACCGAGACCATCAAGGTCTTTGCCCAGAACTACCCGGAGCTGCTCAAGGAGAAGTTCTTTGTCAACGTGCCGGCCATCATGGGCTTCGTCTACGCCTTTATGAAGCTGTTTGTCGCCGCCAAGACCATCAAGAAATTCCACCCCATGTCCAACGGGGGCGGTCTGGCGGCCGAGTTTGGCGCCAGTGCGATCCCAGACCTGGGCCAGCGTCTGCCCAAGGAGTACGGTGGCAAGGCTGGCGAGCTCAAGTCTCTAGGCAAGGAGACGAAGCTGGAAGCGGCTGCGGCTGAACAGCCTGCCAAGGAAGCCCCCAAGGAGGCCCCGAAGGAGGCTCCCAAGGAGGAGACCCCGGCGGCGGCTGCCGTCGCGGAGCCTGCGAAGCCGGCGGAGGAGGCTGCTCCGGCCAAGGTCGAGGAGGCAACCCCCGCCGCTGCCCCGGTGGAGGCCGCTGGTGAGACGGCTGCCGAGCCCGCCGTCGAGGCTGCTGCCGAGACCAAGGCTTAAACTAAACTGTTTGCCAACACACGAACAAAACACAAATGGCGACGAAGGAAGGGCGATATGTAATGGAACGATAGCTGTGAAATACCCAGAATGCACGTGTCAGGCGACAGGGGAAGAGATAAAATAGGGAGAGAGAAAAGGAGGCCTGGTGTTGAAGACGGACGAGAGCAGCAAGCATTGGTTTTTTTTGTTTTTGTTTTTTTCACATTTATTTCTGTTTCCTTTCTTCGAGTCCTTTTTTTGTCCAGTGATGGCCCTGGTGTCCATCCCACTTAATACCAGCTGTCGAAGCAACGAAGCGCCAGTTTGTTTTCACATTTGCCAAGCCACGGCCGACACAGTTCATACATACCATAATGCAGTCGATCTATTGTCCGTAGCAATTGTATAAGCTAGCAAACCCCACTACTGAGGATCGTTCTGTGGGGGAGCATGGCATTACTATATGAAGAAGATGCAGGCACTGGATGTGAACAGAAGGTTTTACCTCCCGTCCACAAAAACCCAAAACATGCAAATGGACTCGAACACGGACACCGTACAGCAGTGGACAACCCTCCAAAACGGCCTCGAGCATCTCGCCCGGGCCACGGCGCCCATGCCGACGCCGGGTCCCGATGAGGTCCTCGTCAAGATCCACGCTGTCGCCCTCAACTACCGCGATACAGAGGTCTGCATGGGTCTCTACAACCACCACAAGGCCGTGGCGGCTGGCGGGCCCGAGCCGCTCGTGCCCTGCTCCGACATGTGCGGCACCGTCGTCGCCGTCGGCCCGAATTTGGAGCATGCGCACAACGTCGGCGACCACGTCGTCTCCCTCTTCAACCACATGCACCGCACCGGCCATGTCCGCGCGTCCGACATGAGCACCACACTGGGTCTGCCGCTGCCCGGCGTCCTCCAGACCTACCGCGTCTTTCCCAGCATCGGCCTGCTGCCGGCGCCCGCGTACCTCTCCGACGCCGAGGCCTGCTGTCTGCCGATTGCGTCCATCACAGCCTGGATGGCCATCAACGGGATGCGCCCCTTGGGTCGGTCCGGCGGACAGGGCGAGGTGGTCCTTCTGCAAGGCACGGGCGGTGTCAGTGTCGCGGGCCTGCAGATTGCCAAAGCCAGCGGCGCCACCGCCGTGGTGACCTCGTCGTCCGACGCGAAGCTCGCCATCGCCAAGAGCATGGGCGCCGACCACCTGATCAACTACACGACGACGCCGCGCTGGGCGGACGCCGTGCTGGAATGCACCGCGGGCCACGGCGCCGACATCATCTTTGAAAACGGCGGCGCCTCGACGCTGCGGCAGTCATTTGACGCCGTCGCCTTTGGCGGGATCATCAACTGCATCGGCTACTTGGGCGGCAAGACCGACAAACGGGTGTCAGACGACAACGACGACGACGATCGCACGGCCATCAATGTGCTGGCACTACGGCGCAACATGACGCTGCGCGGCATCCTAAACGGCCCGCGGGACCGTTTCGAGGAGATGCTCCAGTTCTACAAGGAGACGAAAATCCGGCCCGTGGTGCACCGCGTGTTTGCCTTTGACGAGGGCCGCGACGCGATACAGTATCTGTTCCGCGGCCAGCACTTTGGCAAGGTGGTCATCCAAGTGTCGGCAGAGGCCACGCTGCCGCCGACATCAGAGTGATGCTACGATAGGAATATGGAAGAAAACGGTACAAAGTTCACACAAAATGCATCTTTGGCATACGGACAAAAGATGGGGGAAATGGGAAAGCCGGCAAGGGGCGCCGGTCGGTCTCTGAGGCCGTTGCTCGATTTGAAAATCGTAGCGAATTGGTTTTTTGTCTTCGTTTTGGTAGATTGACATATCCTGCCGTTGCCCGTAGGCCGCTCAAGGCAAGGAAAAAGGGGGGGGATAAAGCAAATTAAACAACACACAAAACGCCTTTTGTCGTACCGTAGACCCATGCCATGAAATTGTACAACATCATTTCATTTTTGTCCTTCCTAACCCGAATTTTTAAGTGTTTTTGTATATTCTCCGGTGGAAGAGACCCGCTCAGCGGACAATGCCGTCGAAGCGCGACTTGAACCACTTGATGGTCTCGTCGCGGTTGATCTTGTGGCTGGAGCCAACGCGGGCCTTGGCGCGGCGGCGGCGCGAGACACGCTCACCGGGGCGGGTCATGCAGCAGTAAAAGTCCATGCCGTAAATGCCGATGCCCGGGTCGTACTTGATGCCCAGGTCGATGTGCTCGCTGATACCGAAGCCAAAGTTGCCCGTCTCCGAGAAGTTGCGCTTGCGCAGCTCGTACTCCTTGACCTTGAGGCCGCGCTCCAGGATCTCCTCGGCCTTGGGGCCGCGGATGGTGACGTGGACCGAGATCTTCTCGTTACGGCGGATGCCGAACGTGCGGACGGTGTAGCGGGCCTTGGAGTAGACGGGGGTCTGACCAGACAGCTGCTCCAGCACCTTGGCGGCACGGGTCAGTCTGTCACCAGACTCGCCCACGGAGATGTTGAGGACGAGCTTCTGGATGCGGAGCTCCCGCATGGGGTTGGCGGTCTTGTCGGACTGCGACGAGTTAGATGTGAACATGATCAAGAGATTGAGATTGAAACGAAGACTGGGCGGAGAATGCCTACCATTTTGATGGTTGCCTCGAGGGTCGTTGAGGAATTGGGCGATGTTGTCGTTGGTTGGCGGTTGTCGATGAAGAAAGAGTGAAAAAGAGACGATGCAAAATTTCGGGGGGAATATTAAAGTGGGCGATTTTCTGGGTGCGAAAATATTTTGTGCGGGCGGTGACAACGGCCAATTGCAGAGGGATTGGGAACAAGAAAACCCTATTAGTACAGTCACGTGTGACGTCGCTAGCTGGAAACCATATTGGGTGGGCGACGACCTTAACTCCGATGAGAGCTCTGAAAGGCCATCTGTCTTATGTCATCCGACCCACAGTCCTCTCACCGCCCGCCGCGGCAGAAACTTCGGCATTGGCGCCTGGCGTTTTGTTGATGGCGGTTTCGCGATACCTCACGTCGACCTCTCCCTTTCCTTCTCCCTCCCCTCCTCAGGCATCCCCAAGCATCCCACAGCGGCCACTCTTGTCAAGACGAACCATCTTTCCAAGACGAAACTGCGCCGAAGCTTCTCCTACCGAGAGCTTTGAAGAACCTCCCTCCGGGAAGACGCTTGGCGAGAAGCTTTGGCTCAATTTTTGAAACCCCCTTCTTTCACAAGGAAGCTTGTTTGGCTGCCCAGCAGCAGCGAAAGTTGCCCAAGATGGCGTCCAACAAGCAGGGCAAGATGGTGCGTTCCCTGCCCCTACCACGAAGCTACTTTTGTGTCCACGTCCATACTAACAGTGTGTCTCTCGTCTAGGCCGGATACGTATGTTCCACATGTCCATACAGCTCCATCGAGAGCTCCCCTTTCCCCTCCCTACACTACGCGTTGCTGACTTTTGCTATCAGATCAACTACCGTATGCGCATCACGCTCAACGACGGCCGCCAGATGACCGGCCAGATGCTCGCCTTTGACAAGCACATGAACCTCGTCCTCGCCGATACCGAAGAGTTCCGCCGCATTCGCCGCAAAGAGACCAAGCCTGCCGCGTCCGGCTCCGGCTCCGGCGCTGGCGGCCAGGCGACGACGACCACCATCGAGCGCGAAGAGAAGCGCACGCTCGGCCTCGCCATCGTCCGCGGCGCCCACATCGTCTCGCTGTCCGTTGAGTCGCCGCCCCCGGCCGACCCCAGCGCCCGCCTCGGCAAAGCGCCCACGGCCGGCGTCGCATCCGGCCTGGCGGCTGGTCCTGGTGTTGCGCGGCCGGCCGGTCGTGGCGCACCTGCGCCCATAGCACTGGCCGGCCCGGCAGCGGGTGTCGGTGGTCCCGGCCAGCCTTTCCCGCCTGGCTTCCCAGGCGCGCCCGGCTTTGGCCGCGGAGGTCGTACGTCTACCTTTTGCCTTCTCCCCGTCCGATCGTTTTCCAGTGCTAACAAGACAGCTCCCCCCGGCTTCCCTAGCGGCAGCGGCTTCCCGCCGGCTGGCTTCCCCGGCGGCCCTGCTGGTTTTGCGCCGCCGCCTGGCTTCCCTGGTGGCGGCGGCCCACCACCCGGCTTCAACGCACCCCCACGGCGGTAAAAGCTTTGTGGCACGTTGCGGTTGGCTGTCAACAGGCGGTTCGACGGTGTGTTTGCCGAGATTATGGCAGCATCTAGTGTGCACTGGTCATAAGAGGCTAAAGGTTATTTTGTTGTTTCTACTTTTCCACATACGGCGTTTCAGAGTTATGGCACCACATCAAAATGGGGCGAGAATCCGAGCAAAAGGCAATATACAAAACTTGGGGAATGTTATTTCATACGACTACTTTGTGCGTCAGTCAGACCCTTGACGGTTGAGTTGTGTTAGCTGCTAGCCAGGGGCAAGATCAATGGGTGGGCATTATTTACATTAGAGTGAGTTTACTCCATTCCACGAGTGTTGCACACGTTGTTTCGTAATTAGCATCTGTTACGCTCTCGGCAGATTGTTCACAGTTGTTCACAGTTGTTGCGTCCTCATTGTCAATATGCGCACGTGACCGTTATCGCGCGTTTTCGCTCGGTGCGATTCAGCGCGAGAAGCCGTCGTAGGAAATCCGGACATAGAGGGGCAAGTCCGACGTTTCCGCCTGTTATCAGGGCGAAGCACCTAGGACTCTCAGGCCTTTCAGGGCGTTTTCGGGGCGCACAAAGTCCCTGTGGAACATTTTCCCCAACCAAATTCCCGCCAACCAATCACTCCACATTATTCTCATTTGGTGACCAACCAACCCGTTGCGCATCAAACTTTCTGGTCCAAACATCGATCCAACAAACGACACAATCCCTTTGTCGACGACGTCTCTCCTGTCTTTCCTCCCTCGACAACACACACCATGGCGGCGTTTATAAAGGCGGCGAACGCCAAGATCCGGTCGAACCCGGTGACCGACTACATCTGCTCAACGCGTATGTATTTTGCGGTTTTGCTGTTTTGCTGTTTTGCTTTGCTTTCTTCTTGTCCCAAAATTTATGACTCCCTCCGCTCGCCGGACCGCCCTTGTCCGCAATGTCCGTACGACCAACACTCTGCTCTACCACGTCCGCCCGTACTGCAACGACGAGGACACACGCAAGCGCACGATACGCAAGAGCGGGATATGCCATTGAATCGACTTTCGACGGCAAAGGGACTCGAGATGCGGTCGTCGGCGTGGTTCTGCCCTTGCGCCGTTGTCGCCGATGACTGGCAGTGAGCCACCTCGGCCTGGGTTCGAGCGATGCGGATGCAGCATGTCTATGCCTCTCTGTGTTGCATACATATGGTGCGCGGGTGGCCAATGCGGCCGTGGCGAAGCCGGCAGCGTACATTTGGGCTCGTCCCGGCACCGGCATGGAACGGGCAACAGTGGACGCCTTTGTTGAAGAGCGTTGGACATTGTGTTGCTAGGACGCTACGGTGCCTCCGTCACCAGCTTGACTGCACTCCATCTTTATGTTTACGAACTGGCGCGTGCTTTTCTGTACAACAAGACCGACAGCGGACAGCAACGATCGGCGTGCGGACAGAGTCATGTGCCTCGTTCTCGTCCTGTGCCTACGTTGGATCCCTACTAACACTCTGTTCTCGCATCTAGACTTCTGGGGCCCCGTCTCCAACTTTGGCATCCCGATCGCCGCCGTCATGGACACCCAAAAGAGTCCGGATCTGTAGGTCATCTGTCCCTCTGACGAACCGACAAACACGTTTATATCTGTGCGCTCCGTTCCCAGACGTCCCCGCTAATGCCTCCTGCAGGATCTCCGGTAAGATGACGTTTGCCCTCGTCATCTACTCGGCCACGTTCATGCGCTACTCGCTGGCCGTCACCCCCAAGAACTACCTCCTTTTCCTCTGCCATTTCATCAACGAGGCCTCGCAGCTGACCCAGGGCTACCGCTACATGAACTACCACCACTGGGGCGGCAAGGACGCCGCGTCGTCCGCCACGTCGAGCGTAAAGGGCGCGCTGGAGGCGGCCAAATCACAGGCCAAGGCCGCCGAGGCCAAGGTGGAGGCTGCCGTGAAGAAGTAAAGGGTGAACGACGGAGGCGACTTGGTTGCGAGGCGGAGGGGCGGAGGCGACATACAATGGGATAAGGGACGGTTGAGGACGAGGAAATGCAAGAGGTCCTTTATAAGCAAGGGACGTTCATCTGTCATGTCAATCTATCGGCACGTCCTACTCGGTCTGCAAAAGCTACCAAGATCAACAAATTCAAACGTTTTTCATGTGTCCAAAGCGGACAGCAGGGTGTCGATAAAGGAGGAGACCATGGGATTTGTCCACAAGCCTATTAGGTTGTCAAGTTGCGCGGATGCACAACGTCGGCATTGCATCGTTTCTTGGAGATATCCTAGACATATATGAGAGCTTGTCCTGGCATCGGCAATGGGAATAGTAGAAGCACATAATTTACTCGCTCATATATCTCGTTACATTGTCTCTCATGCTGAAATAAACCAGGACTACCCAGTCACGGCTGGAACCAGCACCGCAGATGCATAGCAGGCAATGTGACACCTGGACTAGCCAAGACCGCGCAGACTTGTCCTGTGCAACGGATAGATAGGGCAACCGAAGCGAGCGGCAGCAATAGTAATGCACCACGGGCGCCCGCGTGCTGGGAGATGCTCTGCTGCTTTGCAGGGACCGATGGTGAAGCTACAGGCATGTCCGGTGTCTCGTCGTACATCTTGCTGGGGACACAATGTCTGGCCACTCCCCTCATCTCAGCTGATTCTGTAAGTCCTGTCTGTTTCGTGACTCCTGTCCAACCGCCGCGGCTTGGCAGTGTCTGTGAGTAACCTCTTGGCATATCTCGTGATGGTTTGACATGGAGTTGGGGCTTGTTCCGGCGTCCTACGAGGAGTGGTTATGAGGTAGGCTGGATCCATACACATGGACAGTACCATTGGACGTGCACTACTCTCTGAAATCGAAAACTAAGACGCGTTGGTGTCTACGATGCATCATTCTGTGATGCAAAACTATCGCGTCTGCTGCTGTGGTTGGCCAGTTCTTGATGCGTACGCATCAGAAGAGTATCTACGTTTTGTGATGCCTTGTTGGAGAGATTTATTTGGGAAACATAATACAACTATGTTATTGTGTTTCTATTATTTTGTATTTGAAATTGGTCTTTTTGAGATATATACATGTACGTAGTAGAGGTGTGCTTTTATACATTTAAGTATATTTCATATTACACATTGATAAAATTATTATGAAAAATTCCAAAATCATATTTGAAGATTTAATCACAAACATTGTCTTCCAGAACAAGTCTGCCCGAAACTGTCAGAAGTCCTGGGAGTATGCTTCTCTCCCCACACTTTGTGGTCCTTATGTCGGTTGACGACTGTTGTTTACTTGTTCGATTGGCCAATCGGAGGCTGGCGCCGGAAGTAGCCTTACCGGACATATACTGAACGACCCAACAGTCGGCATGGAAGAAGCAGCTGGACATCCATCCATGCTCCATGCCCCATGCCCATTGGCTCCTCATTTCTGCTTCATGTCTATTTCATACATGGCACACGGCTTCCTTTCTTTTGTCATTGGGTCTCGAGGGCGCCTCTTCTTTCCCCGGTTTCTATTTTCTTCCCGAAGATTTCCGGGATCCCGGGACCACCCGGACGACCGACGGCAGAAGGACCCAGACGAGGGGAACGGGGCTATGAGTATCCCAGTATATGTCGTAAACAGGGGTTAGACAAGAAAAGAAAATCAGGCGCAGGAACGGCTGTCGTAGTCAAAGTCCTACATAAAAAGTGAATGAAACCTGTTGAGCCAGACCTGGAGACAGTTTTGTGGGGAAGAGCCCGAGAACGACGAGAAACATGAAGGTTACAAGGAGAGCTCCGTAAAATAAGAGGGAGAAGGGGACGTACCAGTCATTCTTCGAAGGCCGTTAACCTGTGTAAGTGATAGCATGCTGGGGACCCAGCAGCCCTGGGAAAAAGGCAACAGCAGCTCTTCTTGTACGTTTGCCTTACTCTTTTGTTTACGAAGAACAACCTTGCGATCCATTTGCTTGTTTCCACCGTCAAGGTCACATTAACAAGCACACCATCCTTGTTGTCGGTTCCCTCGTCCCTCGCCCTTCTCGCCCTTTGTTCGGGGAAAGCTTGGGATGATAATGGACGAGGATGTTGGATATATGGCTTGCATGCTTCGTGCTTCTCGTGTTGGTATACATGCGGATTAGCTTATCATTTCCCCCGTACCCCAGCCTTGAGCATGCCATGTATTTTGTTGAACTCCGTAGTGTACCTGTTGACCGTAGTTTTATGGGGGCCTACCTGGCCCTTTTTCGTTTACTTCGTCTTCCTGGCACCTTTTTGGGTGTCGGGAGAAGCCGGCAGTCTTGCGTGTTTGATGGGCTTTGCCATGCTCTCCATGCCGTCAAGTGAAGCAGCTCGGCAGACCAAAGCAGAAACGACGGACGAGTCTATCGTCACAAGAGGCAGAGACCTTTTATGCTGCATTTTGCAGTTTTGTGTCGGCTGTGGAATGCCATATTCTTCTTTGCGTTGCCAACACAGATTATACAGTCTGAAGGCTGTCTAGTCAATGCAGGATTTCATCTGTATCAGCACTGTTCTGCACCTCGTTGAAAAGGATGCAGTTGGTATCAGGCAATACGATGCGGGCAAGCTAATGAAGAAATGCGTTGGGAAATAGAGCAATGCCAGTGTCAAAAGGAAAGCTAACGCGGGGTCCCGCGAAGAGAGAATGCTGGCTGCGGCAAACGTGGTGATTTGCTAATACTACCCCAAGTCCTAAAGCTCTGTAAAAGGCATTTGTTTGCGAGCAAGGCGCCGTCCAACCGGAGTGGGTGAGCCGTGACCTGCTGTGAGGTAACAAAAACAGAATCCTAAGACGTAGATCCAAAGGCAAATTGGCTGGCCCAGTAAAGCAAAGAGACAAAGAGGGACGGAGGGACGGAGGGGCAAAATGAATTCCGTTTTTCACCCGCGCCATGCGATTTTCCATGATCAATTCATATTTGTTTCATATCAACAGAAAATGGGGGGCATGGACTGGGAGGATGCAGGATTGGGGATTGTGAGATGGGGGTCCTGGCTGCCGGCGGAGAACCCAAGCCGGGCCCAGCTTGGATCTAAGATGGTGGTAAACTTCAGCCTCTAGACGCAATGCAGACTTTGTGAAGGTGATGATCTTGTCCCGCGAGGTACATTCGTATATGACTCAGTCGCGGTGACCCGTGAGCTGTGGTGAGCACGAGGGACAAAAAAAGCAAGGATGGCTCTATGGGTGGGCCGGCCAAGATGGAGAACAGGGAAAATAAAAACCGCATTCTGTTAAAATGCCATCTTTTTTGAATTTGAATTTCGATTTTCCGTTCTGATTTTTAGTGGTTCTTGTAAAACGTTGTATTTGTGTTGGTGGTCACATTCGTCGCTATTTTCGCTGCCTTTCCCACGGGTAATTTCACTCGCGTCAGCCGAGGTCGGAGGCGCCAATGGGAACAAGAAAAAAAAAGGTTGGACAGGACATGCAGGACTTCGAGTTGGTTTAGGTGCACTCCGCCCGTTAACTCGGGACGGTAGGGCGATGGCCCGAAAAGGCTAGTTTTTTGTCGGTGTGGTTTCCTTTTTTATCTCCTGTCTTGGTCTTTTACCTGCTTGGGTTATGAATGGACCTGGGCTTTGCCATTGTTGTCCTTCCGCCTCTCAATGGCACTGTAAATTAATGCGGAAGCGGCTGTCCGCCTCAGTATAGAGAACTCCGAAGGAGATTTTGCTTGACGCGCCAGTGATGGGCGGGCCACGGCGGCGACAAAAGACATGTGCACCTAGGCGGTGTACGACGAAGTGCTGTGCTCATGCTGTTATGTTCCATGTCTGTGAGACTCCGGGTATGATCATTGCCCTGATCTGATTGGCATCACAATTGTGGTCGATAGATAGGCGGTACTTTTCCTTGGCGGTCGACGCCCATTATTTCACAGGCTGATGGGCATAGCCAAGACTCCCAGAACGGCCGAGATGCAATGTATGGCAGTGTCAACAAGAAAAGGCAATTGGCAAAATGACGGTGAGGTTGCACGCGCTGTTGCCGAAGGCGCGTACCCCAAACAGCTTGATCTAGATTGGAGCGGCCTGGCCATCTTTGTCGAGCCCAGCCTCGGCCTCCCTGGTACCGCCTTGTGGCACACTCCTCTCCCGCTAGTGGGGGTCTCCAACAGAAGCTGGCAGCTGGAGGTGTTGGTAGACTTAACATGGGCCCAGGACATACGATTTGCTCGGCACAAAGGAAGACGAGAAACGTCCCATGATAAAGTCGTTGGTCAGACCCTGGAGGACGGGGCCGCGCCCTATCTAGCCACTATCAACGGACATTTGGCGCTTTGTGATTTTCGTCTGTTGGCCTTGTCACGGCGATCTTCGATCTGGGAGAAGGCAGGGGTTTTCGCTGGTCACAGGCGTCGAAGTTGCTTGGCCGTCGTTATCCTCGGCTGAACGAAAAGAACGATAACGAGAACAACGAAAACGAGGCGATGACGACACATTGGATAAAAGAAAGGCCAAAGGGTACGTTGATATGGTTAACCGCGTGCGACAACGTGCATTTCATCGTCTATATCGAGGGAATGTTGTGTTTTGGAGATTGTGAACGGAGATGCTGTTTCTCCCCTGGCCATCTCCCTTGGCTCAGGGGCAGCCAACAAGGAGCTCGAAAATGGCCCGTGGATTAAACAGTAATTGGCAGGAACGCCGGTTGACAAAGGTCGCTCTTGCAGCTTCTGTTGAAGAGGACTGCACAGGCTTGAATGTTGGGGTCCCGTCTAGAGAAGGCACGACGGGGCGCGCCTTTCCTATTGCTCGGCAGCAATTGGCTATTGGACCCCTCGCGCCTCCTATATCGTTTTCTCATGGTTGGCGGCGTACCTGCCCTGGGCTTGCTCTTTTAAGCACATGCTGCCCCTCCTAGTGGGAACCGTAATTCGTTGGCACCTGCCGTTTTGCCTGCCCCTCCTCACCGTTCTGAAGTCTTTCGCCTTTTTATTTTATTCGCCGTCTTTTTTTGGTCTGCTATCCTGCTCGTCGCTTTCCGAGGCGAGTGGTACCTTTGCCCACGGCAAACAACGCCTAGCCTCGCTTTTTGCACGCTCTGTAGCCGAACTTTCGTGGGGTAAGATTACAGACGTACCCGTGCCGCCAGGCAGTTGATTGGATGGCGGCCAATTGGGTAGGCAGGTACGCATGAGTGATGGTCTCGGTCGGTCTTGCCTGTGATCGACAGGCCGCAAACGGTTGGGGAAAGGGCGACCAAGACATCTCTCACTTCTTATATCAGATCAGAGCATCTCGCACCAGAATGAGTACAAGGTCAACATTTTGAAGCAGAAGTCAATTGATAATAGGGAGAGGGAGTACATCGTATTACGACGGAAAATATAAAGATATAGACTGAAGGACGAAAATATGTGGTGCTCCGCGAAAAGGCTAGCCAACCCCACCAAAACTCTGAGCTGCCCACATGCATCGAAGCTCTGCGAACTCTGACACGCCGTCATTCTGTCCTGCACGCTATTGAACACTTGCTCCGTAGTCCGTAGTCTCTTGCCATGTGTCTGCTGGACTTCTCTTCCAGGTCCGCGGATGCTCGCTCTCGCCCGGCCTGGCGTTTCAGAGTCTTGTTTTCCGAGCTTCTTGTTTGTTGACGCTTTCTCTTTTCTTTTCGTCCTCCTCCTTTCGTTTGCCTTCTTCTCATTAGGTTCCCGATTGGCTTTACGGTATCTTTACAGTTTCTCTTGAGCCGCCTGCCCGGTCCATCCCGCTGGTATTGCCGCCGCAAAGCGCTCTGCCGCCTTACATCAACAGGTCTTTTTTCCTTTCCTCTTTGTCGATTTCTTTTGGTTTACCATCTCTTTCCATCTTGTTCTTTCTGGTCTGCTGCCGCCTCTCTTTTATACCAGCCAGAAACGCGCATCCGGTCACGAACTCCGTTCCGCCTGCGTGTGTGCATCGGCCTTTGCCTCGCTGTTTTTCTCTCCCAAACCAAAAGGTCAGTCACAAGGCATTGCAGCCACGCGGTCATTTTTATTTGTATTGTTCTCCAGTTCCACCATTCTGCCGTCTGCACGGAGTCCATTACACTGCGTCACATCCCGCGCCGAGACTACGAGCGATCCCATCAATGAGAGCGAGCCGAAAAAGGAGGGACGAACTTAAGAACCAAAAAAAGGCCGAAAAAGGCAAAATGACCCAAAAAGAATAATACGCGACCCCAGAAGGAGCTCCAGAAAAGTCGACCTCAGAAAATCCCGCGTCCCGTCTCGCAAGTCGCTAAGCAGAGCTAGCCGCCATACCCTCGAATTTGTTGTGGTTGTTTGGTCGAGTGATTGAGCGGCCGAGTGTCTTTTCTGGGGCTTCTTTTTGTGCCTCGTCGCCTCTTTTGTTGCTCGGTCTCTGTTGCTCATGTCGTCTATGTCTCTCGCGAGACCATGTCTGTCTCCTCTCCACTCTCTCGTGCGCTTTCGCTCCTTCTGTTTCGCCACACAAAGCATAATTTAGTACCTCACGCCCATGGTTAATTCCCTCGTCGCTTTTGCCCGTCACAAAAAGTCTTGGCTCGCTTTGCAGTTGGTCTTTTATTTCACTATTTTCACTGGGATTTTTGGAGCCGGTACCAGTGAAACAGTTGGCTTTTTTTTGGTCATCTTGTCCGTTTTTTGTTGGCCCGGCGTTCTGGCTTCTGGGTTTTTTTATTGGCGTGACTCTTCGCCTTTGTCCCGCGACTGTCTGGTCTGCATTCCCTTTGGGAAGCTTGCCCCAAACGAGAGCTTATCTGGTCGCACTTGTGTCGTATTAGCTCCCCCTCTTTCGATTACTTTTTTAGTTTTCACCTCTCCTGCTGCTCTTATCCGTTTACCTTTTTCTCTTTTTCCTTTTTGTTTCTTTCCTTTTCCCGCTTTCTTTCCCCAGCTTCGTTTTAACCATTCCACCTTTCGTTTTACTTACAAATACCTAACAGAGCGCTCCTCTGTTCCCACTGAGCTCGGAGCTTCGTCCAGCGCGAAACCCCGCCGCTCGACCTTACTCGTTTTTTTCCCTTCCCGCAGCGAGCCGTATCGCCAAATCGCAACTATGGCTACCGCACCGGTTCTCGACAGCGCCGCCCACAAGGAGGCCTTTGCGGAAGTCTTTGACGACGATGCCCCGCCCAAGGAGGGCGCCTCCATCCAGCGCATCCGCGCCAACTCCAGCATCATGAAGCTGCGGAAGCTGCTGGTCGCCAACCGTGGCGAGATTCGTGAGTTGCGGCCCGTTCCCAGGCGTGATTAAGTGACAATTGACGGCAATGACTTGCTAACTGTTTTGTAGCTATCCGTGTACGTGTGAACCCGGCGACAACGTCTTTGATCGTGCTGGAAGCTTCACATGTAAAAATCAGATGAGAAACTAACGCGATCCTCTTTTCCCTCGTTTGCAGATCTTCAGAACCGTGAGTAACTGCCTCCTCCCCAGCTCCCACTGCCCGTTACGATGTAGCTGACCATGCCACAGGCCCACGAGCTGTCTCTCCACACCGTGGCCGTCTACAGGTAACGCACCGCCTCTGCAACCCCGCGCTGTGTTCACCGCCGCCTGTGTCCCTTCAGCATGCTAATTGTGTAGTTACGAGGATCGCCTGAGCATGCACAGACAGAGTACGGCCCTCCCTGCTCTACACATCGTATACGTTTCTCACGGGGGCTCTCGCTAACAAAAACAGAGGCCGATGAGGCGTATGTCATTGGCAAGCGCGGCCAGTACACCCCCGTCGGAGCGTACCTGGCCGGCGACGAGATCATCAAGATTGCCGTTCAGCACGACGTCCAGATGATCCACCCCGGCTACGGTTTCCTGTCTGAGAATGCCGAATTCGCCCGCAATGTCGAGAAAGCCGGCCTTATCGTATGTTCACTTGCCGTGTCGCTCTTTCCAGTTTTATTGTGTTTCTGTCGCCTCCGTCGCTCTTTCCTAACTCGCTTAGTTCGTCGGCCCGAGCCCCGACGTCATTGACGCCCTTGGCGACAAGGTGTCTGCTCGCAAGCTCGCCATCGCCGCCAACGTCCCCGTCGTCCCCGGTACCGAGGGCGCCATCGCGACGTTCGAGGAGGCCAAGACCTTCACTGACGAGTACGGCTTCCCCATCATCATCAAGGCTGCCTACGGCGGTGGCGGCCGCGGCATGCGTGTCGTTCGCGAGCAGAGCGAGCTCCAGGAGGCCTTTGAGCGTGCCACGTCCGAGGCCAAGTCCGCCTTTGGCAACGGCACCTGCTTCGTCGAGCGCTTCCTCGACAAGCCCAAGCACATTGAGGTCCAGCTGCTCGGTGACAACCACGGCAACATGGTCCACCTCTACGAGCGCGACTGCTCCGTCCAGCGCCGCCACCAAAAGGTCGTCGAGATCGCCCCCGCCAAGGACCTGCCCGCCGAGACCCGCGACGCCCTCCTGGCCGATGCCGTCCGCCTCGCCAAGTCCGTCAACTACCGCAACGCCGGCACCGCCGAGTTCCTCGTCGACCAGCAGAACCGCTACTACTTCATCGAGATCAACCCCCGCATCCAGGTCGAGCACACCATCACCGAGGAGATTACCGGCATCGACATTGTCGCCGCCCAGATCCAGATCGCCGCCGGCGCCACGCTCGAGCAGCTCGGCCTCACCCAGGACCGCATCTCCACCCGCGGCTTCGCCATCCAGTGCCGTCTCACCACAGAGGACCCGGCCAAGGGTTTCCAGCCCGACACCGGCAAGATCGAGGTCTACCGCTCGGCTGGCGGTAACGGTGTGCGTCTCGACGGTGGCAACGGCTTCGCCGGTGCTGTCATTACGCGTAAGTCTGACAATCGGGCCCCTTTGTCCCCCCTTCGCACCTTCTTCCCTTTGACTTATTGGCTCCTTCCCTTTTTTTATTTGCCATCCTCGGCGCTCCTTCCGTCCACGGTTTTGTTCTGGGCACTCCCGGCCAAAAGACCCACAATTTCCTAGATGCCCCACCTCAAACCGCAGCCGTTCTTTCCACTGCGCAGAATGGCATCGAAGTCGCGATATCTGGGACGTTTTGATTTCTTTCACATCGCGAACCTTCTAGCTAACTCTGATACTAAATGGTAGCTTTCTATGATAGCCTCTTAACCAAATTAATTTGCCACGGGTCTACGTACGAGATTGCGCGCCGCAAGATCCTGCGTGCGCTCGTCGAGTTCCGTATCCGCGGCGTCAAGACCAACATCCCCTTCCTGGCTTCGCTCCTTACGCACCCGAAGTTCATTGATGGCAACTGCTGGACGACCTTCATCGATGATACTCCTGCGCTGTTCGACCTGGTCGGAAGCCAGAACCGTGCCCAGAAGCTCCTGCAGTACCTCGGCGACCTGGCCGTCAACGGCAGCAGCATCAAGGGCCAGGTCGGCGAGCCCAAGCTCAAGTCGGAGATCATCCAGCCAACGCTGCTTGACGACGCCGGAAACGCCATCGACGTGTCGCAGCCTTGCACCAAGGGTTGGCGCCAGATCATTGTCGAGCAGGGCCCCAAGGCCTTCGCCGAGGCCGTCCGCGCCAACAAGGGCTGTCTGATCATGGATACTACCTGGCGCGACGCCCACCAGTCGCTGCTGGCCACGCGCGTGCGCACCGTCGACCTGCTCAACATTGCCAGGGAGACCAGCCACGCGCTGCACAACCTGTACAGTCTGGAGTGCTGGGGCGGCGCCACCTTTGACGTTGCCATGCGCTTCCTGTACGAGGATCCCTGGGACCGCCTGCGCGCCATGCGCAAGCTGATCCCCAACATTCCTTTCCAGATGCTGCTGCGCGGCGCCAACGGCGTCGCCTACTCGTCGCTGCCCGACAACGCCATTGAGCACTTTGTCGAGCACGCCAAAAAGAATGGCGTCGACGTCTTCCGTGTCTTTGACGCGCTCAACGACGTCGACCAGCTCGAGGTCGGCATCAAGGCTGTGCACAAGGCCGGTGGTGTCGTCGAGGGTACCGTGTGTATCTCGGGCGACATGCTCAACCCCAGCAAGAAGTACAACCTGCAGTACTACCTGGCGCTCGTCGACAAGCTCGTCAAGCTCGACATCCACGTCCTGGGCATCAAGGACATGGCGGGTGTGCTCAAGCCCCAGGCCGCCCGTCAGCTGATCGGCTCCATCCGCAAGAACTACCCCGACCTGCCCATCCACGTGCACACCCACGACTCGGCCGGCACCGGTGTCGCCTCCATGGTGGCCTGCGCCGAGGCTGGCGCCGACGCCGTCGACGCTGCCTCCGACAGCCTGTCGGGCATGACGTCGCAGCCCAGCATCAACGCCATCCTGGCGTCGCTCGAGGGCACCGGCCTGGAGCCCGGCCTCAACGTGCACCACGTGCGCGCGCTCGACACCTACTGGGCCCAGCTGCGCCTGCTGTACTCGCCCTTCGAGGCGCACCTGGCCGGCCCCGACCCGGAGGTCTACGAGCACGAGATCCCCGGCGGCCAGCTGACCAACATGATGTTCCAGGCGTCGCAGCTCGGCCTCGGCTCCCAGTGGGCCGAGACCAAGAAGGCTTACGAGCACGCCAACGAGCTGCTCGGCGACATTGTCAAGGTCACGCCCACGTCCAAGGTGGTGGGCGACCTGGCCCAGTTCATGGTCTCCAACAAGCTCGGGCCCGAGGACGTCAAGGCCCGTGCCTCGGAGCTCGACTTCCCCGGCTCGGTCCTCGAGTTCTTTGAGGGCCTCATGGGCCAGCCGTACGGCGGCTTCCCCGAGCCGCTGCGCACGGACGCCCTGCGCGGCCGCCGCAAGCTCGAGAAGCGCCCCGGCCTGTACCTGGAGCCGGTGGACTTTGCCAAGGTGCGCAAGGACCTCGGCAAGAAGTACGGCCCCGTCTCGGAGACGGACGTGGCCTCGTGGGTCATGTACCCCAAGGTCTTTGAGGACTACAAGAAGTTCACCGACAAGTACGGCGACCTGTCGGTGCTGCCGACCAAGTACTTCTTGTCCAAGCCCAGCATTGGCGAGGAGTTCCACGTCGAGCTCGAGCGCGGCAAGGTGCTGATCCTCAAGCTCCTGGCCATTGGCCCCCTGTCTGAGAACACGGGCCAGCGCGAGGTCTTTTACGAGATGAACGGCGAGGTGCGCCAGGTCACCATTGACGACAAGCAGGCCTCGGTCGAAAACGTCAGCCGGCCCAAGGCCGACCCCACGGACTCGAGCCAGGTCGGCGCCCCCATGGCCGGCGTGCTGGTCGAGCTGCGCGTCAAGGAGGGCTCCGAGGTCAAGAAGGGCGACCCGCTCGCCGTCCTCAGCGCCATGAAGATGGTAGGTTGCCCACCCAGACAATCTGTCTTGTCAATTCGCCCCGCTAACAATCCAGGAAATGGTCATCTCTGCGCCGCACAACGGTGCCGTTGCTGGTCTGGTCGTCAAGGAGGGCGACTCCGTCGACGGCTCCGACCTAGTCTGCCGGATAACCAAGGCGTAAGTTCTTGGCTGACGACGGCGGCTTGCGTCCATTTGGGAGGAAAAGTCTATTTAGAGCATACGGCGCTGTGCTGCAGACGGGCTGCAGCAACCATCAGGTAAGGCACCGGGTAGCAGCTACACGCGATGGAGGAAGGCCGCTGGAGGACACCCGCGGGCTACACAATACTTTTGTTCGTTTGATTTTATATGTATTCGCTTTGCGTAGTTTTACCCTGCAATTGATTGCAGTACCATGATTGTCCTAGACGGTGACTGATGCAGAGTAGTAAAGAGAGAAGTCGGGTGGAGCCGCGATAGTTGCATATAAGTCCGACTCGGTACATGCATACGAAGCGTTAAAGTAAAGTGGACCCAATTCTTATCGCTTATCGCTTCCAAAATTTTTGGACGGCAGAAAAAAGCTTCAACGGCAGGCACTAAGAAGAAAAAGTAGCAGGAGCCACCCGCACCACAGGCAGATCGCTCCTGCCCGTTCATCACCAACCGACACCTGCCATGCCTGCCTTTAGAAGAAGCTGAACCACCGCGGCGGCAGCAATTACCCCTGAATAGCTTCATTATCCCCCTTTCCCCCTTCTCCCTTTCTCACCAAACAATCCAACACAACGGGGAGACTCACCGACCACATCGCCCACCATGCCGTCCAAAACGGCGGGCCGCATCGCGAAGGCGCAGCGGACAAAAAAGCCGCCCGGCCAGCAACACCAGAAGAACCATCGCTGGGAGTCCTTCAGCAGCAAAATTGCTCAGCTGCATTCTCTCGATCCGCTCCACAAGGTCCGCCGCCATGACCTCGACGCCGACGCCGCTGGCGACCTGTCCGCGACCACCTCCTACTTCCGCAACGGCCTCGAGCGATGGACCGACCTCAACCTCTCGCGCGGCTTCACGGCCTTCCGCCGCGCGGTGTCGCCCCTCTGCGATAGCCTCGCCCAGATTCTGCACTTTGAGGACCGCATCATGGACCACCTCGCGGCGGCCATTCGTGGAAGCCAAGGCCAGGACGACGGCCGCGAGGCTCTGGAGCCCCTCCTCGACCTGCTGGCCGCGTTCGCGCACGACCTGGGCAGCCGCTTTGTCGCTCGCGGCTACGATGCTCGCGCCTTTGCTCTGCTGGTCGACGTGGCACGGCACAATACTGGCGCCGGAATTGCGCGGTCACACCACCAGCAGAACCACGAACTCGACGCCGCCGTCATCGAGTGGACGTTTACGTGCCTCACGTTTCTGTTCAAGTACCTCTCCAAGCTGCTCGTTGCGGACCTGCGCCCGACCTACGACATCCTGTCTCCTCTCCTTGGACGGCCCGACCTCCGACCTCCGACTGACATGACCTCCTCGTCTACTCCTTCCGAAGCCGCTTCTACGCCGGCTCCATCCTTACCACGAGTGCCCGGGCACATTGCACGGTTCACGGCCGAGGCCCTCAGTTTCCTTGTCCGCATGACGGCGAACCCGTCGCGACGTGACTCGGCAATGCCGTTTATCGTCAACCACATCCGCGACGACTTGCTGCGCGCGACCGAGGCCGCCGCCAGCCAGACCAAACACAGCAACAAGAAGGTCAACACTGTTCAGCTCTACACGCAGGGCATCATGACCCTCTTTGCAGAGTCCACCAAGGGACCTAGTATGACACTGCGGCTGTCTTCGGCCGAATTGTTCGTCGGCATGATTCGTGCCGTCCCCGAGAACGAGCTGGATCCGCAGCAGGCGGCCCGTGGCACGCCCTGGAGCGATGTGTGCTGTGGTGTTCTCACCAGCATCATCCACCATGCAAACCACGATGCCCTGCGGCCCGTGGTTGACGCCATCTTGGCCGATGCAGCGTCGGAAACAAAAAAGGTCGAGGCAGCAGCAAAGTCGAAAAAGGCGACAGTTGTTGCTGCTGCGGGCCCATGGAGACTGTCCATCTTCATTCGCCTATTTGGGATTCTTGCCGGTGTGCGTGGTGGCGCCAAGATCCACGACTGGACAGCCCTCGTTCCTGCTCTGGCCGAGACGCTCGAGGCCATGGCTGTAGCACCCGAATCGCAATGGCCGCCGTCTACGCCGCTGACTGCTGACGAGTCAGCATCGCCCGCCTGGCGCTACATTGTTGCCAATGTCGCCATTGTTTGGAACCACGCACCACCCTCCGACCTCCGTCCCCAGCTCCCCTCTCTCACAAAGTCGCTGCAGCGCGAGCCGCTCGCCCGCTGGTTTGTTCCCTTCTGTGCCTATGCCGCTGAGCTCAATGCCACCAAATTCCACAGCACGTTACAGACACCGTTTCAGGCGTTTGTGTCGGCGCACTGGGCGCATGACGGCAACGAGGACGTCCTCTGCGCCGTCTTGGCCGATATGGTCAACGTCGGTGCCTTCCCCGTCGACCGCGAGCGCCTGCGTCTGCCCCAGTCGTGGCAGGACAGCATTGTGCGCAAGTTTGAGCAGCTCGAGGCCACGCCGTTCCCCGAGCGTGGTGTTTATGGCAAGGACCCGGCCACGTGGCGCGACCACTGCCTGCCCAAGTACGCTGCACTACTGGGCGTGCTCGACACGACGATTGTGCACCCCTCGACGCCCGCGCGCATCTCCGAACTGCTCCTGCGCAAACTTAAGCTGGCACTACGGCCTACCTCTCCACAGCTCGCCAACAACGACGAGACGACGTTTATTGTCACGCAAGGCTTCCGTGCTTACCTGCGCATGGCCAAGACCTTGGCTGGAAAGCCGGATGCCGGTCTGCGGCCATTGTTGCGGGCGGCTGCGCCGCGCTTTGCCCGTCGGACAGGCTTCCTTGAGGCCCTGCTGCAGTACGAACAGCTGGTCCCTGAAGAGCCTGCGGCTCAGGATGAGACAAAGAAGGACAAGAAAAAGTCAGATACGGGGGACGACCAAGTGGAAGAGGATCCCTTCGTCAAGGTCTTGGTTAGTAACCTGTCGGCACCCTCGCACGCGCTGCGCCTGGTCTCGCTTAAGATCCTTGAGCGCATTGGTGACAGCAACACCGCGACCGACTTGGCCACCTTTCCGGAACACGCCAATGCGCTCGCCAACATGTTACAAACCGAGGACGTTGGATTCGCTCCGCACAACGTCCGCAACATCGCCGCCCACCTGCGCAAACTGGCCCAGGTCTACGCCCACGTCACGCCCGGCTCCTGGATCCAAGCTGCCATCCCTGCCTTCCTCTTTGGCATGCTGTCTGTGCCCCTTGCGCCAGTCTGGGACGACGCCGTCAAAGCCATGAAGCAGGTCGCCGAGACCAACAAGGCCGGCGAGGAGGCCATTGCTACGCTCGCCTTTGACTGGCTTGAGGTTGCGTCGTCTTCGTCACGTCGCTCCTCTTACAACGGCCAGGCCGAGAGCAGCAGCAGCACCCACGACAACCATGGTACCCGAAAGGGCACTGCGCCGCGCGCCCCGCCTACCGACTTTGAGTGCTTCAAGCTGGAAAAGCTCAATGACTTGGCGCAGCAGACCGAGACGGTCGTCGCGGACCCCTCGGCTGTTATGCTTCAGGCGTTCCAGGCCAAGCAGGAGGCTGTCCCAGCCTATGCAGGCTATGAGCGCGGCAAGGCCCTCAAGGTCCTTGCCGCATTGCCAGGTGTGGCCGAGAAGCGGTCCCGCAAGCTGGTGCCACACCTCTTGTCTTGGACCGAGGACGTGGGCCCTCGCATCGACGCGACCACGGAAGACGACCACGAAGAGGAAGAGGACGGCAATGCTGAGGATGATGCCGTCTCTGAGGAAGAGAACCAACAAAACGGCACAAACGACGAAGAGATGGACGATGCCGACGACGTGCATGCCGATGTTGACGCCGAGGCCGCCAATAGCGAACTCGGCAGCTGGTCATTCCCCGACAAGAAGGCTCTGATCGTTGTCTTCTCCCTCTTTACCAACTCCCAGGTGCTCTACCAGCACGAAAAGGCCTACGATGCTCTTCTCAAGCTGCTGGCCAACGGCGATATTGAAATCCAGCGTCTTGCCCTCAAAGCCCTTCTCGCTTGGCGCCAGGACAGCGTTGTCAAGTACAAGGAGCAGCTCGACAACCTGCTAGACGAGAGCAAGTTCAAGAACGAGCTGACGCTGCTGATGCAGTCTGACGATGAGAACAGCGCCAATGGCATCTTGCCGGAGCACCGTGCTGACCTGATGCCTGTGCTGCTGCGCTTGCTCTACGGCCGCACGATCTCCAAGAAGGGCGCTGCCAGCGGCCGCCAGGGCCTCCATGCTACGCGTCTATTTGTTATCCGCAACCTGGACGTTGCTGGTGTTGGTGGCTTCCTGCAGGTCGCTCTCGGCAACCTCCACGGTGTGCGCATCCTGGACGGCGAAGGGGAAGAGGCCAACCTCCGTGAAAACATTTTCCCTAGCGCGGGTGGTGTCTCGAGTTTTGACAGCGAGGACGATGCGCTCTTGTCTGCTCGCAAGCAGGTCGGCGTACTTAACATGCTTGAACCTATTATCAACGAGTTGGGCAGCAACGCGACGCCCTTCCTCGATTCACTCGTCAACGCCACGCTCTACTGTTTGATCTGTGCTTGTCGTGGGTTGCAGAATGCGACGTTGGCTGCTGCCGAACAAAACGGTGGCAACGCCGTCGATCTAGACGAGGACGAGGATTCTGCCAAGTCGTCGGCCAACACGTCGCTCATGCGCGCCGCCAAGACAGCTGCACTCCGCTGCCTCTGCGCCCTCTTCCGCAACGCGCCCGACTACAACTGGGTCCCCTTCCGGAACACCATCGTGACCGAGGTCATTAGCCCCGTTATTGACCGCCTGCCACAGGAGACCACTCAGGGCGTGTCGTGGACCTGGAAGCTGCTGTCCACCTGGGCGCAGCTGCCACAGTGCGTCCTGTTCCTGTCGGTTGACGCTCGCGTGCTCCCCAAAATTCTCGAGAGTCTGGCTGCCAAGGCCAAGGATCCTGTCAAGATCCACGCCCTCAGCATCGTAAACAGCCTTGTCCAGCTGGCCGCCACGAACGAGGCCGTCTCCACCGACCTGCTCATGCTCAACATGGACACGGCGCTCATGCGCCTCAGCGCCGTGCTCCGGTCCACGGCCGATGGCGGCACCACAGGCGGCAGCGAGATCAGCCGGGGCCTGCTCGAGGCCTGTGTCGACACCGTCGTCGCACTAGCCCCGATGGTCCAAGCCACGACGCACGTCCGCAGCCTCGTCGACATTGCCACCTGGCTTCTTAACCAACCTTCGCGGCGCGTCAACCCGCGCGTCAAGGGCTCGCTGCTCTTGCTGCTGGAGCGCTTCATCCAGCTGGACAGCGAGAACGGCGCCGAGCCCGACACGACCCTCCAGGACAAGGTCTACGCGACCATCTCTTCGCTCTTTTCCTTCTTCAAGGACCGCGAGAATCGCCAGACGCTGTGCCGCGTGCTGTCCGTCTTTGCTGCCGCACAAACCGGTAAAGGCAAGGCGGCCGTGGCGTACCACCAGCAGCTCCAGACCGTGGCCGACCTGTGCTTTGACCTCAACTCGTACACCGAGAGCCAGCTCGACGAGCCCAACTACGATCGTCGTCTGGCCGCGTTTGGTACCATTGCTCGGCCTGCCGATGGTGCTGTGCCCTTGACCGCGCAGCAATGGCTGCCGATCCTGCACAACATGTTGTTCTTTGTGCGCGTCGACGAGGAGTACGGCATTCTGTCATCCAATGCGGCGGACGGCCTGTGTAAGCTGGTCTCGGATGCTGCGAACATCAAGACGCACCTGCCGAAGGAGGACACCGAGGACGCCAAGGCCCTGACAGGCTATCTGACGTCGCTTGTCCTACCGGCCATCTATGCAGGTGCGCGAGACGCCTCGGAGACCGTTCGCCGCGAGATTGCGCGCACCTTTGGCTTTGTCATTGCGACGTTGCGTGCTTGGCCTCCGGTCGCGGACCTCGCTCCGCTAGTCCCGCTTGGCTCAACCGCGGAAGGCGACGAGGTGGACGGAGCGGAGGGCGACGACGCCAACATGGAGGACACGAGCGACGCTGAGGACGACAAGGAGACCAACCGTGCCTTCTTCAGCAACATCTTGAACCCCACCATCGCCAAGCAGATCCAGGCCATGCAGGTGCTCGAGGGCATCAACACACGTCTGCCGCTGAGCAGCAAGAATGTCAGCCAGTTTTTCATCCCCTTCCTCGAGCACTTTATCTTTGGCCGCGAAGACGGTGTCGACGATCGGGGTCTCGGCGCGCAGGCCACGAATACGATTGCAATGTTGGCCTACTCGCTGGAGTGGAATCAGTACCGCGCGATGTTACGGCGCTTTATCACGTTCATCGAGACCAAGCCTGAACTGCAGAAGCAGGTTGTGCGCCTGCTCGACAAGGTTGTCGACGCAGTGGCTCAGTCTGCGGAGAAGAAGAAGAACGGCGAAGATACGGATACCGCCATGGATGGCGCATCACCGACCACACCGACCGCACGGACTGCCCCTGTTACGCCGATTGTCAAGTGCCGTCTCGCCGCCACTCTCCCCGACGCTCCGAAGCTCTCCGACGATATCCTCAACAACCTCACGCCGTCCCTCGTGGAACACTTGCACGATAAAGATGAGGAGACTGTCAGTGCGCGTGTTCCGGCCGCTATCATTCTTGTCAAGCTGCTCAACCTGCTCCCGTCCGAGACGCGCGATCAGCGGCTGGCTGGTGTGCTAACCGACGTGTGCCACATTCTTCGTAGCAAGAACTGGGACTCGCGCGAAATGGCGCGTGAGACGCTGTCGCGTATTTCCACGATCCTGGGATCTGGCGCTTTTGGGTTCGTGCTCAAGGAGCTGCGCGGCGCCCTCACCCGTGGCTACCAGCTGCACGTGCTTTCGTACACGGTGCACACGCTCCTGCTGGCGGTGATTCCGCAGTTTGCGCAGGGCGATCTCGACTACTGCATCGAGCCCCTCATGGCTGTCATCATGGACGACGTATTTGGCGCTGTCGGCGAGGAGAAGGACGCGGACGAGTACGTCAGCAAGATGAAGGAGGTCAAGAAGAGCAAGAGCCAGGACTCGCTCGAGCTCATTGCCAAGAATACATCCGTCAGCCAACTCGGCGTGCTGGTACAGCCCTTGCACATGCTGATGCTGGAGCGCATCACCAAGCACGTTGCCACCAAGATCGACACGCTGCTGGCGCGCATTGCTGCTGGCCTGGCCCAAAACCCGGCGGTGGCCGAGACGCGCGAGACACTCGTGTTCTGCTACGAGATCGTCCAGGACGTGTACCGCAGCCGCACGCCGGCGGCCCAGGCACAAAAGATTGACCCGCGCATCAAAAAGTTCTTATTCCAGAAGACGGAGCGCAACAATGCGGGCCAGCGCAAGGGGGGCAAGTTCACGTACAAGCTGATCCAGTTTGCCCTCGACGTGCTGCGGACGGTGCTGCGCAAGTACGATTCGCTGCGCACGCCCGAGAACGTATCGGGGTTCATTCCGGTGCTGGGCGACGCGGTCCTTGTCGGCGAGGAGGAGGTCAAGATTGCGGCGTACAAGTTGCTTGTGGTGCTCGTCAAGGTGCCGTTCCCGGACATGACGGCGTTCTCGGGGCTGTACCAGGTGTGCACCAAGGAGGCGATCAAGACGATCAGCACGGCCACGACGACGTCGGGCGACCTCGCCCAGTCGGCACTCAAGCTCGTGTCGGTGGTGCTGCGCAGCCGGCACGACGACGTGCCTGTGCGCAGCGTGTCGGTCGATGCGTTGCTCACGAAACTCAAAGACGACCTGACGAACCCGCTGTACCGCCACGTGACGTTCAACTTTGTGCGCGCCGTGCTCGACCGCAAGATCGAGTCGGCGGTTGTGTACGACACTCTCGACTACATTGGCACCGTGATGATTACCAACGACGACCAGGACACGCGGGATCTGGCGCGGCGGGCCTTCTTCCAGTTCTTGCGCGAGTACCCGCAGCGGCGCAAGCGCTGGGAGCGACAGCTCGAGTTCATCGTGGCCAACTTCAAGTACGAGCGCGAGGGCGGCCGGCTGTCGGCCATGGAGATTGTGTACATGCTGCTCCTCAAGGCCACGGCGGCGCTCGACACACCCGCGGCAGCGGCCAGCGATCCCTTTGTACAGGACATTGTGGGCGCCAGCTTCCTTCCGCTGGTCATGGTGCTTGCCAACGACGAGAGCGCCAAGTGCCGGCGCGTGGCAGGCGCGCAGCTCACAGCGATGCTGTCCATGGCCAAGCGCGACTACGTCAACGAGTTCCTCAAATTGTTCCGCACCTGGCTGGCGGCCGACGCGCGCGCCGACCTGGGCTCGCTCAAGATGGGTCTCGAGCTGTTTGGCGTGTACTTTGCGTCGTTTGGCCAGGACGGCGCCAACAGCGCCAACGGTGACAATAGTGACGGGTCGGGCATCCCGGTGACGGCCCTGCCGTCGCCGGCGCTGTCGACGACGCAGGTGCAGGATATCCAGGCGGTCATTGCGCGCATCACGGCGCTGCTGGCGTCCGACAAGGTGCGCCGCGGCGAGGTGTACAGCAAGCTGCTGACGACGGCGCTCGAGACGGTGCAGACCATGGTGACCAAGTTCCCCGTGCTGGCGCTGGACCGGGCGCTGGCCGAGGATATGTGGAATGGCATTGAGCAGTGCCTGTGGCACGGCACGCACGCGGTACGCATGGCTGCCATGCGGCTGGTCGGGCTGTACCTGGCAGACTTCGCACGGGCCGACAAGGCCGGGGTGGACGTCGAGCCCGGCTCGGCGTTTGCTGGCACCTACGGCATGACCCTAGACGACGAGACCGTGTCACGGCTTGTGCGCGGCAGTCTGAGTGTGCTGTCGGGCAGCAGCGGGGACGATGTGGATCCTGTGGAAGCCGAAGAGGCGGCCAAGATGTTGGTGCGTCTGGGACAGTACCTTCGCCCCGAGGCGGAGGACGATGACGAGAGCGATGCGAGTGACGACGAGGCGGAGGAGGACGACGAGGAGGAGGAGGCTGGTGAGGAAGAGGCCGAGGACGACTCTGATGATGATGAGGGCGAGGTTGTGGGCGACGACGAGGCCGAAGACAAAGAAGAGCAGGCCGCAGCCGCTTCCCAAAAGAGGCGACCCATTGACCGACGCTACGTGCTACTGCGCCTCGCGCGCATTGTCCGCCGCGAGACACCGCCCAAGCTCGCGTCGCTTGTGCCCAAGGCGGCCGCCATGGCTGTGCTGGAAGCCTTCTGCAGCGTGCCGGGACGCAAGGCCAGCCACCCGGCCCACTTCGCGTCGCTGTCGCCCGTCAGTGTGCGGGCGGTCCTGCGGCCGCTGCGCAACCTCACCGACACGTCCATCCCGCCGCCCTTCTCGGCGGACCCGCAGTTTGCGCCCCGCTACGACGACCTCAAGCTGCGCGCGCAGTCGCTCATGGACGCGCTGCAGACACGCCTGGGCACGGCCGCGTACACGCAGCACCTGCTGGCCGTGGGCGCGGCGACGCGCGACCGGCGGCAGCACCGGGCGACGAAGCGCAAGATCGAGGCGGTGGCGCAGCCGGAAAAGCACGGGCGGGACAAGCGCAAGAAGCTGGACAAGAAAAAGGAGCGGCGCAAGGTGCGCAGCCTGGAGCACCGCGGTATGCGGCGAGGTTACTAGATGTGAGACGGCGGCACTATTGACTGGTTTGTGCTTTAACGGCGTTGGGATACCAAAAGGGGATCAAAAGCATATTGGGCATCTTTTTGGTTCTGTTTGCATATAGATTCTAAGACATATATAATTCATCAGCATATTTGCTTTTTCTTTGAGTCGTTGTCAGCTTCATCTGCGTTTTTCTTGCGTCTACACTGCAGAAAGAATTGTGACAGTCTACGTGATAGGTTTTACAAACGAACTGGTGGAGTCGTGATACAAGTTGAGAGGTGTGGCCAATGTGAGGCCGTTCCCTTTGTTGTCTTCACCCGTAGGACATGTCGACACGGCCGTTTTCCTTGCCACAACTGCCGGTAAGTTGTACTGTCTCTTTTCATTTAGATTACGTTCGTCTGTTATTGCTCCGACGGATGAATGGATTTAACAAAAACTGAGAATGCTGGCTATGATACACACCACTTGCAACCCCCATCTGATCACTGCATGGGCGTGGCCATCTTGCTGCTGCTGATGCCTGGCAGCTCAGTGAGCCCTGTGTCGTTAGTAACTGAAAACAAACAAAAAGCAAACAAAAGCAAATACCGACCACATCACTTACATCCATCAATGTGCTCCTGGACGATATCGGGCGCCGAGCACTTGTTCTGCTCCGCAATGGACTGCGTCGTGACGTTCTGGCAGTTGATGTAGCACGGCTCGTCCATGGCCCGCTGCAGCGCGTCGCCTTTCCAGCCAAACATGTAGTCGCCGTGGGTCGCGTAGCCGGTGCGGTCGCCCATGGACCAGACAAAGGGCTGCGGCTCGGTCGCGTTGGCGGGCGGCCAGAGGTCCGGGTCGTTGAAGGCGGACGTGTCCCAGATGGTCTCGTACATGAGCTGGGGGATGCGCACGGGATGGGTGTCGGGGCAGAGGGAGAGAAGAGCGAGCGAGCGGGAGAAAGAAAACATACTCGGCTAAAGCACTCGATTTCCGGGTGCGCATTAAGCATGCTGGCCGGGCCGGGGATAAAGGCTCTTAGTGCGTCGACTTAAAAGAACTAGTGCCACTGAGGAAAGCTTTAATAAAGCAAAATCTTTATAAGAAGTTGTAGCCGGGGATATAATATGCCGGTGTAGACTCGCGCAGATGTAGTCTTTCTGTCCGTCACTAAGTTGATAAGATGCCTTAAGTTGAGTCGTCGTCCTTTTAAAATGGGGGTGTTGAATGTTGAAATGTAGTAGCCTTCGTCTGTCAAAGAGGAAGGAGAGCGGAAGGAGTGCGAGGAAAAAAAGGAACGACAGGGACACACACATACACCTTATCTAAGATGTTTCTCAGTAAAAAGGGGTTGGCTACAATTGCATGTTTTGTTTATTTTTGTGGTACTTTCCGCGTCTTCGTCAGTAACTGCATCCCTCTCGATCCTGCTCGGCTCACTTAAGCTCGGCCCAGCCGGACAATGTACAAATGCCGATAAAAGAAAACCGACGTGACCGCTCGTTTATACAGCAAAGATGAAAAAATGTGTTGATTCTTGCATTTCATTTTACTACATTGTATTTCCACGGCTATGAAATACCAGTTCCGGATGCTTCTCTAAAAATTCTTGCTCTGAGGATAGAAGCTTATGTCCCCACTTCTGTCTCTGTTCAATCCTTCCGAGAATCAGTTCACAGAACTTCTCCTCACCAAACTTTTCTTTATATTCGTCATCGGTATAGCCTCTTGGTGTGGCCTCGGTAACATTGAACGGGTATTGCTGGAGAAAGCTCATGATTGTAGGGTTGAGTTGCATCGAAATACTACTTTTCGATTAGCAAAGTCGGTCAGACACGAAACAGGGAAGTTGCTTACAGCTTGCCCCCATCCCATCGATACATAGACGTAGACACTTCTTGGGAATCAGGTTCGCCGTTGTCTATCAAGACGTAAACTCTGTCGTTGTCGGAACGAAATTGACCAGAAGATCGGATACGGTCCTGGTCTTTGTCAAAAGGACGGTTCCATATGTGAGTACAAATTATATTCGCCAAGGTCAGTCGTCTTTTATCAGGTTCGCCGGGGATAGTCTGAGAACGACATTGTACAAGAATGCGCATCGCCATAGTGGTGTTTTATGGTGTGGAGGAGGTAAAGAAGAAAACGAAACGAAGATTTAAGCGGGGTATGATATTCGCTGATAGGCAGAGAGGTACGTTTTGCCTTAGGCATTATGTTTAAGGAGCTGTGAATGGGCCAATTAGAGACCTCTACTCTTTCTGTAGTGTGACGCATTTTAATATACACTCACGTGACGTAGTGGCTCGACGAGACTTCATGGATTTATGAAGAATTCTATCATATTATACAGCAAGCAATACACCTTCACTTTCGGTCGTTCATTCGACAACGCTCTATTCGCCTCCATGTCGACAGACCATTGATAATACGTCACTGACTCTCTGGGGTGGGGTATGCACGCGTCGGGCACTTCCCATTCATACTTTCTGTGCGGGTAGCCCCATTGCCGCAATTGTCCAAGCCATGCTCGTCGCACTCCTCCCAGTCCTGAAACTCAATGTGGCCACATGTAAGGTATTGAAACCAGACCTGGATGCACATGTTTGCACGAATCTAATTTTTGCTTAGCACGTTGCCTTATTGTATGTATGAACTAAAAAGCTAACACTAGCTTACAATTGGAAGTCTTCGGTGACCACGGACACGAGCAGGTTTGTTTTCTATTCAGGTGCAAGTGAGATGCAAAGATAGAGGCATGGCAACTTTGAGATAGAGAAAACTAGGCGAGATAGGTGTAATAACGCTGTACATATGCTGATAGTTGCAGAAAAAGTTGGATGAAGGTGAAGCCGTTGCGGTGCCTTTACCTTTGCTTATAGGATTTGAAAAGGGATTTGGTGAGTGCCTTTTGGGCTATGCGGGGTTCCTCCCGTTCTAAAAATAGTCTGACCGATGGAAGCTTGCAGAAAGTCATGGAAGTTTTTGACGTCATTTGAAAAATGGCATCTCTCGCCACGTCATCGAAGTCGCAGCTCCTCCTTAAGGGCGCGCCTATCAAGGTGCGCCCATCGACGGTCGCTAGCTCTCGACTGAAAAGTCATATTTCCCCGTTCTGCTGACAATGTGCAAAAGAACGGGCAATTAATTAGCTTGTAGTTTGTTCGGCCGGTCACAACAGCAATCACAAGGCCAACGGACGACGGTTATTGCGATAGAAAACGTTTAATTGCCCTCTTGTTAGTGGGAAGGAGGTACAAAGCCTTCCGCCACCTCTCCTACTCCATATGAGAGCTTTCTCGTTTCTCAGGCTCCAAACTGTGTAAAATAAATATGTATCAGGCCCCAAACTGGGGAGTAAGGCCCATATTACTTGTACGGCGGCAAATGGTTGGCTGGCAAGTCTCGGAGAAATAAGTCGCCGACCCCCTCTTGTTTTGTCTGCCCAATCAAATGTCCTGTTCTCGACAGCCAAAGCGCGGACGAAAACGCGAATAAGAGTGGTAGTTGGCGCTTCACACTACCTTCCTTGAAACGTGAATATTTCTTTCCCACTCCCTTTTCTTATCCCACAATGTACACTCCATCTTGTTTCTTAGCGACGATTCATTTATAGTAAGACGACTACGAAAACGACAGTATCTCGACGACGGGTTACAAGCCGACGCCGAACCCCCAATAAAAAAGACTAAGTGTTATGAGTGATTGTAGGATAGGTCTTCACAATAGATTAGTTGATGAAAAGTATTGGTTTCGAGGGCGAAGGTAGGTGTGTATTGTAACAGAGACTAATTCTTACCCCTTCTTCTTAAAGGGAAGAAGGGAGTCCTCTTATTTAAGGAGAAAGGCTTTTCACTAGCGTGGCGCTAGCGTGTGGCTGGGGACCAGCCACACCGCGCCCCATTATGTAAGCCTAGTCACCTGATTCGTGGCCTTCGGCCACGAATCGATCATGACACTTTCAAGAATCATAATTAAATCGATCTTTTTCGATATCTATAGAACCCGTCATCGACTTGGCATTGTCTTCCGCTATGTATTCCGAATCGACGCGCATTGCCTATCTGGAAACTGCATGTTACCTGCAAAGTCATCTACCATGGTTAGATTAGGGCCAGCGCGTTGCACACTCCCACAGACGGTATCTGGCAGAGTTCCCGCTTTTCTCTCACACAGTCCTTATCTTGTAAATTCGGGATTTCGGCCTGCATGTAGCGTCGGCTGCGAATCTGGGGAAATTCTCCGAGCGTCGAAACAAGGCGAGATAGAGCTGACGGCAGTCGGCATGCCAAGGCCATAATGTTCCTAGTGACACGACGCTGCCGTCGCTTCCGCCATCTGTGCCGAGATCTGCCTCTTGGCACGACGGCCTGCAACGTCAACTTTGATTGTTGCAGTCTGTTTTCCATATGGCCGAGGCACGTTTTGCGCTTTGTCTCACTTTTCTGGTGTCTGCTCTTATCTCTTTCCAGGAGGGCTCCTAGACACTGGTTGAAGCACCCGCCCCCGGCCTTTTGAGCTGACAGTGACATCTCCCAACGGAGACTGTGCAGCCGCGCTCTTCTTGTATCTTTGCATATTTGCCAGTGGGCATGCTCGTCCCGCTGACCAGCCGCTATTGGAATATTTGTTTATTGTTCTGCTATTCAATTGTTGCGGTATATTCGCAGATGCTATTACACGCAATTTGAAAGCCGTTAATCCGGTACACTCTGATGTCCCCTTTTCCCGGCGCAAACCAGCTTGTCAGGTTGTGCGTTGCATCTCTTCCAACCGTTTAGCCGCCAAGCCTGGATACGAGTCGTGCTGAGTACATGAGTGTGTTGTGTACATTGAGGACGGTATTGTTTGCATCATGACATGCGACAGCCATTTTTCTCGCACAATGTGATTCCGAAAATACGTTCCGACATTAAGACACACAGCGCTGTCAACACGGCCCCGGACCATTATCATGACGTGGGTGGTTAAGGGAAGCAACAAGTAGTCCATCGTTATTCCTGCCCACGACATCCATGGATTGCCTGCAGATACTTGCGTGGCATGACTCGTTTGCATGACCACGTAGACGTTCCCTGTGAAACATGACCCAGTGTTTATCTCTTGTTTCCTCCCTAGATTGATAACTGGTAGAATATGCTATTGTCCATGCTATTCTTTTTTAGGCATATCGCCAGCGCCGCTGATCCTCCGCTCTCAGCCGCGTTTTGTTTCCGCGTGTGGTCCTGTCGTCTCAGTGTTTGTCTCTTTCGTCTCTGTTTCTGCTTGGGCTTCCTTATTGCTTCCATGTTTCCCATACACTGCTCCCTAGCTTCCCCTCAGCCAAGTCGCCGAGTACGTCGTTCCTCTTTCATCGAGAGGGGCTTATGAGAGATTGCGGCTCGGTACTTTTACACCATGTCACGTCGATAGTATTCCCTGGACCATCGTTTAGATGCTATGTAGAACCCAGAGGGAGCCGCGCGTCGTTGTCTGTTGCTTGTCTTGAATGGTATTGATTTCATCTCGTCCGGCAGCTCCATCTGGAGATTAATATCGCGACATGGAAAGGCGAACCGTCTGGATGCGGAGGCTGGAAACGGAACGACGGGGTGGTGCGGCTCGAACGAACTTTGTGGGGAAGTCAATGGAGGAGAAACATATTTAGACGTCGATAGACGTAGATACATGTCTGCGAAGGAAAGAATAATACGATGAAAAATAAAAATAAAAATAAAAATAAAAACAATCAACACAACCTACGATATCAGGTTTCTTTTGTTCATCCGCCTGTATTTTAGTATACACACATCCTTCGCCCAACATGGGCTCGCACGAGATCAATGGCCCGCCCCACGAGCCGACCGACGTCTCTCTACCGTCGTCGCTGACTGACTTGTCGGAGAAGAAGGCGGCACAGACGACGGCGGTCGAAGTTGAGGCCGACGGGGACGTCGACGAAGCCGCGGTTGACCATCTAGAGAACGAGCTGTAAGTCGGTGCTACACAACGAACACCAGCAATCCACCACGGACATGGACATCATTTAACACAATGTGCCGCAGGGCCTCGTATGGCGTCAACGAAGACCAGTACGCCGAGGTCAAGCGGCTGGCCGAGTCCTACTCGCTGGAAGACACGCGCGAGCGCATCGTCAAAATCATCCAGATCCACGAGCACGACCCCAACTTCCGGCACGACCTGATTGAGGCGTTCAAGGCGTTTGTCCAGGCGGACGCGCAGCCGCTCGCGCCCTCGCCCTCGCCCTCGCCCTCGCTCTCGCTCTCGCAGATCAAGCTCGAAGTGGCCCTCATCACGTACAACAGCCCGTACCCGCAGGTGCGGGCGGTCGTGGCCAACGAGGACGACCCCAGCATGCCGTCGTCGACGGTGCGCGCGTGGGCCATCGGGCTGTCGTTTGCGGTGCTGCTGGCGTTTGTGAACCAGCTCTTCTCGATCCGGCAGCCGGCCATTGTCGTCGGCGCCACCATTGCGCAGATGCTGGCGTACCCGCTGGGCACGGCGGCGGCGCGCGTGCTGCCGGACTGGGGCGTGGCGGTGGCCGGATCGCGCGTCAGCCTCAACCCGGGGCCGTTCTCGCCCAAGGAGCACATGCTCATCACCATCATGGCGAGCGTCGGCGGTGCGCCGCCCTTTACCGGCCTCATCATCTGGACGCAGTACCTGCCGCAGTTCTTCAACCAGCGGTACGCCGGGCGCTTCGCGTACCAGATCCTGATCGGCCTGGGCACCAACTTTATCGGCTACGGCCTGGCGGGCATCTGCCGGCGCTTCCTCGTGTACCCGAGCTACTGCGTGTGGCCGACGAGCCTCGTGACGATTGCGCTCAACACGGCCTTCCACGGCGACCCAAACCGGAGGGTGCGCCACCGCGGGCCCTGGGGATGGGTGGCGACGGCGTCGCGGCTGCGCGTTTTCTGCGCGGCCTTTGGCTGCATGTTTGCCTACTTTTGGCTGCCCAACGTGCTGTTCCAGGCGCTCAGCGTCTTCAACTGGCTCTCGTGGATCGCGCCCGGCAGCGTGCGCCTCAACAGCGTCGTCGGCTTCAACAACGGCCTCGGCCTCAACCCGTGGCCCACGTTTGACTGGAACATCCTGCACGCCGGCAGCGACCCGCTGGTGCTGCCCTTCTTCACGACGCTCAACAAGTTTGCCGGCAGCTTCGCCTCGCTCTTTGTCATCCTGGGCCTCTGGTACGCCAACGCCTTCAGCGCCGCGTATCTGCCGCTCAACTCGAACCGCGTCTTCGACCACCACGGCGCGCTCTACAACGTGTCGCGCGCCGTCGACGCCGACGGCCTGTTTGACGCCGCCAAGTACGCCGCCTACAGCCCGGCCTTTCTGTCCGCCGGCAACATCAACGTCTACGTCTTCTCGTTTGCCATCTACACCGCCACCCTCGCCTACGCCGTGCTCTACCAGTGGCACGAGATCCGCCTGGGCTTTGCCGCCGTCTTTGACAGCCTCGTCGGCTTCGTCCGCCCGCGCCGCGCCCGCGCCCGCGCCTTCTCCCGCGCCGCGCACTACGAGGACGTCCACAACCGCCTGATGGCCCGCTACCCCGAAGTCCCCGCGTGGTGGTTCGCCGCCGTGCTCGTCCTGGCCACCGTCTGCGGCATCGCCGGCGTCGCCCTGTGGCCCACGCACACGTCGCCCGGCGTCGTCTTCTACGGCCTCGGCCTCTGCGTCGTCTTCATCGTCCCCATCGGCGTCATCCGCGCCATGACCGGCATCGACGTCAGCCTCGGCATCCTCGCCGAGTTCATCGGCGGCGCCCTCGTCCCGGGCAACCAGCTCGCCATGAACTACCTCAAGGCCTACGGCATGGTCACCGCGTCGCACGCCCTCTCCTTTACCAACGACCTCAAGCTCGCCCACTACGTCAAGATCCCGCCGCGCCAGACCTTTTCCGTGCAGATGGCCGCCACGCTCGTGTCTACTTTTGTCTGCACCGCCGTCTTGAACTTTCAGGTACGTTTTTTTGGTCCTCGCCGCGCTCGCTTTCTTTCTTTCCTCGCTGCGCTCGCTTCCTTTCTTTCTTTCATCGCTGCGCTCGCTTCCTTTCTTTCTTTCCTCGCTGCGCTCGCTTTCTTTCTTTCCTCGCTGTGCTCGCTTCCTAGTCATTCCTCGCTACGCTCGTGCTTCGCTCGTGCTTCGCTCGTTCGCTTCGCTCACTCACTCGCCACTCGCTCTAGATGAACAACATCCCCGGCGTCTGCACCATGGACGCCCCCAACCGCTTCACCTGCCCCTGGGTCAACTCCTTCTTCACCGCCTCCGTCCTCTGGGGCACCATCGGCCCCCGCAAAATCTTCGGCCCCGCCGGCCAGTACACCCTGCTGCTGCTCGGCTTCCCCCTCGGCCTCGCCATCGCCCTCGCCTTCTGGGCCGCCAAGCGCCGCTTCCCCCGCCACTCCTGGCTGCGCCAGGCCCACCCCGTCGTCCTGCTGTCCGGCGCCATCCACTGGGCCCCCTTCAACCTCAGCTACGTCTGGCCCGCCGTGCCCTTTGCCTACCTGTCTTGGCAGCACGTCAAGCGCAAGTGGCCCGGCCTCTGGGCCGAGTACAACTTTGTGCTGTCGTCGGCCCTGTCCAGCGGCATCGCCGTCGCCGGCCTCGTCATCTTCTTTGCCATCCAGTGGCCCGGCATCCAGATTTCGTGGTGGGGCAACACCGTCTCCTACCAGGGCTGCGAGAGCAAGCTGGACCCGTGCCGGCTGCGGTACCTGGACAAGGACAAGGCCGACTACTTTGGTCCACGGATCGGGGAGTTCCATTAGGGGGGGAGTTTGTGAAGTTGTCTGTTTTTGATTTTATTTGAATCTTGCACAACACTGATGTATATTTGCTGCATTTTTGCCTCGGTTGGTTGGTCTCTGCTCGGTCTTGTGTGTTTAGTTGTCAATTCTGGATTGTATTGCTCGGAAAAGGTCGTTTTTTTGGTGTCTTGTCTTGTGATATTCCGATTCCCTGTCGTTACAGCCATTGTCTGTATGTTCATTGCCTATAAGCGTACTACTAACAGTGGTTGCATCAACACAATCTCCAGCCCCAAGGCAGCAACAAAAGTGATTGTGCGCACGAATGATGGCTTTGAGGCCGTCCATGCCAAACTCCTCTCAATTTTGATTCTGCATTTCTGCACATTCCCGATTCCGTTTGTTGCATCGCCACGTGATGTGCTGTTTGGAGGGGTTTATTCTGTCTTGGATGCCAGCCCCTCGCTCTGGCATTCATGTTTTGCCCTCCTCTTTCTCTGTTATGAGCTCGCCCTCTTCTTCGCCGAAAGAAATTTTGCATGCAAGGCGAAAACAACAGTTCTTTTTGAGGATTGACTTTACCTAATATCAACTATCACGGCCGGCATATCAACATCCACAATCGGCACTAGGGGACTCAACACCATGTCTGCCTGGTCCTGGCTTTACCTATACCCGGTGGTACGTCTGTGCAGGATCTTTTCTATCCTTGGTGATGCCGTACAGACGATGCTGACTTTGACAGCTTCTCATTCTTCTCTTTGGCGTCGCCATGTAAGTTGCAGCGGCCCATTGTTCTTGACGCATTGACAATACAGTGACTGAGTCTATGCCCCAGCTACGAACATGTCCATGCCACGGCCCTCGCGCTGCCCCTCTCCCCAGCCGTGACCGTCCTCGCCATCGTTCTCCCCGTCGTCAGCTTTGCCAGCACAATCGTTCTGCCGGCGGCCTTGACTGCCGATGACGGGAGCAATAACAACAACAGCAGCAGCGGCCGAGTCCTCGTTTTCGCCCGGCGTCGACCTCTGCTCGTCGCCAGCCTCGTGCAGGCCCTAAATGCCGGCCAGGTTTTGTTGGCGGTTGTCCTGGCCGTCTTGTTCTTGGAGCGCACGGCCCCGTCGGCGGTCCGCGCGTGTGTGGTGGGCACCGCCTGGCAGCACCTGTTTGCCACCAAGAACGCAGCCGTCGTGCGCCGCATCCAGGACGCCCTCGACTGCTGCGGGTTCAACTCGGTGCGGGACCGCGCGTGGCCGTTTGCCGAAGACATTGGCCGCGGCGGCGGAGGAGGTGGCGGCGGCGCGGCGTGTGCCGAGCGCTTTGGTCGGACGCAGGCGTGCGCGGCACCGTGGACGGCGGCTCTAGAGAGAACGTCGGGCGTCGAGGGCGGCGTGGCAGCGGGCGTGCTGCTGCTGCAGGCGGTGCTGTACTTTGCGGCGCCGTGGGTGGCTGCCGCGCTTCGGCAGCGGCAGCGGCAGCAGCAACAGAGCCAGCGACACCGAAACACACAGTCATCGCCGTCGGAGAGCGGCTGGACGCGGCTCTTGCTGCCGTTTGCGGCCGGCGAAGCCTTGCAAAGGGGAAGGAACAACAACGACAACAACGACGGCATTCGCCGGCCGCTCCTGGGCACTGGGCATGGCGACAATGGCCCAGGAGACGGCCACGGCGCACACCCTCCGCCGAATGGAGGTTACGTCTACGACGAAGACAACAACGCGGATGAACAGCCGAATGGGGACGGAGGCGACGCCGGCAATGGCCACGAGAACAACCGCAACGGCGAGACTGTGGACGAAGAGCAAGCTCGTCCGGCTGGCCAAAATGAACAGTCGCCCAGCCAATATGGCAGCATTGCACCGCACGATGCGTGGGGTGCGGAGTGAGTGGTGGGTGGGTATATGTACCAACTCGGAGAGAATGGAAAAGACTGAACGTAGTTTGTAGGATATCATAGGCACAAGTGTGAATTGAGTAGATGGAAACAACGCATTACGGTCGTATGGCCGTATTGACCGTATCAACCGTATAAGCATCTATTGAGGTTATTTATGTGGATGTTTTGCAAATACTACCTTGTCTCAAGCGGCAGTTTATAGTCACTTCCGGCGTCCTTTTTTATTCAGTCTTATTCAATCCACATTTCCTCCCTTCAATAGTTACCACAAACATCACTCCGCCGTAAACAAGCAGCGTTTTTTGTTCTTTCGCGTCTTGTAAAACATTGATTATTATGAGCGCTTAAGCAATATTATACACGACACGCTATATACATTTGCGGACCTTGGCAGTTTCCAAGACGACGACTTGTCCAAATTCATCATCCTGATTCGACAATTCTCCAGCCATTTTCCGAATATTTTCCGCCTCCTTCTTACAGGACAGCAGCAGCACCCAGGACAATCACTAGGGCCGCCGCACTGATGCCCGTCAGGGGCACGTTGTGGCCGCCGGCGTTCTTGTCCGTGCCTGTCGTCGTGGGCGACGCACCGGCCGACGTGCGCGAGCTGGTGTTGTTCGCGCCAGCGCCCGTGGCCGTGGTGCTGCCGTTGCCCGAGACGCCCGTGGCGCTCTTGCGTGCCGCGCTGGCGCGCGACTCGACGCCGCTGGCAATGTCCGTGGCGACGGAGTGCGCAGCCGAGGTGATGTCGCCAAAGACGGAGGTGGCACGGCTGGCGGCGTCGTTGCCGGCCGAGACGGCGTGGCTGGCGACGTCGGTGGCGGCCGAGACAACGCCGTGGGTGATGTCAGTCACGGCCGACGCGACGCCTTTGGTGATGTCGCCGATAATGTCAGCCTGGGCGCCGGAGGCAGCGGCGAGGGCGAAGACGAAGGTGGTGGCGGCACGCATGATGGCGGTTGTGTGGTGAGTGGAGAGGAATTAGAAGTGGTTTGTATTGGAGAGGGTTGGTGTATTCTGTAGACGGAAGAGTCTGAAAAGGTTGTATAGGAGTTGGGCTGGGTATCTTGGTGAAGAGAAAGATGAGAACGCCAAGTTCTGGACAACAGGACGGCCTGTTTATATAGACACGACAATACGGAGTATGCTGTGCTCAACACTGCCAAGTACAGAGATCGGCATAAGAACCATAACGCAAACAAAGTTAAACCACCAGCAGTCCCCCTAATTTCAACAAACAGGGGATCCTTCCGGGGCTTCTCTTGGTTTCCTGGTTTCTGGTTTCTGGTTTCCTGGTTTCTGGTTTCTGGTTTCTGGTTTCCGTCTTTCCGGGTTTCCGGGTTCCTGCTTTCATCTTAGTGCACGGTCTCCTGTTCCTTCTCACCAGTTCCAGGCGGTCTAGGCTGCCTCTGAAACACAACGTCCCGGGGCCTTTTTCTTTTCTTTTTTGGAGACTGTTCCTGCTGTACGACGCCAAGCAGGTTCTTGGAATGAAGTCATATCATTGCTTATTCGTTGCATGGTTTACACTCCAGAAGGCACTGCCAAGGGTCCTTCCCCCCATAATTACCACGTCGCCTGCACGCTAATCTCGCGCGACCACGCTGGAAAGAGTCAAGCTCCAACACGCTGGAGCAGAGCTCGGGTCAATTCAGTGGAGATCGTTTGCAGGGAGTGGGACAGGTGGACACTGTCGAAAAGGAACAACTGCTGGCCTGCGCCTCTTGGCGTGGCTGAGGCAGGAGGGAGACGAAGACATTCACGTACTTCGTAATTCGTAGCACGACCATGTCTGGCAGTGCATCCCAAAATACTCCGTACGACGTATTTCCTCTGCACACTGGCAGAGGACGTGATAACACCACCGACAATATGACTTGTGGCTGAAATTGTACATCGCACGCCGTACGTCGTCTTGCCAAGGACCAACAGTGATGTTGGAGCTGAAGTAATTTGTAGGAAACGGACCCTTGCGAGAGCCAGCACAATGAACTACAGGACGCCTCCTTTCATTACGACGTTGACAGACTTTAGCAGCATGGTGTTGCAGTCCCCAGAGCGTGCAATTGCATCCACGTTGCAGTGAAATCCGCAAGGAACAGAAGGATGCAGAGGGGGAATCGTAGTGCCTCCGTCGTCGTGGCGATCGTTTTGTGTTGTGGATAGTCCTTATTTCACAGTACCAGGTATTGTTCCCAAAACCAGAAAAAAGTGAAAAGTAAAAAAGGTCCGAAAAAGGTCTCTGTGCTGACTTGAAGAGGATGAGACAACAAAGCCCACCGCGTTCAATGCGTGTAAGCTGAGCATCTCACGGTCTCTGGTGAGATAACCTGCAACCCGTAATTACGTAGTAATTACAGCTGTGCACGTCCTTCTGCCGACAGATGTAAGTCTTACTTTTGTTCTGAATGGAAGCAAGACTGCCAAAGACAAAAAGAAAAGAAGAAGCCTCCCACGCAAGCTGCTATTTTTACCGTTTTGATGTCGGACAAGGCTCTCTCAGCTGTTGCTGCATACGCCGACCCAACGGCCTATTATTAGCAAATGTCGGTGCCTGGACTGCCGTTACGCCACAGTCTGCGCCAGCGTCTGCGCTACAGCTGTAGTGGCCGGGCAGTGCTGGTATTACATTTCGCCACAGGGCACTGGCACAAGCCCAGGGCGGTGTCGATGTACACACTGTCATGCGCCTTGGACGACACCATCAGTCCAACGTGGCAACATAACGTGGCCCGAAATGGCCCGAAAACGCGGACTCCATATTTTTTTGCTCCCTGGCTCCCTCGCAGTCCCTACTCGTAGTTTTCGGAGTATCGTCGGCGAGTGATCACGGCGCACTACCGATGAACGAAGTCGAACGTATCGCATCCAACATTTCAACGATGCGTGATAAAATTGCATCGTCTCAAAAGTATGGGCATACACACAAGGGGGACGTGTCCGTGTATCCATGGCAGGTTCAAATAATGCAACAAAATGAACTGCCCGTAGACATTCGCTTGCTGCACAGCGACATCGGCCACGGGGACGTGCGAACAGCGACGTACTCGAGAGTAATGACGATATACTCATCATGTGCTGCTCACACTTCTCTACCACGATGTCTGAATAATGACCTCCACGTTGGCATGGGGGGCCTTCCGACATACAACTGTCATGACAGCCACTCACATCGACGTCGTCAAATGCAAGCCGGAACCAGCCTGGCGCCATTGCCGCTGCTGCCGACGTGCAGACACGCCGATGGTTACGAGGGGGGTCCTGCAGAGACGCATGCTGGGCGCTGCTGCATGGCCGGACCAAGAAACACAGCAAGTATTTTGTGTAAAGACTGCATCGTACAACTGTGGGCACGAGAAGGCTTATGAGTGAGCTGGCCCGGCCGCTAATGCAGCACGATCCTTCATGCCTCTTCCAAATCCTGCATCAACGTCTCGGTCGGATGTCTGTTCGGGCGGGCCCTGGTGCATGATGTCGCGATAGGTTCTCATGGCAATTCAACGTGGCCGAACGCGTTTCAAATGGCTGCCAAAGCTTGTCGACGTCTATGCTTGCATGAATGTGCCATGTCGTCACTTGCGCTGAACAGAGCATGGGTCTGAGGACCGCGTGCATAGTAAGACTTGAACACTTTACTAGTGACGTACGGTGTGTATAGTTTTGGTCTTTATTGGGCAACATGCCTCGGAGTATACTTTGTCGACTTATCCTCGAGTGCCTTTCCAAAACATCTCGTGGATCGTTATCATACGACACAGTCACATCACATGCAGTGTTGACGCGTAAATAGAGTGAATTAAAAGTATTAATCCGACATGTTCATTGCATTCGGAGATGGAAGAGAAGATGGACGAAAGTGAAGCTCCCTTTGATCGTTTATAAACAGGGACACAGACCTGCAGAGGTCTGCCAGGTCTGCCAGGTCCGTCCCTGTTGGGCCCTCTTTGGACATCCGCCCCGTCACAATCTGAAACAATTCGCAAAAAAGACAACCATTACCGGTGGAGGAACAGCAGCGCGGCGCCCAGCAGGACCCAGAGGACCTTGGCCGACACAGCGTCCGCCTTGGTCGCTGCGGCCGTCACGACGGCGGACGGCGACGACTCGGTGGGCACCGTCACAGGGGTCGTGTGTTCGGTCGTCGGCAGAAGCGTCGGGCTTGTGTTGGCAGGCGGCGCCGACTCGTGGGGCTGCGACTCGTGGGGCTGTGACTGCTGCGGCTGCGACTGCTGCGGCTGCGACTCCCCAGGCGGCGGTGGTGCCGACGGGGTCGTTGTCGTTTCGGGGCAGACGGTGGTCGTCGTGACGGTCACGCCGCTGATGACGGTGGTGATGGTGCTGACGCTGCTCGCCGGCGGCGGCGGCGCAAATGCACTCACCGTGGTGTCCGTTTCGGGGCACCACGTCGTGGTGATGGTGACGCCGCTAATCACAGTGGTAATGGTGCTCACACCGGACGTCGGCGGCGGCGGCGGCGCGTTCGTCTCGCTGACAGGGCACGTCGTGATGGTCGTCGTCACGCCGCTGATGACCGTCACAATCGTGACCGTGCTGCTGCTGCTGCTGCCACTGCCGCTGTGCGACGCCGACGAGGTCGGCGGCGGCGTGGCCGTGCCGGGGCTGCCCGACGAGAACGGCGGCGTGTCGCCAACGGCCTCGACGGACCACGACTCGACGGACAGGTCGCCGGCGGTGGTCTCGGCAATGAGGGCGGCCGAGTAGCCGTAATCGTCGAGCACGGCCGTGAACCGGTACGTGGAGCCAGACGTCGGGGATGTTTGCCTGTGCGGATGATTAGCGAGAGAACCGAGAAAAGAAGTGGACATTCATTATAGGTCCCTACACGCTGTACTCGTTTCCGAGATTGTCGCCAATGAGGACGCGCGAGACGACGGCGTTGGGAGGGAAGGTGACTTCGACCGAGTAACTAGAAACGTCAGTAAACGGCAACGAAAGCAACAAGACAACACTTTAACTCAACACAACGGACCTTCCCTCGTCAATGTCGCCGAGCGGAATGATGAGAGTACCCGGCGAGCCATTGTAGGAATCGTAAAAGACGCCGTCGGCCGACGCCGTCGCCGACAGCTCGAGCTGCCGCCGGGTCCGCTTGTTGCAGCCCGGGATGGAGCTCGCCTGCACCTGGGCGCAGCTGTAGTCCGGGTCGATTTGCATAATGTACGGGCAGCCCTTTGTGTAGTGGAGCTCGTCGCGCAAAAAGTTCTTGAGATAGACAAAGCCGCCGGCCGTGTTCTGGAAGCCGAGGATGCAGCCGACGTGCGACTTGGCGCTGCTCTGCGTCGTCGAGGCAAAGGGGTACTCATCGCACGTCAGCTTGGCGCCCTGGTTGACGCCGGAGGCTTTCTTCTGGCCTGGGATGTGTGAGTGGCGATGCTGGTCAAAAGGGAAACGGAAAAAGGAGACGGGAAAACAGAAAACAGAAAACAGAAAACAGAAAACAGAAAACAGAAAACAGAAAACAGAAAACAGAAAACAGAAAACAGAAAACAGAAAACAGAAAACAGAAGCAGAGACGACCTACCCTTGCAGCACTTTCCATCGCCGCAGTCGGTCAGCTTCCGGTTCTTGGCGCCTTGGCCGGGTCCGGCGTAGTTGAGCAGCTGGTGGTCGGTGAGTCCCTGTTTCCGGAGGCCTGCACTTGTCAGCGTTGATCGTACCCATCTGCTCTGCAGTCTGCAGCCTACATACCGACGCAAATGTTGTTGATGAGCTGTTTGTGTCAGTCTGTGGACAAACAAAATGACAAAGTAACAGAATAAAAAAACCAAAGGAGGACAGAACGCACCTCATCCGTCTTGTCCTGAATAAAGGGCATCACGAGAGTCGGCGTGCCCGAGGGGCAGGACAGCGTGCTCGACGACCCGCTGGACACGGTCGAGCTTGACGCGGGGGGGCTCGATACGGGCGGCGACGACGCGGACGGCGAGGACGCGGGGGGCGAGGACGGGGGCGAGGACGGGGGCGAGGACGAGGGGGAAGACGATGACCCGGGGGGAGACGAAGATCCAGCCGGTGACGACGACCCGGGGGGAGACGAAGACGCGGGAGGGGGAGAGGACTCTGGCGGCGGCGACGACTCGGGGGGAGGAGAGGACTCGGGCGGCGGCGACGACGCCGGGGGAGGCGAAGACTCTGGAGGGGGCGAAGACTCGGGAGGAGGGGACGATTCAGGCGGAGGACTTGACTCAGGAGGAGGCGATGACTGCGGCGGGGGAGACGACTCAGGCGGGGGACTCGACTCCGGCGGCGGGTTGGACGACGGCGGCGCCTGCGAGGTCGAAAAGCGAATCGACGACTGCTGGGTCTGGCCGGGCGGCTCCCCGGACGACGTGCTTCCCGTGTCCAGCTCGCAGAAGCCCGGCGCGTCGCTGCAGTCGGAGCCAATGGGGCAGCACCAGTCGTCGCACGACTTCCAGCCGGGCAGGCAGCAGACGCTCTCGTCCAGGCACAGGTAGCCGTCCTCGCAGCAGGCTTCCTCGCCGCAGCACGTCGTGCCGTCGGGGCACGCCGTGGTCGACGGCTCCGGGCAGCAGATGGAGCCCGGGTAGTGGCAGTAGAGCGGGTTGTCGGGGCCGCAGGCCGTGGTGTCGACGGGGCAGCACAGGTCGGGCTGGCAGACGGGCTTGTCCAGCTCGCAGCAGCCGAACTCGGCCTCGCACTGGGGGTGTTAGTCGACGTGGTGTGCGAGAAAGGGGAAGCAACAAAATAGACGACTGCAACAAAGACAACAAAACGGCAAAGACAACGTACGCAAACCGTGTCAATCAGACAGCAGAATTCTCCGCAGAGCTCTAAAGATTTTCGTCAGCAGTCCGTGCCGTTCACATCACTGTTGGGCGTTTGTGTATGCCGCCACACCTTCACCAGGGGGACAGGTCAGTTGACGTGGTGCAAAGCGTCCGGCCGGCGAGCTCGGGTCGCGTATGCTCCCAAACATGTTGGTCCCCTTCCGGCCACCGCCGAGCGGCAGCGTTGCGTTCCGGGGCCTGGCACCGGCCGCGTCTCCCTTGTGGCGGAGGGCGAGGCCATGGCTGGCGAGCAGCAGCAGGGACAAAAAGGACAAAACGAGTGACTTTGCCATGGTGGCGAGTTGGGTTGAACGAGGTGATGTTGACGGCAAGCGTCTGGATATTTCGATATCTCGATATCTCAGCTCAGATACCTCAGATATCTCAGTTCAGACATCTCGGACATCTCAGATATCTGCGATTATGTCGACGGGCAGGCTGCTCTTTTATCTTTGAAACGGGCCTCGGCGGCTGAACGTCTTGCCATTTCTGACAGAGACGAATGCCTCCAAAGTATCCTGTACGATACAAGACACCAGTGTCTCTCATACCCAACGGCACCGCACGATGCTGCACAATGCGCTGTAGATGTTACCCAGCGCAGCGGCAGCGTCTTCTGCCCCAGTCTGCAGCCTTACGCTTAAGGAAAACGAGAGATGGGATCGGCAGACCGTGCAGGTCGACGTAGAACGCGAGAAATACGACAGAGAACAGTCCTGGTCAGCCCTGGATCGACCCTTGCACAACCTTGAGCAACCTCCAACGACCTAGAACAGCCCTGAGTCGACCAGACGAATCCCTGCCATTGTTTTGCCATTGTTTGCTGAGCCCCAGAATGTTCGACGGTCGATGGGCGATCGCGGCGGTTGAATGGTTGCATTTTCTACTTTTCCCCTCTCCACCCCGGCAAGCTGAAAGTTAAAATCTGCCTTGTACCTTGTAACACTCGGTTTATCAAGAACTCTAAATTCCAAGTGCGGCATACGACGGGGCGAATACAGTCATGTGTGGTGAAGAAGAGAAGAAGAGAAGAAGAGAAGAAAAAGAGAAGAAGAGAAGAAAAAGAGAAGAAAAGAAGAACAAAAACAAGGACAGAAAAGCGCTCACGTCCTCTGGCTTCTCAACAAGACCACATCCAAGACAAAACCACATCCAAAAAAACTTGTTCTGCTGCAAAACAACTTGACGTCGCACTGGAACGAGCTGATCCGTCTCGGCACTCTCCCTCTTCCATTCTCGTGTTCCTGGCCGGCCCTGCGCCACATTGCGCCGAACCAGTCAAACTGTCGAGACAACAAGCCCATCGTCTCTCGTGCGTTAGGCCAGAAACAGCTCTCGCTCTTTCACCTCCTTTTCGTCCTTCCCCGCCATGCAGAATGCACCATACGGAGTACACACTACACCATCATGTCCTGTAACCGTCAAATGTTGTCCGTTCGCTTGGCGATGCTGATCTCCACAAAGTCGTCTGCGTGCCCAGCTGCGCTTTGCCTGTCCAGGAAATGGCCGACTGGTCTAAACCAGACGCCCTGGGCCTTGGGTCCAAGACTTTTTGGACTTTTTCGTCTTTCGTATGGGCCAACCAAATCACTCGAAGCTCTGTTTTAGTGGGTGGTCAGACGGCATGCCCCCTGCAACCTTAAATGCGCCTTCCATTGGCCAACATGCAACATGGGACGAGTCATAATGCCCGCAGTTCGTCAACCTTGGTTCAGAAAGGTTGCGGCTCAAGCTGAGAGGAGACTGTCGAAAATGACATTAAAAAAAGGAGTCGGGTCTTGGCTGCACACCTGCAGTGCCAGATCGTCGAAAGTAGAAGTAGAAACAAAAGTTCGTCGTCGCTTCTTTTTTTCTTTCTTCGAATTCTTATTCGACTTCTGTTCGGCTTGGCGTGGCTTTCCACAGACAAGGTCACAGTGCATTCGCCTTGGTTGCCTATTGTGGTATCTTCGCCGTGCCGGCCGACAAACCAGACAAACCTTGGAAGCCTTGTCTGTGAGTCTGTGTTGTCCCTGTCTGCCTGTCGTCCTTGTCCCTTGTCTTGCAAACTCAGCGGACGCGTTCCCAACTGCGCCGCCTTTACGTCTACTTTCTCCTTGTCGACTCGTCTCTGATGTGGCCGTGCATGACACGTCGAGTTCCAAGTTGTGCCCGGCGTTCGTGTCGTGGCTGCACGCAACTGGTCTGGCCTAGATCGGAAATGAAAGGGGAAGCTCTCGCTCAACTTTCGACCGCTGCTGCCTGACTGCGCGACTGCGTGAATGTGGTAAACTAACTGATACCAGGCCACGTAAACTCCAAGAGGTGTTTGTACTCAAGCTAGGTTAGAACACGAGGCGACCTCGATATAAAAGAGTAAAAACGAAGTGAATTTGTGCGTATATTTTAAAACCACCAGAGGGGGAAATAATAACATAAAACAAAAACATAAGCCATAAAATTCAGCCATTTTTAAAAGAATATGAACTAAATGAGGTCTTACTGTGAACATTTACTTCATTTAATAGGTGACTGTGCGGGCTGACGACGTCGCCGTCGCGGTAGGCGTACAGGAAGACGCTGACAGGTGCCGTACTGTTTGCGAAAAGTGAACACATACACCCATACACCCATACACCACCACGACCAGCCAATCGCCCTTACAAAGCATATCGAAAGTCTGCATTGTCGAGCTCCGTGATGTCGCGCATGCCCTTTTCGACGGCGCTCTGCGCGCGTTCTTCGGGCGAGCGCGGGTCGTCGGCGGCGGCGCGGTCGCGTTTCCGGTTGACGGCCCACATGTAGGCATAGAGGACGAGGCCGAAGATGGTCTTGAACGAGAAGCCAATGAGGATCCTGGGGAGGGGGGGGGGGGTTAGCTGGGCGGCACGAGCACGCGGTCTGACACAACAACGAGCAAAAGACAAAAGGGGTGAAGCGAGGGGACGCACGCAATATAGGCCGAGCGGTACAGCGGCGCCTCGGAGGCGCGAAAGGTCTGGGGCCCAATAATGTTGCCGACGCAGTAGCCGACAAAGACAAAGGCGCCCGTCAGCTGCTTCTTGGTGTAGCCGGCGACGTTGCTGCTGACCATGGTGAGGCTGAGGCTGAAGCCGACGGAGATGAACGACAGCAGCCAGACGGCGACGAGGCGGCCCCATTTGTTGCCTGTGCCGTCCGGGCCGGGATCGAGCCCGACCAAGACGCCGGCGGCAACAACGCACACGAGATTGCCAGACAGCATGGCGAGGCAGCGCATGTTGGGCCAGCGGCTGCAGACGTAGCCCGAGGCCAGCAGGGACACAATCTGGACGACGTTGCCGGGGATCTGCATGTACTGCGTCTGCAGCGTGGTGAAGCCAAACGTCTGGAGGACAATGGACGTAAAGGACGACTGGGCCGCGTTGGGGATCTGCGCGGCCACGGACATGAAGAAGAGGATCCACGTCTTGGGGTCGCGCAGCGTCTGCCACAGCTGGTACGCCTTGAAGTGGTGGTTCTTGACGCCCTGGTGGTTGGCGGCGACGCGCTCGACGGCGACGACGGCGGCGCGCCGGTCGAGGAAGCGCGCCGTCGTCGGCAGGTCGGGCATGGCCGCCAGGAACACGACGGCCCAGACGAACGAGACGGCCCCGAAAATCAGAAACACGTACTGCCACTGCGCCAGCCCCGTCGTGATGTGGCCGATGGCGTAGCCCAGCAGCCCGCCGAAGATGCCCGCGACGCCGTTCATGCAGTAGTAGGCCACCAGCCGCAGCGGCTGCTCGTCGCGCGTGTACCACATGGACAGGATGAGCACAAACCCGAGATTGACGACGGCCTCGGTGACGCCCAGCAGAAACCGGTTGGTCGCGATGCCTGTAAAGTTGCGGCACGCCGGCGTCGTGAGCAGCAAAACACTCCAGCCGAGCATGCTGGCGCCGAGGAAGCGGCCGGCCGGGTAGCGCTGGAGAAGGTAGCCGGCCGGATATTGCGCGACCAAGTAGCCTGGCACGTTAGACGAACTCTAGTATAAAAAAAAAAAAACATGAGACCATCAAGGGTAGCGGACCAAAATAGAAAATGGACGCCAGCCACGAATACTGCTGGCCGTGCAGGTGCGTGCCGGCCTGCAGCCCGTAGACGCTGGCAAAGTTGATGCTCGACTTGTCCAGGTACTGCAGCATGTACGAGCCCATGAGCAGCGGCAGGATGTGCCAGTCAATCGCCCGCAGCACGCGCCGCGCCTCGGCCGGATCGACAGACGCCGCGTGTTGCTGGGCGTAGACATCGTATGTCTCGTCAAATTCGTTGGACGACGCGGTGCCAGTGTCGCCGATGGTCTTGCCGCGGTTGACCGTCTCGTCGGGGACGTGGCCGTCGATGACGGTCTCCTTTTTCTCGTCGGCCATGATGTCGGGTGAAGGAGTATGCAGCACTTTTTTTTTTTGCTTTTTACTCTTCATACTTCGTTCCCTTCTTTCATCTTCATCGCCGGGAGGACACACAATATAAACATTGTGGCGTCTGTTCGTCCCGCGACAGTCCCCGCGTGCTGCCAGACTCCTTGGGAATGCAACGTGCACATCGCATGCCGTGATGATGCCATGGCGATAGTTGGACGATTGTGCAGGGCATCCGCCAATGAGACACGCCCGCGATGCCGTGACGGTCTTGGACCCCTGCTCGAGGGCTATCTCCGAGCATCCTACCGACAATACGGAATACGGGATGGGCCTTAGTCTGGACAGGTCGTTATGTAGGCAAGTCGTTGTACCGTATGCCGCTGACAACCCAACTGCCTTATCAACCTGTTGGATGTAAAATGGATTCCATGTTTCAATCAGAGTCATCGACTTGCAAAGTAATTAGACTCGCACCATGGCACGCAAACATAGGGTTGCAGTATGGAAAGATACGACACGGGAATAACACTTTGTTATATGCTCGTGTGGAATTGAGATTTCTTTTTTGGGACTCCGGTAGGTCCCGGTGGCTTAATTTACACGACTTTAAAATAGCAACCAATTTCGGCTTATCTTTGCTACTCATCGGAAATGGGAAGTCGGATGTGCATTCTCAGATATTATTAACCGAGCCTTGTAATGAGACGCATTTGAGACTCTGAAGATACCCAATGGCCGGTCGCGGGCTTTTACTGGACTGCAATTGTTGGTTTCTCTATAGTTTTCTTTTCTTTTTCAATTCATTTATGTTTCGGTCTCGTGAGAATCCCCATTTATATATATATAATTCCAGTGTATTACAGTGCCACTCCATACGCTCCGTTACACAAATGATCGTCAGCTTTCCATCTCATATAATTATGTTCTGTCCATTATAAAAGGTCCACTCTACCATCAACACCTGTCCTGTCGCGTCCCAGTCACCCTTCGGCACGCAGAGTCCTTCAAATCACAGGCGTTGGGTCAGTGCTACTCTCTAGGGAACTTTTGCATCGGCGCCTTTACGCTCGGTCATTTGGAGGACCTCTGTAAGTTTCTTCCCGCCTGCTGGCCACTTGCCTGCTCCATCTTGAGCTGGAATTTCGCCATTCAAGATTTGTGCGCTGGTGAGTTTCGCTCCGTAGAAGTCGGCATTGACGTCGGGTCGTTCCTTGATCACAGTGCCGTCCAGGGTCAGGCCACCGTAGAGGCCCCGTGACTTCGTATATGTCCAGACCGGCTTGATTTCCTTCATGTCTGCTGTGCCACCAATGGGTCCAGCGGCGAGGGCCACCACGCCACCAAAAGACATTTCCGGGTTTGTGTACGCGTCGACGGCGGCGTGTGTGTTCAGCACACACACGCAGTCGTATACATCCACGCCGTACGCGAGACCGACGCCGCCGGACCGCACCGAGAAGGCAGACGGAGGCGACCAGGTCCCGTCTGGAAGACGCGCAAGAACGATGCCCGAGCCCCCAGAACCGGCGAGGTACATGGCGGCCCGGAAGCCTGTGAAGATAGCTAGGCCCTTTGCATTTGCGATAACGTCTGCGGGTATCTTGCCTTTGTCTACCGTCCGCATGGGTTAGTTACAGGATGAGGAAGAAGTCGCTTGAAAGCAGAAGAGTACGTACCAAGAAAGTCATGCAGTATCCGAGCTGCCTTGTCGCACTCTTTTTCGAATCCTGTTGCTTTGAAAACCCCCATGTTGGATGTTGGATGTGTTGTGTCTCGCAAGAAAGGGGTGCGCATGAAGCAAGTTTAGGATGTAGGTAAAATGTATAAGTAAGCTGCATAGTCAATACTGACTTTCGTTGTTGCATGACTACTTAAGAAAAATTAAATGTTATGCATTGCACAGGGTTTTTATATTACTGGTCAACCTCTAAAGAGAGAGCATTGAGAGGCGTATTTGGGTGGGGGATATTGAGGAATGATTCCAAACTCATTGCAATATCTCAATTATGGGTAGCTCTATGTGCGACGGTGACATAACCTTGCATGAACAACCGGCCTGATTCCAAATTGATTATGGTTCATGATTTGTCTGCTTACTTCACGTGACGGTGTCCATTACCAGACTATGGCTATAGAAGGCGGACAGCGGGTCCTCTCTGCCCAATGTGCAGCCTGTTTTTGTTTCTTCTTTGTTAGTTTTTGTCTCTGGTGTGGTTGTTTTGGTGAAAAGAGAATCGGAGATCCATAATGTCGAATAGCTGTTGGACTGTAGTACCAACGTAATTAAGCATTGGACTGTTATTCCTATTGTTGTCTATGTGCTACAGGAAGTATAAAGTTATAGACCCAAACAACCAATTCTATACGTGAGAACCAAAAGCAACTCTAGACTCATCCTGGCGGAGTGAAGCTGAAAAAGAAGGCTGATGCTCACATGTAGAGCGTACAATGACCCCAAACATCAGAGCTACCCCAAATCCGTAACGCGTTATAGCATGCTTGCTCCACCGTCGTCTGAGTCTGACGATTCATCTGATGCACTGCCAGTAACGTGGCGTCCTTCCACGGTGCTCCAAATTTCCTCGTCGTCGTTATAATACGGGCAGAGATGTTCTCGCCCAACCCAAAGTTTTTCAAAGTCGCGCCTGGTATAAAACCGAGAGTAGCGAGCCACACGGGGGTGTTCCCGGCGAAAATCTGCAACGCCTAACCCAAAATCCGCCAGTACAGCATCCCACACGTCTCCCATACGACTGGTTCCAAAATCCGGGTCCAAATAGGCCGCTTCGGAAACGGACACGCCCATGTCATCAGTGGCGAAGGGATTAGCACCGTGGTCAATAAGATACGTCAGGGCAGCCTGCGCCCGCTGCTCATATCCTCCATCCGGATACCAGGAACGTCCAAAGCATGCATGTAGACATGTTCTACCCAACGAATCGCGAGCGGAAAGTTTAGCACCTCTGTCTACCAGGAGCGACAGGCATGCAACGTTGAAATGCCAGGAAGAACAGTGCGCGAGTAAGGGTGTGAAATGGTAGTCGTGCATGCCAACATCGCTCTCGATTGTGAAGAAGCCAGAAGAATTGTCCAAGACAATCTTCATCGATTCCTAAATCGTGCTGTTAGCGCTGGTTACGATGCAGTCTGGCTGAATGCATAGGATTGAGTTACCGGAACGCCTAGTTCCAATACTTCAGCGACGAAATTTCGCTCGCCCCGTCCTTGCTTGTCGACCAGCGGAATCGTGGGATCACAACCAGCCTCCAGAAGCAATTTTCGACATGCTAGAATCGGTCCCAACACGTCATCTCCTATTTCATCATCACTGTAGTCTGTCAATAGTGCTGTTCCTGAACAGTCCCATAGAAAACCTGACGGCCCTGTTCTGCTGGCAACATGATCTATGTCTGCTCCATGTTGGAGCAGAAAGCGACACATTTCTGGCTGGCAGTTTGCATACTTGATCGAGTCAGTACGAATGACATACGCTGGTATCATGTTCAAGAACGCACATGTAAAAGAGAAGCGCCAAATTCGTCCTGATCCCTAAGTGAGGCTGTTCCGAGACGCAACATCTCTTGAAATTCTGCCATGCGGCCTTGGTGTACGAGAGAGAAGACACGGGAGGTACAAGGAAGAATATTGTTGACGAAAAGCCTGGGTATAGCATTGAAGGTTCCTCGGTCGTCGCTGTACTGTCGCACGATTACCTGAAATCCCTGTCGAGGCAGCTCGGATTGGGGAATGAAGCAGATTCGAGTCTCAGTATCTCTGTCGGCAAGAGACGCTCGCCGTCTTGGCTTCTTCCGCTGTCTCAGTTGTCTCTGTTGTTTTTGCCGTGATCTCTCAAGCGACATGATCGATACATTGCCGAGAGAGAGATTGCATGTCCGCATCCTCATATGAACACTGGTGACCGTTCCTGCCCTGTGTGTTGGTTTTCCTAAACGTTCGTTAACATAATTTTACATGAAACACTTCGTCATCATTGTTTATGGCAGCAAGATACTCACCTTTTTCATTGACAGAAACTTTCTGCGAGGAGAGAGCGATTCCCTGGACCGTCTTCAAGTTCTTTCGCAATTGCGCAAGGTCACGCTTGGTGCCTGTCTCGCACCAGTGTTGATATGTCGACACGGACGTCGCAGCCGACGCGAGAAATGCGTCAGACGCCATCGTTTGGAGAAGAGCAACCAAGGCATCGCCAATGTCTGCGGCTTCGTCGAGAGAAAAGACGCCTTGCTTGTTGTGAAGAGCCGTCAAGATGGATGTTATGCTATCCTTTAGCATGGCATACGGCAGGACGTCCTCGGCGGGCATGTCATCAATTGACTGCATGTCCTTTTGGGCGTCGTCGTTTCCTTGGACGTCGTCGGATTGCTGGTTTCCCTGTTCGTCTCGGAGTTCCTCGACACGCGCGCCAACGTCGCGCTCGACAGACAAACGAGAGAGTTGCTCCAGAATCTGGTTGAGCATGTCAATCATCTGATCTCCTTGGACTTTTGATCCCAAACCCAACAAAGCAGCACGAAATGCCTGTCCATTACTGCGCGTCTCGTCTGTCACTTGCGCCATTGTATCGTGAAGGGTTGTCGTCACTGTTTCGCGAACCGTTGCCGCCATGCTCGTGTGGTGCTCAATCACAGCAGCTCGGCTCTCTCCGATGGCCTTCTGTATTGTGCGCCCTTCTCGTTCCACGATGGCAAGCTGATCCCGCACCTCGAACAGCATATCGCTGTAGCACATAGACGGCATCAGCAAAGTTGATCTCTCCATTTTATCGCCCCGGTTTGAGAAAAGACGTACCTTTCTATGGCGTTCAGGTGAAGGCTCAATGCTCCTCTGTGCTCAGCCAATGCCGTACTCATTTTTTCCAAGTCTTTGATTTTGAAGGAAGCCTTGAGCGTCTTCCATTGCCTCTTGACCATTTTCTCCGCACCGCCCACTGCCATCGCCTTGAGCATTTTGTCGTAGGCTTCAATGTCCTTCGCGCATGCTTTGATCTTCATTGCGAGAGTTTCATCTCTCTCATCACTTATGGCGCGAGACCTCGAAAGCCTCTCCAGCGTAGAGAGTAGGCTCTCGATGTGCTTGAGAAGGCGGTTGACCTGTTCTTTTGTGTCTTTGTACGTCGACAGGACGCCACAGCTGAGCTTGATACTCTGGAGAAACAGAACAGCGAGAGGAATGGCGGCCGCCGCGGTGCTGAAGGGATCCATGGCCAAATGAACTGCTGATACGGTCGGTTAGAACTCTTTCAACTTGCGAGTGATAGCAGGGGAGAAGAAAACATTTGATTTCGACGACAGAAGGGATGTCCTCGAAGGACGTGAGTCGCCTTGGTCGGGCGGGGCTTCTTTTGGCCCCCAATGTATTTCTCTCAGCTGGGTCTGCCTTGCAAGGCTCACCGCCAACTTGTATTCTTTCATTTTTGTTATGTTTACAGGGTTTTATGTTTTATTGCATAACTGCAGTTTGGTTGGCTGCGCATGTGACATTCAAGCAGCAATATTGATTGTACAATGGGGCATGGACCTTGTGCAATCTTTGCGCTCTGAAGCGTAGACAGCAGTGACCGCGTCACACTGTGACATTACAAAATATACATATTTCGCAGGCAGCCACTCAATGTGCATGTAGACAACATGTGCCAAATTGCAAAAGTGCATGTCTAAATGATTCGGATGGGAGTCCAAGGCGTGCGGCTATGGACAGGATTGTCGTTTTAAAATTCACGCGCGGGACAACTTTAACTGCACGCAACATTGAGGGTGTACAGAAGTCTGTTGTCACTCATCAGAAGCTTAGGGTCTGGCTGCCTATCACAGTAACATTGTGCCGATTTCCTCAGGCGCATTTGAGCAATATCAGCCAATACATCGTCGCATGCGCTTCTCCCAGTCATGTACTTTATGCTTTCGGGCGCTGCTGGCTACTGTTTGCATCTTCTGGTTCTATTGCATGAGGCTCTTTAATGTTTTTTTCCGAGTAAACTAAAATCAACGTCGAAAGGCACTGTATAAAGGTTGCTATCTTTCCGTAGCTTTCAGCATGGCCCCATGGGTCTATTATTTTCTTCTGCCTGTTGACACACAGCAGATCACATTGCATTTTTTTTCTTTACTTTTGACATACAATCGTTTATGATGACAACCTCGTCTGGAGAGAAGGGATTTTGCATGCACTGTGGCCATTCTATGAACAGTCACACCAGTGCGCGAGATTCGAAATGTAAGAAGTGCAAAAAGCGAATCATCATCTGTCAGACCAACTCCCACGGCACTGGTAATGATACACTTGGTTACCGCATCTGTTTCTTGCCATGCCATTGCGGCGCCGACTTTTATCCGGCCAAGGCTCGGGCCGCTACCCTGTTGCAGCCACACGAGCACCAAGTGGATCATCCAGGGTACCGGCCGCTTGAGAACGAGTCATCCGAAATTTACGATTACGAGGAGAGCTCGGTTACAGGTGCTAGTTTTGTTGGCGGTTCTGGAGCCATGTCAAGTGCGAATGCCTATGACCGCAACGTACGTTTATTTTCTTTCTTTCTTTCTTTCTTTCTTAGGGATAACGGGGATTCGTTGATTAAAAGGAGAGTCTTACAGCATTCTTGAGCGGGCCTGCTGACTGATTATAATTGGTCGTCACACAGGAAATACTACGGGCCCATCGTAAACATCCATCTGACCTGTCTGACGACCCCATTACGACTCATGACAACACTGCTTTACTTTCGACCGCTGAAAGTAAAGGGAAAGAAAAGGTACCGAGCCAAAACGCGTTACAGCATATCCGCCACTTGTCGCACGAATCCATCGACCCGATCTCGCTGGAGGCGATGACGCACGGTTCGGTACCGGAACTAACTAGCTTAATGGCGGAAGCTAGTCTCGGAGACAATACTGGACAAGTTGACGCGATGCCTCAACTATATCCTGACATTGGACAGAGTAGTCCATTTGTGGGCGATTTACCGTACGTGGAGGCCGACAACGACGGGGAGCACATCCGGTTTAGCCTTGCCAGCGGAGAGAAGTACAAGACAAGGCTGGAAAACTGGGAGGAGCGTGTTATGGGTGAAGACATCTACTACTTGTACACGTCCAAGTCAGGCTGGCAAGTTTGGACGGACGATGTCACATATCATCCGATGGAGTCAGGTAGTAAGGACAAGAACAAAGTGCGCAAGGGAAAACACGGAGGAAGAAATTGGAAAAAATGGATCTCGTAACGAGAAAACATCAGAGGCTTTCTTTTGCTAGCATATCAGTTCTTGCAATTTCCATACGTTAGTCAAAGCCTCCCCATCCGCGAATCCACATATGCGACTGGATTCCATTGAAAACCGCCAAGCTCATGTCGTGTTCGCCGCGCATGTCGACCATACAAAAGCTAACCATACGCCGCGTTGCTTCCAAGGACGGCTCAAGCTTAACGACTGCGTTTACTGACCGTGTTGTAATGGTACGGCTCTCCTTTATACACATATCAAGCTGATCCGGCACGTCCTTGACGGTGCGGCCTGTGTCGGCCTGGAAGCCGCGCTGCTCGCTGCATGTGACGCTGTTGTTTTCCTTGATCCACCATACCCATGCGACGTACTGGCGCTGGCAGCCGCGTTCGAGCCAAGGCCAAATGTCCGGTTCGATACATGATTTGCGAACGTGTCCAAAGGGACGCCACGCAAGAGGGATCGAGGCTCTGTCTTGGAGGTTGAAGTTCATCCGGTGCCACAACAGGTCGCTTCTCGCAATCGGCTGCGATGTCGCCTCATCGCCTTCAGCCGTGTCTGTGTCTTCGTAGGGGTCCGGTGGCGGAGCGTGGGAAAAGGCGTGCGGGACGCCGGACCAGGCGAACGCAGTGAGGTCGGGCGTGGCCAGCGAACCGCATCCTTCCTGCTCCTCCAGCCTCTCCAGGTACCGCTCCACCCAGTCGAGGATGTGCGAGTTGCCCAGCATGCTCATGCCCAACCACCAAAGAGCCACGCGCGGCCTACGCAGGGCAAAGACCTGCACGAGCTTCAAGGCGCTGCGTGACGCCAGAACGGGGCGCAGGGCATCCAGCGTGCCGGCCAGCCAGGGACTGACCAGGCGGGCATCGACGCCGGGCTGCCAGAAGACGCTCCAGACGATGGAAGCGACCAACCGCGGGCTGCTACTGAGCGTCATAAAGTAGTTCAAGTCGGTGACATACCGTTGAATGCTTGGCAAGCACGGCACCGACCCCTCGTCTCGGCCGTATCGGTAGTTCTTACGCCTCCGCAGATGTGGCAACGGAAACTGTGGCTGTAGGCCGTAGAGTCTATACAAAGGCAGTGTGAGTGCAGCCATGAATGACGCGGTAATGGGCGAAACCGTCACCACATCATTCGCCTCATCCACCGCGTCAAACCCATAGAGAGCACAAAACTCGGCAAGCAGGATCGAAGCACCGGCTGACGACGGCGGCGCGGTCTCTTGGATGTCGTCGTTGGCGACCACGGCGAAGACGGCATCCCCCGTCCACAACGACGCCCACGGCGGCACCATACGAGCGCCTCTGGCGCGCCAGCCAGGCTGTGGCGACAGAAGTGCACACAGCCATCGGACCAGCTGTGGCGAGACGCTGTCGCCCGTCAGGTTGAGGACCAGCCTGCCCTGCTGTCGCAAGCGCGCCGCGTTGTCCGCACTCTGTGGCTGCAGCGCCTCGGGCGTATACACGACCGTCCGACGCTGAATTTCAAGGAGACGCACCGACAAGATGTACGCCCAGCCGAGTGTAAGGATCAGATGGCCGCGTGACGGTGCAGCCGGTGTATGTGCATGTGCGTCTGCATCGATATCCGACGGGCGGGCCGGTGCAGGCAAGGTACCGAATGTAATGGCCCTCTTGTACCACAAGACAACTTCTTCACGCCGGCCTGCCACCGTTTGCAGGTCCACAGCACTGCCCCGGTCTTTCGTGTCGCGTATGCCCGTTGCGCCGTTTGTTGCGCCCTGGTCCTGTAGGGGGTCCGATATGTGCCACATCGGCTGGCCGGCCAAGAGCAATGTAGACGGCATCTGTCTGGGCAGCGGCGGCACGTCTTGTAGCAAGATGTACGGGTCGTTGAGATGGCACGGGACCGAGCCCGGTGGCAACGCGTCGGCTTCGCAGACAAAACGCTGCCACGTTGCACGGGCCTCGTGAAACATGCGGTCGATGACGGCCGGCGTGGGGATCAATGGATCGCCTTCGGCGCCGATCAGCTCGGTCGGCAGGGAGGACAAGTCCGAACCGACCTCTTCCACGCCATGGTTGTACGCAAAGTCAAACTTGTCTTCCGTCGTCTTGGGCGGCGCCTCATTGGACGCGTCGCCGTCGACCTTGGGCAGAAACGCACCGGTGCGTGTCCAGTGCTCAACTTGGCAGCCGCCCATTCCGTGGAGTTCTTTTCGCTGCATCGCGTATCGCTATATCGATACGAAGGATCTTCAGACGGGCGCCTTGTCGCTGTTAGCATACTTGAGGCAAGAGCCGCCAGATACACCGCCGGATGCACAACAGGGCCGCGTATGGCCGGCTGTCGGCCAAAGTGAGGGCGGATCTGGTTTGTTTGCAAGACGGTTTTTGCACAAAAAATCCCAACTTCTTGCGAGTCAAAATATACATCACGTGATATATCATATGACTTTTCCTGTCGTCACGACATAACATGGACAACGTCCAAGGACAACATTCGTAAATTCGCCAGGAGTCTCAACGGCTTGTATTATGTTTCAAATGTCGTTGGTTACATCAAAACGCAAACTCTACACATTGTACAAATTCCCATCGATCGGCCATTTTGTCAGCTATTGAGCTCATCGCCCTCTGAATTATTGTATTGTTGCATTGTAGTGTATTTTGATCCGAATTTGGTAGAGCACACCTCATATTATTCAATCACTCGTCCTCCATCACATGGGTATTCTTAATGGTACGCTCCTCCGGCACGTTCATGCCTTCCGTGCCCGTGATGCGGCGGTTGACATAATTGTTCAGCAGGGCGTCAATGTCGGTACTGAAGTAGGCCGCGATGATGCCGAGCCCGGAAAAGGCTAGTGAGGCATAGTACACGGTGGAAAAGGTGTCGGCCCAGGCGGTCTTGATGCCGCCGGCAACGGCGTCCTCAATGGCAGCGTTCATGCCGGGCACGGCTTCCAATGCAGGGATGGTGCCGTTGGCGACGGCGGCCAAGGTGGCCTCCAGGGAGCTCGCGGGCAGACCGGCGCCGAGAGCTGCTTCCGTCACGGCCCTGGGCAAGTTGGCGGCCTGGCGGTTGGACAAGATGGCGACATAAACGCTCGCTGTGGGGGAGAGCGTTAGCAGGAAGCAAGAAGAGAGAACAAGAAAAAGGGGGACCGAGGGGTGACGTACTCGCGACGGTGCCAATGAGCTGCTTCATGGACCCGAGGAAGCCGTTGGCCAAGCCGAGGTCGCCAGGCTCTGTAACAAGGCCGTTGGCGACGGCGGCGATGATGTCCATCCATCCGGCGAAAAATGCGGCCATGGTTGTAAACTGGCGAAGGGGGTAGATGTTAGATCGTTGCCAGAGGTAGGAACAGAGTTTACGGACAACCCGCGACGTACCGCAATGGCGTAGTTGTCGCCTTTATGGGTGGTGCCACCAAGGGCAGCAAGGAACGCGAACAACACCGACGTCGAGATGAGGAGCTGCAGTCTCGTGTTTCCAAAGAATCTCAACAGGATACCAAAGAAGGCCATGCCGACAATCAAGCCCAAGCCAGACGTGAGCTGCAATGGTCAGTAATAACGTAAGAGTCGGTGTAAAGTAGATCATGGAATGGACGGCTACGTACCGACATCCATCCGATTTTGATATTGTCCGTCGTAAACGTGTATTGGATTTGCTGAGGCCAGAGAATCGCCAGAGCAAAGTAGGCCATCTGCCCAACACAAGCGACACCCACCATGGCGAGGTAGTTGCGGTTTTTCAAGAGCTTGATGGGCAGGATTGGCTGTTCCAGGGGCATATACGTTTCTTTAACGGGGGTGTCAGTTCCAAATGCCCACCAACTTGATATGTTCCTACCGTTGTTTTGTACGTAACCTACCATAAAGGGCAAAGACGATAATCAACACGCAGCCAACGACCAGAGGCCCCAAAACATGGGCGTCGGACCACGGGTACGTGCTGCCGCCCCAGTTCAGACCCAGCAGGATCAGGACGCACAGGCCGGTGAAGATGAAGATGCCGCCGTAGTCGAGCTTGCGGAGCTCCGTTTTCCAGGTCCAGTTCGTGTGCAAATGCGTCAAGGCCGGCGGGAAGTAGCAGACGGCCAGGAGGAGGAGCGTGGTCGCGTTGAAGACGACGTTGATCATGTACACCCAGCGCCAGCCCCAGGCGCTGTACTGGACCAAGTGGCGGGCAATGACCGACCCGAAGCCGGCAAACGGCAGTGTCAAGACGGTAATGCACGCCTGCGCGACGCCGCGGTGCTTGTTCGGCACCAGCTCGTGGATGAGAAAGGGGAACGAGAGCTGCGTGGTCGTGGCGACGCCGTAGAGGGTGGCGCCGGCCACGAGCACGTGGATGGACGAGGCCGTGGCGCACACGGCCGACCCCACGACGCCAAACACCTGGCCGCCGATCAAGAAGTGGCGGCGGCCCAGGATGTCGCTGAGGCGGCCCATGACGAGCACGCCGACGCAGCTCACGACCGTGCTGGCATGGCTGATCCAGATGTAGGCCGGCGAGTGGCCGAGGTCCTCGTTGATGACGGTAAGTGCGCTGGCCTAGAGCGAATGCGACTTAGATAGCGAACAATAAAACGAAAAAAAAAGGAGCGTCGACAACGTACCGGCAAGTTAAAGTTTGTAAAGAGCGACGACGCGAGGAGGACGACACTAAAGGCAGAGCCCAGGAAGCGGTAGGACAGCCAGTACTTGGCCGGGATGTCGTCGAACTGGACACCGCGAGCGGCTGGTGCTTCGTGGTCGCCGTCAGACGATGCAATCTTGCTCTTGTCCATGTCGATGTTGTCGTGGCCCGCGGCCTTTTCGCCTATTTCGACCTGCGCAGGATCCGTCGTCATGATTGTGTGGCTCGTCTCTGCGGCATGCTTCTTTTGTGAACGGTTGCCGTCTCTGGAGTTCGAGACACCGGACGTGCAAAAGGAGAAAATGGTCAACGGATGAATGCCAATCTCCTATATACCTGCAAAGAGTCGGGTAAGGGGCACCAACGCAGTGGATGTGTAATTACGGCGTACGGAGTGCTCGGTAGCGTTGCTCAACTAAACACATCCCCAAATTCCTCAACTCCTGACCTCCTGAAAGCGTCGACGCAACACCTGCCCAACACGGAGGAAAGAATGGAAGTGGACGGGCGGAGTTGACTTACCCCAGTCGATGCCCAGTCTTGCCCAGCGTTGCCCAGACATGCCCAGACATGCCCAGACCTCAAGACGTGCCCAGAATTATCCAAATGTGCTCACACCACAGCAAGCGAGAAAACAAGCCTGCGGCGCGGCTGTTGACTCCCGATGGTGTTGAATGGAATTTCTTGACTCTGTGCAAGCTTTCGCGGGGCCTAAAATACGTCGACAAAGTTGACATAGGCAGTTTATATGCGCCGACCATCGACGTTAGCGTGCTTAGTATGTTGAACGAGACAACACGAACAGGAGACCACAAGGCTACGAGGCCACCATACGGCTGGTATTGTTGATGCACGCGGTAAAGACTGCACAAAACTGTGCGTCAGCTCTGCCGCCGTCTTCCTGTGACCCGTTTCCCGGTAATGAACTTGACGAGGGTGCGACTCACCGTTATGACTATTCCCTACTTGCCGACGTTGTTGTCTCTCAGACGCGTCTCGTGTGTAATTTGATTCTGCACGTTAACGTTTGCTGCTAGAAGAGAAGCATATAACTTTCATACACCAAATTACCAGGCAATGGGCTTCATTGCCGTAACGGCGGATGATGGACTCTAGCCATCATCATCTCGATTATGAACCATGTCCTCGAGTCGCTTTTCGACGACAGCGATCCACGGGTAGTTTTCCCTATCTTTCTCGCTGATGGTGGCACCTTTCTCCAGTAATTGCAGCGCGATATCATCATACTCCGCCACTGTGGCCCAAAACAGCGCCGTGTGGCCGTCCTTGCCTTTCACCTCGGTGTCGGCCCCTCTCTCGAGCAACAGCTGTGTCACAGCAGGATGATTATTTATGACAGCCAAGCACAGCGCCGTCTGGCTCTGCACGGTTATCCCGTTGATGTCGGCACCTTTCTCCAGCAGCAGTCGCGCGAGAACTTCCTTCCCTTTCCTGGAGGCGATTATCAAAGGTGTCGAGCCATGTACGTCCTTCGCCTTGACGTTGACGCCATTCTCGAGCAACAGCCGCACCGCCTCCTCGGACCCACACAAAATCGCTTCCATTAATGGCGTAAACTTTGTGGTGTTGTCTGGCTTATCGATGTCGGCGCCCTTCTCAAGCAGGAAACGGATCATGTCCGCGTGCCCAGACCTGGCCGCCAACAATAGCGGCGTTCGCCCATATTGGTCCCAGGCGTTCACGTCACCTCCCTGGTCGACAAGCAGCTGTACAACCGAAGGATGCCCCAGCTGCGATGCTAATAGAATGCCACTGACCGTATCAATCGTCAAGCCAAGGCCAAGCCAGTCCGCGAACGGATCAAAGATTTCGGTCCAGATCGTACGGCTCCTTGACTTTTCGCCACAAACAGCCGCAGCGAGCAGCACGATGGCCGCATCGTCGGCGGCATCGGCATTGCGGAAGTGGCCCGGCCAGTTCTCCGCCGCGTAAGTTAAGAAAGTGATGCGGGCCGGAATCAATTTTGACGTTTCGCGCTCTACAAAGTTGAAAATGTTGAGAAACTGCAGACAAATCTCGGCAAGTACCATGTGTGCCTGGCGCATAGTGATCGAATGCTGCCACTGTAGCCCCGGCACGGTCGGTACAGGTACAGACGACGACACGGACAGGAGAAACTCCCGGGCGGTTTGGTGGAGGAAATTCACGCGGCCATGGTGAATGGAGACAAACAGGCCACACCAATCGCGGAGACGTGATTGGAAGTCCGCTTCGGTCTCCAGCTCCAAGTCGGCGAGCGCCGTCTCCTGGCCGGTGGTGTTCATGGCAACGTTCATTTCGGCGAGCGTCAGGGGCCGGACCGCGGCCAGGATGACGCTCAGGGCCTTTCTCACCATCGGCTCGTCCTTGGACTTGTTGAGAATCTGCTCGTAGGCCTGGTTGACGCTCTCGGGCAGCTCCTGCAGCGCAGCGACGACGCCGCGCGACGTCCTCTTGAACCCGGCCTCGAGGCTGTCAAAGGCAAGATGCACCCAGAGATAGGTGCGGTGCTCGATGCTGAGCAATCGTGTCTCCAGCGCCGACTTGACGTCGGGGGACAGCTGCTTCTTTTTGGCCAGCTGCTCGACGCGGTAGTGGATGACGTGGTTGACCTCGTGGCTGATGGTTTCCGACGCCTCCTCGCCCGGGATGCGAATGTGCGGGAACGCGTCCGACAGGCTCCAAAATTCGTCGACAATCTGGTCGTAGGGGCGGCTGGTCAAGAGCATCTTGAACTTGGCATGGGACGACTGGGTATCGTGTAGCAGAGTCTCCAAACTCCGCATCAGGCCGTCGAACTGGGACGCGGCACATTCATCCAACGCATCGAGAACAACAATGACCGGCCCGGCGTGTGGGTCGCGTACCGCGTTTCCCAGGATCGCCCAAAGATCCTTCTCAAACTTGTTCAGATGGTGGCCGTGTATTCTGTACAGCGGTATGGCATGCAGCAGAAGATGTGGCTTCTGGGAGAAGAGCTGGTACAGAAGAGCACAGAGGGCCTGGCGGGACGTGTTCTGGTCTTGGTCTTTGAAGAAATAGTAGCAGATTGTACTGTTCACGCTGTTCGCGGCGTCCGGGGACTGCACGTTCTGCAATTGCTCTGCCAGCCCCCGGTCAATCAGATACTTGGCGAGCACCGACTTGCCGCACCCGGGATCGGCCGAGACGAGCAGCGGGCCAGAATCTTGCGCCAGCCACTGCCGGAAGTGCTCGTGCTGGAGGACCCACTGACACGTGCCCTCGACCAGGTCTTCCACGCGGTCCTTGTACCACTCGTACGTCGCATCGTCGGCGTTGGTGAGGCAAAACAGCTCACGGCACGCAATCTGCTCGTCCGACAGCCGCTGGCGCACGGTGTCCTCCCGGATGTCCGTCTCGAGCTGCAGCTGCTGCTGCAAGACAGAGAGTTGCTCCGACAGAAGCGAGCCCATCACGTCGAGGGCCTGTCGACTTGTCTCGTTGAGTGCGGCCAGCTCGCTTTGTGTCGCCTCTGCGTCCTGGTGTCCCACCAATTCCGTGATCTGGCTCACGTCTTTGCGGATCGTCTCGCCGCGCGCCTCGATGTCGAGCATCATCTGCGTCCAGTCTTGGGGCAGAACCATGTCTTTGGCGTAGGTCTTGAGGTGGTTGGCGTAGAACCGCAGCACGCTGCTGATTTGGAACTCGAGAATCTGCCGGTACAGGTCGACGATGTTGCTGTCCACCTGCTGCATTAACCCACGCATATCAACATCGCCCCGTGCGTTGGCAGCCAGGCGGTGTACCAGAGGCTCCAGCTCGACATAGTACCGCATACGGGCGGTGACTGTCTTGAATCCGTGCTGGTTGGCCTCTGCAGCTGTTGTGGGGTTTGTGAGGAGCGGGAGAACGAGGCAGACGGCCGCCCACGCAATAGATGCCTGCGGTGATGCCTGGACGGCCTCGCCCACCCAGTCTTTGGCCCACAGCAAGAACTTGGAGGCCTGGGCAATCTGCTCTTTGAGGACAAAGTCATGACCGGCAATCGTGTATTTCGTAGTCTTCTCGTCCATACGCTTTAGGCCTCCATCAATAACGGTGGTCAGTTGGGCTTGGCGCAGAGAACGCGAACTGTCTTGTGGGGCAGCATCCGATGCAAGATCTGTACACATCGATAAGTCAATTTGTACGACACACGGCGACTCCCAGCGTATGTGGTGAAACGTACTCGCTGTCTGTACCTCCTTGGCGAGGAGCTTCTCATACTCCGTGACCAATTGTTGCTTGTCTTTTTTGAGGACTTCGTACGCGCGATCCCAAAGCGATTGTGATCGGCAGTTCGTTTCCGTCGCTTGGATTGCGGGTGTAGCGTGCAGTTCCTCATGATGAACAGCAGAGGTCAGCTTGTCTTCGTTGCCGTTGACGGGAAAAGTGGAGACAGCGGGTGCGGCATCGGCTTCCGGTCGAGCTAACCGACCGTGGTGTTCGGGCCGGTCCCGCTGTTCCCGCTCGCCGTCCTTTCGGTGCCGCCACCAGCCTCGCACCTTCTTGCGAAACCCTAAAGGTTCCACGGTCTTTTCGTCCGAGTTTGCATTTGCGTCCGCAGGCTTGAGCTGATGCGCGGGACCTGGCTCGTGGCGGTCGTCGTTTTTGGAAGATGGCATGTCAAGTGTGTTTTGTTGGTTTGAGACCTCCACTACTTGTGGAACATTTCACAATCGCCGCTTCGCCGCCCTGGGAGAGAGAAGGCAAATCCCGCCTTTGGATGCAAGTGCGACAATGCGCCATATGCCTAATTCCGCTGGCGATTAATGCTGTGACCTGCCGAGAGGCAAAAATGCGCGCAAGATGAGATCTCGGGCGGCTACCCTTGACGAGGGGAAGTTTGTGGCTACGAGAGGTGGGGCATTGTTAGGGACCGTTCCGTTGCGGCTGTGCCCAGCAAATGGGAGCTCATTCAGCTTGTGGAGAGTAGGAGACTTTGCAAGAAGCACTTCCATAGCATTTTCCATGAAAGACTCCTTTGATGCATCTATTTCAAATTTCCGTTTTACAATGAACAATATATAAGGATGATGACTCTGTATTTTTTTATGTATTTTGTAAATATTCAAACCGAAACCAAAAAGAACGAGTGAAGAATAAAATATGCCCTAATTTCCTTCCACTGCCAAGAGTCGGTTCATCCTTGCTGGTATAGTTCTATCTCTGAAAATTAATTAGGTCCCTGGGGTCAATAATAGACAAAAACAACTCATAGACTTCACTTACAAAATTTTGATGCCGTCTTTTATGTCAGCTGTGTTTGGTGGGTGGGTTGGAGTCCTGCCACCATTGCGAGACCGTGGTAATGTTGACTAGACAATGGCAAGATGCGTCATCCATCATTTGGTTTTTCCGCTGCCGCCGCATGCGTGACATTCAACGGTCGTTTTGCCATCACAGTCATCACAACGGCGGTCGGGGTCGTCACCATCCTCCCCTGATCCATGACAACGAGAACACTCTATTATTTTGTGTCCATTACAGAGGCGGCATTCATCGCCCTCATCGTCGCCCTCGTTCATGACGCAACTGCCGTACAGAGCTCACAACGCCGGCCATTGTTTGGTGGGTGGTTGATAAAGGTATTTATCAGAAGGTGTTTCACTATCGATGTCGTACTGCTGGATCGGTTTTGAGATGTGGTGGGAGAAGTTGATGTGTGTGGACAGGACCAAAACACATCATCGACGATGGAATGATACAGTATCTTATACACAGAATCTGCGGTCACTGATTTCATTCTTGTTTTACAGTCAGTCGGAGCTTTACATAGCAAATACGCCTCGAAATAGAACTCATTGATCATAATAGGAACAGGTTTGATGTCTATTTCCGAATATGGAAGTGGACAATCAGCTCATATTTACATCTCAAATGTCATGGACATGTGGCCACAGTGTCGTCGTTTCTTGATATCCCGTTCCCATTTTAGACCTCTGTCAAAGGAGTAGCATGCAGTGCGCTTCTACACGTAACCAATTCCGTCAGCCCCCCAAGGGTCGGGCCCTAAAACCGTACCGAGCCGCGCGTTGTTGTGACTATTCATAAGTCGGGTGAAAGCGTTGCTCATCTCCCTGACACGACAGCAAGGTGAACTATGAAAAACGGCCATCAAAGATCTTCCAAAATTATATACAAAACCTATGTCACAACAAACAAGGCAAGGGGGTCTTCACCACCAAGAAAGACGTCTCTGTGAGTACCCCATTGCGTCATAATTTATTCTTGACAGGCAACTATGCCCAAGTCAGACTTGTCCAGCACCCACATGCATTAATGTACGTCTTAGGTCTCGTACATCTACAAATACCATCGTAAAGCAGCCGATAAATCCATCTAGATATCATCACTGGACGCCACGTACCAACGGCGGCGGTCTGGGCCCAGCCACCGTAGACAACTGCCCACCAGCGCCGGCTCAGAACTAGATCCGGCCCCTCGGGGTCTTGGCCTCGAGACATGCGGTGAGGGCCACTTCCTCGTCAGCGTGGACACCGAGGCTCAGCTGTATTTCGGCGCCAAAGCCAGTGCCCAGCGGCCGAGGTTACGATCCGTAATGCTCCGTACCTCATGCCGCGACCAAGGCCTTGATCTTGTCAGCGTTTCTGTCGACATGTACCGCGCCTTGGTTTCGTTTGCAATGCTGAAAGTCAAGTTGTCGAACATTGATTGCGTTGACTCAAGAAAGCATTCAGTAAACAAACCAAATAAGGCCGCGGGGGGGTATTCAATGATTGTAGTGGGGGAAACTGTAGCTAGGCTAGGCCTAGGCAGGGCATTCCCTTGTAAGTCGGATGTGTAGGCTATGACTGTGTGTGCAGTGGAAAAATGAAATGTGGCGGGCGGTTCGCCAAGGGCTTTAACTGCCGACCTGGAGCGAAACAACACGGTTTGAATTGCTTCCCCATTTTAACTTATGCTTTTTATATGTTTTAGTATTATTTTTATTCTTGCCATCTTCAAACACCACGGTGAGCAATTAGATCGGCGATTCGCAAACAAACGATCCATTTGCAGGTTCATACAGAACGAGTAGCCATTTCACATACAGAGCTCACGGTATTTCATCGTCGGCAGCCGGAGCAGCCCCGTCCAACACAAATCAATGGCACCTTGGCTTCCCATTATTGCCTATTGAGCCTGGGTTGGGCAGTGGCACAATGGGCTTCGGTGGTGGCGGCGGCGGCTTGGACGGAGCGGTCATTTTGTCTGTTTCGGATAGTTTGACAGATTGGTCGTTTTTCGGGGAGGCAGACAATGCAATTTTGACGGTGTTAAACTTACCAAATACGAAAGGCAATGTAATACGAAGATTCAAGAAAACTAATGAGACGCATGTATCGAATTTGGAAAGTCCTAGGTCCTCGCTATGATTATGATCCATCACCTTGAGTGAATCATCAAATGTGCCACCAGATTGTGAGTTGAGTGAATGAATAATTTTACGATAAACACGGATAACACTACGGTACCTCCTTTCTATTAAGGAGCAAAGTCCAGAGTGATACAACGAAAATAAAGCGTGAGTTTACATGATTCACATTACTTGTTACGGCATATGGATCCAATCAGCCAAACACAGTTTGAAAAAATAAAACAGAAATTGTTGAAAATCGATTTTTTTGACAATTAATTATATAAATATCTACTACGTATACTGCCGACGACCACGACTTGTGTACCGGTGAAGCTAATGACACGTTACTCGAAGCCCGAATCGACGGTGGTGACATGGTTGCCCACTCCACCACCGTCAGTCACTCGGACACCTCGTCGCCCGTCTGCAATGGAAGACTGGTCCAGCGATCCCACGGCGGTCCATCGCCAGGCCAGAGGTCCTGGAACATGGCTTCGTAATTGTCAACGTGCTGCCTCGGGTAGGACCAGTCCGCCTCTAGACATTCCTCGCGTGCGGCTCGCGCCTCCCGCGCTTGGTATTCCCGCACAACAACGTTATTGCTACTCTGGTCGTTTTGGTCCTTTGTTGGCTGGCACACCCACTGTCGCCCGAGGGAATGCAAGGCGTCGTAAAAGAGGGTGTTGAAAATGTGCACCTCCGTCACAAACTGCGGCTCAATGCGGAGATAGCTCAACCGGCGGCGGCCTGGGCCGTGGCCCGCAGGCGGCGAAACGATGTTATAAATGGCCCTCGCGAGCGCCGCGTCCGTGGCGTGGTTGCAGAATATCTCCTTGAGCGACTCGTATGTTGCCAGTTCCCGGGGCGGATGCACGTCGTCGTTGGTCGGCAGGGAGCACCGGAGGTGCAGCAACACGCGCTCCAACCGGGTCAACCTGCCGAGGGCGCGGTAGATGGCCACCTCACGGGGGTCGCCACGCGTGCGCTGTATCTCGACGTAGACCTCCTCCAGGGCCGGGCAGCGGTCCGCTATCAACTCGACAGCGTCTCGTGAAAATGCAAACAGGTCGCGCGCATCGTATGCCCCGTGTGGTGTCACATAATACCCAGCGGCATATGGATGCAGAGAGAGGGTGCGCAGCGAGGAGCCGTGGTGCCGCGTCACAATCTCCACCGTCTCTCTAGTGAAGTGGCCCGACAGACACAGGTAGCGCAGCGGCTTCGCGTGGCTCAAAATCTGGTTGATGGCTGCTTGGTGGGGCCTTGTCGACGAGTGAATACGCATGAGCGACAACATATCGAGGCGTGGGAGGCTTCCGGCCGTGACAAGATTGGCAAGGGCCAGGGTCCTCTCTTCGCTCCAGTCGAGAAGCAGGCACCGCAGGCTGGCCATGTTCTGCGCGCTAAAGATGCTGGGCTCGGCATTGTACTGACAAAGGACGTTTCGGAGAGAGCCCGTGCCGCCCGTGAGCTTCGTCTCCTCGTCTGTTGGGCCCTCCAAGAAAAATCCCCGCCACGCGGGCCGGCCGAGTGCAACGGATTGGTTGAGAGAGAGCCCAGCACCGAGGACCTGCGTTTCGAGCCAGACATTGGCGAGGTTCGGCGCCAGCCCCTGCAGCATCAGGGACACGACCTCGGGCGAGTAGTCCACGGCGCCGTGTGCATCGTATCGACAGAGAGGCGCTCGGATGCTGTAGAGTGCGGGCGACGTCACGAGGGCGAAGTCGTCTGGGCTGATGGCGCGAGGAGTCTCCCTGTCGTACACCAGACTCGGGAGACGAAATCCCAGCACGTGCAGCCGGCAGGGCCGTCTCGCGTCATGCAGTGCGTCCAGGACGCTCCGCGGCACTCTACCGTTCCAGACAAGATCCTTCAGTGCCGGGAGCTCGCGGAGAAACGCCGCCAACGGCAGCCAGTCGTCGTCGTCGTCGTCGTCGTCGTGGTGGATGCCGGGGCCGCGACGAGACGAGAGTGGCGTCCAGCGACAGGGCTGTGCAAAGTGACAGAAAGGAGGGCCGTCGAAGTTGCGCTCGGTGAGCTGCAAATTGGCATCGTCTTCGGCGTGCTTTTGCTCGCTTTGGTCGCTTTGGTCGCTTTGGTCGCTTTGGTCGCTTTGGTCGCTTTGGTCGCTTTGGTCGCTTTGGTCGCCTTCCTCGTCCCCCGGGCGAGTCGTCTCCCGCGGCAGCGCGCCGTCGAATAGAACGCCCCCTACTTTCAATCGATGCACCAGGGCGTAGCGCTCGCCGTGGCCCAGCACAGCTCTGAGGTCCGCCAAGATCGCTTCGAGGTCGTCGAGGTTCGGCACAACGAGCACAATCTGGCTGAATCGTCGCGTTTTCGCCACATCACAGCAGCGGTGGCTGGTGAGAGAAAACGCGCACAGGTCGGATCGATGGTCGGACTCGTCGTCGAGGTAGCCGCAGATGATGTCGAGGATCACGTGCGGGAGGCGCTCAAAGGGCGACAAAGTTGTGCCGGACATTTTGACTCGTCTTGAATTGTTACGCAAAAGATGAAACAAAAAGACATTGGTGGCTGGGTGCACAGTTTTCCCGGTATGTCATTGCACAAACAGCGTCGCATTCGAGGGATCAGGATCCTCTCCGTTTGTCCAAATCCAGACTCGCCAAGACCAAGCGCGTGCTGCATGGATATCATTGGGAAAAGATGAATATAAATAAAAATAAATAAATAATAAGAAATGAATAATAAGAAATAAATAATAAGAAATAAATAATAAGAAATAAATGATAAGAAATAAATAATAAGAAATAAATAATAAGAAATGAATAATAAGAAATAAAATAAAAATATAGACTAATAATACACATACTCCGTATATTAAGAAATATATAATACGTCACCTTTCTCACGTGCAAACGCTTACCAAATCACATCGTACGCATCTATGATGACAGTCGGGGTCGTCCATCAAAAACGTTTTATCAGAACGGCGCAATTTGGGCGCTTCCATGGAATGTGTTATCAGCCTGGTGACAGGACGACGCCGGCCATAGCAGTTGTTACCGAACCGAAGAATAACGAGGAGCGCCAGTAAAGTCCGTGACGGGACTGTTTGGAGCTCCGAAACGGCGGTGACACTGACAGTCGGCGGTGGCGTATGGTGAGAACTTTATTTTTGCTTGGGTGAGGCCAAGAACCAAAGAAAACCAACGCCCCCATACTCTTGCGGCAACCTGCCCAGTCGATCGTCGGCGGCCTTTCCGGTCCAAACTGTCGTTTCACGGTGACTGGTGGACGCATATCTTATGCAGACGCCAATAACGAGGAAACAAAATAAAAGGACATATTCAGTGTCACCAATGTCTTAAAAAACGGAGATAAAAGATAAACGATAAAACTGATCTCCAGGAGATTTGCAACCATGCAGCTGCACGGTTTACGCGAGTGGGCGGTTGCCAAAACGAGAAATTGCCGTAGCTGGCAGGTCGTAATTTATGTGTGAGAGTGGGAGCTTGGGCCCTAGAATGAACAAGGCCCAGCCCAGCGCCACTGCAGCACGTTTCTTGGGTCGTGCAGACGTGTCACTTTGCATTTGTCGGGCCTGTAGCCGCTGTGATGCTGAGATTGATATTTCTGGCACGCTCCCAGTTTTGTCACCGTATCCGCCTACTCCTTTCCTTTATTTCTTCACCCTTGACATATTACCGCGCACCTGTTCGGACCTGCTACGAGCCCGTGGCCCCGAGTGCCCACAACGACGAAAATAAAATAAACACAAACGAACGAAAGAAACAAAAGTCTCCGGAGTACGACAGAAGTCTTACAGCGAGTGCGAACAATTTTGAGGCTGGACTCGACCTGTCAGATCGTGCTTGGATCTTCGTTCCGCCGTCGAGACGCCAAATCTCGACAAGATCGCCCGTTGAACGAGACGAGTAGTTTCACATGCTTCGCGAAGACGCGGCACAAAAGCTAAACGAACGCAAACTGTTTCAGGCCAGATCACAGCCAGTTTGGACCGGCCACGCGGTAACAGCGACCCTAAAAACAAGCCACATACTATTTCGTGCTATCCAGGCCTCTGGTTAGGGGCGGAAACGTGGCGGACATGCGTGGTTGTGGTGTAAGGGGGAAGGACCCGCTGGCAGGCAAGAAAGGGGAAATATAAAATGGAAAAAGGAACATTAACGATCCTGAAAGGCAAAGGTGTCTGGAATCTGGCGTCTGGATCCCATCCAAAACCACAAAATAAAAGACGCCTATTGGCCGGCTCCGACCTGCGACATGCATCGATTGCAGCAAGGAGGCTGCAGTGTAAGCGAACATCGACGTTTGAGGCAATTGTTTGCAGTCGTGTTGTTCAAGACCAGCCTCTAAAGTTTCCGAGTACAAGAAAGCCAACAAGTGGTTGCGGCCATAAGCAGGTCAAGTACGGAGTACCTTTCGTCGAACGCGGAGACATGTTTGCAGAATCAACTGGTATCACATTGTCAGACTGCCGTTGCATTGTTCTATCCTGCGTGATTGACGACGAGACAGGGGTCTTGACATATCAGCTTGGACAAACAACACTCGGGCCGTGGTGTTGTCGCCGTCGTTGATGTTGGTTGTTTGCGTTTGGATTCCGTTTCTCGATTTACCTGATGTCGCCAGGTCTTGGCCGCGTCGTTGGTGAGGCTGCCTTTGGGCCAATTTGGCCGACCGTGGTTCAAACGGCTACTGAAAAGCCAGGCGGAGACCGGGTCTTAATCAGGCCGACTTTGGCAACCCAATTGCAGACGAAGTGCGCCAAAAACGGTATCTTTAGATATGAGCTAACAAGCGTCGCGAACTGACGCGGAACGACACCCAGAACCCGTTTTGTCGCTGGACTGCGGCAGCCGGGTAAAGTAGCCGTCGCTTGGGCAGGGCGGCTGACAGTCGTGCAGTGACCCGGTAAAAAGCACGACTGCGGCAACATACTTGATTCGGGAAACGTACACAATGTCTGTTCGGGAAATCTACACAATGGCTGACATGTCCAGTCACTACATGGCGACAGTTGCAGCTTCGAGACGGTGAAACACGCCCTCAGACCCAAGGCGCAAAGGCACGCGCATAGCAGTGGTTGCGGGAGGAACCGGCTGGTCTTGATGGCACTGCCAGACAACATTGCTTCAGGCTACGAAACACGGCGCAAACAGACACGTTGTGAATAGTTGTAAATAATGCTCAAGGCTCAAGCGCAGCAGCCCCTATAGCGCATAACAACCCATCCCGACGGTCCTATGTTTGGAAGAAGTTTTTTCTTGCAGTCAGCATTCCCTGGGTTTCCGTTTCTCGTCTTTTTCTCGTCCTTTTCTCGTCCTTTTCTCGTCCCTTTTTCGTCCCGTCTTGCCCTTCTCGTTCTCCACGACATCACCCGCATTTTATTCCTCTTTTCCCCCCTTCGCGTAGGTCGATCGCGGGCGCCTTCCCGTGCTTACTTTCTTTTCATTCTCACGATGCATCGTACTTTTTACTCTGCAGTGCTTTTGTATTTTCGTTCGTTTTCTTTCATACTATAGCCATCTGACGGACAGGAATGTTCATCCGTTCCTCTCGCTCAGGCCTTGGCAACGCGCCCGTCCTTGTGTCGCTTTCTGTCGCTCGCTGTCCGTGTCTCACCATTACCAAATATAGGGACGTTGATTCTTTTTAAACTCGCAACCCGTGCAGTGAAATTCCAAAACGACGGGACACCGTCTCGGTCGTGACGTTGGGCCCTGTCTCTGTCTGCTGGCCCTGTCTGCTGGCCCTGTCTTTCGCGCACCTCCCTCTCGGCGACTTTTCTTGTTCTGTCTAGGTCCCTCTGACCACCCTTTGTTCTTTTCGTCTGGTATTCGCTAGCTCGTTTGTCCGGTACCAGAACAACGCCATAATTTGATTTTTGACGGCTGACGGCTGTCCGCCCGTCCAATCAAAGCGGCGGTCACGCATTTGCCTAGCTGGCAACTGGTCGCGCCTCGTCTCGTTCACGGACTTCTACAACTCCCCGATTTCCCATCCAAGCACACGGGCAGTGTTGACTGTCCGACATTCGACCCGCCCCGACGTAGTTCTCTTCCCGCTATCCTTTGGCTGCCTGCCTTGACTTGGCAGCGTGCTTTTCCTGGCCATCGTCCTTCTGACTTTGTCTTCTTCTCCACAGCTCCAGAATTCTCTCGCTTGGCTACCCGTCCGCCACCCCGTCCAGGTCCTAAAAATCTTATTTTTGCAAGTCGGGTCCCCTTTTCCAGGGAACGTGTCGAACTTTGTAGTTCTGGTCAGTGAATGGCCAAGCCGACGTAGAGAACCAGGTTCCCTCCCGCCCTGCAAGATGTGACCGTAATTATGAGTCCAAATGAGTGTTTGCTAGTGAATAGTGACTTGAAACAGCGGCGGCCTGGATTGCAATATGCGCGGAAGCACCGATACACACCTCCAGAGAACTTCAATGGACCCCAACCAGGCACGCGGGACGGACCAACTCAACCAGATCGTCGTAGCGCAACGGAGTCTTATTTTTTTTCTCTTTCTTTTGTTGTCCGTCGCTTTTTCGCTGCCCCCGTTTTGGATGCCCCCCCTAATTATCGGTTTTCATTTCTTCTTTGTTGCGATTGCTTTTATTTATTAAGGGCCACACCCACATCCCCTCATAGTGTCGTGCTTTTGGTCTGTTCTCGTTCGTTCCTCTTTTTTTCCTTGTTCTTCACTTCCTCGCAGTTATTTAATATTGCCCAATACTCAACGGCGTCGCTCTCTCCTTCTTTGTCGCAGTCTGAGCACATCTACGCCAGCGTTGGACAACGCGAACCAGCGTTTCACAAAGTCAACCCATACCAAACCGCGACGCCACGACATGTCCGATAATCTCAAGGCCGCGCCGGCCGCCACGGTCGCCGGCGCTGCCTCGCCGTCCAACTCCCGCGCGCCCTCGACCCTCGCCCCCAGCCGCGCCTCCGTCGACAAGGAGCTCCGCGACGAGAAGCTGCCCCCCACCAGTGGCTCGGGCAGCGCCGACGAGGACGAGGCTGAGGTTGACACCGAGGACCGGGAGTCGGAGAATGTCAATGTCGCGGCCATCCGCGCTGCCGCAGACGCAGACGACGTCGGCAATGCCAACGCCAACGCCCTCAGCAAGGTCGAGACGTCCAAGTCCCACACCGAAGGCGGCCTCGCCGTCGCCAAGACGGTCACCCGCGAAGACGGCTCCGAGTACCCGACCGGCGCGCGTCTCAGCCTGATCATGCTCGCCCTGTGCCTGGCCGTCTTCCTCATGGCCCTCGACAACTCCATCATCGCCACGGCCATTCCCAAGATCACGGACCAGTTCCACTCGCTCAACGACGTCGGCTGGTACGGCTCGGGTAAGTTTCTTTTTTTGTCCTCGCTGCGCTCGCTGTTCCTTTTCTTTTTTTCCTCGCTTCGCTCGCTTTTTTTGTCCTCGCTTCGCTCGCTCTCACTAACAATCCAGCCTACCTCCTGACCACGGCCGCCCTCCAGCTCCTCTTTGGCAAGTTCTACACCTACTTCAGCATCAAGTGGATCTTCCTCGGCGCCATCTTCGTCTTCGAGGTCGGCTCCCTCATCTGCGGCGTCGCCCAGAACTCCGTCACCCTCATCATCGGCCGTGCCGTCGCCGGCCTCGGCTCCTCCGGCATCTTCTCCGGCGCCCTCATCATCCTCGCCTACTCCGTCACCCTCGACAAGCGCCCCATGTACTCGGGCATGATCGGCTCCATGTACGGCATCGCCTCCGTGGCCGGCCCCCTGCTGGGCGGCGTCTTCACCGACAAGGTCACCTGGCGCTGGTGCTTCCTGATCAACCTGCCCATCGGCGCCATCACCCTCGTCGTCATTGGCGTCTTCTTCACCGACCCCGACCGCAAGAACGGCCAGCCCACCGCCGCCCGCGTCTCGACGGCCGACGCCGCCGCTGCCGCCGACGCCCGCGCCAACCGCACCCTGTGGGAGAAGATCCGGCCCTTTGACCCCATCGGCTCCGCCATCTTCATGCCCGCCATCATCTGCCTGCTGCTGGCCCTGCAGTGGGGCGGCACCACCTACGCCTGGAAGAGCGGCCGCATCATTGCGCTGTTTGTCGTCTTTGGCGTGCTGATCCTGGCCTTTTTGGTCGTGCAGTACCGCCAGCAGGACGACGCCACCGTCCCGCCGCGCATCATCAAGAAGCGCTCCGTCTGGGCCGCCGGCTGGTACTCCTTCGCCACCGGCGCTGCCTTCCTGGCGTCCATCTACTACCTGCCCATCTGGTTCCAGGCCGTCCGCGGCGCCTCGGCCGTCAGCTCGGGTCTCATGAACCTGCCCATGCTCATCTCGCTCGTGCTCATGTCCATTGTCGCCGGCGGCGTCGTCACCGTCGTCGGCTACTACACGCCCTTTATGCTGGCCGGCACCGTCCTCATGCCCATCGGCTACGGCCTCATCACCACCTTTGCCCCCGGCATCTCCACCGGCAAGTGGATCGGCTACCAGATCATTGCCGGCGCCGGCGTCGGTCTCGGCATGCAGCAGCCCCTCATGGCCGTCCAGACCGTCCTCGACCTCAAGGACGTCCCCACCGGCACCTCTGTCATTGTCTTTCTGCAGACGCTCGGCGGCGCCCTCTTTGTCTCCATCTGCCAAAACATCTTCACCAACAAGCTCCAGGCCAACGTCCTCCGGCTCGTGCCCGGCCTCGACCCGGCCACCGTCCTGGCCGCCGGCGCCACCGGCATCCAAAAGGTCATTGACCCGGCACAGCTGCCCGGCGTCAAACTGGCCTACAGCGAGGCCCTGACCCAGACCTTTGTCGTCAGCACGGCGCTGGCGGCCATGACGGTGATCGGTTCCGCCGTCATTGAGTGGAAGTCGGTCAAGGGCAAGGCCATCGAGGTCGGCATGGCATAAGTCTGCCCAAAGCCGGTGACGTCTTGACCCTCGTTGTCGTCGTTGTTATGACCTTGCACCAAATACCCCCCTCAAAATTTTTGACTACTTTGTTGTAATTATTATCATGTCTGGCGGTTTCATTATAGAGCGCGTCTACATCTATTTTTGTTCTTCTGTCCTTTATCATAGACCAGGCCTAGGAGCGGGCTGTCAATATTGTTGTTGACCATTTTGCTGCCTTTTTTTCTTTGTTTTCCTTGTTCTTCTGGCGTTGCTGCATACAGGCTTATGGTGGCTCATCTTTGAAGACTGTCCACTTTCTTTTCATTTCTTTTGTTTATTCCGTTTGCTAGTACGTCGTTTGCTCCTGCATTTACTATACAGAGCCGAAAGTAATTGTGAAATTTAACAAATATTACGAAAAAATCAAATGTCAATTCGCCGTGCGGTGAAATCAAAACACGTAATATTTTATTATTTAAAGGAGTGTAATCCAACTATTGTAAGTTCCATAATCGTTATCGTATCCTAATAGGAGTCGTGTCGGCAGTGTGGCCAGTGTCGTGTATATCCATGGGACGTGTACTATTTCATATCCCGAGACCCATCGTATTTCATTGCGTGCCACTCGATGGACACTGGAGTGCGTGTTGTGCTGTTGTACTCCGTGGTTTGGTCGTGGCGTGTTGCTGGATGGTTTTGTTTTGTTTGTAATTTGTGAAACGCCTCAAATGCAGTCGTGAAAGAAAAGAAAACATTAAGTAAATAAACAGAGAAAGAAAGGGAAAAATGAGGAAAGCGTGGGAAAATAAGGGGTGATAAGGTCTTCCAGCCAAGAACCGTCATCGCCAACGAAGAGTAAGAAAGGTGAGATGGAGATGTCCCCCCATCCATCAGGATACGTGATACGAAGGAGCTGCTCAGCCGGTTCACGCCCGCTGGCCCTGCTTCAGGACGTCGGCCGCGATGGCCACGCCGTCCGCCAGCGTGTAGTCCTGCAGCTGCACCCCGGCGCCCAACGAGGCGCCCGTGCCGACGTACACACCGCTGAGATCGGTGTCGGCGTACGAGCCGCCGTGGACGATGCTCGCTCTCTGCACGTAGCCCACGCCGGACACGGTGACGTTGCTGAGCACGGCGCCCTGGGCGTACACGTCGTAACCGGATACATTGACCAGCTCGGCGCCCTGCACGCCGACCTCATACAACACGCTGTCGGCGACGGTCACGTTTTGGAGAAGGGCGAGCTGGACATACGAGTCTTTGACGGAGCCGCCCGTGAAGCGGACGCCGCGGAGGACAGAGCCGCCCTTGACGGTGGCGTCCACCAGCACGGAGTCGGTAATGTTGGCGTCGACAACCGTGACGCCGACCAGCAGACAGTCCGCCACGGCCGTAGCCTGGACGGTCTGGCCGACAATGACACATGCGGTGGACGTGAAGCAGGCGCAGGCCGTGGTCGTTGTGGGCGAGCTGCCGCCGCCGCCGCCACTACCACCACCACCACCACCACCACCACCACCACCGTGGGCTGTGGTCGTCGTGTAAGAACCACCTCCACCGCCACCGCCACCGCCACCGCCACCACCACCGAGGGTAATGGTCGTGGTGTACGTGTGGCCGCTGGAGGTATACGTCGACGTGATGCAGCTCTCCGTCACAGTGCTCGTGCGGATGACAGTTGTGTAGGTCGCGCCACCGGACGTGTATGTCTTGGTGGTGCAGTGGTGGCAGGGGATGGTGAGCGTGGTGGTGTGCGTCTCCGTGTATGTCTGGCCGCCCGACGTGTAGGTCGTGGTGTCGCAGCTGACCGTGGTCTCAATGGTCTCTGTGTTGGTCACGGTTGTGGTCGGTGGAGGGGGCGCCGGAGTGGAGCTGACGGAGACAGACGAGCTGTTGTGGTAGCGCGACGAGATGGAAGAAAACGAGGAAGACGAAACGGACGCCGATGACACCGACGAGGCCGAAGACGCTGAAGAGGCTGACGCCGACGAGCTCGACGCAGAGGCCGAGCCAGAGAGGGAGCTGCTGGCCGACGGCGCGGACGAAGAGCCCGAGACGGACAAAGCCGACGAGGAAGAGGACGCCGGGGCAGAGGAGATGGAGGCAGAGGAGCCGCTGGAGATGCTGCTGGAGATGCTGCTGGCGATGCTGCTGATGATGCTGCTCACCGACGAGGAAACCGAAGAGACGGAAGCCGACGACGCGGAGCTGACAGAGCTGGCAGAGCTGCTGGAGACCACGCTCGAGACACTGCTGGCCGCGCTGGAGATGCTGGCCGCGCTGGAGATGCTCGACACGCTGGCACTGCTGGCCGGCGCTGAGGAAGAAGCTGCGGAGGACGAAGCTGCAGAGGAAGAAGCAGGGGCCGACGACACAGAAGAGGAAGAGGAAGGAGCGGACAACGCAGGGGACGAAGACGAGGCAGGTGCGGACCAGGCCGAAGACGACGACGAGGCAGGAGCAGACCACACTGAACTGCTGCTGGGCGGATGGGGATGGTGATGTTCGGCACCGCGCTTCTCTTGCTCGCCGTAGTAGTTGCTGTACTCCTGGTTGGCTGGGCCGGCGACGGCAACCGCGCCGAAAGCGGCCGAGCTGACCGCGAGGATGGCGGACCAACGCATGCTGAGTGCTGTCAGAGAAGTAGAAAGAGGTATAAAGAGGTTATGAATAGTAAAGGTAGGCGAACGAAGGACGAAACGAGTGTCTTGGAGAACGGAGGATAGACGTAGGAAGATGAGGATGGGGGAATTCCTCTTCCCAGTCACGTCAGAAGGGAAAGGAGGAAGATGAACGAATGGTCATGGGGATGGAGAGAAGACGAGGACAGGAAGAGATCGAGAGGCCGGAACGCACGGAACTCTTATACGTCAGGAGGCATCAAAGATGACTGGAGTATGAATCGTAAGACTGGCCATAGCGAGAGACAACTGGTGTTAACTGGTTTGCATCTAAAAAAAGACACAGAGCAAGGTATGGCGGAGGCCAGAAGATGGAGACGGAGGCTGGACGGTGAGGCTAGAAAGGACGTGCACGAAGGTGCAGAAGACTGGGTTGGAAGCCGTAGAGTCGATGCCAATTGGATACGGCCGATGTCTGCATGTCGTATTCGAAAGAGGAGGCTACTACAGGAAAAAAAAAGAAAAAAGAGAGAAAAAAAAAAGACATCAACCAAGGTCAAACGACATCGGTGCATCCACGTCTCTCCACTTTCACGCAATCCAAAGGTTGTCACCAACAAGCGTTGATGTGTCCCACTCTTTCAGTATGCTCGTATGCTCGTATGCTCGTATGTTCGTATGTATTGAGAACAGAAGCTCAGCTCGCCTTGTATCGTGTTCACCTGGCCTCGTAAAGGCTGTATTTCGGTGAGTTTGATTTTGGGCTGAAATGTAAACTGGTTTCTCTCTACATGAAAAGTCCTCCGAAGACCTGACCTCGTTCTATCGTCGCCACCAAGAACAGCTCCTCCGGTGCATAGGCGTATCATCTTTTTGGACATTCAGAAGTTGGCAAAAGGAACAAGACGACGGAAGTGCTCGTGTCGTAACGGCGATGGTGTCGATGGACTAGATGGGTTACGTAAGAGTGTTGAGTACATATGGATGAGAAGTGCTCTCGGTGGGCAGTGACGGCGGTCAGAAACAAGTAAACAAGACCTTAGACTGGGCAGAGGACATCCGGTGTGGTGAAAGGATCAACCACCGTCGAAGAGGTACCTTTTCTGTTAACCGGCACCCGTTGACAGCACATCATCCAACCCCCACCTCCAACTACTTCCAATGCCAGTCTGCCGTTGCCCGACGAGTCTGATCAACCGACTGGCACCTCTCAACGCTCGTCCGGTAAACAACCTGGTCTGGTACGTGAACATCCTAGTCAGACGTTTGTGGGTTGCGTGAGGTTGGTCATAGATCCAGTGCTCCGTAATGGCCAGCTCCCAACGGCCAGGTTCCAGCGTAAAGTGTGGGCCAGCCACCAGCCCTTTTGTTTTCTTATTCGCCTTGTCTTCTCGATCGCCGCCCTTCCGTCTGTGGGAAGAGAGACGAGAAGCACGGAAGTGGAGACAAACTCGTATCGATCACCGCCTGGGCAGTCCACACTCACAACTACGCAAACTGACAGAGATGGAGAAAAGACATAGGACCTATTTCATCCCGTCGTCTCGTCCTGTCGTCTCGCCAACCGACGTTGAGGAGCTGGCCAATGCCGAAACGGGGACGTTCACTGGCAGTACGACTGTTTATTGTGGAGGTAATGGTGTCTCTCATGGCCGTGCGTTATGATCGTTGGGCGTGGATAGGAAGTGATTTGTTCTCATTTTTCCTTTTTTATTCAGTTGCGTTATGGAGCACGCTCTCCCGAGCGATTCTCACAAGAGCATGTTCCAACGAACGACTGCAGTACTCTGTGTCAGTGTACTTAGGACGACGTACCCAGTACTAAAGTGTCGTGGCAATGACATCTGTCAATCAACGCTTGTCGGCCACGTTGCCGTGTGCACAAAAGTACGCCTTATTACTCCACAAAAGGTCATCAATACGACTGGTATGGGAGGCGACAACGGGACAAAGTACTGGCAGACATCCGTACAAGCTCTCCAGCGTTTTCTACCCGTCAACCCAGAACGCCATAAGCTGAGATGCATGGAATCGGCGATTTTTGCCACTACATTTCTGATTTTCTATTTCTGCTCTCCACCCCCAGTGACATGCGCAGTGTGGGCTGCAATTGCCCGGCCTCTTTCTTGCCTTTTTTTTTTTTTTGGCACAATTCTCCATTACGAGGAAAGCTACTGCACCCTTGGTGGTTTTTCTGCAGCTACTGAGTGGCGGGTGTGATGCTATGGGTTGTTTCTGCGTGCTGACTGGCCGGAACGCCAGGAACAGCTCTGCTGCAGCCACAGCCTGCAGAAGAAGTCGCTGCGTCGATACGAGAAACTCGGAGGTGTCTAGCACACAAGCAGCGTAAAAAATAGAGACAAGAAAAAGAGGCCAGGAAATAGAACAAAAAAGAGGTAAAAGAAACAAGATGTCGGTCTACTAGAGTGTTTGGTAGCCCTTCCAGTGGTTAGATATAAAAGGACGAGCTATTAGGTCTGACAGCCATTCGGCTTGGAGTCAGAAAAGAGACGCTGACAAACCAGTAGCAGAAAGAAACCTCGCAAATCTAGATACCGGTGCAAGTGAGACGCGTAGCAGGGATTATGCCTTAAAGCAAGAGACATGACCTGGTTATGAAGAAGCTGACATTGTCATCGTAATCACAACCAGTGAATAGACCAAAGATAAAAGAAAGTAAACAGGGTCGGACGTGAAATGTCCATTTCCACAATGCGTCGTAAGGCTCTCTGGGCTCCGCGGCTCTTCTCTTTCTCGGCAGAAGAAGTTTTTTTTTTCTTTTTTCTTTTTTTTCGGTTTTCAGCTTCAGCTGGGCTGGGCGTTCTCGTATTTCACACGATGACAGGCCTTCACCTTTGTTTTTAGGTTTGTGCGGGAGAGACATGCATAAAGCGGCGATCCACAGCGCATATCCACCCACCTTGGACAATCTTAGGCCGTGACGACAACACGTCAACCCGTAAATACGACAAGAGACGAGAAAGTCAGTGGGAACTACGAAGTAAACCACAACGCAAAGATACACCAAAACCAGGCCAAGTGGTGAGAATTGGACGATGAGATGGTGGATACGAAAGAAACCACTCAGCGTGTAAGCCTGTGGTTGCATACCGCAGACTACTGACTACAGATGCCATACTGGAGAAAAAAGCTCACAGCCTGGACAATACAGAGTGCAAGATGGACAGGACGGCCGGGAAGAGTGTCTGAAAGACCCTGCCTTGTCTTACACACAACGTTATGCCAACCCCAAGGCACGGTCGGGATCGTCTCCGGAACCGAAAAGGGCTCGTGTTCTTTGGGTTTTCTTCGGATCGAGATTGTTGCGAGCCTGCCACATCTAGCCACGATCTTCACAAGAAGTCAACGACGTAGGTCCAAAATTACTCGACACTCTCACTTACAAAACGGCCAGTAAGATGCTGTTCTCACGCACGCACCCGCGCATTCATCGTCGTTGGTCAGCAGATCTGAGTACCATCCAGACCCAAAAGATGGTGGATGTTGTTTCGTGAGAGTAACGTCGTTCATACTGATGGTACTTTATAACGTCCTGTGACGTCGCGTACAAGGGCTTACCTTTGTGGAATAAATGAAATGGCACACTTTCCCTTATGTAACGGTAGACTTGTGTTGTGCGGCACGGCAGACGACAATTTCGACAGGGCTCCAAGCCACATTTCTTCTCCTACCAGTTGCGGGTATTCTTCTACGGTATGAAGTATTAGATTTGTTTGACGTTGTGACAAACTCTTCATGCTTACGGCACCAGAGAACTGCTGCGTTGGTGTGAAAGGGTGCAACTGTGGATGAAGCAATTAAATTAGAGATGAATTGTTTTTGCAAACCGAGAACGCCAATCTTCCCACCCGTCCGTTTTGGTGTCCCACTAAACCATCGTACAAGAAAGGAAAAAAGAAAACAAAACAAGTACAACCAAAACGTCCATGAGACTATGCCATCAAATCGAACAGAAAACGAGTATGAAACAATGAAAATAGAAAGACACACGCCAAAGTACCCAATCCAGAATCCAAACCCCCCCAGAATATGTTATGTGCCGTACATGCAATGGCAACCGCGGGTGTGCGCGCCGTGCCTTGGGTCTACCGCTTGCGCGTGTCTTTGCCCCGCTTCTTCTTGCTCTTCTTGCGGTCTTTGGGCAGCTCCAGCGCCGTGCCCTCGAGCATCACGCTCATCCACCCTAGCATGTAGTCGTCCACGGTGTGCATGACGCCGCCCCAGGCATTGTTTTCGACGGGCGCGGGTGGCGGCGCCACGATCTTGGCACCCGTGATGGGATCGAACAGCGGGCCGCCGAGACCGAGACCCGCGGGTGTCGCCTGGCGGGCGCTGGAGATGCCCGACGTAGGCACGGGCGTACCAGCGGTCGCGGTCGCGGTCGCTGTGCCTGCGCCGGCCGCGCCGGCCGCGCCGGCTGGTTTCTCGGAGAAGTCGGCGTCGTCTTGCAGAATCTCCTTCTCGGCCAGCCGTGCGGCCGCCACGTCTTCGGTGTCCTCGGCCTGCTCCAGCACGCGGCCCGGCATGGCACCCGCACCCACACCCGCACCCGCACCCGCACCCGCACTCGCGTCGTTGTTGACACCGCCCAGCACGCGGTCCATGGCCGCATTGGCCGCCGCGTTGCTCTCGTGGAACCGCCCGATGATGCCGTCCGTGGTCTCGTTTTGGGCCACGAGCGTCGTGCCGTCCTCCAGGGCGTGCTCCACCACGTCGCCGGCCATGTCCTTGACGGACATCTTGTTGAAGTAGTCGGTGGTGAACTCGCCCTCTTGGATGACGACGTCGTCGAGCATCTGTTTCTGGGAGGCCTTGCGCAAAATGTTGGCCTCGATCGTGTGCTCGCTGATGAGCCGGTAGATGTGCACGTCGCGCGTCTGGCCGATGCGGTGGCAGCGGTCCTGGCACTGCTTGTCCATGGCCGGGTTCCAGTCCTGGTCGTAAAAGATGACGGTGTCGGCGCCCGTCAGGTTGATGCCCAGGCCGCCCGAGCGCGTCGACAAGATAAAGCACAGGATGCGGTTGTCGTGGTTGAAGCGGTCCGTCAGGATCTGGCGCTGCTCGATGCGCGTGGCGCCGTCCAGCCGCAGGTACTTGTGGCCGTGGATGTTGAGGAACTGCTCCAGAATGTCGAGCACCTTGGTCATCTGCGTAAAGATGAGCGCGCGGTGGCCGCCGGCCTGCAGGCGCCGCAGCAGCCGGTCGAGCGCCTGCAGCTTGCCGCAGTCGTACTGCAGGAGCCGCTTGTCCGGGAACTGGATCGTCAGGCGCATGCGGGCCTCGTGCCAGGGGTCCCGCGGCGGCTGGCGCTCCATGAACGGCAGGCGCTTGACGGGCGCCGAGAGCACGAGGTCGTGCTCGGCAAAGGCCGCGGCGCCGCGGCGCCCGAGGAGCACGCCGTTCATGTCGCAGGTGACGACGGCCGGCGTGACGCAGGCAAACTTGGTGATGAGCATCTCCATGGCGGAGGACCGGCGCTCGAGCGGCTGCACCAGATTGTGGAGCAGGAACGAGTCGTTTTCGAACCACGCCATGATCTGTGCCGGGACGCGCGGGCGCGGCCGGAAGGGCCGGCTCTGCACGTCGAGCGTCAGCATGTCCAGGAGAGACTGGCCATACACGGGCCGCTGCTGGCGCCGGAGCGCGTTGACGTAGGCCCCGTGCTGCAGCTCCTCGTAGCGGCGCCAGCGGACGGCGTTTTCGAGGTAGGCAAGGTTCGACTGCACGGTCGCGCCGTCGAGGGCTGGGTACGGCTGCGGCAGGCGTGCGCGCTGGGCCTCCTTGAGGTCCGCCAGCACGCGGTTCGCGGCCAGCTGGTGGATGCGGGCGGCCGTGCCGCCCGAGAGGCTGGTCTCGTGCAGCGTCGGCACCAGGTTGAGAAACTGCAGGCTGACCCGTGCCAGCAGGTGCTGGGCGGTGTCGCGGGGCGGCACATACGCGCGGCGCACCACCTGCTCCGTGGTCGTCTCGTAGGAGGCAGGGATCGAGCGCTGCATGCGGAAGGACGTCATGATGGGCCGGTCGACAAACAGGTCGGGGTGGTTGCACACCTTGCGCAGCTGCATCAGACAGTTGATAATGGACAGGTAGTTGCCCGAGGCGAGGGAGGCGCGCGTGTCGCTGCGGGCCAGGAACCCGTCGTACAGCTCGCGCTGGCGCTTGGACAGGCGGCACAGCTCGACGTGCTCGTACTTGGCCGGCATTTGCTTCTCGACGTCCGCCTTGAGACGCCGCAGCAGATAGGGCCGCAGCACCTTGTGCAGCTTGGCGATGATGGCGCGTGCTTCCTCGTCCATTTCTTCGCGGCCGCTCTCGAGAATCTGCGACTCGGGCTTGTGGAACCAGTCGTGGAACTCGGACAGATCGGCGAAGCCGCCCATGCCGTTCTCGGGCGGCATCAAGAAGAAGAGCAGCGACCAGAGCTCCGTCAGGTTGTTCTGGAGAGGCGTGCCCGTGAGCAGGAGGCGCGCCTGCGTGTTGAATCCCAGCAGAGACTGCCAGCGCTGCGACTTGAAGTTCTTGATGTTGTGGGCTTCGTCCAGGATCATGTAGTGCCAGCGACGGCGCTTGAAGACCTGCTGGTCCTGCACGACGATTTGGTACGACGTGATGCACACGTTCCAGATGTCGTTGTTGTTCCAGCCGATGCGCTTGCGCTTGCGTTCGTCTTGCGAGCCGTAGTACGTGAGGATCTTGAAGGCCGGGCACCACTTTTTGAACTCCATCTCCCAGTTGAGGATGACACTCGTGGGGACAATCACGAGGTGCGGGCCCCACACTTCGTGGTGGCAGGCCAGGTGGGCGAGCAACGCAATGGTCTGGATCGTCTTGCCGAGGCCCATTTCGTCGGCGAGGATGCCGTTGGTGCGGTTGGCGTAGAGGCCGGCGAGCCAGTCGAGGCCGTAGTGCTGGTATTCGCGCAGGTTGCCGCGCAAAAGGAAAGGGATTTCGGTCTTGGGTGCCGCGCCAGAGGCCGTCGGTGCGAGGGACACGCTTCGGCTGACGGCTGATTCTTTGCTATTCAAAGGGGGCGCGTCGGCGTCGGCGTCGGCGTCGGAGTCGGCATCGGCCATGTCCATGTCCATATCCTCGACAGCATCCTTGACAACATCCTCCTCGGGCGTTTTGCTAGCTTCTGCGTCCACCGTCGCGTCCGCGACCGCGTCGGCATCTGTGGACATGGGCGTGTCAAGATCCGACGGCTTCGTGTCGAGCGTACGTGGCGATTGGCTGCGCTCGAAGCTGACAGCCGTTGTCACGGCGTCAGTCTCGGGGCTGGCGGCGGCGGCAGGTTCCGTATCGGCCGGTGCGGGTGCAGGTGCAGGTGCAGGTTCAGGTGCAGGTACAGGTACAGGTTCAGACACCGCAGGCTCTACAGTGTCCACCGTTTCAGAGTCTACCTTGCTGGCGACCGCCGGCGCTTCGTCGTCCGACGACGGCATGTCCACCATGGCGACATCGTCGTCGTCGTCGTCGGCAAACTCGTCAACGGCCTCGTACAGCGGGGCAACAACAGGATGGGTGTCCTCTGTGGCATGTGTGTCGCCGTTGGTGAGAGTCGCAGTGGTGTCGTCGTCTTTGCGCTCCGGCGCTTCTGGCATCCGAGGCACGTCGACCTCCTCTTCTTTGACGGTCGTCGGCTCGGCCTTGAGCTTCTGCAGCTCCGACTTGCCAAACAGCATGCCCAACAGCCCACCTGCCTGCTCGTCCTCATCGGACTCGGTCTCGTTGTCACCGTCGGAACCGCTGGCGCCGTCGCTCTCATCGCCGCCGTCGTCGTCGTCGTCGTCGTCGCTGTCCATCTCGGAGGAGCCAAGATCGTCGTCCATGTCAACAGACTCGTCGCTGGTTTCGTCGTCGTGTATGGAAGCATGGGCGGTGCCGGCGTCGACTTTTGCCGGTTCGTCGGATGCGTCGAGGTCGGGCAGATTGGCGTACTTTTGTCGCAACTGTTCCTGTGTGAGGCCCTCGTCGGAGACATTTGCGTCGTCCTTTCCTTTCGCGTCTGCTCCGGGTTTTTGGTCCTCGTCACCCTCGTCGTCGTCCGATGACGACATATTGCTCTCATCGTCTTCGTCTTCGTCATCCTCGTCGTCGGAGCCAGAGGCAGAGCCGTCCGCGTCGCCCAGTTCAGAGAGCGATCCGAGGGCGTCAAGGTCGTCGTCCAGCATATCGTCGTCGTCGGACAGGGCCTCCGAGTCGTGCTGGGTGCGCCGCGCCTGCAGCTTCTGCTCGGACAGGGCGACGGCCTCTTGCAGCGCCGCCTTGACGCGCCGCTGCTCCTCGGCCTCCCACTCGCGCACGCGGCGCCGGTTGATCTCGAGGCGGACATTCTCCCACGTGCCAAACAGGGCCTTCATGACAATGCGGTACCGCCCCAGCCACATGGCCCGCGCCTCTGCCTCGATCTGCTCGGCCGACTTGGGCTGCCGCCGCACCCACTCGTCGCGGCAGGCCTCCGCGAGGCGCTTGGCCACCGCACGGTGGCGCTGCTGCTCGAGGCTCAGGAGACGGCGGAAGTTGGCGACGGCCTTGACCATGTGGTCGTTGTGCGCCCACTGGCGCGGCGGCTCCTCGGCAGCCTCGGGCTCAAACGCGACGCAGCGCGGCTCCGTGAGGATGCCGCCCGCTTCCGTCTCGCGCTCGATGCGCGCAATGATGGCCGCCTCGCTGGCGGCCATCTCGTCGGTCATGCGGGGATCGTCTTCGGAGGCGAACTGGCCGCCGTCTTCGACGGGGATGGCGTCCGCTGTGGCAAAGTATTCAGGAAGGGTCGGCGCAAGACGCGGCCGCATCTTGGTCTGGTCGGGGTGCACAATGGGGATGGTGAGGGTCCGTGTTCGGAGACGGATGCGGGGCGTCGTGCGTGTGGGCATCTCGAGGGCCGCGGCGTCGCGCTGTGGCCGGGCCTGTCGGCTCGACCGCGAGGGCTGTGTGCGTGTGCCGGCGGCGGCCGGTGCACGCCGTGCATTCGGCGTGGGAGAAGAGCGTCGTGCGCTCCGGGAGGACGTTCGGGGCTCAGCAGCGCGGCGGGAGGACGGCGGTCGAGACGGGGCGGAGGACGGTGTTTGTTGTGATGGGTGTGATCGTGCGGAAGCGGCGGCGGAGGCACGTGTCGTAGTAGAGGGGCGTCGAGATGCTGCCGCAGTCCCCGAAGGCGATGCAGAATTCTGGGAGGACGAGGACGCAGCGTGTCTTGTCGCGTGTCCGTTGGCGGAAGACGATGCGGCTCGTCTGGCTGGAGGGCTTGTTTGGTGGGACTGCACGGCACGGCGCGTGATACGCTTGTCACCGGACTGCAGCTCCAGCGGCACCGTGTTGATGCGGCCCGACTTGCGGCGGCCGCCCTCCTTAAAGGAGGTCACGCCCTCGGCCCCAATCTTCTTCCATGGCGGCGAGATGGGCTTTGGCTTGCGTCCGCCGTTGGTGGCGGGGGCGGCGTGGAGGCGCGTGTCCGCTGGCGTTTGGCGGGGCGTTCATCGCCGTTGGCCTCGGGCGTGTCGTCGGCATCCTCAGAGGCCTTGGCCGGCCCGTTGTCGTTGCCGTGGCCGTTGGTCAGGGGCGATGCGGATGTCCCGTTGCTGCCGTCATGTTGTCCATTGGTTTGGGGAGACCGGGCACTCTTCGCAGGTGCCGGCGTTTCCGGGGCGCCCGACAACGACTCCTCGCCGTCCGATGGTGTCGAGCTCAGGTCGTCAAGTGGGCTGTCGTCGCTGTCGTCGAATTTGAGGATCGGACGGTCGGGGAGCGTTGCTGTCGGGCCCGGCGACGCGGTCTCCTTCATCGTCTGGAAAGGGGCCGAGCCGGGGCGAGGGTCCGCGATCTCGGCCAAAGGGGCATCGATGGCAGAAAAAATGGCGTCTCAGGAAAGCTACGGTGCCATGGAGTCTTGTGTCGAAGCCAGAGCGTTGCAGCGACGTTGTGGCGATGGCACCGCGCGAAAACGTGTACAAATCGAGGTGCGTCTGCAAAAAAAAATCCGAAGCTCAAAAAACGCCAAAACGGCACGAGATGCAGGTGGTGACTTTCGGCCAGGTGCGTCGTTGCTGCGAAAATACAGCCCTTGGCCGCTAAATTATTTGCACTCAGAGCATTCAGAGGGGGACCAGCTAGGGGCTACACGTAAATTTGCTGCTGTGGGGAGGCGCGTTGGGGCTGGACGTGTGAGGGGCGACGAGCTGTCCTGACGCCTGAAGCGTGAGGCGACACGCTGATTGGGCGCGATTCTTATGTAAGCCACCTACAGTCACGCCGTATTTCTCAGGCAGCAAGTTCGTAGCGCACGGACCATCAGAGCCGTCCAAACACTGCACTGGAAGAGTCGATGACCTTGAGCCGAAAACGAGCATCACGGCTTTGCTACGTCTGTAGAGCTTCACACACCAACGACCAGCCAGTTCGATCCCCAGCATTCGGACGAGGTGTGTACTGTTCGAGGCGATACTGGATTACGCAATTGGTTGCCACCGAAGCGGCACGACGGACCAAGGCCGACTCTGCTAACCATCTTTTCGATATTTGCGATATTTGCTCACCAGATGCTGCCCCGTCGAATTGTTCCGGCCACGCCCCTGCGCAGGGCCGCCCTCGCGGCCGCACGGCGCACACTTCTTCCCGCTGTGCAGCAGCGCACCTTTATTCCCGAATCCATCAACGGCCGCCGCGTCATCGATGAAAAGTACCCGGAGCCGCCGCGCCTGACCGAGGCCGAGGACCCGCTGATGAACGGCGGTTTCGTGCAGCCGGCGCCCGTCAAGCGGCAGTTCCGCGACCCGCACGGCGACTGGTGGGACAAGCAGGAGCGCCGCAACTACAACGAGCCGGTGCACGAGGACTACGACCAGCTGGGCATGTTCACGCCCTACGAGTACACGTGGACGACGACGGGCAAGGGCCTGGCACAGATTGGCGCGTTTCTCGCCGTGTTCCTGGCCGTGGTCTACACCGTGAAAGAGACGTACCCGGACCGCGTGACGGTGCCGCGGACGTTTGAGGGTGGTCTGGAGCGGGAGCTGGGCGGCTCCGGTGCCTTGCGGGTAGGTACCGTTCCTGGCTGGTGGCATAGTCGCAACAGCTAACAGAATACAGGCGCGGAGTCCCGAGGACGAGGCGGCGGAGGAGGTATAAAGGAACGAGGATTGCGTCACAACCGACCGACGGCCAACGACTGAGACGTACCGACATCAAGGCTGCGACCACGGATGACTGGACGACCGGACCACGGACGACTCTACAGCGGCAAGGAGGCATTGGCAGGGCAGGCCATACTGTATATACCTGTCATAGATACAGTGATACTGAAAAAGAACAAAAGACTTTTGAAACTGCCGACTGGCCCAGAAGGTGACTTGACTACATGTTGGACACATGCACAAGATGAAAACAGGATGTGGCCGGGAAACCGGACGACTCGAGGACAAAGCTCTTCGGATTGGATTACGCAGTGGGGTAACGGTGAGACGGATGGCGGCCCTAGCTTAGGGTATTCCTATCACTCTGGAGCGAAACCATGGATATGCCGATGATGCCGATGATATGCCGATGATACTACAGCTAGCCACGTGTGCAGATAATACGGCCCCGGACATGACACCCACTTGGGCCGTCATCTTCCGGCACCCGGAGAGAAACGTTTCTGATCTGCTCAACTCTTGCATCTAAGTCTGGGGAAATGGCCACGTCTAGACACTGCCGGGCGTCCGTCTGTCTCTACCCTTGGCTCATTCAGCTGGCATTCCCGGGATCTACTCGACATCGGCATTCTGTTACGACTGTGTTTCCGCCCGCCTTTGTCAACTTTTGCATGTCGTCCTTTTTTTCTCTTGTATGAGTTCTCGTTTCCCCCCTTTCTTGCAGCAACGACGCGACCGGGTTTCCATTATGACCTCTCGTCTCTTGGTCGACCTCGCTTTTTTATTTTATTTTTCGTACTGTTTATCCCGGCAAATTAAGGGGCCAGACCGGGCCTTTTTTTCGCCAACTGCATGCTGGCCTTTGGCTCAGGTGCTTCGTCAACGTTTGTATTTGTGGGTACGAGACAAGAACAAAAGCAGCAAATAAATGTATGGAAAGCACTATAGCAGCAATCTGATAGCCGACACACATTCGTGGAAAAACAAGCCGGCGGCTCGACCAGCCCTCGACAGACCAAAACTCGGCTCGGCAGTGCTCCAGCGCGGGCAATGTCACTCGGATCACCATGTGCCTCTGCCAAGGCCTGGTTGTTTGCTGTGCATGGCATGCATGGCATCCCCGGATCCTTTTCCCCGTATCACACGCAATGGGGTCTCCATGGACTCTCTGCGGACTCGGGACTTTTGTCGTGCATATCCCGCGCGATTTTTGTCCATTTGTTCCTTTCCTTTCCCTGCCCGTGCTTGCTTCCAAAAATACGTCTGACCCACGGCAAGACGATGGAACATCACATGGTGCTATTTTGTTGAAAGTTGACGTAGAGCCGTGTTTGCGACTGTATCTCTTCGAATACGTCAATGACGCTCTGTGGCGTCCCATATCATCGTCACCGCCGATGCTGAGATTTCGTATTGTTTCTGCCATTCATGTGTCTCACATTTTGTATACGTGCAGTTCAGCTAGACAAGAATGAAGTATTCGTCTCTGAAATTTACCAGCACCGTCTGCCATGACGACTCCGAGTGCCGCTCTCGACACAAAATAACTCTCGTGACTGTGCCTTATTTCACCCACTTGTCCTGTCTTCACGCTTTTTATTTTCCCTTGGCCTTGTTTGGACGAGCGGTCAATATAGATTGTTTAGATTATGGGGATGAATGGGGGAATTGGGGGTCGCCACCATTGGTGGACATACGTCCCTCGTTTTTGCCGGTGTGGCTAAAGTAAACAGTCCTCCCTCTCTCTCTCCACGGGGAAGGCAGATGATAGGCAGATCCAAATCGTTGATACCAGAAACGGCCATGTTTACTATGCACCGTCCACGATGCTCTCGCCTGTCTGGCACCACCACGGACATGGCCACCATGCGTGTTCCTTGTGGCCAGGCCTCTTTCATCTATTTTGTTTCCGCCCTTCTTCCCTTTCTCCTTGCCTTCGTCTACGCACCCAATCCTTTGCTTGTTTTGTGCCCGCCCGACAGTGAGCCAATGGGAACAGCAGTAAGTGGACCTCAGACTCTGGCCGGGGTTTCGGCAGTTTGACTACGTCGTGGCAGGGAGAGCAGTGACCGTTGCCTTCTGCTATATTTGCGCATGCCGGCAGTTAGTAGGAGTGAGAGCGTGTCCAAGATGTGCGTCTCTTTCCGAAAACAAGAATAAATGAGATGTGGCAATACGTGACACCAGTATAGCTGTGAAAGACCAGACGAACAAGCAGTCTACTGTACAGGGAAACCAGTATATGTAGACGTATAACAAGAAGAATCCCGCACTTCCCTGCTTTGGTCTTTTTGGCTTCCCTTCTCTCGTTGTTCTGTTGACCCTCGTCTCTCCAACCTCGTCCGTTGTCCGCCAGCGTCATTTTGTCGACACTCCGGTATTATCTTTATTCTTTACTGTCGTTTTGTCTGTCCTTATCACACCCCCGCCTCCATCCGCCATCATGAAGTCGGCTGCCATCACTGCCGTCGTCGGCCTGCTGGCCCAGTCGGCCGCCGCCCAGAACATGCTGCGGTTCGCCTGCTCGCAGCTCGTCGTCGAGCGCACCGACCCCATTGTCAACCCCGGCGAGATCTACACGCCGCACCTGCACCAGATTGTCGGCGGCAACTCGTTCAACGTCACCATGGACCCGGCCAGCCACGATCTGCCGGGCCTGTCGACGTGCACGTCGTGCAACTTCAAGGAGGACCTGTCCAACTACTGGACGGCGGTGCTCTTCTTCAAGGCCAAGAACGGCACGTTCCGGCGGGTGCCGCAGGTGGGCAACGGGGGGCCGCAGGGGCAGCTCGTCAACAAGGGCGGGCTGGACGTGTACTACATTCCGTCGGGCAAGGTGACGGCGTTCAAGCCCGGGTTCCGCATGATTGCGGGCAAGGCGTCCAACACGGACACGAGCAAGGTCAACAAGGGCAACATCTGCCACCGCTGCTGGAAGTCAACCAACGACAACCAGTTCACGGGCGGCGCGCCCTGCACGGGCGCGGACACGGTGGACGTGCCCACGGACCAGTCGTGCAAGATGGTGCGGCAGACCATCATCTTCCCGACGTGCTGGGACGGCAAGAACCTCGACTCGCCCGACCACCAGAGCCACGTCGCCTACAGCGGCGCCGGCGCGTCGGGCGGCGGCGCCTGCCCCAGCTCGCACCCGACCAAGCTGCCGCAGATCATGTACGAGCTCATGTGGAACACGTCGAGCTTCATGGACAAGAGCATCTGGCCCGCGGACGGCTCGAACCCCTTCATCTACTCGATGAACATTGGCGGCGCGGCCGCGCACGGCGACTACGTCTTTGGCTGGAAGGACAAGTCGCTGCAGCTGGCCATGGACCACAACTGCAACCTCAACAAGGACTGCTCCGCCGCCGGCCTGCACGCGCTGTCGCCCGACGTCTACAACGCCTGCACGAAGAAGCAGCAGGCGCCCGAGGACGTCGACGGCTGGCTCAAGGCGCTGCCCATGGGCGAGATGGCGATGAAAGCATGAGCGGAGAGTCTGGAAAGCCGGATCTGGCTCGCGGGTGTAATGGGTTTGATTCTCGGCGAGATCGTTCTGTTGGCGACATCGATTGTGCGTATGTTGTCGAATTTCCTTTTCATTTGTAGCCCATGTTAACAGCACGTCTGGTCATCCTTGTGCATGGACGCCAGATTTCTAGTTAAATATAACTTATCTACGTATGTTCTTGTGTATGATGAATCATTATTTTGTAATCTTGATTATTATTATTTTTCATTTTTGAATTATTACGCTCCCAAAGTCAAAAATAGTTTTCCTTTTTATAAATAAATAAATGGGAGATAACTTGCGAAAGATGGGATTCGTAAACTCTCGTTCTATGTTCCACAGCTGCATGTCTTATTCACATCGTACTACGGTTGCATATGTTCTTATTCATATCGTACTCTCACTAATTATATCCTGTCGTATTGACTGGCAGCTTGCTGGTCTTCCTCTCGCCTCGTTGTTTCCGTCTTGCCAAAACCTCCTTTTTCCCGCCCGCCAATCAATTTACACGGTTAAAGGCGGCACCACCATCGCCACCCATTCTCGAAGCGAAGACACAGATTACTTCCCAATCCGTTATATGCTATTCATTGTCCGCTTCACGTCCATTTGCAGACGGAGCAATGGCTCCATGATTATATTTGGAAGTCGCCGGGGAAGGACACCTTTGCGGTCTCTCCTAGAATTCCTCTTTTTACGTCTTGTTCACACCAAGGCTGCTTCCTCTTGGCAATGAAAGCCAAGATTCTTCTCATTCTTCTCTTCCTTTTTTTGTATGTTGCCTCTTCTGTGCCCGCGGGTTCAGACATCGTGACTTTGGTCCGGCTCGATGCGTCGACGCGTGTGGGGACATCTATACCTGTAATTTGTCTCCTTACGTAGCCCTTTCTTTCGGCTCGCAGTCGGTTCTCGTCCTCTGCCCGTTCATCTATTTGTTCCTCTCTATTTCTTCTACATCTCCACACCACCGCCGGAGTCTGTCGTGTTTTGTCACATGGGACGTCTCCAGCGGCGCAGTCTTTCCTCTCCCCATGTTTTGTCCGCATCTTCCACCTAGTCTACCAATTTGTTGAATCACACCCTCACGACATATGCTCTTACCTTTCATCAGCCAACCCGGTATGTGGCGGGGCGGAGAGCCGCCCGTTCCTATTCGTGAAGTGTACAATGGGTAGTCCGTGGATGTCCGCGTAGGAGCAACGCTGGCGAGGCCTCAAGTCCAATCGTATCCTTATTCGTCCCCTCCATCGTCGCCTCTCGCGTCGATCCGTGTCCGGGATCACGTTGCCTGGGCCGTCCGTTGTGTTCTGTCCTTCCTCTCCTGGTTCGTGGGATTGGCCGTCGTCTCCCCGGACCGCCAAGCTAATAAACCGAGATGAATAAAGAATAAAAGGGCGTCCTCCAGTAGTTGGCGCTGCACTGTTGAATGGTCTTCTTCCTCCCCTGGCTGGGTTCACTAGGCCGACTTGGCTCAACGTTGTCTTCCCACATTAGTGTCATTGAATTGTCTTTACCCGCACTCAATCCACGTCTTTAACCATTTTCATTCAGGTTTTGAGCATAGGACGAGTCCATTCAACCTTTCGTCTTCCTTGTGGTTGTTTCCCTGTGGTTGTCTCCTTGTCTCCTTGTCACCTTGTCACCCTGTATCCTTTCCCTCCCCTCCGTCCATCGTCTCCAACTCTCGTCCCATCTTGTCTGTACCGACAAGATGAAGTTGCGCTTCTGGGGCGTCGCGGCATGCGTGGCCGCATTGCTGTGTGGTATGTAGTCATGCAACAGACACGAGGCGCTCCGTATGCTTACGCTGTTCCCAGACGCCTCTGCTGCCGGCACGACGGCCTACCACGACCCGCAGACCGGTCTCACGTTTGCCGAGTACGCCATGCAGTACAAGATCGGCCACACGCTCGTGTTTCGCGTCGCCGTGCCGACGCAAGTCACGAGTCTGACGGCGTACGACGCCGTCCTGCAGGTCGTCGCGCCCATCGACGCCGGCTGGATCGGGTTTGCCTGGGGCGGCCGCATGATTGGCGACCCGCTGGCCGTGGCCTGGTCCAGCGGCAACGCGGTCGTGCTGTCGTCCCGCCGCGCGAGCGACCACACGGCCGTGCCGGGCGTGTGGACGGGCGCGCAGTACACGGAGCTGAAGGCGGGCACGCACGTCAACGGCACGCACTGGCAGTACACGGCCAAGTGCACGGGGTGCACGTACTACACGAACTCGATGGGCAGCAAGAGCTGGGTGTATGCGACGGGCACGAACCACCTGGCGTTTGCGTATTCGGCCACGCGGCCGGCGAACCCGTCGAGCGCGGGATCGAGCCTGACGATCCACGACGTGACGAACAACTGGGAGCACGACTTTTCGGTGGGCCAGAATGCCGACTTTGCGGATCTGGTGACGAAGAATTCGTAGTCGGCGGCGGTTGGATGGGACTGTACATAAGCAGCGACAGCATTAGAGTATGTGCATTTTGGTTTCTCTGCATTTTTTATTTTATTTCTATTTCTATTTCTATTTCCACCTCCTCTGGTTAAACGATTACCATCGACATATACAATTGGCCGACTCGGCTGCACTGCCGTCGTCTAGCGGCGCTGTTGACTTCAGCTTAGCGGCGAGGAGCGTACATCTGCTCTCCGACCGTCGGACTTCCTCGTCCTCGTCACGTCATTCTCGTCACGTCGTCTCCTCGCTTCCCCTTTTCTTCCTCCCACTTTGTCCCAGCTACCTCTCAGCCTCTCACTTTAACCACCAGCACCGCACCCGCACCCCCCAGCACCGCACCCCAGCTACACCATGTCCATCACCGGCATCATCCACGTCAACCTCGTCGTCCCCCGCGACACCCTCGACGCCGCCCACGCCTTCTACGGCGACACCCTCGGCTTCACCTCCGTGCCCGTCCCGGCCCTCCAGCGCGGCCGCCTGGCGTGGTTCAACATTGTCGACCAGCCGGGCTCGCAGCAGATCCACATTGCCTTTGGCCGCGACGCTGACTTTGAGGGCGACGCCACGGCGTCCTCGCGGCACCCGTGCTTCCAGCTGCCGTCCCAGGAGGCCCTGCAGCAGCTGCAGCAGCGCGTGTGGGCGCACCACCAGGCGGGCACAGCCGGCGCCCCAAAGGCCTGCGACCAGCCGGGCGGCGAGTCATCTGGTAGGCCTGTCCTGTCTGTGGTTCCAGATGTGTGTATTGTTTTATTTCGTATCTTACTAACAAGGACCAGGCGCCAAAGGCGTCGAGTATCCCACGCGGTTCTTTGCGCGCGACTACGCCGGCAACCGGTTGGAATTTAGTCTGTAGACGACGGTTGGAAGAAGCAAATAAAACATTCCAGAATTCAGAGTACTTGTGTCTGTTTTCGTTTCGCTTTCGCTGTTGTCTCGACACAGTGTAATTACAGAGGAATGAATGCGCCGCTGGCACTGTAGCTGAGGCGTGCCGATGCTGGCCGCCTGATTGGCGAACAGGCCCTGTAACGCGCTGTAGTTTGGGGGTTGATTTTGTTTTCTGTACAGTATCCATTGATTCCACCCGCTCCAACAACGACCATCTCTGGCCACAACACCCACGACAACCGCGACCGCCTCGGGTCTTTGGCCACCGACAGTTCCTCTGGACGATCGATCCGACGATCCTAGTCTCCCCGTCTGTTGCTGCCATGCGTCTACGCCTCATCCAGCTGCCGCCGCTGCCGTCGTACCGTTTGGCGGCGGCTGTCCAGGAACTCGTCCGGCGGCAGTTTTTGCATGCAAAGGAGAGTGCAGGAAAGAGGGCGACGCCATCGTCGTCGTCTTCGGCAGAGTCCTCCTCCTCCTCCTCCTCCTCCTCCTCCTCCTCCTCCTCCTCCTCCTCCTCCTCCTCCTCGACCCTCCTCTCCCTCCTTGTCCAACCGCCGCCGCCGACCGTCATCGCCTTTACGCCCCTGCCCACCTACACACTCGGCCGCCGCCAGTCCGAAGCCCAGCTGGAACCGGCCGAGCGCGACCGCCTCACGGCTCCCTTGCGCGTGGACGTGGACGTGGACGCGGACGCGGACGCAGATGCAGACGCGGACGACGGCCGCACATACACCCCCGCCCTCGTCTCGACGCTCCGCGGCGGCCTGACGACCTACCACGGCCCCGGGCAGGCGGTGCTGTGGCCCGTGCTCGACCTCAAGTCGACGCTGTTGGCCGCGCCGCTGACGGTCCGCGCGTACAGTCGGCTGCTGGAGACGACGACGGCGACGGTCTTGAAGCGGCGGTTTGGACTGGAGGCGTACACGACGGGGGACCCGGGGCTGTGGGTGGCGTCGAGACGCGCGGCACGAGACGGCGCGGACGGCGCGGACGAGGCGGACGACACGCACACAGAGGAACGAAAGGTGGCCGCGCTGGGCGTGCACCTTCGCAGGCACATCAGCGCGCTGGGCGTGGCCGTCAACTTGGACACGCCCGTGACGTGGGCGCCGTCGCCGTCGCCGTCGTCGTCGCCCCCTCCATCGTCGTCTCTGTCCTCGGCGGACGCCTCGTCCTCGACGAACCCCTGGACCCGCTTCGACCCCTGTGGCCTCTCCGGCAAAGGCGTCGCCTCCGTCGCCGACGAAGCACGTCTCCGCTTCGGCAGCGTCCCGGCCGCCTGGGACTTGCGGCCGGCGCCCTTTGCGGCGAAATGGGCGGCGGCGCTGGCGATGCAGCTGGGTCTACGGGACCCCGAGGTCGACGTGGCGGACGCTGCTACGGTGCAGCGCATGCTGAGAGATGCACAAGAACTGCTTGCGAGGGGCGTCACCGACGACGAGACATAGACATAGACTGGCGTTGCATTACTTTTGTTTAATTGACATGATACCACTTTCTGTCCATCGATCGTCCTAATCCTCCGCGCGCTCAACTGTCCGGACCTTCTTCGTCGCCTGTTCGGCGGACCCTCCCCGTCGCCTGTCGGCGGACCTTTCCCGTCGCCTGCCCCGGTCGCCTGCTCTGCGGCCTCACTCCCGGCAGGCGCGCCCTGCCATCGCGGCCATCAGCCCGTCCCAGTCCAGCCGCCCCTGCGCCCGCTGCGCCACCAGCGTCCCGTGCCAGCGCCGGTGCGCGTCCTTGAGGCCGGCCAGGGCCACCCACACGGCAAATCCGTCGCCCGGGTCGGCGCCCAGCCGCGCCAGCCGCCGGCGCGTGTCCATCAGCAGGTGCTGGTACGCGGCCAGGCTGTCGCAGGCGGCGCGGTCGGCCGTGCCGAAGCGGGCGACGAGGGCGGCGACGTGCCCTGTCAGGCACGCGCGGCGGGCCATGAAGGCGACGGCGGCGTCGTAGTGGTGGCGGGGGTTTTTGATTTTGGGGTTGTAGCCGGCTGGGGTGGCGCTCTCCGTGGGCGGCGTGGGCGGCGTGGGTGGCGTGGGCGGCGGGCCCTCGCTCTGCGCCGACGGGCTGCTGCGCGGACTCGCTGGCAGACGACCGCTGGCGTCCACATTGTCCCCGGCCGCCGTCGCCCGCTTCCGCTTCTGCTTGTGTTTGCGTTTGCGCTCCTCCTTTGTCGCCTTCCGCTTCCGCTTTCTGTCGTTGCCGGGGGGCCACATGCTGCCCTGCATCGCCAGCAGCCCCGTCAGCACCTCCTCGGCCGAGCACTGGATAATCCCCTTGGCCAGCCTGCGCCGCTCGTCCTACTGAGCATAGGCAAGGCTGTCCGGGTGCGTGGGCTTGACGTCGCCGCCGCCCCCCTCTTCGAGAAATCCGGCCAGACCGTGGTACCGCAGGTTGGCCTGCAGACTGGTCTCCCAGGCGTCCAAAGAGTCGAGGTCGCGCAGCGGCGTGACAAGCGGAACGGTGCCGGCGGCGTTGGAGGCAGGCGTTGGGGGCGACGGTTGCTGCCGGTCGGCGGAGGACGTCGAGCGGGGGGGCGACGAGGACAGCGAGTGCTGCGAAGGCGACGCCACAGAGCGTTGTGCCGACGAATGCTGCGACGAACCGTCCGACTCGCCCGCTCCGCTGGCCGGCGACGACGACGATGACGACGACGACGTCCCGTTGTCCGAACAGACCGACATCACGCTGGGTGGTCTGTCTCCGCTGATCGATTGGTGCGTATTGGGTGGGCTATTTGTTAGCAGCGTACAAGGCAGATGCTGACACGGTCAGGTCAAATACCTCTCCCATGCACTGGGTTTTTCATCGTCGCTTTCGGGCTCCATCTTGACTTTGACGGGCAGCGTAGGTCGAGGTCGATGAGGCCGCACGGGCCGAACGTGCACAACGCGCGGCGAAGACGAGACGGGCAGACCAGGGGCTGTTCCGTACCACTGCTCCATTGAGAATGGTCTGTCTCGCGGTCAAGGAGATGATTAATGTTGTGATGGCGATGGCAGGGAAAGAGAAGGAGCCGTTTTTGATGATTGCGTTGGAGACGAAGCCAAACAGAAATGGGATGTAGAAGAAGAGCGAGTTACCACGAGGAGTGAAATTACATAGTCACGAATGGTTTTGCATTTGTATGCATTTGTATGCATTTGTATGCATTTGTATGCATTTGTATTGCCTGTGCGTCTGTGCTATTGTGCTACTCCTCTTTGGTGTATTCACGCACGTGAAAAATACGCAATTAAATCGCCGTGAAATCAGACACGCCTCAGATTTCACTCAGTTTCACGCGAGAAATACAACTTTCAGGAGAGTCCATCATGTGTAGACGGAATTCGACGGGAACCGTGACTGTAGGTTTTCAGTCGATGCAATCTCAACATGAAATCCGGTACTTTAACACACTTTGTGGTCGTTGGACAAACACATGACATTGTCACGAGTTGTTTTGCCTGAAGTCCTCTTTCTTCTTTTTCTTCTTTTTCTTCTTTTTCTTCCTTTTCTTCTTTTTCTTTTCTTTTTTTTCTTTTTTTTTTTTCGTTCCTTTTCTGCCGACTGTAGGCAGTCGTGCTGTCACCCACATTTCGCTTTACGCCTGCTGGATTTCACTTTACGCCTGGTGGCCTCGCCGCACATGCCTTGCTGCGCCGTACGCCGTCAAGCTCGTTGTCGACGTTTTGTTCATCGCGAGTCACAGGACAGATTTTCCTTTAATGAAATTTGCTGGCTCTGTCTCGCTGTGTTTGCCTCTTCGGGATAGACGCAAGTGGAGCCCATCCGTGTTTTGGGAACGATACTTTAAGTGCTCCGCAAAGGAAGGATCACAACAAAACGAGACTTTCATTTTGCCATACTTTGTATGCATGTTGCCACCGCAGCGTCCGACAAGACCAGGACAACGGGCGCCGTGTGACGTCGAGTTGGATGAGCATGGCAATCGACCTGACCTGTGAGTCTGCGGCTTGAGGCCGGCATTCGAAGCCGACGAAGCGAATTCTTTGCCTCCAGTGTTCAGAGCCCCAAATGCAGCAAGGCCGGAGCCTTATCAAAATGGGTAAGGCAAAGGAACAAGCGAGATGCGCCAAGCGACAAGGGGCCTAGCGCAACGGGTCTCAACTGCAATCTAGCACGTCCGACGCGGTTCGAGCCACCCGAGTCCAGCAGACACGGTGAGGCGCAGTGCACTAACGTCCCCTGGCGCCCCTGGCGTCCACTGAAAGCATGAAAAATTTGCGTGTCATTTGCAAGTCGTCGTAGTTTAAATCTAAAAAAAGGACAGGGGACGGAGAGGACATGTAAGTGAGTGCCTTCTATTTCAGCCCACCACCCATTTCCGCCCGGTACATAATGTACCTTTACTTAACAATCGCATACAAAATGTACATTGAGCCACAACTTAATATCTCCACGACGAAAAGTATGAAAAATATAAAGAAAATAAGAAAATAATATTAAATAAAAACAAAATATTATTACCGATTTTTATATTTTTTAACTTTTTTTAAACAGTTATTTTTAATACTTTATATTAAAAAGTTTTAAATTTTAAATTTTAATCCTTGTCGTACATATAAAAATTTTGTAACTAGTGTAAATTCGCTCCGTTTTACAAATATACTGTAAGTTACACTGTATATTTTTTTACTTTTTAAAATATTAAGACGAATATAAAGGATAATAAAAAATAAAAAATACTATAAATTATAAAATAAATAAACTATTAATATTATATTTAATAAATAATTTTAAGACTTAATAGTGTTGTTATATAAGGAATTTAAAATAAGTACTATTAGTATGTGATTGACACACTAAAGATACTTTGCGTCATGGGCGGTAAGGGGTGGTGGGCTGAAATAGAAGGCACTCACTTACTTTGTGACAAGGGAAAATCCGAGAAAAGAAAACGAGGTTTAAGCTTGTTTACGCCGGGCCCGCTACGATGTGAGAACAGACGAAATACAATAAGCACATGGCAAACTACAGGACAAAATACTTTGCAAGTACGGCTACGGCCATCTCGTATTCGTGGAGGTCGTGGATCTCGTTGCCTCTGCTGCCTCGCCTCGCAGCGCTCAATGCATTGCGAGCCGAGCATCTTTGGCATCGTGGACGCATCGGGAATCCTTTGCGTCGAGGCCGCATCCTGTGGCAAGTGGTCGCGCGGAGATCTCTTTTCACGTCGAATGCCGACATCCGACGAGAAACAGGCAACGGGAGACTGCTGATCGAAGCATGCGACAGGCCGAGACGGCACAGTTGGGTCCTGAAATTAACAGGTCCAGGCAGGCCCAGGCAGGTCCAGGGCAAGGCTAGGCTGGCAGGCAGGTCGACGAGAGCCAAGAACTTGGCGGCCACCGCCTGTGGTATTAGTGCAATTTGGCGACTTTGGCGCTTGTAGGTGCTTGGCGGCCTAGACATGCCCTTTTTTTTCAACCCCTGTCAGTTTTTATCTGCGTTTGATGTCCCCCCTTTTCACCACCTTGTGTGGGCGGCCTTCCTCGTGGTCTTCATAAGATCCTGGCCGTGCGCCTCTGTTTTTCCTTTTCGAGTTTTGATTTTTTCTGGTCTTCTTCCTTCTCGCTTCGTTGTTCGCGTGCTCGTTTCATTTTGATAGTCTTTGTTCGTTTGTTGACATTGTGAACTCTCCGTCACGCGTCCAGTCACTCGCTTTTTGTTTTCCTTCGTTGTTTTGTTTCTTTTCTTTCCCTCTCCGTATTTGTGCAGCCCGCTGCGTCCATTCGCTCGTCGGATCCCGATCTCACTACTTTGTTTTTCTCTTCATCAGCCTTGTCCCTCGCGGTCTACTTCTAACGTTCCACATTCCTGACATCACTGATCCCTGCTCTCGCCATGCCCGACCGCCCGCAGCCGTCCGCCGAGGACATTGCTGGGCCTGCCGGGCCTACCATGCCGCCTCGTACCACGCCCTCGCCCGCGACCACGCCGGCCGGCTCTGTGCCGGCCACGTCGCCGTCGCCCGTCCCTGTCCACCCCGACCTGGAGACGGTGCGCGATGAGGCGCAACCAGCAGGTGAACAGCAGCAGCGGCCCGTCCCCGAGGTCACTGTCGCCGGGCCCTCGTCCGGACCGCAATACGCCACCGCCGGCGGCCGCATCCAGCAGCCGCCACGCAGCTTCAGCCCCGCTGGCGTCAGCGAGAACACGCCCTTTACGGCGTCGTATCCGCCGCACCAGGGGCAGCCATACCAGACATACTACCCGCCCGCAGGTGGCTACTACCCTCCCCAGGCGACCGGTGGCTACCCCTACACGGGTGCCGCTGGTGTCGCTCCCGGCGCAGCAGATGCTGCTCTGGCGGGCGGCGCTGCCGGTGCGGCGGCGGCGGCGGCAGCGGGCGACAACAAGCCCAAGACGTTCACGCAGCGCATGGCCGGCAGCGACGAGCACTGGCAGTGGAAGCTGGCCCTGCGCCTGGTCCTGATTGTCCTCGACATCATCGCCATTGGCGCCGCCGCTGCCGTCACCGCGAGCAACAGCAGCAACGCGTATTACAACTGGTTCTACATTGACGACTCGTACGTCGTGCCGTTCACGCTGATCCCGCTGGGCCTGTCGCTGATCTGGTGCGTCGTGGTGGTGCTGGTGCTGCTGCTGCGCCGCCCGCCGCGCGCCGTGCACCCGGGCATCGCCGTCGGCCTGGACCTGGTCCTGTGGCTGGCCCTCATCTTCACGCTGCTCTTCACCGTGGCCGCGGCGCTGTCCCTGTCCGCGTTCGGCGAGAGCAGCGCGCCGTACATTTATTATGGCTCGAGCGGCGGGTACTCGCTGGCGCCCAACAACTCGTGGGTGTGGACGACGAGCAGCAACTACTACAACTACAACAACCTGGCGCAGGAGACGGGGGATGTTGCCACGGTATCGTTGGTGTCGTTGGTGTCGTCGGCCGCGGCCACGACGTCGGCGGCCTCGGCCGTGTCCGCCGCCGTGTCCGCCGCTGTGTCGGCCACTGCTGCTGCTGCCGCTGCTGCCGCCGCCGTCACGGCCGCGCCTGTCCTGTCGGAGCATGCCAAGCGCCAGCTCGGCCTCTCGTCGTCGGTCTCGTCCGTGTCCGACCCGTTCTCGTATTCGTACGATGACCCCTACACGCATTCCAGCTACGACGACCCCTACACCTACGACGACCCCTACACCTACGACGACCCCTACACCCGCTCCGACTACTACAACCCGTACGGCCCCGACTACACGACCGACTCGGACGGCTACTACATTTATGCCACCGCCACCACCAGCACCGCCACCGCCGCCCGCTACACCCGCACCCGCGACTGCACCCCCGAGTTCACCTCGTGCGCCCAGCAGGACGCCCTCGTCAACAAGCTCTGGCACGACAAGCCGCGCCGCTACGCGCTCGACCTCCTGCTCTGCATCCTCCAGGCCCTCGCCATCGTCCTCCACTTTGCCCTCTTTGTCTGGGCCTGCGTCGACACCCACCGCCGCAACCGCATGCGCCGCACCGACGCCATGACCATGGACGTGCTGCAGGACATGCGCCAGCGGGGCTACGTCATGGTGCCGGCGGCCGACGGCGCGGCCATGGGCGCAGCAGCCGCACCGCCGGCACCGCCGGCACCGGTCGGCGGTCTGCCCGGCCACGACAGCATGTACTACCCGCAGCAGCCTGGTCAGCCTGGGCCACCGGGCCAGCTGGGTGGCTGGCCGTCGTCGCCGCGTGTCGCCGAGAAAACACCAATGTCGCCGACGCGGTATGCCTAGGAGAGAGGGGGAAGAGGACGAGGAGATTTTGTCAGCGATGACGACTACTAATATTTAATTTGCATCTACGTCTATACGGCCGGTTTTCTTGGTTTTTGTGTTCCCGCCTTACTTTTCCTCGTTGATACCATTTTCTAGTATGGTTGTTTGTATTTAGACATGTTGTCTTACGTTCTTTTCTTTTCTACCGTAATGAACAGCGCAGTTCAGCGTTTCTTTGATGTTGTTACTTATCCTCTCCGTGATGTTGTCTGCTGTCCATTTCTTTCTGTTTGCAGGACTCTCGCCCTGTACGCAGCCTCATCTGCGTCATTTGTACTGACTCTGACGGCACGTCAGACAGCCTTGTCGAGATTGGTAAGCGTATTGTGCCGTCGTCAATACAGTCAAGCTTTTCTTCATCTGCCAATTCCGTATCTTACACGTAGACACGGGCTAGAACACTGCCGATCAGCAATTGAGTCACTGGCCGACGCCCTGAACGCCCTAGACGACGCCATTACAGCGCAGCAACAATGCGCCATCGTGAAGGAGCCTGGGGCCTGCAGCGAAGCCCTGATTAGGCAAGTGAAAATTGACGGAAGTGTCTCAAAAGGGAAGGTCCACCAAACAATGAGATCGCCACACTTTGACAATTGGAAGCTGCCCTCCTGCCCTTTCATTCATCCGTATTACGGCCCTTACACCTGTCTTACTAAGCCAAAATGCGACGGAGCTGTGCCCGAAGCTCGAACTGTAGCTTTGGAGGTTTAAGCCTGGAGATGCAATTGTTCTCCGTCGCCGTTCCTGTGTTGTCCGCCCCTCACCAGGTCTGCCGTTGTCATCAACTCGTATTGTTCCTCCCGTCATATCGTCACATTGTCACATTATCCCATTTGCATCCAATCTTGAGCCATTCCGTCTGGGCATAAAAGCCGGCAGTTCCCCCAGACTTGGCAATCGTCGGCACTTTGTAGATACACGCACCCACATTTGCACCAGACCCCACTTCCAACATGTCCGAACAGCTCTTCACCCTCCCCGACGGTCGCACGATTGCCTACCGCGTCTCCGGCGCGCCTGACGGCTATCCCCTCGTCTGGTTCCACGGCACGCCGTCCAGCACGGAACCCCCACCGGCTCTGGAAGCGGCCGCCAAGAAGCAGGGCATCCGCATCATTGCAGCTGCCCGCCCCGGCTACGGCGGTTCCGGCCGCCACCCCGGCCGTCGCGTCGTCGACGCCGTGGCCGACACCCAGGCCCTCAACGACTTCTTGGGCGTCCGGGAGTGCCTGCTCATGGGCTGGAGCGGCGGCGGACCGCATGCGCTCGCCTGTGCGGCGCGTCTCCCGGGCGCCCGGGCCGCCCTGACGATTGCCGGCGTGGGCCCCGCCGACGCGCCGGACCTGGACTTTCTCGCGGGCCAAGGCGACGACAACGTCGAGGAGTTTCGCGCGGCGGCGGCGGGCGAGCCCGCCCTGCGCGCCTTCTGCGACACCATGCGCAGCGAGATCCGCGCCGGCGGGCCCGAGGGCGTGGTGGCCGCGTTCGACACGATCCTGAGCGACGTCGACAAGGCCGCGGCCCAGGACCCGGCCAACGGGCTGCGCGACTACCTCTTCCACGTGCTGAACGACGGCCTCGGCGCCGGCGTCGACGGCTGGATCGACGACGACTTGGAGTTTACGCGGCCCTGGGGCTTTGACCTCGCCGAGATCGACGTCCCCGTCCTGTTGTACCAGGGCAGCGACGACAAGATGGTGCCGTACGCGCACGGCCAGTGGTTTGCCAAGCACCTGCCCGCCGCGTCGCTGCGGGCACACCTGATTGAGGGCGAGGGCCACGTGAGCCTCGTGGCCAAGGGGGCGGAGCTGCTGACGGAGCTGGTCGCGGCGGGAGACGTGAAAGTAGAGCAGTAGGCGGGAGTGAGTGTCGACGATGTGTTGTTTGGACATGCGTCATTCTTCAATGCAAACAAAGATATCTTGCTACACCTCATCAAGGGCCAGGTAATGAAAGTGACATTGCACAAGCTTTGTACAAGCTGGGGGTTTTTGACTACGGGTAGTGACCGTGTTGGCGTCGCTGCAGGTGACATACCAAACGATCGTCCAGTATTTATTTAAAGCGTACATAGATGTGATGCAGCTGGCGCTTCCGGTTGGCAAGCCTGCCGGCTACGCCAAGCTACAGCTCCGGCGTGTCGGCAAAGTGGATGGCCACGTGCTCCGGCCGGGACTCCCCGCCCGCCACCTGCTTACCCAGCGTGCCCAGTGTCTCCTGCTCTTCGGCCGTCAGCTCGACACGGAGCGCGGCCAGGTTCTCCTGCAAGCGCTCCGCCTTGCGCGTGCCGGGGATGGCAAACACGTCGTCGCCCTGCGCCAGCAGCCACGCGAGGCACAGCTGCGCCGTCGTCACGCCCTTTTGCTTGGCCAGCGCGCCCATCTGGGCCACCGTGGCCACGTTCGCGTCGAGGTTCCCCTCCTGGAACCAGGGCAGGCCAAACGCGCGGCGCAGGTCGCCAGCCGCGGCCGAGCGGGCTGGACGCGACGACGGCCACGCCCAGCGCGCGGGGCCGCCGCCAGGATGCCCCGCTTGGGGTCATCGACGGCCTCGATGGCGCGGGCAAACACCGAGTACTCCGTCTGGACGGCCGCGATGGGGTGGACGGCGTGGGCGCGGCGCAGCGAGGCGGCGCTGCAGGCGCCCAGGCCAATGTGCTTGATCTTGCCCTCGTTCTTCAGCGCCACCAGCGCCGCCATCGTTGTTTCAATGGGCGTCTTGCCGTCGAGGCGGTGCACGTAGTACAGATCAATGTACGCCACACCGAGCCTCGTCAGCGACCTGGCCAGCTGCTGCCGCGCGTACGCGGGTGACGAGTCGAAAATGATGTCGGTCGGCACCGTCATGTCGATGCTAAACTTGGTCGCTAGGAAGACGTGGGCGCGCTTCTCGGGGTTGCGCGCGAACCACTGGCCCGGCAGGTCCTCCGAGTCCAGGTACATGTCGGCCGTGTCCCAGAAGCGCTCGCCCATGGCGTAGGCCCGGTCCAAGAAGCCAAGGCGCTCTTCGTCGGAGCCGACGGCGTTGTAGGCGCCGCTGTTGTTCATGCGGCCGAGGCCGAGGCGTGGCAGCATGGGGCCATTCTTGCCAAGCGGACGGGAGGTAATAGATGAAGTCATAGCGTAGGAGAGGATGCAGATTCTGGTTTAAAGGGCAATGGAAGATGTCATTGGTGATGTAGAAGATTGATGGGACGCCCTGGGCTGGACAGCAACGCCATCGACCTTTATATCTCGACCTACCGCTCCTGTTAGTTTCCATTCTCTGCGTCGGCCACATTGTCAGTCTTCTAAGCACATGCTAACGGCCTCCCGGACACGACACAGTTCGATGGGTGCCTGGTCGGTCGTGAGACGTCCGGTGATGGACGTACGTTGACGTCCAGTATCGTGTAAGTGAAGTGTACGCACAGTGATACTGTGTACCGAACACACACGTTAAATATGGTTGACAGCAAGTACTTGTACAGTCCAATACAGTGCATATTGACAATATCCACTACTAACACTGTCCACTTACACTGCACCGAAAAGTCCGGATGCCGTCGTGGCAGTGAACAGCAGCACACCTCTCGACCGCCGATAAATCCGCCGATATGTCCAACTCGAGGAATACGTGGTAGGGGGATACGGTAGGGGATAATGGAGGATGCATACGAAATGGAGAGGGCATAGCGAGAGTGTTTTCGTTGTCATCACCCAAAAGAGGAGCCGCCAACGGCCACCGACTCTTGCCGCCTTGGAATTGAATGGCCAGGCCTGGGTTGACTATGAAACAAACATGGAAAGCATATATGGAGCCGGTTCAACGGATGTTTCTCCGTCTAAAAGCAGACTGGGGGCCTGCATCGCCAACTGCCTCTCATTTCTGTCAGAGCAGCCGCCGTGGAGTGCATGTAGAGTGCTGGGTGTGCTGAACGCGCTGAATGCACTAAACCAACAACCCACTGTAAATGGTGAGCCAGGGGTCGATTGGTTCACAATTGTCCCTGACGAGAAAACGGTAGTGGACCACAGCCCTGGACGGCCCTGGACGGCCCTGGACGGCCCTGACAGTAGGCGACCTGGTGTGAGTGGGGGCGTGAGGCAAGCCAATCAGCACGCCAGCGGCCCTGAGAGACAAAGAGCCGCGGGCGGTCTTCTGGACAGGTCTGTTCTCGATTGTTGCAAACAAACGACCTTGTTCACACTCTGAAGCAGCGACGGCACCGTCGGCGGCAATCGAGACAATGGGAACGCTGTCCGTGAGGATGTCAGCTGTTTTTAGCGTGGGCCTTTGTTTGGGTCACACGAGCAGGAGAAGGAGTGTTTGGACCAGAATCGACGTTGGAAGAAAAAAAAAAAAAGGAAGGGAATAAGAAAGAGGAGGAAGAGACAACACAAAGGCCATGACATGGTCGGCGGCAATGGTGCCTGTCACAAAAGAGAGTCATGGCAGTATGGCAGACAACGAGATATAAAGATAGAAGACCCGTCATTTGAAAAGAGAGACGTCGTACATACAACTCAATCTTTGAATTTCAGTCTAATCCATTTTCCTTTTCTTTCCTTTCTTTACGTCTTCATTTCCTTCTGTCGACATCAATCTGCTGGTCATTTTGATACCACTCGCTTCACGACTCCCGTCCTCGTTTTCAATCACGCTCACAATCACACAATCACACGATCACTCTCATTTCTTTACTGTTTGTTTCCATTGCTACTTTTTTCTAATTCATAATGCTGGCTCGCAAAGGTATGGCATCGGTCCTCTCTTCCCATCCCCCCTCCCATCCCCCTTCCCATTCCCTCCCCATCCATCTGCCTCTCACCGCTAACACGTCCCAGACTTCCGCCAGGGCATCGCCGCCCTCCTCGCCATCTGCATCGTCGTCTTCTACATTCTCGTTCTCGTCGGCTGCATCTCCACCTCGCCCGGTATTCCCGGCCTCTACGTCGTCCGACTCGCCAACAACGCCTCCAAGGCCGAGGTCCACGTCGGCCTCTTTGGCCTCTGCGCCGGCACCGACCCCGCCAACCTGACCTGCTCCGGCACCGTCGCCCAGGCCATCGCCGTCAACGCCTCCTCGCCCTCCACCAAGTTCTTCTTGCCCGGCACCGCCACCGTCGCGCCCAGCGCGCTCCAGCCCCTGCTCACCCTGGCGGCCGGCATCCAGAGCGGCAGCACCGGCCCCGGCGGCGTCCTGGCCATTGTCTACGTCCCGCTCTTCCTCAGCGCCCTCTGCTTTGTCGGCGCCGCCGGCAGCCTGCTAACCCACCGTCTCGCCTCCCGCGGCGCCGACTCGGCCGACCCGGCCGACTACGCCGACGAAAAGGAGTTCGTGCACACTCGCAACGCCTGGCATGCGGCCGTCCTGCTGACCACGGGCGCCATCATGTCCGCCCTGGCCGCGGCCATTGCCACCACCGTCGCGGTCCGGGCCCTCCTGTTTGCGGGCACGTCGCTGCCCGGCAGCGACATCTCCAACGCCGCGACGGCCATTGACGTCTCGGGCGGCAAGTCGATCCAGGTGCTGGAGTGGCTGATTGTCGTGCTGACCATGCTGTGGCACCCGGTGCTCGAGTCTGTCTGGCGCCGGATCCTGTGAGGGTGCTGTAGTTGATGGACAACGTTGTTTACAGCATCTTCCTCTCCCTTATTATCTTTCTCCCCTTTCCTTTGTTTGGGACAATGCACACTCGTGTAGATAGCGGCCGTGCTGTACAGAGGCGTCATTGTTTCCTGGGTGGTTTTTTGATCTTGTTGCTTGTCTCCTTTTGTTGTTGGTTTTCTCCTTTGTTCTGTTTGTTTCAACATACAATAATTCTCAGATACTTTTCGGATTGTCTTTTTGCATTTATGAATTTTGAATGACAACCTATTCAGTGCATTTACGTCAACGTGTCATTTTGGTTTTATAAATTTATCAAATACTTGTTTACTGCCCTTGGATTTTAGACTGCATTTAAACTCATCTCGCAATGAAACTGTCGTCACGCAGGACTCAGTACAACAGCATCTACCACTTACAGTCTTCGTCTCAAGTCTCCTACCACGTTCGTGTCATGACTACCTCACCGTAGATTGACCGGCACCCCGTTCCTGCAAGGCATTAAAGTGTAGCCACAACAAATGCTATCTGACAAAAGACAGCGTATATTGTTCGCCCGTAGCTGCTCTTTTGTGCAGCCCCTTACTGTTTTGTTTACACAACCCCATCACCTCGCGGCCAACTCTGCCTCACTTTTACTTTGTTTGAGCACTTGCACATCCACGCACTCACACCCTCCGCACGCCGTCAACAGCGCTTCACATGTCGTTTGATCTCTGCTCACTTGTCGTTTGTCACTCCCCTGCCCTCTGTTTGTCATGGCTGATTGCGCGGACCTCCTGCCTCCGTGTCCGCCTGCCGCTGGGGTATAAATATCTGGCGTCGCCCACCTCCCCTCGCACTCTCTCGACCCTCCTCTCTCCTCTTTCATCAACCAACTTCGCTCTTCGCCAGTGTTGGTGATCTGCCAATTATAGTTTCACACTCTACGTTCATACTTCCCTCTTACACTTTTCTGTGTGTATTTCCTCCTACAATATATTTGTTCACTTGAATGCTTACACCTTGCTCGCCTTTACATGTATCATGTCGCACACCCACAGTCATGTGGCATACTGAATGCTGCAGTTGCGTTTCACTTGATGGGCACAACGAGGAAGACGCTACACAGTGGCCGAGCCCAATTCCAGTGAGTCCACAGCCATTTAGCCATTGGCAGCTTACGTTGTACTGAAGCGTGCCACTAGGTATATATTGCAGTGAAAATCGTCCCCCTAGTGATCAACTTACACTGTTGCCGTTTTTCAGGACGTCAACCTCAGGACATCAACCAGATGGCGAAGAATTGCCCGTTTATTCGTGCTTACGTCCCATGTACATTGTCCGACCCCAGGAGGTGCTGTCAACCGCCATCATTTGCGTTGTATTCGGGGACTCGCAACACCTCACAGACGTGGAACACGAGACCGCAATCGACAGGGCTACCATTTACGCCAATGAAGCAGGACTCAAAATGGTTGTTCCTTCCGTCCACTCGCAAGAGAACAGTGCCATCTTCATGGCAAACTTCGACTTGACGTCACGTCACGTCCTGTTCCACTTCATGATGCAAATGCATCGCATCGACAAGGGCACTGTGGAAGAGAGACGCGGCGTCACCTTTACCGGCTTCATGTGGAACCAAATAGAAACTGGCGCTCTGTGACACTACGCCGGCCGTTCTCGTCGACGAACTGAGCCATCGGCACAGTCTCATCGAGGCCAGCGACACGAAACAACAAACCCCGATCCAACAAATACTCCCGGCCTTGTCCGATCAGGCGACCAGTAACACCGCAGCACTACCTCGCATGGCACGGGACATATCAGGCATCCATGCCACGGTCCAAACCCTACAAGAGAATGTTTACGCCGACCACCGGACAACTCCCGCGGCCATGCCAGCCAGTGCCATGGCACTCTCAAGCCCCATGGCACAACATCCGGGTACGCAGCTCGGCTCACGGCTCTCAGCACACCACATCCTCCCTCGGCCGCCTCGCGTACTAACTAGCCGAGCCGGCCCAGTCACAACCACTCCGTCACGGCGTCGCGTGACCACATCGGCGCCTCTCGCCCGGGACACAGGCTATGGTGCACCGTACAACGGAGTCGTCCCCAGAAAAACAAGACTCGGTACATGACGTGGGACCAATCGCATGAAAATATCCACTATGGCCCGCACGTCCTCATGTACCCATGAAGAAATGCAGCATGTCTGTCAGCGAACGGCAATGAAGTGAACCCGGCTGGCATAATCCATTGCAGAGCCGAAACTCGCCCAATCGGGACTTGGATGAAGCAAGCACCCGGAGTCAGAGATATGTGACAGTGACGTCAACGGCCATGTGCGTCTGCTGACCGACATGCCACGTTTTACCCCCGCCATTATTTCCTCCGGTTACAGAGACTATGAGTATGCTCGGACTAGCATTCGGCGGTGAGCCCCGATTCGCCACGACATGAGATTCTGCAGACGAATACATAAGGACGATGAAGCCGGCTTTGTGCACCTTTTTGTCTTGAAAATCGCCCTGAAACACCACAATCAACACCCTGGTGGAATGGAAACCTCTCCAGCACCACAGTTTCTCGATCTCGCCTTAATCCTTGCGTCCCTACGCCCAGCCTTGTCGTAAGCGGAACCCAAGACGCTATGAACAGCTACCGACATGACCTGGAATACTGGTTGCGAATAGTGGCCAAACGTCCACGACGTCGAGGTGTTCGCCCCGGATGGCTTTGAAAAGACGAAACGAAGATAAACGAAAATAGCGAGGCATACACATGAGAAGATACAACACCGAGGAACAGACGGAACTTTAATGACTCGAGTGTGTCCTGCCTTGGAAAAGAAGACAGCCAGGGTTTCAGATATTATGTCGAAATATCTACAGCGGCTCTGAAACTTGGGACGACATTCTGTTGGTGCCGTCGCAGGGAGACTGTTGGACCAGCAGACGAGAACAAAGACCAAGACAGCCAAGGCAATTGTACCTTATGCAGTGATGATGCCCATACTCGCAATGGTTGCACTGGTGCCAAATTTGACACAAACGTCCACAAACCGCATGAGAAGGGCCATATGGGCGGTGCTGTCGTATCTCGTCAACCCCAATTATCCGGAGGAAGCATGAAATTATTGCCAGCGCTACTTGGGAGGCAGTGAAAGTCATCTCCCATTACGGTTCATACAACAAGGACAAACCGGCTATCAAGTAATCCCAAGACCTTATGATGAGAGTCATACTCCTCAAAATGAAATTTCCTGCGTTGATTGGGTGCGGAATCAAAGGGAAGGAATTGAGATGGTGGCTTCGTCCATCAAAGCAAGTAAAAACCTGTCATCCTCACTTGATTTTGCATCCGCCCACCTGTCACAATGTCAGCGTGAAACAGCTGCTGCGGTGGTTACATGCCAGTGATCTTTTTATCTGCGATACAGTCGGATATCAAGAAGCCCGACTTAGAGAGTTGTGTTCAAAAGTACAGCTTGTTTTCTTCCCATCCCTCACAAGCGCTTCCTGCAACTCGACCCGTTTTCACAGTCTACTCGCAAGATAGTTGCTATTCAACTCATCACAATCACCATGCCTCCCTCCACGCCTGGCCGGCCTGCCGTCGACTCACTCCATGGCTCGCCCACTCCTCCATACACCAGCCAGGTGACGGTGTCGGAGGCGGGTGAGCGATCTCGTGCCCGCACTGCTGTACTCCACGGGCGACGCTGCGCCCCAGATAGACGCGACCCCAGGTACGTAAAAACAAACGCCCCGTCAAACGAGACACACAAACTCATCTTCAAGTAGTCGTATCCGCCGGACGCGAGACGCAAACGAGCGCGACCATCGTACGCAGCCAGGTCATTACAAGTATAGACGTCTTATCGTGGGAGCCGGCGACTATGGGGGGGCTACGGGCCTTTTTAGAGGCCGGACACGCCGATGATAGAAGAGCTCGGTATGAAAAGATCCGCGACGAGTTGATTTGGCTGAACACCAACTGCGACATGTGGATAGCCCACTTTGACGCCCTTCTTTGTGAACAAAAACTGGTACCAAGATGTGCGGAAAGCAGTCCTCGCTTTGAAGACAATGGAACAGGCAGACCCGTACGCCGATAAATGGCGTCTTTTTATACAAATGGCCGACGGGCCTGGCCCGCGCCGACAAGGCATGTTGGCAACGTTACGACGAACCAGGTCTATGGACGTCGTCTCGCTTCCTGTCTCCATGTCTGGGAATACTCGTTAGATATGCCACGAAGCGGGAGATATCTCATCCAGAACGAAAAAGTCGGATGTTAACAATGGAGCATTTCTTCACCAATGTGTTCTGTTCTTTCCACCCCCAGAAGTGTATCTCACGATGACATGGTCGTCCGAGGTGATGATACGGACATCCACGGCCGTCGCCAGACCTCCGATAACGCCGACGCGCCAGCCACGCCAACCAAATGCAAAGCGAAGCAGCCGTTCCCCGACGCCGCATCACATGATGCCTCCGCCTACCATTTGTCCAATTATGAGGACCTCCAAGCCAATGGCAAGCGGCTCGAGCAAGTCATGGACCGTATCCAAAAGGACCACGCGGTTCCCAGAAGCCGCACAGCAGTGCGCTCCGCCAACTTGAACGTGCATCGCAAACAACACGCTGCCGAGTTTCTAATGCGGGCCCCGATTCTCCGAGCGTGCAGAGCGAGACCGGACTCACAAGTGAGAACCGTACACCGGCCAGCTGAGCGGGCCTTGCACGCGCAGCGATGTCGAGCCGACGTCCCGGAAAGTCCCGAAAACATTGACATATCCACAAAGTCTGGATATTCTCATCTTGACACGGTGGCTTATATTGCATCAAAGCACGCCTGCAAGACGTCGGGTCTTTTCTGAAAGCGGGACATCCAACCTGGATTGCAGTCCACGCCCTTTTCTTGCGTTCTGTTAAAGATGAGCAAGCAGTTCTCTGCATTCCCAAGAAACCGTATACGGAACACGGAGTAGGATGTTTTCCTCAGCACGTCAGCACTGGATAGCATTATCTGGAATGCTGCAGTTTACCATTGATACAGACAGCGCCGCATTCTGCCTCAGTGGGAGTGCTGTTCGTCAAGCGAAGGGCCACGAGTGGACAAAGCCACAGTGCTGCGACAGTCCAGCCATGGCTTCAGAATACATCCACGACATAGCTTCTGGAAGTGAGTTGCCAGTCCCTGTTCTGACACACGATAAATTCAGGCGTGCAAGTTCAACGTGGATATTCTGTGCCGTATTCTGGGCCTTCACCAAGTGCCTCGAGGACCTGTCCCACAGCCCCAGGTCGTCGACAACCACTCTGAATTTGATGTTGAATACTTGACTTGGTGCCAGGGCAAGACCCAGATTCTGGCCAAGCTCACTCGAACCAGAGCCACTGGGCAAAACGGATGGCATATACCCGAATTGAAATCATCGTGGAGACTATATTCAAACTGAAAGACGTACTTGCATCGTCACGCCCCCCGCCACTCACAAGTTGGCCATCAGCCTCTCCAATGTCAAACACCAGGCGAGTCCAGTTATCTTGGGTAGACCAGCTCGTCGTATCAAGGCGGTCAACCTAACATGAACGTCTCTATGGACATGTGCCTGGTCATACAAGTTCTGTGTTCAGCCTATCCACCACTCTGATGTCTTGTTACCAAATGGTGGCAACATCCATAGGCCTAGCTCATCGTGCCGGCCTCCAGTGGAAATCCATCGTCACAACGCAGTGGACCGTCACGGAAAGCATCGACTTCTATATTGGGCATAGAACGTTTGGACGACAAGCACCGCCAGGTCACACACTTCCTCTATCGCCTTCATGAGTCAGAGTGTCAGTCTGTGGTAGATTCACAGCTTCGTCGGTCTTTTTTAATTTTGAGGATTTGAGCGGCTGGATCGATCCGCTGTCGGCCAAGAGACAGATTTGCAGTGAAGAAACAATGTCTTCCCTGGAAACATGACTGGTACAATTCACAACAGTGGCAGCGGCCATCCGCCTCATGCACAAGTGGCTTGTCATGATTTGATTGTGGACAGGCTTGATATAGCAGCAACTCAACATGATGCTAACTTCTGATGACGACCCAACCACCCAATTCGTCCACCTCTCCACCTCTTCCGGAAACTTCGACTCTGACGCCGTTTCGACCAGAGCAGGCATGTGGGTATTCTTTTACCGCTGTCAACGGCTTAATGTGGGCGCCGAGCAGTCTTGTACTGCTCGGCGCCCACATTAAGCCGTTGACAGCGGTAAAAGAATACCCACATGCCTGCACTATGCCAGGCGCAGGTCAACCCCAGGATCTCCTTTTGTCAGTTTCCTGTCAGTTTCCTGTCGATCGGAGGACGATCAAAGTGCACCCTTTTCACAAATGGCGTGCTCTCATCACCAAACATTGACAGCCCAGAGACGACAACGCAGTGGAATGGGCTGACCTGTGGCGGTTGTATTAAATAGAGACTGCAAAGCCGGTCAAGTCAATATAAACCGCACCACGAGCCATGCCACCATCGGCATCTTCCAAAGCGCGTTCGTTGAGAGAACAGAGATATCGCACGCTTCGATGTACTTTGGTAGAGCTGGAAAACGTTGTGCATTTTGACCTGCCTGAATTATTCGTGTCGTGAAAGCCAAGGATATAGCCGAAAGAACAGAACCCTGACTCTGACCCTGACCTGAAAAATGCACAGCTTCACAGGTCCGTTGGTGCAGCGGGATAAAAGCAGTGGATTGACGGTACCAGTATCAAATGTGCGGAGACCCGGTTCATGAGACGTCTGCGCATCGACTCTAAAGTCCTGTTGACGAGGGCGATATTCACTGCGAAAGACGGACAGCGCATTTCGTCCGGATTCAAAGACAGGTACGGCACAGGAACATGATCTGCAAATCCAAGATGAAGGTCCGTTGTTTGGCCGACGCCCAAGTCTTGCATGCAGTTGCACACTACGCGGAGGGCAAGCCAACCAGCAGGACATGAACACGAACCCCATGAAAGCAAACTGGTGGTTTATCTCACTCATAGTGTGGTACATGAGGTCGACCAGACTCATCGACGCAGTTGACAGAGAACCTCCAATGAAAGTCATCAGTCGGCAGAGTAGCCTCGTTGGAATGGCATGGGTTAAGGCACAAGGCACAACAGCACTTGCAACAACATCAACTCTACCAAAATGAATTTGGGAATCCTGGGAAATCACAGGATCATCTGGTTTCGTACTTTGGCGAGCACGGCTACCTGATCTTGTGGCTTTATTGGCGTTTTGACATCACCCGTTACTCCTGGTTAGACAAGCTTGCGTCTTGGTCGTTTGGGTGCGATTAGACACTCTCCAAAAATAGGGTAAATCGATTTGTTTGCAGTGACAAAACATGGAATATGGCCACTTCCGTGAGACGCAGTCTCAGACAAGATCCTTCCCACAACGTCCAAGTTAAAATGTCAACAAGTCCGCGTCTACAACAATCCAGTGGTGCTGCGATCACGGCCCTACCATTCTTGGCCATTGTCTAGAAGCATGCCTCCAAGTTTGACAGTTGCACGAGATGCACGGTCGAGCAGGTGTGCTTCAAGTAATGACGTCATGTACTTTATGAACGACTTTCGGGAAGACTCACTATACTAACAGCATTCCTATGTTGTGAACTCTGTTCCCATCACCACATCCAATTCCATCCCCGACGGACCCGGGACACAAATGCGGTTGCTTGCATATTCGACCAGACATCAGGAGTGCGACAGCGCCCGCAACATAACCGCGAGCAGATAAAACAAAGAGAGCCTGCCATCGTCACTCCTCGCACATGACTACAAACGAACAGACGATTGTGAATGATGTGCCGTTGAACCGCGGACATGTGACCCCGGATCCATAGTCTTAGCCGCCGCCTGCCACCTGTTGACAGAGGGCAACGCTGCACAGCGGACAGACATCAGATCAGCTATTGATCCGTTCAGCTCCTCAGACTTATTGTTCTTGTTGTTCTTGCATCGCGTAGACTAGTCATGAAGATGGAACAATCAAGCCGTTTCTATCCACATGTTTACCATGAGGTTACATTAGTTCACCTAGCTTCTTAGTCTCATTTATACAATTCTGTGTTATTGTTATTGTTGTTACGCGTCGCGATGTTTTAGGTGACACATACTATCAATGCAGTCAATCTTGCATGAAATCCCTTACTACCCTTGCTTCTCCATACGAATCACCATAAATCGTGTGATACATGGTACCAATGAGCTCGTTCGTCACCCGACGCACCAGGTCCTTCAGTGCGACCAGCAGCAGATACCATGGGATTGGTCTCACGGAGCCGGACGAGATCTGCCAGTTGCGAGGCATGCTTGTAAAGAACCGGCAGCTCATGATCGTCTCTATCCTGGTGAATTCGAACACCTACAAAATCAACCCGGACAGCCATTCGAACCATATAACAAAGACCTGATTCTCCGGACAAGATCCCTCACCGCAACACGACGCCGTTGGGGTGTCGTGTACGTCGCATACTATGATTCCACCACCGGAAGCTGAGTGATGTGCCATGCAAAGGATCAACCGTGAAAGGCAGTGTATTTCTGACCACGTTCATGCGATTGTGATTTGATACGTCCGGTGGGTGCACCTAACAACACGCAAACGCAATAGTATCGCGGCAGACGGGTTCAGCGTTCAGAGGCGTGAATTGGGCCGCTCACTGCAGTGCCACTTTACGCTGTTACTCGATGACCACAACGCACAGCAACGACTACCAGCGCCCGGTGGACGGTGATGGAATTTGGACTGCACAATTGATGCGGCTCTGCAACAGGCAGCAGCCAGCAGCCGCGGGGGAAATCGAGTGAAAATGTGCGTTGCGTCGCGGGCAACACCTGCACGTCGAGGCAACATCGACGCAAGACGAATTGGGGGCGGGAAACGAGGTGTCATTTGGCGTCAGGAAATGCTTCCTCCAAACAGCACAAAACATAAATAGGCAGCCTTCTCTTGCTTTGTCAAAGGGAAGAAGTCGAATCGTCCTTTCCTACCGTGCTTTTCCCGGCTATTCGTTTTGCAAAATCGAACGGAATACTCGTTTGCAATACGCTTTTCTGAAACACTCGTCCTTCTGTCGTTCTTGGGCTGTCTCGCACGACTACCATTCCCCGGTCTTGCCGCACCATATCCGACCAACGCCAGGATAAGCACCACACCGAAACAACGGTACGTACGAAACAGTCTTGTTCTCGCTTGTTTTATGTATGTCCTGGCTGACAATCGGAATGGGCTAATAGTGCAGAGACATGCGCCGGATGCGATGCCGAAGATGCGACGTGGCCTACAGACACGACATCATAAATGGATGCCCGGATGGCGTTGTGCATCCCATCGGCCACGCACTCTCTGTCCTCATGCTTGTCAGAGGCTATTGTCCTGAACACAGCCTGCCTACTCCGGACACAACTGACGAATCCGCATCGGCTAGTGAGTAGATACGGGTACCGCGCTGGTGGAGAAATGAAGGGCGCCATCGACATCGTCTCCTAGGGAAGATTCTCAGGTCAAAGTTCAATTTGATATTTACTCTAATTTAATATTTCCTCTTGTGTTTGCAATCCATGTACCTTGATCAAGACACTCGTGAATGAAGGGGAGAGGACACGGCTTGTTGCATCTTTCTGCTCCCCTCCGCCTATTGATCGAATCGCTGTTCGTCCTCTCGTCCGGGGTACCGTGAATATGTGACATCAACGGCCGGCCAAGATGTACGGTCGCGTCCCAGCGCCCGCGGTGCGTAGTACGCTGGGCACATGCCGTCTTTGTGGTCAATCTTAAAGGGAGGGTGGAGTCGCCAACCATGCAGCTCGTGCGCCTCCTGCAGACTCTTGTTCACCAAGTTCTCCAACAAACCCCCGGGTGCGCCTGGATCTTGCTTGAAGGGGTGGTTGTCGCTGTGGCGCGAACGTAGGACAACAACAGGCAGCTTGTTCCGCTTGTCGTCCAAATGTGCCGTGTCAAAGTCGTAGTCGTCGTGAAACAGGTCGCACACCACAAACGTGTACGGGTTCCAGCGCTCAACCGCCATCAGGCGACAGTCTTCGCGCGTGAGCGTCGGAAGAGACGTGCGTTGAAGGTAGCTGACAGCACGATCCAACAGAGCGTCGGGGTTGTCCCACGCGTCCGCCGCGGCGTTTGCATGCCGGGTCTTGACGAGGATTAGGAGTCGTCGAGCCGGTGGCCGTGCATACGCCTCCTGTGTCGTCTGTTCAAGTCCTGTCTCGTGTTGTGCCTGCTCCTCTTGCTGTTTCTGATCTGGATCTGGAGCTGTGTGCCCGTGCGGCTGCTGCTGGCTCTCCGCGACCATCTCGACAGCGCCGGTGTCAGAGGGTGCCATGTTCGCGTCGAGCGCACGTGTTGGTGCGCAAGAAGAGCAGATGTGGCCATGGTCCTACTGGTGTTCAACTATTTGTGATGTGACTTGTGTGTGCGGACGCACCATGTCATGGTTGACGTATCTTGTACTTCTGTAGGCTGAATAGGTATGAGGCGCCCAGGCATCAGACGTCTGAAACCACGCTAGCCGTATTGGGCGATGACTAATCTCATATGGCATTTGTACGCCGTCCCAAGTGCGATGGACAATAGAAGTCTATAATTCTCTATTTGTTTATAAGTTCGCTACCCTGGATTATATTTCTGGTCCTTATATATACAGGCGCCCAGCCGGACCAAGGAATTCCTCAAATCTTTCAGCTGAAAACGCTTCCCATCAACCTGCCGTCTACAGTGGAAGACAGTGGGAGCTCAAAACTGGGTGAGAAACCCCAGAATGCTCCTGGTCGTTAATGGCATCAATTTCAAAGGTATCCTGGTAAACAAAGATGTTCAGGCCCCCGTCGTCGTTTTGGACAAGTTCAAAATCCTGGCAAGTAACGCACGTTCAGAGTACACAGCAATTCACGTTTTCGAAATTATATTGTGCCGAAAGAGTACCAGAGCTACCTTTTTGATAGCCGTGAGAGTAAATATGCAAGAAGCTCCGTGTACATGATGAAATAATAAAATTAAAACACAATTGCAACTCATGAACGCGAACGCCGTGTCCCCAAATGGCCCCATTTCCCCAAACCACCGCATCTATGGCCACATCATGTCCATTGTCTGGCCGTGCAAGCCGCAAATGACGCTCGACAGGTTGTCCCGGTGCATCTCAAAGCTCGCATTGGTAAACGGCCGCCATGGATTGACCTGGTTCGGCCCCGCATCGGGCATGGACGACCGCCGCAGCGCCAGGGTCATGCTGAAGGTGCTCTGACCGAAGCCGGTGAAGTAGCTGGAATACAACAAGACCTGGAAATCGATGACGGCATGGCCGTCCCAGGTCAGCGTCAGGTACGCGGCCACGTCGTCATCGTCGGTCAGTACGTCTTCTTTGGTGTAGACAGTCACGTTGTGTGGGGCGGCGTCGGCCTTGAATTTGGCGACGGACGCGGGCGTGCCGGCGGCCAGGTAGATGGTGGACAGATTGCGCTGGACGGCCTCGTGGAGGTAGACCGGCGCCTGCGCGTCGTAGCCCGGCCAGTGCATCTTGGCGGCGTCGCTGTCGGTGCGCAGGTGGGCGCCCATAAACGCGTGGGGCAGCACGCGGCCGGGCTCGAGGTGGTTGATGAGCGAGACGTTGGCTCGCTGTGGCGGAGGGCGCGTTGGCCCGAACAGGGGCTGGCGGGCGGGCGGCCCGTAGACGTCGGCGTACAGGTCCGGAAACAGAATGGCGTCCGAGACGATTGGATGGCCCGTCTTTTGCTCCAGGCCCCAGAGCGCCGCGGCCCCCAGCCGCCGCAGGCTCGGCTTGAAGCGGAACATGCGCGTAAAGGCAAACGCAAACTGCTGGTCCATGGACGCGCGGTGCCACGCAAACAACAGGCCCTTGCCGAGCACGCGCAGCGGCCTGTCCGGCGACAGGGCCGCCAGGTCCTCGGGCTTTGTGTGGTTCGCCAGCCAGTCCTCGAACAGGACGCGCCAGGAGCCAATGTCGACGACGGTCAGACGCACAATTTCAAGACCGGGAATCTGGTGCGGCGTCAGGACGCGGCCGCCCTCGAGGTTGGGCACCTCGTCGGCCGAGTGGACGACGCGGACTTGCGGGCAGGCCTCCCGCCACGTCTCCATAAAGTAGTCCAGGTCGTACAGCAAGGACATGTCGGTGGTGTTGCCCCGGTTGCCGTTGTTGATGAGGTTGTTGTCGTCGCGCATGCCGACCCGAGGGAGGATAATCGTCGTGGCTTGCCGGTCAGCGTCTCTGCAAAGGCAAAATGTTGTGCCCGTACCACAATTCACCCCCCCCTCCCCCGCGTATTCTCGTACTCACCTCCCGATTCAATGCCAAACAACATGCACCCGACCCAAAAGTTGCCCAAGTTTCCGAGACCACCCTGGGTGTAATCGCATTGCCACACCAGCCCGGGCTTCTGGACCACCATCCGGCACCGGTTCTGGATCGGCGCGACGTCGACGAGCCCCTCGACCGGGTTCCGCATCACGGCATCAATGTATTCGTCCTTTGTCAGCCGGCGTCGTGCTTCGGCAAACGGATCCGTGTGCAGCTTTCGTCCCACAAAGACGCCCGTGGCCCAGCACATCAGCAGCAAGGCCACGGCCATCGACGTCAGCGCCAGCCATCGGCGGCGGTGTGTTGCCAGGCGGAGGAATGGCTTCTCCTTCCGGCTTCTGGCTGCATAACTCTCGCGTTGTGCGCTGTCTGATGGCGACGGCGGCGAGTCTTGTGCGAGGCGCTGGTAGGAGAAGGAAGAGGCGTGGGTTCGGACGAGGTCGTAGGCCCAGCTGGCCCCGAGGGCAATCTGTGCCGTGACTGCGTCGACCGTCTCCATCGAGAGTGTCTTCGTGTGGTAGGTATTTTCAGAGGTCCCTAAAGAATGAAGAGACGGAAGAAAGAGTTGGACAGTAGAGCACACAATCACAAGAAAAAAAGCCGACTGAGCAGCACAGTCGTTTCATTTCCTACCTCATGTCCTCATTTCCACATTTCTCCCTCCCCCTATGCATACACCACGTCCTTTCTCGCCCTCTGGCAAACGCCATGCATTTCGTATATGCTTTCTGGGATATGAGAATCCAGCGCGTCGTTCACTGCCGATAGCCGTCGGCTCGGCCAATATTTTGCGGCGGTTGGGCTTTCCCCTTAACTGGGTTGGGGGCGTAGAGTGGCTGCAATCGACGAGAATCATTCGTCGTCTGCGGCACAACTGGCCCATGAATCCACTCCTCCCTGACAGAAACTATTGATCGATATCCCGAATAATCTGTACCGTTGTGGTATATTGGCGGCCACTACTGGCTCGGCCGAGCGCTAACTAGGCAGCTTATTCAGCTCCGAGAAGGGGCAGGAACGTGGCGTTACAGGGGTGGGCCATTTTTAGCCATTCGAGAGATTCGAGACCCTGTCGGGCCAGGGCGGGCCGGTTCAGAGACAAGACAACCAATACGAATCGTACAACATACAATATTGGCAGCCCTGTGCTCGGAAGCGAGGGCAAAGAAAATATGCCGTTGAGAATTGTGACCAAACGTGGCCTAGTCTTTCATGCACAGGAATGCCCAGGGCCAGGCCCAATCATATGCATCAGAAGCACAGCTGAGAAATTATTTGGGCGCAATGCGCCTCCCTGTGTTTTCTTTTAACTTTTCTTTTTTCCTCTTCGAAAAGAAACAAACGTGACCCACAGAAGGGCCACACGAGGGCGAGAAAAGAAGTTAGGGTTATCGAGATCAGACCCAGGCATTGTCCGGAAAATGCATTCTGCGGCACCATTCTCATTCGATGAGGCTGGCGATGAGGCTGGCGATGACGCTGGCGATGACGCTGGCGATGACGCTGTACGAAATAGATTTGTCCCCATCGGCCGATAGGGAATGGACGCCAAGAACGTAGGTCGATAGGTCGGACAAACGTGAAAGGGCGGGTTAGTACGTACTTCCCTCGTCTGACTTTTGTCTCCTGGTACTTTTACAGGCGTCTCACATCAGCCGTTTACTTCTCTCTTTTGATTTTGTGTCATTAATGGTCATCCCTTATATTGGTCTCTCCATGCCACTCTCTCTCGACTCCAATCGTGTTGAGCGCAGCACAATCGCCTTTCCATTTTCCCGGACGTTCGATTATACCCAGGTAAGCAGCGGCATTGGTTAGCATCAATAACGACCGGCAGCATGACACAAGATGGCGGCAAGATCGGACGGTGTAACGTAGAGTAGATACGCCCGGTGCTGTACCATCTTGCCATGAATCCGAATGCAGGCATTCCTGTCGATTAAGGTGTAGACCGTATGGTCTCTTCAACCGGCATATGTTGCAAACTGCGACGAAGCGATGGCAAAATTACGTGCTAAAAAGGGAACGAATCGCACATTATAAAATAGAAAGAGAGAGCAAAGACTAGATCACCCATCCGTACTAACCGCTGCACGTGCAGGCGACAACATCGGCGTCGCCATCTATCCTTCCCAATGTTACTGGCTGATCGAAATCAAGGAGACTGCCTCTGCTGTATCGTTCTCGTTCGCTGGCGATTAAGAGCCGTTCGCACTTTCGCCTTCCACTGCTGGTCCCGTGTCTTCTTCAAACCATTCGCGATATCGTTGTCTGCTACTTTAGGCCGATGATGACTCCTCCGGCACCGGTTGGTACACAGCCGTCAAGTTGTCGTGCGGTCGGGGGCCCGGCATCACACGCGTGGCCTGGTATTGTACCTCTCGGCTCTTGTGGTGTCCCTTTGTCAAAGCAAGATGTGTGGCAGCTGCCGCAAAATGGTTTATTTTTCTGTTTTATATTGTGCCTCAGGATGCCACGTCCCTTGCTGGTTTGCTGGTTTTCCACAATTCGTCGCCTTGACACCATGTTGTGACAAGATGTTCAAATCGATTGTCTGCAAACAGTTTACTGCCGGCGTCAGGACCGCTGAGATCGACAATGCCAGTGACAACGGCCAGACCGGTTTTCTCGGTCCGTCTGCCGCTCATTCATCACAGAGCAGAAGCGGTATTGCCCGATATTCTCTCCACTAGGGCCGTGACAGTCTCCCAATCAGTCGACTCCTCTTCACCGCGGACAGAGTCGCAACAGCTTGACAAGTACCCGCAAAGACCAAGACGGCCATAGCATGCGCGTCTGATGCCTGTCACGCCGAAGCCAGGAGTCCAAATCTGCGACACAGGGTTCGAACGGTACGCCCGTGTGGAGGAGTCGGACACCCGGCCGGGGCTCGCGTCTTTATTAGTAGCACGTCCTTCGGGCATAAGTCATTGCGTCATATATTTGATGCGCTATACATAGTTTGTACATTACCAATGGGTCCTAATGGACGGCATATCACTGCACCGAGAATGTCACGATTCAAATCACGATTCTGATATAGGATAAAAGGACGGAAACATTGCCACTGGAAGACCAGCAGACAACACAAACTGACGCAAGATCAACAGGCGCCTGTTGAGGTGCATGTTCTCGTTAAGTGAATATTTACCCTACGTAAACCAGCGGTGGTTAAGGTTCACTTTGGTGGTACGAGCTTGGAAACGGCCTTCTTTGATTTCAAACTCACAAACTAGGCATTGTCACAGCTGTAGTGATCTGCCCCTAGTTTTAAAAACTGTTTTTCTTTTTCATTTTTTTTTCATTCCTGGTTTGTACATCAAACTTGATGTCAAGTGTGCCGTTTTGCACAATACTTTTGGCGCTGCTGTTAGCAAATCCTCACAAGTCAAAGTATGCGCGGATAGTCTTCCGTGTTTTCTTCGCTTGTGCTACTCCCACTGCAGACAAATATGCTAATACATGCATTTAAATGTCCACGATCAGTGACAAAGCTATGATACTTTCGAGAGGCTGTATACTCATTCTGCACATGTTGGTGCTGATGCCCGAGGTCTTTTGACGCACGTGAAGAATATAGGCCATGTACGGGAAATACGGGCGCCGGGTACGGAAATACATACGTCGTATGGTTAGTCATTTGGTACACTCACCCTCACCATCGGCAAGCACGTCAGAATTACGTTCCCGATAAAGGGGTGCGAAGCAAGCCAAACGCCAAAACATGCCCGTCGTCGGGAACGAAATCGCACAGCCAATCATAAGGACCGACGTTTTTTTCTCTCGCCTTCTGCTTTACTGTTATACGTAGTCTCGTAGTAGGCTTTTCAACGTCAACGTGGCCGACAGGGACCAAGACAATCCAAGCAAAAAAGCCAAGAATCATCAAAGTGGAAAAGGCGGGCGATACCCAACCAGAGAGAACGTGTCATTCCTCCGCGGTCAGGACGATGGGGGTGTGACTGCCACACCGCAAAATGGATAAACTGACAATGAAGCAGGTGAAGGCTCAGGCAACACAGCGGTAATAACACAATGACGATGATTTTCACTCGAGGGTGAGGGACCGAGAAATGTAACGGAAAAAGAATTAATAATATACTGTGTAAAGGTGTGACACAGTAAACCTGTTTCTTGTGTTTGGAGAACGAGGCCCGGTGCCCGGCTGCAGAACCCGGAGCAAGGAGGAAGCCGGTCAGCCAACTGGAAGACAGTGCTGTGCCGCTGGAACATGCCGATCTGTTAACTGCCCGAGGGTACTGCAGTGTGGACGCTTCGTCTCGTGAGAGACTACTGTAAACCAGTCTACAGAAACCAGTCCTGTACCAGGCCTGACGTCTCAGATGTCAGACCCAAGTGCACGCGTGGGCGTCTTGGCAGAGCTCGCACTGTGGGCGAGCCAGCAGTGACGATCATGACACCATAGGGACAAGGGTAAGGCACACTGGCTTGTGGGCAAGAAGGCTTGTTCGTTTGTTTTGTTTCATCGTCTATGCCGTGCGAATGTACTGCTGTTTTGCATTGCCGGTACTAGTTTTTCGTCTTCTTTCGTTCTTTTGTGTCAACGGTGGACCAGTTCAAATAACCAGGGAGCCAGGCGGACTTGTGAACTAACTTTGGCGCCAGTCCTGTCAAACAAAAGTGCCACAGGCTCCCGCGGCTCCCCTTGAAGCCAATACTCAAGCCCTGTTTTTCTCGTATTGTCTCCATCTTGTTTCTCCTCTGTTTCAAGATCACTCGCCATGAAGAAGGCAAACGGATGAGAGCAAAATGAGGGTATTCCCAACGCGGAGTTTTAAAAATAAACATCATGGGTACAGACGTGCGGGCTCCGGCATTGTGTGGGGGTAAGAAAGGATGTGGCAGTCGGAGGGAGACATTGCCTGCCTGCGTCTGAATGCGTCATCTCGGTCATGTTCCAAGAGCCACCCTCAAAGTACACGGCTCGGAGGCTTTGCTGCCTTGCCGTTGAAGGTCGTCATCCGGACGACCAGCGTACGTAAAGGATTTGTCGGAGAGGAGTACGGCGTGCACACTCCGACACTGTACTACGTACGTCGTACTGCTTCTTCGAGACAGCGCATAAAGTAACGATGTCATGCACAGCGTATCCGTAATAGTAAGGCGACGGAAACTCGACGGAACAGGGATGGCTGAATACTCCGTCGAGGACGACAACCCCACCTCCCCCTGGACAAAAAAAGGCGTACACACAAAATGTTCTAGCAGTCTTTCAGTGCAAGAAATCTTTAATTTAGCACTGTAACAGTGCGGACATCTCCACCAAAAAGCGTTTGTGTGTACGCGTTTTTTTGGCCAGGTGGAGCCCACATAAAGGGCATTTTCGAGAAGGCGTACAGGGATCATGTTCCGTGAGACCAATGACGGTGGACAGGAAAGGTGACGGAAGAAGCAGGCCCGACTTTCAGTGTTTTTTGTCTCTTTTGTCGTCTGCCATGGAATGTTGGGCGCTCCTTCCTCTGAAGTCAGTAGTATATGATCTCGCGGCAGTTGCATGATAATTCCTCGTGTTGTTCGCTCCTTCTCGCCGCGGACTCGTAAAGACGAGTTGTAATCTCCTTGCGCAGGCAGCCACAGCAAGACAAGAAGGAACGATGCCGTGACCGGCCAATTTGGCAATGTTGACCGAAGAAGACACTCCTGCCCACTGAGCCACTCTCCCACTCTACGGCTGCCTCTGCCCGGCATCGTCCCTTTTGCCTTTTGTCTTTTACTATGTAATTTCGACATTCTTATTTCGCTCTCCTTGATTGAAAAGCAGGGAAAAACTTGGCCACGGATCTTCCCCCCCCCCAAGATTCCCATCCAGTGGCGTCACTTGATTTGCGCCGATCTCTTTTTGGGCGGCCGGCGACTGCAGGAGCGGGCCACAGCACCCACCGGCGGAGGCTTCCCCGCTTATGTCAACACAACAGTTTCCTAGTTCGTACACCGTGTAGGACAGTGCGGTGAGACTTGCAAGTCCCTTGTCAGTTGCACTTGCCCTACTCCTTTCCAGCGTTCGTCGTCTGGACAAGGCTCACCATCGAATCCGGTCCGTTATTAGGCAGTTGGACTGGACAACGGGAGTCGCAATGGCCCCAGGCCCCTAGGTCCCTGAAAATACTTCATAGCAAAACACGCTGTCGGCTCACAATTCCCCAGATCCTTGAACAGATTGCGATCGGCTTTAGCGCGCTTGAGCCGTTGTTCTTCGCCTACCCACAGGCGACCCCATTCTCTCCTTCCGGATGTCGAGAATTACGATATTTGCTCCTTCCTTGGCTCCTTGGATGGCAAAATAAGCTCTTTCCAGAAATCGTGAAGTCTGCACCCCGAGTCCCCCTCCCCCTCTCCCCCCACCCTCTGTGGCCGCGCCGGTTAAGTGCGCTTTCCTCGTCCACCGCCGCGACTATGGAGGCTCCGATCCTCATATGTGGCCCACAGTGCTCCTTCCCTTTCCCACTGATGCCATTCTTGCCTCAGCGCCTTACCCACATTAGGGGTATGTGTACCACACGATGTTGCTCCTGGCCTCGGCGCCCCTATTCTTAACAATGTACGAAGTACGGAGCATCTGACAAAGGCACGCCTTCTATCCAATACCTGCCTAACCGGCGTTCCTTGTCTGTCGAGTGGCTTGCGGGTGCGAGCCGTCACGACAGATTGCAACGGTATACCTCTGAGCCTCTCTGCCTCTGCCACTCCGAGCTCCTACAACACTGCCACAGTAGTATCCGTTTGCTACGCGACCTGCAACGGCTTCAAGGGCTTCCAACTTTCGCGCCGTCAGAAAAGTTCATGAGAGCCGAGTCCTGGTAGCACCGAAACACAACAGTCGACTGTACGAGACGGACACGGTGAACAGAAGGAAACAGGATCGGCAGGCTCGGCTGGCCAACACACGGCAAAAGACGAGGGTCGAATCAAGTGGGAACAAGAAAAGAAGACGGGACATCCAAGAAGACTGGACGACCAGGTCTGCATTCGACCCTTGGAAACGCACAAAACGACTACGAAGCAGAACCAGAGCCGCCTGGCAAGGAACAGGCCTGCAGTCGGTCGTCCAAGGAGCAAGGGTCTCTTTGGTGTATGTCTCCATTGTCGTGAGCAACACCGTCATTTTCTACTCTCCACAAGCAACCCACACACTTGATTTGCTGTCGACAAGAGGGTCCACACCTCCCCCTTTTTCGTCGCGACTGGAAGATACTGTGGCTCTATGGTCTATGCAGTGCTTGTTGACAGGCACCACTACGAAAAGCCACAGATTCTCTCCCGGAAGTCACTTAAGTCACCTGCATGCTGTCCGCAGCCTGTCTGCCTCATCCCGCGTCCGTTTTGGTGGCAATCCAATCGTCGTTCTTTGCGGTCTGTCTCGCAAGCCAGCAACCCGAAAATATCGGCTCGGTGACCCTCCCGCCTTGAGATTCCACCCTAGCAATAACAAGACACCCACCTGACACGCTCCGCCGCCCCACCGATAATAGCGGCTAGTCTGGCGTCATTTTGCAGTCAACGAGAATTCAAGCTCAGCCAGTGCCAGTGAACCCACAGAAGCCACCCTCCCTCCTCCCACAGAGACACAGCACTGACACACTGAGTCTGGCGCTTGACCTTACGATGACCCTGCAGCACTAGTGGACCCTGCCACTGTCAACCCGACCCAAAACCCCAGCGGGCCAGCAAACTCCTCAGAATTCAACACAACAGCGACCAAACACCGCTACTAAGATACGTTTGGCGCCGAAGAAAGAGACGTTCTGATCGCCAAAACGTCGCACTGTCCAGCCGAGCAGCTTCGTTTCCGTCGGTATTCCTTCGTGCCTTCTTTTTTCAAGGTTCAACTTTCTTTTTTGGTGATCTCGCTGCCTTTTGCAACTGTTGTGCTTCAGATTTCCACGTACCACGCGTCAAATACTCGCCTCGCCTCTTTTGTCATCTATTTCCACGTTTTCCCAGTGCACCGCTTCCCGTGCGTGAGCGTGTTTCCTGTTTGGTGGTGGCGAACCCAGCGCCTGGCACTCGGCAGCTGACGAAATCGCTGGACCCTGTTTTGTCTGTTTCAGGCCCACGACGCCCATCAATTTCTGCGCTGTTTCTCCCTCTTTTTTTAATCCTCCATCCTCTTGTTTTTGCTCCCTAGTCTGTTGATTTTGCCCTCCCATCTCTGTCCCATTTCGGTGCCTTTCTTCAGCTACTTCTTCGATCCATTCCTCTTTTCTTCTTTTTCGTCCTCGCGTCCTGGCCCCAGCTTCTTCGCATCGCCCTTTGTTTTTCTTCGTCGACTCTCACAGCACGTCACCGCCCACATTCGCTTGACCAACCCACTAAGCAACACCGAACACACTGTTCCGAAAGCAGCGAGCTCGTCGCCGCTTCCGAACAACGAACAACGTCGCCTCACATTTCTTCCTGTACCTGCTCCCACCGATTTCCAACATACACGTCAACATGGACGATGAACAGCCTCCCACCTCGCACATTACGATACCCGAAGAGGAGGCCCAGGGCACCGATTCCCAAACTGCGTCGCGCCCGACAGCACCCGCGATCGAACGCAGCGACTCTTCATCTACCTCCTCCGATGGCAACACTACACACGCCAACACCATTCATGCTCCGGTACCAACAAGACCTCGGTTGCCGAACCGCAAGAGCAGCGGTACCATCATCGTGCCCCGCGACTCCGAAGAAGCGTCACGACCAATCGAGACGAGATTAGATCCCGGCGACGTGCGCGCAATGAGTCCACGGCGGACGAGCGAAGACCTCGAGCAGCTTGGCCGTCAAACACGCGCAGAAGTCCGAAAGTGCGTAGCCACCTACCGATGCAGTCGTTTTGCCGTTGACTTTGTATATCAGACGACTGACACTGACACTCTTCTAAACAGGCACGCAAAGATGCTCCAAGACTCGCTGCTCATGATTTTCCACCGAATCCAGGCCGTCAAGGAAGAACACGACAAGCTCGACAACAACAACAAATTCCTCCAGAAATACATCGGCGACCTCATGACGACAAGCAAGATCACATCAACAGGAGGCGGCCGCGGCAAGAAATGACAGACACGAGGTCCCGGCGGTTTGCAGCAGGTACGAAGTAGAGGTTGATGGCGGCAGTAAAGGCGAGCCGGTGCCTAGGGCTCTTCACATTGGACGATACGATACGGCGGCGGTAATACGACAAACGCTTACTGCTTCCACGCAGGCGGAAGAATGGCTACGGTTCCACAATCTTACGGTGGCAACCGCTCTGCATCCATCTTGGGCAAACCGGCTGCAATGACGTCAACTGCGAACACAGCTTTCCGCCTGCGCCTGCGCAGTAGCACGTCCAACCATCGCTGTGCGTATCGTGGGGACCCCGTTACAAGTCGACGAATCGCACGGCCGGCCCATCGTTTGCTCCGCCATGAGTCTCCCGCTCCGACTGCTGTACTTTGCCTCGATGTACCGATACGAATTTTTTTTGTCTTTTTGGGTCATTACTCGGCGCCTTCGATACACTTTTGGCTTTTACTATTGCGATTTTTTGGGGGAACGGTCCCCGTTTTGCGTTGATATCTTCATATTACAGCCTTTCCTTATTGTCTTTCCTTTAGGGTTCGTCATATTTCTACAAGGTGTTTTGTGGAATTCTTTGCATGTCGACTCTACGTCAAAACGACGCGGCATGACCACTTGACAAATTTCCATCCACGGTTTATTACAACACATTCCCTCGCAGCATCTCGAGAGACGATACACATGCGCTCGAGCCATTATCCCCCCCTCCCCCCCCGTGTCATCTTCCAACTTTCCTGTCTCGGTCTTACTGGATGATGATACGATTCGGAACACTTTATACCCACACGTTTTGGTTATGGACGCGGAGGGTTCCTTTTTTTACTTGCAATTTAGCGATCATTACGCAAGCAATCGACCTCGGTGAAGACGGCAAGATGTCGACCCAATTGCGCTCCGGTTCCATATACCGATTTTTCTCTACGGATGACGACCAGGGATCGTCGACGACCAGTGATGGCGGCCTCAGAAGCCTTTTGGTCATTTCTGATACCCGGCTACCCAGCCTCTCCCCGTGGATGTTACCTTGGCCACTCATGTCGGAATAGGAGAGATTTGTTCAAGCGTCCATTGCCGTTGCTTTTGCTACAAGTTCCTTCAAAATTGCCTTGCCGTTTTATGTGTTGTTACTTTAGCGACTCTCACAGCATAGCACTGCATTCACACGACTGCGTTTTATCTGCGGTGCGTTTTGTTCATTCCCTTACCGACTGTTTTCTTGATGCGTGACATTAGTTGCGCTCGTTCTCGTTGGTTCCTCTCCCTCCTGTGCGGAGTACGCCGTATATTGAGACTCTTTCAAAACTACGTTTTATATGTATACGAAGGACGGCCGTGACCGTGACTCCTGACTAAATTGTGTGTGTGACCGTGTGGATTGCCGTTTCACACCAACATGTTCTATGGGAATACAGAATGGTCCATGAACGTGATGGTGGTTTGTGAAAGGCAGCATGCATACGAATTACGAATGTATGCAAATGCAGAATGCGGCCGGCCGCCATGGAACAGCCATTGCGTGGGGTTGGTTTGTTCTGTGGATCGATTTGCTGGTTGGCGGGCGTTGATTGGCGCGGGCACTTTGGGGGGGCTAAACAGGAGGCTTTTGCAAGGATTATTTCTTGTTGAGAGGCAATGACGTCACTGGACCCCTGAAGCCGAAAAGAACAAAGGACGGCAGGGTGGAAAAAACAAACTCGTTATTATTTTTTCGCTCGGGTCCCGTTTGTACCCAAGCTGCCAAAGAGTTCTGTGGCGCGTGTGGTTCCCCCAGCGCCCCCTAAGAAGTGCTTGTCTTGAGCTACAGCCGGAGACAGCGCAATTGCTTTGCCTCACGCCAAGAACGGCCGCCACTTTTCCTCTTCTTTTTTCTTTTGCTATCTTTTATCACGAGCCTGCCAAGCCTGCCTCGCCATACAGGCAAAGGCAGAGGAATGAGGCTTGTCTAAAAAAAAGCAAATACTAAAGGATCGTGTTCGTCACCTCTGGTGACAAAGCATCGTGTCCATTTGTGTTTCGCCTACGAAATACTTCGTATTCTTCCCCCGCCTGCGGCCAATTCAGCATCTTCTTCACCTTGCTTCGGTTTGTCTGTTTTTCATGTTCACACGCCCCATCTCTCTCCAGGCAATGAAAGAAAAATTGCGACTTGTACAAAAAAAGTGTACGATATTCTTAAAAGACGGAGGAGTCTGACGAATGAGGTCACCTTACAGCAGTACAACAAGGACTGTGCAGTTGGCAAGTTCTCCTGTCCAACGTAGACTGCCCAATACGCATATCAATATCCTCCCTCAAATCGCTGGCCCTCCTGGCGCTGCACATCTCATCTGCTGCGCGTACCCCTGAGTAAGACAAAACTCATTGCAGCCTCAGCCTTTTGTGTGGCACGAGGTAACGTGACAGAGCTTGCCAATGATATGACATGACTCTGACATAATACTTCGTATTCACCTGAGCAAGATACATGCACGTCATAGGCGGCCGTACTTTTCAAGCGAATATTTCTATTTCTATTATTTCTATTTCTATTTTATGGCTAATTGAAGCTTCGCTCTACGTTTTGTCGTCTTTTAAAAAGTAGCGACAATGAAAGAAGTCGCTAATGATAACAAAATGTATATATATACAAAACCATACATCCTTCAATATTGAATAATGGAGCAGCAATATTCTGATGCCCAAGACGAGCCAAACAAAAGTCTACGATTGTCAAAACAAGGACAGCACCCAGTCAATATTTTCCTAAATCCGTCAATTACTTTTCACTTCCCCTCCGGGTAAAACGAGGGGAAAACGTGCACGGCAGACATATTTATGACCTGATCCAACCGGCTATATTTACGGCATCCAATAACGTGACATGAGTGAGACGTTTTCTGGAACACGTCTTCTGGCATGCACTTGCATCTGTCGGTCGACCATCTTCATTTGACCGGAAATCGCGAGCCGTCGATAGTACCTTTTGTATTGCCCAATCTGACAATCTGACAACGAGTGAGGGACTATATTGACAATAAGCGGGTTGTGTCTTTTTCTTATTATTTTTCTCTTTTCCCTCTCCTTCCTGTCACGTTTTTTTTTTTTTTTTTTTTTTTCATCTCCGCCTCGCTTCGCTTTGGTTATAGTTCCAGGTACAACCGAAAGCTTGTGTTGTCTTCTCACCTGTCAATATAAAATACAGGTCCCCCGCCTCGTCTAGACTTTCACTCCGTGTGTCCATAATCTCCCGTCTGTTTCTCCGCGAGAATAACCGCCGTAAAGGCTGGGACCGACAGTGGGTCGGCTTTTTTTACCTCAATCTGATGATTGCAATTCATTTACTAGACGACATCACGGCATCTGTCGAGGAAACGGAATATAGGGCCACGGGATATAGAGCCGAAGCTATTCTTAGTTGCGTCTTCGGGACGTCGTATATTGGGAGGTATTTTTGGCTCCCTGTTGCATCCTGTTCCTGTTTTTGTTCTCGGGAGGCGGAGAATGAAGAAAAAGCTTGGTCAACCTCTTTGCCCCGAAGCATGTCCGTCTGAACTTTCTTATATGAAGGGGTGGTGACCCGGCGCCCTGTTGGCTGCCAAGCACATTTCGTCTCCTTGTTGGGCAAGTGTAGTCGAATCCGACGCCTCTGTTGACCAGGATCTACATCAGCCAACTGTCGCTGACTCTACACTGTCTGTCTTTTTGAGTCCTGCACTCTACTGCAACATGACTTCACTCAAAGCCATTGGCCTCTTGGCCCTGGCCGTGGGCAGCATGGCCGGCCCTGTGCAGCGCCGCGCGGACGAGGACCCGGCCGCGTCGACCACCGAAACGGCCGTCGTGACAGCGCCCGCGGCGCCGTCCGTGGAGGTCGTGACGGTGACGAGCACGATTGTCCGCACGCGCTGGACATCGACGCAGATTGTCGAGGCGACGCTCAACTGCACGGGGTACGTGTATGCGACGGCGGCGGCCACGTCGCCCGCCGCGCCGCCTGTGGTCGTGACGACGTCGGCGTCGGCGGCCGCGCACAACAAGAACAAGCGCCAGGCGGCGTCGGGTCCGTCCTCGCCGCTGGTGACGCCGACACCGGTCGCACCCACGAGTGCGCCGGCCGTCCGCACGCGCACACGCACCGTCTACGCCGTGAAAACAGAGACGGCGGCTACGCCGTATCTGCGCACACGCTACGGCTGCAGCACGACGCTGGCGTACGCCTTCACGGTGGACACGACGACGACCGTGGTGATCCCCAAGACGGTGTATGCGTCGACGGCGACGGCCGCGGCCCAGATTACGTGCCCTGGTGTGGGCGGCTTCCCGTACGGCGTCGGCGGTGGGTTCGGCGGCGGGTTTGGCGGCGGATTTGGTGGCGGATTTGGCGGTGGATTCGGTGGTGGTGCTGGTGCTCCGGCGCCTGCGCCTGCGCCTGCGCCTGCGCCGACTGCCGCCCCAAAGAAAGAGGACCTGGAGATACTCCCAGCGCCCGAGACGGTGTACGTGCCCGCGGACAACTCGTCCTCTGCCGCCGCGCCGCCAGCGACAACGTCTGCGCCTGCGGCCGGTTCCGTGGTGGTCTCGACGACGACGGTCCACCTCACCAACACGGCCTACACCCAGGCGGTCGTCAGCGACACGGCCGTCGCGACGGTCACGTCGTACGCGTGCATCCAGCTGCCGTTTGACGCCACAGTGACGCGCGCCGCGACCGTGACGTCGTGGTCGTCGACGACGACAGTCACCAGCCTCATCAGCTGCGCGCAGCGGGCGGTGCCGGCGGGCCCGCCGGGCGCGAAGCCGACGGCGAGCACCCTGGCTGGACCGGCGGGTGCGCCGCACAAGCGGCAGGCCGCGGAAGCCCCCTCGAAGCCGGCCCCCACGTCGTCCGAGACAGCGACACCGGCTCCGGCCGCGCCGACAACACCAACGTACCACCGCACGACGTACGTCGTGTCGACGGCGACGGTCGTCCCGACGGGCGTGTCCACGCACGTGGTGTACAACTGCGCGCCGGCGAGCGAGACGACGGTGGCACCCGCGAAGCCGACGTCGGCGCCGGCGCCCGCATCCGCTCCCGAGTCGGAATCGTCGTAAGAGGACGGGAGGTGTCGAGGGAGAGTGGGTTTTTGGGTGGGTGTCTGTGTCTGTCTTATCGGCTTGCCTTCAATTCTTACCACATTTTTTACCTTTTGATTCATCCCAGTCTGCGTCCGCTTCGGCAGTTGACAGAGATACGAATAAAAGAAGATACAGCATGTGAGACAGAAGACGTGACAAGGAAGACGTAAGAAGAAAGTTGAGGCAAAGGGGAGAGCGCCTCTTTTCGAAGAATTCTGCAAGGTAAAGAGAGCTGCGACGGCTCAAGCCACAGCCATGTCTACGATAGACGACGTATTGTACGAAGTATCGTGCACAGTTGCAGATCATCCAATCATTGGACTTGTACTTCGTAGAGAGCGAAGCTGGCATTCCTTTGCCTGCCCAACTCGTTTGCGGTAGTGTTCTATTTTTGGCTCAGCCACTGCAACAGGGTCTTCAGCCCCCTTACGAGGCCATACGACTGCTGGTGCCGCACTTACAGTGGCTGGAGGGACCAGGCCATTCTTCCGGCTATTTACCTGCTGTATTACGGCGTTGTAGGGCCATTCTTTGTTCTTTGGTAGCGCCAATTCTCCCTGTAATTGCATCGTAGGCCTGCTGTGGAAATAAGCTTTTGCATCGATCACGACTTTGCTCTCTCATTTCTCAATTGTCTCAGCCAATCCCAGATGTTGTCGCTTTACGCGGTAGCCTCGTCTCATCTTTTTACACATTCCATTGTCCTTTTCTGCGCTTCAATCCTCCATGGGTTTGCATGGTTTGTCCAGCAGCGCTACGCTTGTGTCCCGGAATAGTACCAATAATTTGGCTGCCTGAAAAGGATGGCCCCATCCGCGGCTTTTTGCTCCGTCTTCTCCGTCTTCTCTTTTCCCTTTCCGTATCCTCTCGTCTCACCGTGGCCTCTCCGGTTTCTGAAACTCTGCTGCCTTGCGCTTGTCGTCGCACGTGGTGAGACGATGCCCGCAATCTGGTCCCAGTCTGCTCCAGTCTTTCCCGTCTTCAGCCCTGTTTATTTTTATGTGTTGTGGTTGATTGTCGATTGTTAAACAATGGCATCGGATTAGGATTAGGAGCGCTTGAGCGCGTCTACTGACTGCTAATCCGTGGCGGGCTAATAGCAGCTTGGAAACTGACAAGGATAAAAACAGAATTGCAGCATCGCCATGGAGATCGTCATGGCACCAGCAATGAAATTCCAGCCTCTTGTTTCTGCCTCCTCCTCTCTGCGAGCACCGCACTCTCCAAAGACAATCGCGTCAGCCCGTCCACAAAAGGGTTGGGAGTGCTGGGCATTGCTGGCGAGAAGGATCAGCGACAAGTGGTCGGAGTCGAATTCGGCGTCGAATTCGGAGCCAAATCTCTCGCCATTTTGGCTCCGATGACCCTGACTCCCGCCCTTGCAAAATACCAAACACGGAGAGCATTGGGCGGCCAAGTAAATTGTAAACGCGGATGGACTACGAATTATAGGGGGCAGTACATGTAAACGTAGGGCCATCGCGGCTGTCAAAGACGGAACTGCTCAATCGTCACGACCACACATCCAGACAAGCGCGGCTGAGACTGTTGATCGACGCCAGCGTAGTTTTGTGCACGGATAGGCTTATGCTGCTAAATTAGGTTTATTCGTCTGCCTGGCGACCAGCGGCAGGGGCAGTCACCCAACGACCTCGCCGGTGAAGGATCACGAAGGATCAAGGCCAGCCAATGAGACGGGCGAGTTTTGCGGATTGAAAACAGAAACTGGCCATGCATGTCGTTGGTCCTTGGTCCTTTTCTCGTACGGTTGTTTCTGTCGACATATTTCAAGTCTTGCTGGACAATATCCATCTCAACAAGCGAACGTCTGCAAGATGGATATAAACCGTTGTTGTCATCCACCCTTCTTCTTTTTCTGTTCCATATCTCATCTCTTCACACTCGCACATCACCAAACACAACTCAACACAACTCAACACATTTACCAGTCTCATCACAGCCCTGCTTCACTTGAACATCCCATTCTCTCCCCTCTCCTTTTCCCTGCCTTTCCTTCTTTTCTCCTTTCCCTTCTTGTCCCCCCCCATCTTCACAATGTCCGCCACACCTTCGCCAACAGTCGCCTCGACGGCCTCCTCCACATCCGCATCCGCATCGCCTTCCTGCACAACCGCCGTCCCCGGCAAGTACGGCTACGTGCCCATCGACGCCTGCAACTCCTACTACAACTTCGACCCCGGCTTCGCCCCCGCCGTCGCCACCGCCGCCATCTTCGGCCTCCTCACCCTCACCCACCTCGTCCAGGCCATCGTCTACAAGAAGCGCTATGCCTGGGTCATCGTCATGGCCGCCTCCTGGGAAACCCTTGCGTTCGTGCTGCACGCCCTCGGCGCTCACGACCAGCAGAACGCGGCCTATTCCACGGCCTACACGCTGCTGTTCCTGCTCGCCCCGCTCTGGATCAACGGCTTCGTCTACATGTCCTTTGCGCGCACCGTCTATTGCTACGAGCCCGACCACACCGTATGGAAGATCAAGGCCGTCGGCATGAGCAAGATCTTTGTCTGGGCCGACGTCGTCACCTTTATCATCCAGGCCGCCGGCGGCGTCATGATCACGCCCGGCGCCTCGGCCAGCGTCATCAAGATCGGCATCGACATCTACATGGCCGGCCTCGGCTGCCAGGAGTTTTGCATTCTCGTCTTTGTCGGCCTCATGGTCGTCTTCCAGCGCGACTGCCTGCGCCTGGAGCGCCTCGGCGTCGAGGCGCCCGCCGGCGTCCTGCGCGGCTGGCGCGGCATGCTCTACACGCTCTACGTCGTCCTGGGCCTCATCTCCTTCCGCCTCTTTTACCGCATTGCCGAGTTCGCCGGCGGCATCCAGCCCTCCAACCCCGTGCCCTTCCACGAGGCCTACGCCTACTTTCTCGACGCCTTCCCCATGGCCCTGTGCCTCGTCCTCCTCGCCCTCATGCACCCCGGCCGTCTCCTGCGCGGGCCCAACGCCGACCTCCCCCGCATCTCGCGCAAGGAGCGCAAGGCCGCCAAGGCCGCCAAGAAGGCCGCGCGGAAGGACGAGAAGGCCCAGCGCAAGGCCGAGAAGCAGCAGCTGGGCACCGGCAAGGGCCACGTCGAGCTGCAGCAGATGGTGCCACAGGGCCCGCCGCAGCAGGCCTACCAGGGCTACCAGGGCTACCACGAGCAGAACGACAACAGCAGCTCCGAGAGCGTGCACATTCCTTCTCACTATGTGTGAGAAAGCAGGTCGTGGGTGACGAGGAGGTAGTGAATATCGCTGGTCGAGGGATGTTGCGAGAGGCCTTTGCATTGACGGGATATACATGATGTTTTGATTGCTTGGCATGGCGTTTGATGGTTGCTTGGGTTTCTTCGCTTGGGTTCTTTTGGTTCTCCTAGACTGAGTGCGCTTCATTTGATTTCTTCGTCTGGTGTTCTGGCATTGGCTGTTTTCCTCTGTTTCGTTTGTACGAATCGATTGCAACAATATATACCCAACACATACTTTTCAGCCACCTGTGATAATGTAATATACTCCACCCAAGTAGTAGCAAATCTATAGTAAATACCAGTAACCCAGTAACACTCTCCCATCTTGCCTGTCTCCATACTAATGAATATTCATCTCCCGCGCACAACAACCAACCTAAGCGGATGGCACGAGGACACCACGGTAGGTCATCTTGCCGGCCTCCAGCTTGCCAATCGCTTCCGTGATGCCCTGCTCCGTCATCGAGAACGTCTCCGTGATGGGCTTGACGCCATGAAGCGCCGCAAACTTGAGCATCTCCCGGTGCACCACCCGGTCCGCGACGAGAGAGCCCTGGACCCGGATGCCCTGGCTAATGAGCGGCATGTACGGAATCACTAGGTCGCCCGCCGACACCGACAGCGGGTAGACCTGCGACCGCATGCTCAGCATCGGAAGCAGCGTCTCCCACTTGGGCTGCGCCGACGACGTCACCAGCAGCCGGTCAATCGTCCAGCCCTCGCCGTCGTCGCCCAGCGTCTGGCCCTCGTTGGTCGCCACAAACTTGTGCGCGCCCAGCTGCCGCGCCTGCGCGCGCTTGGCGCTCGACCCGGACAGCACCACCACGCGGCAGCCCATCTTGGCGGCGAACTGGACCGCCAGGTGACCGAGGCCGCCGACGCCCAGCACGCCGACCGTGGCGCCCGGCGCGAGGCCCTGGAGGGCCGCAAACACAGTCGCGCCGCCGCACTGGAGCGGCGCCGCGTGCTCGTCGCTGAGGCCCTCCGGCAGCTTGTGCAAGAAGGCCTCGTGCCACACCGCGTGCGACGCGAAGCTGCCCTGGTCCGGGTTGGCGGAGCCGTACATCTGGCGGCGGGCGCAGTACGTCTCGTGGCCGCTCAGGCACTCCTGGCACCGGCCGCAGGCACCCGTCTGGTAGCCCCAGCCGACACGGTCGCCCTTGGCCAGCGTCTGGACATCCGGGCCCACGGCCTCGACGACGCCAGAGCCCTCGTGGCCGAGGACCATGTCCTTGTGTGTCTAGAGAAGGAGTGTTAGTGGACAGTAACACGAGCCGTGAGAGATTGGTGAAAAGACAACGCGGGGCGGACGAACGTAGTGGAGATCTGCATCGTGTCAGTAAACGTCTGCTCGTCAAACATGTGCATCGTATCCAGTTGAAAAGCCAGAAAACGTCGGGTAGGCCAACTCACCAGTGCCGCACAGGCCAGACGCAGTCACGCGCAGCAGCACCTCGTCGCCGCGGAGCTCATCCGGCTTGGTCGTCGTGCTCTTCTTGATGGCGCCCTCCTTGGAGCCCTTGTAAACGGTGAATGAAGGCATGATGGAAGTTGGGTGGGATGGTTTTGTATGCGAATAAAAGAAGACACTATGAGAGAATACTGGAATGCGAGTTGAGGTGTTGAGGAGACTGATGAGTGATTGCTTGGTATTGTATTGTTGTTGGTGATGTCGATATCCTACATCTACTTCTCGAGAGGTGGGCTCGAGGTCTTTTATATCCATCATGAATTCTACAAAGTTCCACAATAGGTAATCGAAAACTAACAGACGAAATCTGTCAGCTCGGCCCCATCTGCTACAACGTGGCCGCGTCTTGATTTTTTTTTGTCTCAACGTTTCCCGTCTGATCCGAATTTGTTCCTGTTTGTTACAACGCCCCTGGACCTTCAAGTGGAACATCCAATTAGGCTGCTGCAGTGAGTGGTTGATTACTGAAGACCACCTCCTTAAAGTGGAACATGCCAACAGGATTCGGACAACTCCGCACGGTAATAAACTGGAGTTGCTCCGCGCCCACGCACGTTTCCGAAAACAACGTTAGTCCAAACATTTGCTCTCCATCCAATGGGAGAGCCTCCAATAGTCCTAAAATGGGTCACGGAGATCTCCTCAATCATGATGGCCAAGCTTTTCAACTACGATTTTAATTACGAAGTACTACTGCTCCGTCGATTAGTTAAAGTTTGAACGAGCCCGGAGTTGATCCGGGAAGCCAAAAGCAACAAGAAGGACATCACGTGATTGTAAACAGCAACCATTGATTGGTCATCGTGCTTCGGCCGCCGCTTCGTACCCCACACTCCTGGGGACGTCACCCCCAACGTATGGAACAGGCGTTGACCAGCAGCCGATCAACGGGCATACTCGCCAAGAGCCGCTCAGCTCCTTTGCTTCCGGAGTGGACATGGACCCATCCTCACCTTCTTCTCATCCACCTGGTCTGTCGGGGGCGTCTGTGACCTCAGAGACGTCCAGCGCCCAGCCGCCGCCCGCGAAGCGGGCCAAGCGACGCCAAGTATCACGGGCCTGCGACTGGTGCCGCCAGCACCGCATCAAGTGCGACACCAGTGTGCCGTGTGCCAATTGCAAGACCCGCGGCGGCCACTGCAGCAGCGAAGACGTTCTCAATGCCACGTCGCTGCCGGAAGCGCACCGCGAGATCGACCGTCTTCGGCGGCACGTTGCTCAGCTGGAGCAAGAGCTGAACGCAGCAAGGCTGGCCAGTCGCCATGCAGCTCCCTACACGGGCGCCAGCGCCGGATCCGTATCGGAGGTGTCACCCTACTCCGACGGTCCGGATTCGACTGCGGCAACGCCGACCGGGACGGCCACCACCCATATAACGGTACCGCCCTCGACCATGCCCTTCCCATCTGACGCACTACTGCCACCGTCCGCTACACCACGGGACATCGCAAGCCGGGTGGCCACGGACACGGGCATTGCACACGCCTTTTGGGGTGGCGTGCATGTCGGCACCGCCCGGTCACCCAACAAGACGTGGTACGGGCCGTCATCGCTGTTTTATTTCATCAGTCGAACAGCCGCATATCTGGACGACTCGTTCCAGTTTCATCATCCGGACGGGGGCGACAACAGCAGTGGCCACGCAAACCAAAAAAGCAATAAGGCGAGCATCGACAACTTGCTGGACGTGAACCCGGCGGGAATGCTGGTGGACGGCCCAGCACCGTCGTCTTCATCGACGTCAACATCCAGAACCAGACCAACAGATGCCCAAAAGCAGGCACAAGCCCACGTGCACGACAGTACATCACGGCCGCATGCGAGCATACAAGATCCCCTGGCGGGCGCTCGCTTTCTCACGCTCACCCAGGAGGAGTACTTCCTCGACCTCTACTGGCACTCCTACCATGCAGCACTGTTCCCCGTCCTCGACGAAGCCGGCTTCCGCCAGCACTATCGGTCGCTGTGGGCCACGTCCGGCCAGGACCGTGCCCCGTCTGCCCTGGTCGACATCGTCCTGGCCCTCTGCCTCCAGATCGGCGTGTCCACCATGGCCCCTGGCATGCGCCAAAAGCTCATCGTCGACAACGACGACACCTCTGTGGCCGGCCGCTGGTACTACCGCCGCTGCCAGGCGCTGCTCGAGTACGAGCTCGAGAGCCCGTCGCTGTCGACGCTGCAGTGCCACATCTTGTGCGGTGTCTACCTGTGCAACGGCACCTTCCAGAACATGAGCGACAGCTCCTGTGCGCTGGCCGTGCGCGAGGCCTACATGCTGGGACTCCACCTGGCGCCGCCGGCCGACATGACCGTGCGCCAGCGCGAGCTGCGCATACGCATCTGGTGGGCGCTCTACGTGCTGGACAGCAAGATTGGCATGAAGCTGGGCCGCCCGTTCCTGTTGCCCCTGGCCGGTGCCACCACGCCGCCACAGCCCGACGACAGCGTCGCCGTCGCCGCCCTGTCGGGCTCGTCCTTTGCACCGCTCGGCGACAACCGCAGCTGGCTCAGCTTTCACTTGTACCACAGCGCGCTCTTTCAGGTGGCACGGGCAGCGCATGTCGCCTTTTACAGCGGCCACCAGACACCCCTACCCGTGCGTCCTGGCCAAACCTTGTGGGACCACCCAGAGGCACTCGAGATGCACGCGCGAATCGCCTTGGCGCACGGTGACGCCTTTGCACAGTGGGTCAGGAGCGTGCCCCCCGCCTTGACCACCGCGCGCGTGGGCGGCGGCGCCCGTGCCGGCGGCGACGGCCGGCCGTTCTCCACGGACGGCTCGCCGCTCGACATCGAGCCCTTTGCGCCGCTCTGGGTGCAGCGCCAGCGTCTCTTGCTGGAGCTCATGTACCACAATCTCTGCGTCAACCTGTACCGTCCCCTCATCAGCTTCGAGGCCCCTGCCTTTTCGGCGGCCCCCGTCCGCCAGTGCGCCGACGCCTGCGCCCACCACGCCATCACCCTCACCCAGATCGTCCACCAGGTGCTGTCCACGACCAGCATCCTGGCCGGCTGGAGCGAGGTCTTCCAGTGGCAGTGGAACGCCGCCATGACGCTGGTCGGCTTCTTGCTGGCTATGCACGAGCAGACACGCGGCATCCACCGCTCCGACGACATCTGCGAGGTGCCCATTGTCTGCAAAGCACATGCCGCCGTCGAGCTGGCCATTGCCGTGTTTGACATGTTTGGCCGCAACTTTGCCGTTGCCACCAGCGCGGCCGCTGTCATCCGCACGCTGCGTGACAAGGTCAACTACCTGGCGCAGCAGAACGCACGCGCACAGAGACAGCAGATCCCGGCGCCTGCACAAGGGCACGCAGGCCATGTCGTGCAGGTGCAAGCGTCTCCCGTTTGTGTGCAAAGCCGGCCCGTTGCCATGAACGGTGCCGCTCGGCCGCCGGCCAATGGCATCCCAGACCTACTAAACACGGACCCCGACAAGCAGCCCGAGGTGACGTTCTCGGGCCTGGATGCGTCTGTCCTCCAAGACACGATGCTCATGGCGTTTGATGTGGATCAGTGGCTGGACCTAAATGCGCTCTGGCCCGATTCCGAAGGAGTCTTATTCTCCATGTGAGAGGGCGTGTACTTGGACTGATCGGTATCACGTTTGGACAGAATTATGGCCCACAGTGCGCCGGCGTTTATTTATGACGATACTCATCACGTGGGATTACTTTGCTATTTTCCTTCATACTGACAAGCCACCACAACACGAGCAAGACGCATCTTTGATTCGACATATTCAATGAATTTTCCTATGAAAACCAATCGTGACGAACGTATACAGATTATCATTAGAGCCACATTGGGACTTCGTTCTAGGCTTTTTTCCCCTATTCCCGTTCCATTAAATACAAATGACCCTCAACTGAGACACAGGAATGAAGGGAATCCAAGTAATTTTGCATATTTGAAGATGTTCGCAGATGCGACATTGTTAACATAAAAATAACATATCATCAAGGACATCACTTTTGTTTTACAGACGTTAAGCGAGCGCTGGGAGGACAGTAGGCTTTAACGACGATTGTTTAACATAGTGAGAGCGTGCGTAATTAAGCTATGAGTAATGCGGCCGACATTTTAGTGGTGGCCGGCAGTTTGTTGTTTTCAAACCACCACTCACGCTGTGTAAGCCCTGGCTTCTGTGGCTCATTCAGCCACAATTTAAAGTTCAACCGCAAAGTCTGCCGCGTATATAAAGACGCGCTTCCATCCCAGACTGATATAGCGGTCCCTCAACCTTCTCTTGAAATAAATGCATTTTTCGGTGGGTGCGCGGCATAGTATCGCCTTCCAAAATGTCACCTTTCAACCTGGCAGAGAAAAACGCAATGATTTGATTTTGCTGTCTGGGGGAGTACCAAAAGCCAACCCGTTCCACCGTTCCTCCGTTCCACCGTTCCGTCCCAAGCTAACATTAAGTCTCCATGACAAAGAGTCTATGTACTCTCTCCCTCCCACTGATGATTAGGCGGCAGCAACATGGGGGCTGCTGCAAGCCAGCCGCTACAGGCTGTGGTGCACTGCCCTCATTAAAACCCAGTGGGAAAAAGAGTAGCAGCGGTGGATCACCAACAGGCGAACTGCAGCAGCGATTTGTGTCCTTCATCTTCCTCCCTCTGTGTATGTCGGTATTGGTATGGTGCAGCACTGCCCATGGGCGCTGCTTGTCTTGGCCAGCATGGCAATGTGCTCAGCTTGTCTTGATGCGCGTGTCGTTCTTGGCGGACAGTTGCCGCCTGCGCCTGCTTGATGTGAGAGCAGAGCTCCATCACATGGACATCTCGAGATGCCAGACGATGCGAAAGTCGCTGGACAGCGCGTCCATCTGTCAATAGGTGTCAGCAAAATAACGTCATCGTCTGCCACGCACCAACGGGGAAACTGACCACCTCCCGAGAAACATAGACTTGAGAAAATGTCGTCTTAAGGATGCATCGACTTGAGAGCGTGTTGACTCAAAGGAGTGTTGATGTCGGGCCAGCATTGGCGGCTTTGGACGTCTCGGCTTGTGTCGTGGTGCCAAATGTTGTCGGTGCAAAAGGTCTGTGGAGAGTTGTTGGCTTTGTGATGTCGATGAAGAAGAAATGCTGGTCGATGCGTTGGTGCATATGATGATCTCCCAGTAAGTTGATGCACAACCACCCTTCACCCTGTCATAACCCTCTGGGTCCCGTCATGACACCCGAGTGTCGAACTTGAGCCCACTGATCCCACCGGTTTCCAAAGAGTCTCACTGAGCCCCCAGATTCCACAGATCCCCCAGTTCCACAGATTCCACTGAGCCCCCAGATTTCACGGATCCCACTGAGCCCCCAGATTCCATAATGACAGCCAATTGTCTGCCAACAGCCCCCTGCTGACCATTTACAGCTCTCATCCGTCATCCCCCCTGTGTCGGTGCCTGTCATCAGTGTGAAGAGATCAATATGAATGTCCCACCCACATAGGAGAACCAGAAGGGCACGGAGAAAAAAGCCAATCTGACACACAAGACTTTGTTCCTTTGAAGTCAGATTGCGAAGTCGAAGCGGGTAGAGTCTGCACTGCGGGATCTTGTTCTAGCGTTTAAGGAAACGGTCCCCTTCAACCGATCCTTTCTGAAGCCGACGCACTTTACGGCTAGGTATGTCGTAATGGTATCTCCCTAAATGAGAGATCTTGTTGGCCATATTTACCGTTCTTTTTGAAAGACTAGTTTGAGGAGAAGAAAAAGGAAAAAAAGAAGGTAAAGAATGGACGGACGGAAGCGATGGGAATATTTAGCCCTTCGTCTCCCTTGTCTTTTGCTTTCCATCGTACCTTCTATATCGGTGCAGGTTCCGTTACCTGAGGGCTCGTTGTTAGGACATGCGCAGAGTTCTTTCCTGAACGTCAATCGCGGCCAAGAGTAAATGAAAAGAGGAAGTAGCTATGGGCCAAAACCGTCATATGACTAGGGGAAGGTGGGAAGAAGATGTTCGCTCGGGAAGGTGTCAGGGGTTTATTTGGCGTCGCTTCCGTTGCGTCCTCGGTGGTTCTTTCTATTCGTGAAGTCTCGCGGTTGCTGCTTCTACTTTGAGTGGCCTTTGCGTAAGCAGAGAAAGAGTGGCTCCAGGGGGTTCGAATTTGGAAAGCGCGAGGGGTTTTCTTTTCGGTGCTGGTCCTGTTGAATTGTCGGTGGTTCTTTCCAATCGCGATATTTTGCGCTTACGACTTCCGCTTCGAGGACTTCGCGCCAGTAGAGAGCGGTGCAAATCTGTACGGTTGTGACTAAGGATAGTTGCTGGGCTTTCTTGGTTCTTTCCAAGAACGACGACTGGCGGTTGCTACTTCTACTTTAGGAGACTTTTGCGTACGAGAAGAGAGAGCGACTCTGAGGGGATCTCGATGACAAGTTGTGTGAGAGTGTTAGGTTTTTCGGTGCTATTTCCGATGGATTGTCCGTGGTAACATTCCTCTTATGATATTTGGCGAAGAAAGAAGGACTCCGTGAGAGGGGGGAAAAGATTGGGTTTGGAGAGGTGTAGGAAGTTTTCTTTGCCCTTTTCGTCCTCGTCGTTTGGCTGTTGCTACTTCCGTTTTGGGGCATTTTGCGTAAACAGAAGGAGCGACCCAGGGGAGGTTGGCGGAGTGGGTTGCTTTTCTTTTGACTTATTCTTGAGGTAAATGATGAACCCACGGCGTCTCCTTCTCCATTCAGAAAAACGAACAGGCTCGCTCCTTGCTCGTGAGGAGTTGTTTCCTGTTTTACATTTTATCTTGTGGCGAAGAAAGAGCGCGTCTGATACCCAGTCACTGAGAAGAGAGGACGACCGCCCCCATTGTAGGCGACAATCGAAAAACTGCCATTTTTGGTATCCGCGAATGCTTTTCGTTTTAGGAAAGAGCGAGACATAGGGAAAGGGATTAGGGAGAGGGAAGTGGCGTACCTCGATTCAACGATGATTTTCGAGAGTGAAATGAAGTATATGGGTAAGACCTGTCAAGGACATATGCTCTTTCCTCTTTTTGTTACATTCTTTATGGCCGAATTTATATTTTGCTGGTATCTCAAGTTGTCGAACAGAAGTGCCACAATACTTCTATGACAGACGTTATGTATGTATTTGTCCTTTGTTACGAAATCTACTACGTGTAAACTTAGACTGTATGTGTTAAAAAAGAGATAAAAATAATAGGAAGGTGTTTAATAAAGAACACTTTTCACTGTTTTGGCAACCACAGCCGGTAACTTTCTTAATCAGGAAGTAGTATTAGAGACAGGTCGTAAAGGCTCCGGAGGAAATACGTTTAAATCGTCACCTTGAGGTTGTAAGCTTTTGTGATATAAATCACTCTCTTTTTTACATTAAATTTAACTTATTACTAAAAGTTCGTGATGAGAACATGAAAAGAATCGATGCATTGACGATTTGTAAGGTCTATTTGGAAGAAAATTACTAATAAAATAGGTAGAAACGATGGTGTCGCTTCGGAGTTGAAAACATGAATACAAAATGGACAACTCTGGACAACTCCGATAAAAGTGGGACTGGCCAATGGGAAAACCACCAGTGACTTATCGCTACTCTTAGTCAGGTTAGGAAGCAGCCTCTCGGAGTTCGTTCGAATTCGTCAACTGGCTGACATATCCGGAAGCGCTCCGGCTTGTAACTCTTTGTCGCCTGGAAATGTCAGCAAAATGCAACACCGGACAAGTCCGGCGTGCGTATCATGGCCTTGCATCATGGACTTGTATCATGATGGTGATGCTTCCGCGGCCACTCGAAGATGAATGTATCCTGCGGACAACGTCTATATATACGGCCTAACCTCCCCAGATTAAAGACGTTTGTTTTGTCCTCATCTCATCACAATCATCATCCACTCTCCAGCAATTCAATCACAACCTCATCTCACTTACTACGCCTTCACTCACACTCATAAACAATCCATTATATTCACACTACAATTACCTAGCCATATCCACCTTGTCAATCTATTCTCAACACCAAACATCTATCGAAATGTCTGCCGCTACGCTTCCCCGCCGCGCCCTCATCGCCGTCACTTCGGCCCACGCCCCGCTCATGAACGGAGAGACCACGGGCCTCTTTATCGGCGAGGCACTTCACCCATTCAACGTCCTGACCGCTGCTGGATTCGAGGTCGACCTGGCCTCGGAGACGGGCACCTACACCCCGGACTGGCTTTCCCTGCAGCCGGATTTCTTGTCCGGCGACGACCTGAAGGCCTGGCAGGACGAGACAAGCGCGTTCCGCCAGAAGCTGGACAACATGCCCAAGGCAGCCGACCTCGACGCCAGCCGCTACGGCCTCTTTTACGCGTCGGCCGGCCATGCCGCACTGATTGACTACCCGACGGCGTCGGGCCTCCAGGCCGTCGCCACGCAGGTCTGGGCCAACGGCGGTGTTGTTTCGTCTGTCTGCCACGGCCCGGCCATCTTTGCCAACCTGCTCGACACGGCGACGGGCGCGCCGCTTATCCAGGGCAAGACCATCACGGGCTTTACCAGCGAGGCCGAGGACGTCTTGGGCATTACGGCAGTGCTCAAGACGTGGGGCCAGCCTCTGGTGGAGGAGCTTGCCGAGACGCTGGGTGCCAAGTATGTGCGGTCTGCGGGAATCTGGGACGACTACCACGTTGTGGACGGCCGTCTGGTGACGGGCCAGAACCCGGCCAGTGCTTCATCGACTGCGCGCGCGGCTGTGGAGGTGTTCAACAAGCTGTGAGGAGTGGTAGCGGTGTGAGAAGTAGTGCTTGGCATATGTGCACGATCAGGTATTCGGTAGTCTTCAGTAGCTTCGCTTTGCATGGTTTACCTTTTAGTATTTTCTTCCGCGTTTAATTTTGAAATTCAATACTATATTGTTGCGAATTCTGTTTGACTCCACATTCGAAGAGGCCTGAAGATAACGCCATAGAGCATAGCCAACACATTTCCAATGCCAATAAAAATACAAAAGCGGCCCGGCATAAGAATCAAACGGTATGCTGCACGGAGTTTCCGTCAAACAAGTGGACGTCGCGCCGCTTCTCACTGAGGCTGTCAGCACTAACAGCCCGAGCCACGCGTGATAACGGCCCATTACCTCTCATCATTTCCTCCAACAGGACGTCCGCCGGCCTCTTCGTCGTCTACCTCGTCGGCCTTGGCATCTACCGTCTCTTCTTCCACCCGCTTGCCAAAGTACCCGGGCCTAGGATCGCGGCGCTCACGTCTTGGTACTGCGCCTACTATGATGTCCACCTGGGCGGTCAGTACATTTGGAAAATCAAGCAACTCCATGAGCAGTATGGTCCCGTGCTGCGCATCATGCCCGACGTCGTCCACGTCAACGACCCGGGGTTTATCGACAAGCTCTACACCCAATCGCCCAAGGTCCGGCGCGAGCGCGCGCCCACAGTGCTCGCCATGTTTGCCAAGCAGTTTTCCATGCTGCCGACAAAAGACCACGACCTTCACCGGAGGCGGCGGGCCGTGCTGAGCCTCTTCTTTTCGCACCAGAGCGTACGGCGCCTGGTACCGGCGATCAACGACACGCTGGCCGCACTTCTGGGGCGGCTGCAGGCGCTCGCCGGGTCAGGTGAGCCGGTGCGGCTCAGCCCCTACTTCAAGGCCACTACCAAGGACGTGATCCAGTCGTACGCATTTGGCGGTGGCCAGCTGTGCCTCGAGATGGACGACCTGAACGAGCCGTTCTTCGCCGTGCTCACCTCCGGCCGGCTTTCGCACCTTGCCGTCCACTTCCACTCGCTCATGGGCAATATGGCGCGCCTACCCCCGGTCATTCTCGTGAAGCTACAGCCGTCGATACTGGCCATGCTCGAATTCGTGGACGGTTTGACAGAAACGATCGACGCAATTCGGGCTCAGTCGCCCAAAGCTGGCGACGAGCTGTCCGAGAAGGGTAGCATCTTCCGCGAGGTGCTCGACGGCGACATTGACGAATCAGACAAGCGCACCGAGCGCCTGGTCGACGAGGCCATGATACTGGCCATTGCCGGCGCCGACACCACTGCGTGGTCTCTCGCAGCTGTCTGCTACCGCGTGCTCAGCAACCCGACCATCTTCCGCCGTCTACGCGCCGAGCTCGATTCGGCTATGCCGGACCCAACGCTGCCACCGGATCCGGCCAAGTTGGACGGTTTGCGCTTCCTCAACGCCCTGATCGAAGAGGTGCTGCGCATGCACCCGAGCGCAACCCATCGCCAAGATCGCGTGGCCCCGGATGACGATCTCGTGTATGTCTACGACGACGGCAGCTCCATCGTCCTGCCTCGCGGCTCGTCCATCGGCATGGCTGCGCCGCTCCTCAACCGGTCGCCCAGACTCTACCGTGACCCAGACACATTCGACCCGGACCGCTTCCTCGAGGACCCCACACTCGCCCGCCGCAGCATGACATTTTCGCGCGGCGCTCGCCAGTGCATCGGCATCAACCTGGCCTACCAGGAGCTGCAGACCTTTACCGCCGGTATTTTCCGCAAGTATTCGCCGTATGATCCCACCCAAAAGGTGCAAAATGGGCCGACAATGGAGCTGTACGAGACGACAGTGGCGGACATTGAGCTGCACTCTGACTATGTCGCAGCCCATGCCTACCCGGGCAGCAAGGGCGTGCGTGTGCGTATTCGGGACTAGGCTGTGGCTGGTGAATGCGTAGAGGCGACGCCTTGTTGTGCAAGCGACAAGTAATCAATTTACGCTTTAAATTAACCAGTATTGGTTGATGAACCCTGTCCGGCGTTTGAAAGGCCCCCGTTAGTTTTCGAATAGGTCATTGGGTGAAGACCTGAAATCGATGGCGGTGATGAATATTAGATGTTTAAAACTTACGTGAAGGTTAGGTCGTAAAAGGATATTTGTCACACGATATGCTTTAACGAGAAGCGAGACAAAGAAATAATGATGATGTGTATTAGGTTGTTGGACGCAAAACCGGTCTTTTGCTTTTCTGCCAAATCTGGCCACTTCATTCGTCACTCTCCCGCAACTACTTCTGCAATGTCTTGGCCGTTGCGCCAATCTTGTTCAGATCTTCCGCCATGGAAACACTGCTGCGGTATCTGACCCAAGCGCTCCGATCTACGCCCTTGTGCTCCAAATTCCAGTCGAGCAGCTGTTGTACAACTCCATCAAGCGTTGTGATCAGGCCGCGGTATCCCAGCCCGCCCTCCTTGACCGACTTGCTGACGGGGTCGTTGGTTGCGTACAAGTGCGTCACAACAGAGAACAGTGCCGGCTGTAGGTGCTTAATGTCACCAGTCAGGGCCGGCAGGATAGTTTTCAAGACGGGGAAACGCTGGGGCAGCTTGATGTACGCCTCCACGGCATACGACATCAACAACATCTGCACCGGAAGCAGCGCGATTGTGCGGAATGGCGTGATGCTGAGCTTCTCAATCGCAAACCACAGGTCTTGGAACTGGATGGGGCCGTTGGGGTCCGTCACCGAGAACGGGCGACCGGCCTGGGGCATTGTCGATGAACGAGGGTCTGCCAGAACAGCTTCAAAGTTCAGATGCGCCACAGCGCAGTTCATGCCGTGCAGAAACGAGTTTACGATATTAAATGACCACGTCGGCTGCACAGAACCGTTGAGCGGTTGACCCACAGTGTTGTCCGTCGGGTGGCCATAGATGCCGTTGGCCGGTCGGATCGAGCCCGTGCGCAGAGTCTCGCAATTGGCATCGCAGACGATGCGCTCTGCGGCAGCCTTGGACGCTGCGTAGGCCGAGAAAAACTGGCTGAACGGACGCAGGGGGTGGAAAAAGTCGTCCTCGTTGAGTTGCTGCACAAAGTGCTTGGGCCAGCCCGTGAGCAGGCGCCACGGTGCCAAAAAGAACTCGACAAAGCGAATGGCAATCGATGCCGAAGCTGTATACACCAGCACGTCGGCGCCTGCGCGACGAGACGAAGCCAGCACGTTCTTGGTACCTTCGATATTTATGCGCTCCAAGAACCGGTAGGCGGACTGCGTACGGTCAGACGGCACAATAACAGCAGCGGTGTGGAAGACGGTCAGCGGCAGCTTTGCCACAGACTTGGGCCACGGCTTGCCAAACGCGGCGTCGGTGGAGGCAGGCGACGAGACGTCGGTGTGAATGACTTCAACATGGCGTGCGGGGCCGTCGAGCATGTCTCGGCGATGCATCCCCTGGAAATCGACAATGCGGATGCTCTCCGGAGGCTGGCCGCGTGCCAACAGTTGCAGGACGAGATAACCACCGACGAGGCCTTCGTTGTTGTTGTCAGCAAGGTTTCCAAATACAACGGTGGAATTCTGTGAGCACGTACCGCAGCCACCAGTTACAATGTAGCGGCGCTCCAGCTTCGGCGGCAGACCGGCCTTTGTTGTCTCGACATTGATGGGATTTTCTTCCAATCGGGCGTAGGTCTCGTGCAATACCTGGGCGGTCCAGCTCGGCTGCTTCACCTTCATGGCGTCGTCGGGGACGCCGCGCATCCGTCTGTTAACAAGCGCGAGGTAGAGCACGAGTCCAATGACGACAATAGCAGCACCGCCGAGCAGCGGCCTCTGTACCAGACCACGCAAGAGACCGTCCATGGTCACGAAACAGCCGGAACGACAATGCACAAGAAACCAAAGGTCGCCGTAAGAGGGCTAGAGAAGGGCATACCAGAGACCAGCCAGCAGGAAGGAATAACAGCTTGGCAAGAGGATGGAGAGAGGAGAGCCCGTCCTTTAAGTATGTTGCAAATTCAAATTTCGTGCGAGGTGGAGGAGATGGCAGCGGGGAAAAGTTGAAAAAAAGAGCGTGTGCAGTCGAGCCGGCCCAAGTCACATATTCACAACACATCTCAGCGTGTCTGGCAGGGGATGGCACAGAGGGAAATTGATGGGGGTTCCGTCAAAGTTTTGGGGCGCACAGGAAAGCGCGATCCCGACCACCACACCGGCAAGGGACAATTCAACTCCGTCCTTCGTTCCTGCTTGAACCGGTGCAAGGAAGAACAACATTACCCATTTGGGCAAAGCTCCAGGATTGCCCCCGACTTGGTTAAGGAAGGAGCAACCTCCAGCGGACATTCCCTCTCCACAGAAATGCCGTCCTGGACAAGAGACACGTTTTGAGGCTGATTTAAGCGGATCCAGCAGTCCTAGCGTTAGCAATTGGCAACGGGCAGAACTTGTAAATAGCAGCCGCATACGAATTATCGTCGTTCCACAGGTCCTAGTGAATCAGTCTCGCGTGACGTCGAATCTGCCAAATGCCACTATGCTCCTTCTCAATTGGGCCATCTTGGGCTGCACTTAGACTTAGGGTGTCAGAAAGCTAAAAAGGAAGGACCAATCTCAGCTTCCGCGTCAACCTCACAACAGATGCCAACGCAAGTCGGGCTTTCCTTTTTCACCGTTCGTGATTCCGATTCAGTGGGCTGTGCACTGTAAAACTGGAAACAAAGCCGTTGTGGACTACTACAAGCCACTAAAAGCTTAGCCCTAGGTGCCCCGCAAACCCAACCCAAATGCGACCCACCAAGTCAGCCGGGTTTCCCTGATCCAGGTCAGCCCCGACGGCGTCTGTGACTGTGATTCCTCAAATCTACCTTACCTTTCAACCAAGGTCAGCGCACGACGCGGAGCGCCACACCCAGCAAAACGAACGTGCTGGTACGTTTGAATATTCGCTCTGCCCCGTTTTTTCCAGATGGCTGGCCAGCCTTCAGAGCAATGCATTCTCTCCAGATAGCAGAGTAGCGCAACATCTGCAAAGGCCTGGAAATGGTAAAGTTTGGGTGGAAAAGACGCAGAATCAGCAAACATGACCGGTATGTCATTCTCGACAGAAGACTGAAGAGGCCCTCCGGCAATTGGTTGTGCTGGACGACTTCTGCACAGAGCCTCAAGACGCCAACTAGCTCAGTAAAGCATGGCCGTTTCGCATCCTTCCGGCCTAGGCTAACAAGTTATTGGGTAGCTCCATGCAGGAAGAGCCAGGGGATCAAGTTTGCGACGATGAGGCGGTCAACATAACCTCAATCGAAGGTCCTGTGAGCAACATGCCAAGAGCACGAGACCAATCGACAAGAGCGCGCCGTGCCGGACACCACGATGGATATCGGTGCTGCAAAAACCGTCTGCCAAGGCTGCCATATCTACTGGTTCAAGCTCAAGATGTGGCACATGGGGTCAAGTACCACCGAGACGACCACCGTCGACCGCATCCAGGCGGCCGCCGCCGCTGGATGCCCGTGCTGCCGCGTCGTGGCGGACGGTCTCGCCGTTGTGACACCGGCGTGGGCAGCCAAAGTGCGGAGCCATACGATGTCGGTGCTCTTGTGCCCAAACAGCCTTGCCATCCGCCTCCGCGGCCGTGACAGTACGGGCGTGCTCAACATCTACGGTCACGCTGACGGCCCGAGTTTCAACAACCAGTTCGCTTTTGCTCTCCGTTCCAAAGTGGTGGCCAATACCAAGAGCGAAGATGCATTTCGCTCGGCCAACAAGTGGTTAGAAGCCTGTGTGAAGAACCACACGGGCTGCGCGCAGCCGTTCTTTTCCGCGACGCCAAATTCGAAAGCGACGTCGTCACCAGCAGACGCATTTGTACCGACACGCGTGCTTGACGTTGGCGGCAGCGACAGCGCCCGCATTTCTCTTGTCCAAAATGCCCCAGCCGGTTCGCCGTACATTGCGCTCAGTTATTGCTGGGGTCCAGACCCGAGCGGCACCGTCACTACGAAGAAGGGCAATGTGGCCGCCCACATGGACCCCCAGCGCGGCATCGAGTTGCCGACACTGCCGCGGACCATCCAGGATGCTGTGCTGGTATGCCGGCGTCTACATGTGCGCTATTTGTGGATTGATGCGCTCTGCATCGTGCAAGACGACGGCGACGATTGGCGCCGCGAGGCTGCTCAGATGTGCAACGTCTACCAACGGTCGCACGTGACGATTGCCGCACACCGGGCATCTGCTTGCCAGCATGGTTTTCTGGGGCCGCAAGAGTTTGGCAAAGACGAGCACCAGCGCGTCTTCTGGACCGAGGAGATTGGTCGCGAGAACGGGGACGCCACGGCGCGTCGAAAAGCAAAGATGATTCTCCGTGCGGAATACAAACAGATCCGCTCGCTCCCTACGGCACCGCTTGGGTCGCGTGGCTGGACGCTGCAAGAAGTTGTGCTGCCGCGACGGATCCTGCACTTTTTCGAGTACGAAATGGCTTGGGAATGCCAGACGACGCACCACTGCGAATGTGGTGAGACCACTGGTTTCGAAGCGCCGCATCTGCCCATGCTGGGCCGCAGCCTGCGTTCTCTCGACGACGACATAACTAAGAAGACATCTAGCAGCAGCAGCGACGGTGGTCGTAGCGTGATCGCGAAGCTGAACTGGATGTCGCTTGTGGAGCAATATTCACGACGCAGTTTGACACGCCTCTCGGACAAGCTTATCGCCATGGACGGCTTGGCCCGCATGGTGGAAGGGACCATCATGTCCAGCCAAGGTGGTGCGCCCGTGTCTCGCCTTCCGCCACTCAGCCTCGACAACACCGTGATCCGGACAGCCTATGTCGAAGGCCTCTTTGTCGCCGACTTCGCCCAGCAGCTGATGTGGGGGGTGTCGCAAAACAGCCTTGCGTCGTCAACACCACCACCATCACCACCATCTAGTCCGCCACAGCCGACCACGCGACGGCAGTCTCGAGACTTGCACGCCCCATCATGGTCTTGGGCCTCGATTGATGCACCTGTGGGCTATTCCATGATCTACTCGGAAGATACGGAGAGCTTGCTCCATGTCCACGACTTCAGACCGCACACCATCGTGAACCCAAATGCCAATGTCACTGGCGTGACGCTGACGGCAACTGTTGTGCCGGCTGCCGTGCGCACAATGGCACCTGCGGACACAATAACTGGTCAGGGCGGTCCAGCAAGTCGTGCCCGGCCCCTCGTGTTCCGGCCCAACATTGTGCGGGCATGCAATGGCTTTTCATACAGCGTCTTTTGCGATGACGTGCAGACGCCAGACCTGTTCATGGAAAGCCCTGATTTGCCGTGCTGGGTTGCAGATGATTCAATGCACAACACCCGCGTGCGGCAGCGGTGGCTAATCACGAACGGCAGCGCCACAGATGTCGACACAGACAATGGGTTGACCCGCAGCTGCCAACACAACCGAGGTCGACACATCCGCCAGATCGTCGACGAGGAAGACGAACCTGGCCGAACCACCAAGGAAAGATGGTGCAGCACGTGCCGGGTGTGGCCAAGCGACGACGTGGCATGGCAAGATATTGACTCCAACATTATGGCGAAAGCCAAACCGCACACGACACTCGTCCCCCGTCTTTCTATGCTCATGCAAGTGTTCCGCAGACGCGAGGCTGGCTCGCACACCGTGTATTTTTTGGCCCTACGGCCGTCAGCAAAAGTGCCAGGTGCCTGGGAGCGATTTGGCCATGGGCACTACGTAACATGGGACAAAGCATCGCCGCACGTCGACCTGTTCTGGGGCAGCAAAGTAAGGGACCTACTTCTCGTGTAACGCTGTCCACATGTTTGATACCGTTCAAATATCCCCTTTATTTCTAGCCTACTCTCGCATGTGCAGCTGCAGCTGCTCAAACCACAAGGGTCCCTTCCAGACGACGATCACTCCCAGACGACAGCTGTTCCATGGGCTGCAACTCGAGATCAGACCCAAAATCGCCATCACCACTCCCCATCCAACGGTGGCCACCGCATTCTTGGTTCTGGCTGCTTTCTTCTGTACCTCTGCCCTCCCCAGGCTGTGCGCCTGTCTGCACCGACGATGGCAACCGTCCTGGCTTGGCTGCGGCAGCCGACTCGCCGCCCGTGCGCGACGTCGCATACGTCGCTGAAAAGAACTTTATCTTGCGGAACAGCGGCGTCAGCGTGGCCAGCGACGATGCAGTGAGGGCGATGCCGATCTCGAGCGTGCTCCAGATGGCGAGGTCGGTAAAGTTGTACAGGAAATCCGGTTGGTCCAAGATCCCGCTGGCATAGGGAATGCGGACAATCGTGGCGACGGACGCCACGGAGCCCAGGGCGAGGACGCAGCAAACCGAAAGCCTCTTGCGGAGCTCCATCTTGGCCTGCCACACAAGGTAGCACGGCAGGATGGCGAGGATCCAGTCGGCCACGACGTTGAGAAAGGCGGAGACATAGGCGGTGCCCATGGCAAAGGAGGTGGCATGGCAGTCGGCGCCGGTCGCCGGACGCGGCGGTTCGGCGTAGCGGGTCCATTCATACGCGATGGGGTGGCAGGCGAAGACATCGAAGAAGAAGTACATGACGTTGAAGACGCCGACGACGGCCAGGAGGATCAAAATGGTCCAGCGCTGCCAGCGGCAGTGGGAGCAGATGCGCAGCAAAAAGAGGCCGACGACGTACTTGGACAGGGTGGAGATGGCAATGTACAGCAGCGAGCCGACCCAGCGCCAGAGCACGGCGTTCACGCGGGATTCGGGCGGGACATTGGCGACGTGTTGGCCGATGCCGAAATGGACACAGAGAAGGCCAGCAGCGGTGAACACGCAGTAGAGGCACTACGCGAAGTGTGAGTGTGACGGGCGCCAATACGGCTCGAACATCTTGACAGCAAACGGACGTACCAACGAAAGAACAGCCAACCAGTCTTCAAGGTAGAAGCGCTTGAGGAGGACGGCCATGGAGTAGCAGCGCAGGATGGTCGACACGATGGTCAGTGCGAGACAGGCAACAAGGACAGCTGCGAGCTGCGGCCCACGGTTGTCCATGACGACGGTAGCACACGGGCGTGTAGTCAAAAGAGAGAGGATTCATGTGCGAACGGAGGCGACACACTGATGTAGGCGAAGTGCGGCCAGCGACATCGACGACCGAAGAAAGCAGACTGCCAAGGACGAAGAAGGACAGCATCCTCACTTCTATATACGACGACCAGACGGGAAAAGACAAACGCCAGCCGCGGAGCATGAACTGCTTCCGCCACCCCTGAATGCCGACCATGCGGTCAGGTAGCAAGTCGTTCGTACGATGATAAAATACAGTCCACGGCCGGACGTGCACAGACCCCTCAGTTATCCATTTTCCAGAGGATGAGAGGCAATGCGATGGGTGGTGGGCACATGCCCTCTCGACTTGACTCCGGTGAGGCTTTTGCAGGAAACGTCCAGGCATCTTCACAGGCAATGTAATTACGGGTCCAGGGGGTGGAGGTGTCAAGTGTGCAGTAGTTTGTGGTGTTTTGTATCTTCTATTGTGTGTGTGTGTTATTTCTGTATTTTGTTATTGATTTTTCTTCTCAAGTACGTCGCGGCCTGACTTTCACATGCTCGCTATACCTACAAGCCCCTTTGCATTGGCAAAGACGCACCAACTGCCCTACGCCCTATTTTCCTATTTTCACGGAGACGAAGTCTATGCAACGGTCTCCACCCGTTTTAAGTCACCGAACTGGGCCTTGACGGCCTGCAAGTTGTTGAGAACGTTTTCGATACTTTGAGGAACCCTGTGAGCCTGTTTGAAAACTCGACCTGTACGGAGCTTCCTGTTTAGGAAGGGCGAACAGCGCACGAACCACCACGCCACAGGAAGAAGAAAAGAGCCAAGGCGTATTATGGCGATGTGCCCCAGTTTTGGCGCAGAACCGTGTACCGATACAACGCTAACGCCAGGTACAGCGGGTGGGCCCGCAAACTGCAGAACAGCTGAAGAAGCAGCCTGAAAGAGGCAGCTGGTCGGCCTTGGGCAGATGCAGCAGCGCGGAGCAGTGTGCGGCATGGAAGCAATGGAAGGACGAACACGGAGCCAAGGCCGTCTCAGATTGTGAAAAACAGACACCGACAAGCTGGAAAGGGCTGAACAGCGTGACAACGAGACTCTGAGCGGGTGTCGAAGGTCCCACCTTGAGGCAAAAGAGAAAAACGACCCCAAGCGGAACGTTTGTGCGAGATATGCATATATACAAAAATAAAGGAAAACGAACAAAAGCAGGTCCATCAATCGTGGTGCCATATTGCGTGTTGCAGCGGAGACGTGGAAACGGGCCTTTTCGTCAGGTGGATTTGTTTTGAGCTCAGACGGACGTGGTTCGCAGGTTCTCGACTCAACGCCTTTGTGTAAGTGAAAAATGCGAGAGCGCCAAGCCCGCCATGGCCTTATGTCGTCCGAGGCTCCATACGTATTGTGTGGTTAGTTCTATTCTCCCCAATTGCATAGCATATACACCGTACATGCTATCTGCACTGCCAGTGACTGTGCACAAAGCGCTCGTTGCACAGGACTGTACCACAAATAAGTACTCTATCAATAAATAGCTGCGCTTTACAGTCATGCTTCTTACTTCTGTAAACAGCTTTGGCAGGTGTTGGCGTTGAAAGGCTTCACCCTGAATGATGCCGCTCGACGAGAGCTTACGTAATAACCAATGCATGGCCCCACATTTATTATATGCTATGCTAGCTGCCTACCGAACTGACGTATGGCCTAACGGTCGTCTTCCGCTACTGAAAGAAACGACCGCATACTTTTCGACCACACGGGCGCCATCAATGCCGACAAATACTGCGAGTTGAAGGCCCAAACTGTGCACCTCGGATGCGACAAACTCGGACCGGGCGCGGACACTATCAAGAAGTGCGAAACGAGCGGAGAGACCTCCCGTTGACTGTCACTCCTCCATCGCATCCGATCGCCAACGTCAACAGCGCCCGTGACGCATGACAATGGACGGACCTGCCGGACGGCGGGCCGCCAAGGTGGGCCACCGCAAGTCACGAAACGGCTGCACCAAATGCAAGACGCGGCGGGTCAAGTGCGACGAGGTCCGGCCGGTGTGCAGCAACTGCTCCCGCCTCGGCCTCGACTGCGCCTGGCCCACGGCTGATGCGCCCGGCCGCTGCTCGCCGCCAGGCCAGCTCCCATCCCCGGCAGCCACGCGCCGCCCCGGGCCGCATGCCGCCCCGATGTCTGTCTCCCAGATCTCGCCCTCCCTGACACCCACGTCGGCCGCATCGGCGGCATCGACCACGTCTCACCCGCAGTCGCATCCACAGCCACAGCCACAGCCGCACGGGCATTCCCACGCACACTCTCAGTCCCATCCCTTGCACTCGCCCGGCGCCTCCGCCGCCGGCACCGACTTTGGCGACGCCAGCTCCGGCAACGGCCAGAGTCCCCAGGAGCACGACGCGCACAACTTCTCGGCCATGCTGCAGCTGTGGTCCAATGCCGAAGAGGCGTCCTCGTCCTCGTCCTCGTCCTTGTCCTCGTCGTCGTCGGCAGCGCCGTCCGCCGTGGCCACCGACGCCGAAAACGACTGCCTCCTGCCCGAGTCGCGCACCCGCCGCCTGCTCGAGCACCGCCTCATGCAAAACTACCTCTACAACCTCGGCGTGCAGTCCCCCGCCTCGCCGTCGCAGGACTGGAACGACCTGTGGACCAAGACCGTGCCGCCGCTGGCCCTGCGCTACGACAACATCCTGTACGCCATCCTGTCCCTCTCGGCCACGCACATGCTGCGCAGCGAGCCGCGCAACCACACCCTGTTCCGCGCGCGCCAGGCGTACCTGGTCGCCGCCATGCGCGTCCAGCGCCGCATGGTCGACACGCTGACGCTCGACAGCGCCGACGCCGTCTGCCTGGCCTCGCTCGTCATGCTCGCCCAGTCCTTTGCCATGCTCGACGAGCGCGCCATCGACACCTACGCGCCGCCCATGGACTGGCTGCGCCTCGGCCGCGGCGCCGGCGCCGTCATCTGGACGAGCATCGAGGCCATCCTCCAGACGGGCGAGGCGTCCAAGTCCGTCATGCTCACCATTGCCAACGCCCAGCCGCGCATGGGCTTTGACGAGTCCTACTTTGACGCCAGCAACCGCGCGCCCTTTCGCGCCGTCCTGGCCCAGGACCTGCCCTCCGGCGACGACTGGGCCGACGCCGCCACCCGCGACGCCTACGAAAAGACGCTCAGCTACGTCGGCTCGCTGCAGCTGTCCATGCGCCGCGGCGAGCCCGTCTACGTCCTGTGCCGCCGCGTCCAGGGCTTCACCATGGTCATGCCGCCGCGCTTTGTCGACTTTGTCAGCGAGCGCCGCCCGCGCGCCCTCGTCGTCCTGGCCCACTTCTTTGCCGCCGTCAGCAAAATCTCCAAGCTCTCCAAGGCCTCCGGCGGCGTCTGGTGGCTGGGCGGCGAGGACGGCCGCGAGCCCATTGCCACGCGCGAGCTGCGCGGCATTCGCTCCATTATGCCCGCGGAGTGGATGGCACACATGATCTGGCCCATGGAGGCCGCGGGGCTGTCCTGAACGAAGCACAGGAGCGGGTCGACGAGCGCAATTGGAACGACACCTGTGTACAGCCTACCCGGTTATGACAACCACGCATCCGCATTGGACTCTGCACGACCAAATGCTCATTCAGCGGAATCCCCTGCCAAAACTTGCGTTGCGGCAGAGACGTAGACCGGCCTTGGACGGGCTCTTTGTGGTACGTTGTTCCCGGCATCCCGACTCGCCCGAGGTACGGCGTCGGCGACAAGCGTCTTGCGATGTTTGGCGCCTTCTATCAGATACGCAAAGAAAAGCCCGGCCAGCCGTCACGATGCACGTCAGCGTGCTTTCACTGAGAGACGCAAGCCGATGCAAGACTGGGAAGGGTCGCATTGTCCTACCAGCAATCTAGAACAACAGAACAAAGCCATGGCACCGAGCGATAACATGGATAAGATCACGTTCGTGGCACGAAAGCTTGGTCTCTGTACACAGAAGAAGGAAGCGGAAAATATGAAAATAAAGTGTGAACATACGACAGTATGAAAATACGACAACGTAAGTCCCAAACTCGAATGCAATAAAAGACAATGGGTACATCCCTCTCTTGCCCAAGGCAAAACAGCCATGGGCTCCTCGCCTCACGCAAGCCACTCGCTTCCCGTGATTTTCTTGGACTCGGCCATGACAATGTCCCACAACTTGGTCGCCGTGCCGTCGTTCCGGTGCCCAGCCAGGACCTCTTCCACACGAGGCGGCGAAGGTTCCCCCTTGGTGTTGATCGTGTACACGCCGCTGCCCGTTTTGCCGATGCTGCCCCGAGCTGTGCCAAGGCCGTTTTGCAGGGCGACGCCGTCGCTCGCCACACCACCCGCGTACGAGGCAAAGCGCGCGCTCGTCGCGTAGAAGAGATGCATCTCGGCACACTCGTCAATGGGTGTCCGAATCAGCGGGCCCAGCAAGCTGGTCACGCCAATGAGCACCTTCATGCCAACGCCCTCGGCGTCGCGCGTGATGCCGCTTTGTACGACGCCCGGCACGTCATGCACAAACCCGACAGGGGCTGCGCCCGCGACCGTCTCCTGGACCTTCTCCAGCAGAAGCGTCTGCACGGCGGCAAGCTGGTCGCGGCGCCGGAACAGCGAAAAGCCGACGCCGCCGAGGTTGTCGAGGTCGATGGGCCCCTCGCACGTCGCCGCCATAACGCAGACCACGCGCTTCAGGGCCGTGGCGCGCTGGAGGAGGGGCAGCAGGTTGAGAAGGAAGCGGGTGCGAGAGTGTATGCCCAGCGCAGCGGCTAGCGAGAGACCTTCGGGGGTGACTGAGAACAGAATATTAGAAGGCAGCCGAGGGGCCACGCAAGGCAAATCAATACAAAGCGAAAGGCACCCACCTGCATGAAACGCCATCGATCCCTGGGTTTGGAACAGAATGTTGATCGCCGTCTCTTTCGCGCGAATTTGCCTGCAAACGTCGTCAACGGTCTTCAGCAGGCTGATGTCGGCCTGGATGAACTCAAACGAGTTGCTGGGCCCCAAGGCACGGCACTCGGCCACGATGCGTGTGGCGCTGGGCTTCGAGCGGCCGATGATGTAGGCCCGCGAGTTGCTGGTGTACTTGGCAAACGCCTTGACCGTGTACTCGCCAACACCACTTGTGCCTCCGACAAACACAGCCACCAGCCCCTTGGGAAACGTCGCAGCAATGCGCTGGTTGGAGGCAACAGCCTCACGAAGGGCAACCATTGTGTCGAGGTCGCCAAGTCAGTCCGGTGAGGTGGTGTTGGCTGTATATCCGTATTGAGACTTGACTTGTGTCATTCACAGTGTCATGCAGAGTCGAATTTTGGAACGAACGACAGCTTTATATACAAGCATCGGGGCGACGTGCCAAAGGACAGTCCTCCGTTCTTCGGTATGCTCCGTCTTGTTGTCGCTTGTTGTCGCTCGTTGCTCTTTTCCGTGTCAGATGAAAAGACGCTAGTCCGAAAATAGCGATACGAGCTTCTTTCAACGATGCGATGCCGCTAAAAGGACTCCTGATTGCACCAGCTCCAGGGAGACATTGTGTTTGTGTCGGCGGAGAAAAAAGTAAACTCCTCAACGCTATGCACACACACACTCACGTGGCCTCCAACCAGTCGTGCAGCGCCTGTTCCATAATGACAGCACGTCCGTGGGCCCACCAGCATGTTGGCTCTGGGAGGATCAGGCGCGCGGTGCGGTAGAAATGGTAGAGCACAAAGAGCGCATCCGCATCGTTCTTGCGCAGCAGAGACACGAATGTGCCGCGGCACAGGATGGGGAAGGAGAAGACACATCGTGCAAGGTCGGCCTGTAGAGGGGCAGATGGTGGTTCAGGGGTTGTAGCATCTGGTTGGCAGGACGGGTTCTCTGGAAGAAACGACATAAGAAGACACAGACCGTCAAGCACGTGTGCGTAGCCACCGTCATCGGCCGAGACTGCGGTGTTGGTGGTGCCGGGGTCGTTTCTTGGTGTCCATGGGGACGCCGCAGATGCGTTTTTCCGTCGCACGAGCCGAGGCAGTGTCTCCTCGAGGCGCTCCTTCATCGATCCAAGGCGCTTTTCTGGCAAACGCCGCGCGAAGAAGGCACGGTACGCGTCTGCCGTGTCGTCACTGATACGGGTATGCTCGTTCAAGGCCGTAGCCGGATTGCGCTGGATGTACGGCATGAACACAGAGTCGGGCTGGTGACGCAGCGCTTCGGGCACGTTCTGCAGAAAGACTTGCTTGAGGCTGGCGCTGAAGGCGAACAGCCGGTCCCGTTCCATGTCCAAACCCGCTCGGCGGCCGTGGTTCGACGGCGCGACGTCCGTGCTCGACCACAGTTCGAACTGGAGCAAGGTCGACGTCGCAATGAAGGCGTCGAGATGGGTTGCGGTGAAAAAGTCCTTTGTCTGCAGCTCCTGGCGAAGCCCGGCAAGGGCGCGGCAGAGGTGGCTGGCAGCGGCTGCGGCGTAGGCGGCCGCATCGGGGGCAGCAGTTGGACCGGAGAGCGACGCCAGATGCCGCGCCGACACACAGAGAACGGCGTTTGCGAGAAACTCGAAGCGAACGCTGAGCTGCAGGGCGGCGGTCCAGGCAGATGCGTCAAAGACAAGTGTCGCGGCCGTGTGTGCCTGGAAGTGGTGGAACAGCTTGAGATGCAGCAGATTGACGACCGCGTCCGATGCCCGTGCCGACGCAGTGGACGGCGCCATGGCCGCCATGCTTTTGGGGACGGTTTGCTGCCGTCTCTTTTCGAGCACCGGCTTCGCCTTCTCCGGCCGCTCGCACCGTTCGCCACGGCGCCGGCAGCTCGCACACGGCACCTCCTCGTTGCACTGGAAGGTCTCGTTAGCCACCGCCCTTTGACGGTTTGCCAGCATGGGGGGGTTCATGATTGGGGGGAGTGGCTCGCCTTCACTCGTCGCCGTTTGCAATTGTCGCAGCCCAACGTCGACTTGCGGTGGCCCTGTCGTTGGCGGGCGGGGTCCATCGGCAGGCCCTTGGGCAGCTCCGCCAGAACAGCCGTGGCATTGCGCGGACCGGCCGCAAAGACAAAGGTGCTCGTCAGGTCTTCAAATTCGGGTGCCATTGTTCATGTAGTCATGGCTATAGGAATGTGTTTTGGTGATGTCGAGAGTTGACGTGAAAATTACCGTTTACGGGTTTAGTGGGCTGGGGCAGTAGCGTTGAGCTCCCCAAAAATGGAAGTCGCGATCCATATCATCACGTGGGGGTTCAACAACGTGATGACCAAATTTTACATACACTTTCCATCGCTCCCTATTTATGGCAATATGTCACAATCTATGTATTGCTTTTGAATGGCTATCATAACATATGTTCACTTGCAAGCTTTCAAGAGCGGTTCCTTGCTTGCGCGTCCGCGGGACGCCCTTCCAACAGGGTATATATACAAAACGCATCCGGACATTTTCTTTTGCATCCGATGCCGCGCCTCGACGCCGCAACACATCTACAGCCGCGCATCGGCGCGGCCGTTGGCCTCCTCGATCATCATCTCCGCGCACCGCTCCGCCACGCCGAGCACCGTCAGCATCGGGTTGATGGAGGGGATCGTCGGGAAGACGCCGGCGTCGGCAATGCGCACGCGCCGCATGCCCCGCACGCGCAGGCGCTCGTCGACCACGGCCAGCGCGTCGTCGCCCATGCGGGTGGTGCCCACGGGGTGGTAGACGGTGTGGGCGGCGCGGCGGGCGTACTCGCTAATGTCCTCGTCGGTCTGGACCTGGGGGCCGGGCGCGACCTCGCGCAGGATCCAGTCCTTGAAGGGCGCCTGCTCGGCAATCTTGCGCGCGGCGCGGATGCCGTGCACGAACGTGGCGGCATCGTAGCCCTCCGGGTCGGTGAAGTAGCCAAAGTCGAGCGCGGGCTTGACGCTGGGGTCGGCGCTCGTGAGGTAGAGGGTGCCGCGCGAGCGGGGCCGCGGGATGTTGGGCGTCATGCAGAAGGCGTAGCCGTCCTTGGGCACGTCGTAGCCCAGGCGCTCGGTGTTGAGCGTAAAGGGGATCTGGTAGCAGTGCATCATGACGTCGGCGATGTCGCCGTCGGGCAGGCCGGCCGGGTTGGCCGCGCTCGCGCGGCCCTGGTCGGCGTTGGGCGGCTCGCGGCGCAAGAAGATGCCGGCGTCCGAGTCCATGGTGGTCTGGTTTGCGGGGACGGGCTTGTTGAGCTCAAAGATGATGATGGTCTCGGGGTGGTCGCCGAGGTTCTTGCCGACGCCCTGGATGTCGCGGACGACCGGGATGCCGAGGGGCGCGAGCTGCTCGCGCGGGCCGAGGCCGGACAGGAGCATCAGCCGCGGCGTGTCGACAGCGCCGGCGCACAAGACGGTCTCGACCCGCGCGCGCAGCGTCCGCAGAGAGCCGTCCTTGAGCCGGACGTCCACGCCGAGCACCTCGTCGCCGCCCGCGACGTTGATCTTGGAGACCCAGGCCTCGGTCAGGATGGTCAGGTTGGGCCGCGGCTCCTCGCCGCGCAGGATGGGGTGGATGTAGGCGACGGAGGCGCTCGAGCGGTGGCCGGTGTCGGGGTTGTAGCTGACGGAGAAGAAGCCCACGCCCTGGCGCAGGGCACCGCTGCTCTTGATCTCGCGGTTGAAGTCGTGGATGACGGGGATGTCGAGGGCGGCGCTGCAGGAGGCGACCCAGTCCTTGCACAGCTGGTTCTGGTGGTTGGCGTGGACGACCTGGACGGTGTTGCGCAGCTTGTCGAGGGCGCGCATGAAGACGGGGAAGGTCCAGCCCTTGGCGCCCATGGACTGCCAGATCTGGAGATCGAAGGCAAAGGGGCGGAAGGAGATGAGGGTGTTGTGCGAGGAGCAGCCGCCGAGGACCTTGGCGCGCGAGTGGCGGATGTGCGAGTTGCCCATGGGCTGCTCCGTGGTGCCGTAGTCGTAGTCGAGCTCGCCGCCGAGCAGGGCCAGCCACTGGCGCAGGTCGAGGACGCGGTTGTCCATGAAGTCGCTGGGGCCGGCCTCGATGAGCAGGATCTTCTTCTGGGGCAGGGCAGCGGCGAGGCGCGAGGCAATGACGCAGCCCGCAGTGCCGCCACCGACGAGGACATAGTCAAAGTCGTCGACCTGCGACGGGGCAACGTAGGTGGTCGTCATGATGGGTGATGGGTGGGTGAGGGAGGCAGACGCTCTTGGCTGTCGTGCTATCGAAAGGAAGGCGGGCAGAGCAGGTAGACGGACGAGTCGAGGACGCCGAGGAGGGGTCCGATCACGTCAGTTCAGGGTCCAGGCGGCACGGGAAGCGGCACGGGAAGAAGATGTGAAGGAACGCAATGTGAAGCTTGTCTACGACAGACAAACCGGTCAAACGAAGAACAGACAGAAAAAGAATGGCAGGACAAAAGAAAAGAAGAACAAGAAAGCGAAGCAAACGCTGTGAAATGACAGCAAAACCCGGAACTTTAAAAGGTACGAGTCGAGTGGAAAACAAAGACTAAAATAAAGACTAAAGAAAAAACGAAAAAAAGAAGAAAAAAAATTGACAGGTACAAAGGTCCCCTGCTCGCTGATCTCTGTGAACTCAAACTCGCGCACACTAACACTTACACAAACCACACACATTCCCAATGAAGAACTCAAAAATCTCGGTCAACATTGGTCCAAGACACGCGACAGGTGACAGCAGGTACATTGACGCTAATATTACACCGAACCACCCTGCCTGCAGCGTCTCCTCTCCTTTCCCTCCGCTTCGTATCGGCAATGATGTCCCCGCAAGGAAGAGACGGTTGGTTGTTGGGTTGTGGGTTTGTCGTTTCTTGGTTTGGCCCGTTCTTTTGCGTCCTTTCTTGGCTCACCGTTCAAGCTTTTCTGGCATCACCACTTGACCTCCTCTGATCGCCGACTGGACAGCATCTGCAACCGTGCTGCAGAACGGGACTATGCTAGCTATCTCAGGCCGGCTTTTATCTTTTATCTCTGTCCAGCACGCCGTCGTCTCACGGTGTTTGCCGTTTGGGCGTCTCGGCGTGTCTTGTAAGGGTGTCGAGGCAGTTGTACCAGGTGCGTCGCCGCCATCCTTTGTAAGTGGAGAGCCTTGCAAAGGGTCTTCGGTCCAAATAGCGGCCCCGCCGCCGCCCCATGGTACTTCGTACGTTTTAGCCCCATTTCTGCAGCACAACAATGCTACGAAACACCCTGTAACTCCGTACTGCAGACTTTTTTTGCTCTCTAGCGCGCTGTGACGTCACTGCGCCCGCTCTCTCGGCCGCCTGCCCCTCACTGTTTGCGTATTCGTAGAGTGATGTTCTCTCTTTCCCCTCTGCCTCGCAAAAGCGCCTGTGTAATCCTCGTATCTCCTGTAATTGCTGCGGAGGATACGACACCAAATTTTCGTATTGGAATAAGCGCCACTCGCTGTTGGTGACAATCTTTCTTCCCGCCACGGAAATTATCTGCGGTCTCCGATACGGATCCTGTCTTTTCTTTGGCAGTTGTCCATCGTTTCTGATTGCCTTTTTCGGACAGTATCCTTGCTGATCTCGACTTGAACGCCGTCTTATTTTTATTTTTATTTTTATTTTTTCTTATTTTTTTTCCTTGAACGTTGTCGACGATCCGCATGAAACTGCCTTCGACTGCCTCCCCGACCGTCTCGACCGTCTCGACCGTCTCCTCGACCGCTCCCATCACGCACAGGAAACTCACAATGTCCCAGCCTCAAGAACCTGACCGACACACCTTCTACGACGGCAAGCCCCAGCCGTCTTCGTCCACGTCCTCCTTCGCCTCCATCTACCCCGGCACGAACAAGCCCATCGCCCGCATCCACACGTCGTCTCCCGCTGCCATCGACGCTGCTGTCGCCAGCGCCCAGGCTGCTTTCCCGGGCTGGTCAGCCACCCCTCCGATCGAACGCTCCCGCATCCTTCTCCGCGCCGTCGCCCTTTTGCGCAGCCGCAACGATGCCCTCGCCCGCGTCGAGACCCTGGACTCGGGCAAGCCCTACAGCGAGACGTCCACGGTCGACGTCGTCACGGGCGCCGATGTGCTCGAGTACTACGCGGGCCTGATTGCGTCCGGCGGCCTCAACGGCGAGCACTTTGCGCTGCGGCCAGGGGCCGGCGGTGCCGTTGTGCAGACCTCCAAAGAGCCGCTGGGCGTGTGTGTGGCCATTGGCGCGTGGAACTACCCGCTGCAGATTGCCCTCTGGAAGTCGGCGCCGTGCCTGGCCGCCGGCAACACGCTCGTCTACAAGCCGAGCGAGTTCACGCCGCTGCACGCGCAGTCGCTCGCCGGCATCTACAAGGAGGCCGGCGTGCCGGACGGCGTGTTCAACGTCGTCTACGGCGCCGGCGAGGTGGGCGCGGCCCTGGCCGCCCACCCGGCCATTGCCAAGGTCAGCTTCACGGGGCAGGTGAGCACCGGCCGGCGGGTTGCGGGCGCGGCGGCCGGCCACCTCAAGTACGTCACGATGGAGCTGGGCGGCAAGAGCCCGCTGGTCGTGCTGCCGGACGCCGACATGGGCCAGGCCGCCGACGGCGCCATGATGGCCAACTTTTACAGCTCGGGCCAGGTGTGCACCAACGGCACGCGCGTGTTCGTGCCGGCGGCGCGCAAGGCCGAATTCGAGACGGCCCTGCTGCAGCGGATGCAGCACGTGCGCGCGGGCGACCCGTTCGACCCGGCCACCAACTTTGGCCCGCTCAGCAGCCAGACGCACCGCGACAAGGTCCTGGCGTACATCCGCCACGGCATCGAGACGGACAAGGCCACGCTGCTGCACGGCGGCCTGGGCCGCCCGGACACGATCCCCCGGGTCCCCCGCGACCTGCAGGACGGGTTCTGGGTGCAGCCGACCGTGTTCACCGACTGCACCGACGACATGAAGATTGTGCGGGAGGAGATTTTTGGCCCCGTGCTGTGCATCCTGCCCTACGACACCGTCGACGAGGCCGTGCAGCGGGCCAACGCCACCGAGCTGGGCCTGGCCGCCGGCGTCTTTGGCCGCGACCTCAACCAGTGCCAGCAGGTCGTCGGCGCCCTGCAAGCCGGCATCACCTGGGTCAACACGTGGGGCGAGTCGCCGGCCGAGATGGCCGTGGGTGGCTGGAAGCAGAGCGGCCTGGGTGTCGAGAACGGCCGCCGCGGCCTGGAGGCCTGGCTGCGCAACAAGAGCACCCTCATTGAGATGAGTGGCAGTGTGGCGACGGTGTTCTCAAAGTTGTGAGAGGCCGTGCCATCCCGCGTTGTGAAGGGAGAGTAAAAGTGATTTAGTTTGGACATAGCCCGCAATGATACACCTTTCGAGCGTAATGCAGCACGGACTTGACGCAATGTACACATAGGGAGATCGAATACGGAGATCGACCTCGGCCCCGTTACCACCGAAACTCTGGTACTGCTGGTATCTCTAGCCGCCACAACAGCCACGGAGCCATTTTGTGTGTGTTTTGGGCATGGTGAAGGGCGATGGAACTGTGGGTGATTCATCCCCAGCCAACAGGAGCTATCTTGGCAGTGGTGGCGTGCAGATCTGCGTCGCCGAGTGCGTCTTGGGCTGCTCAAACCCGGATGAGGCGTAACTCTGTTGCTCTAATTCCGACCACCAAACGCGCCAATCCGTCCAGCTCCGACAAACATCTCTGCGCAAGTCTCGGCCGGTACTGTAGATCTTAGCTTTTCTGCTAATGTGCCGCACCTTTCTTTCGAGCGGATGTGAGTAGCTCCGACTCAATTGGGCGAAAAAGATGCCATACGTGCGCGCTGAGAAGCGCAAAGTGCCAGGCTACATGACGTCTATTACGCAATGTCTTGTACTCTCGCAGTATAAAAGCGCCTTTGTCCACTCGCACCCGTCAATCGTCAAATGAGGAGTGTCTTTGCATTTCCATCTCTTCCATCTCCATCGCGACATTGAACATCCTGCATCGGCAATTGCTGTTTAAATAACCTCATCCAAGACATCCTTCGCGATCATCGAACCCCACAAACAATCCCACCCGAATCTCACCAAACTCCATCACCACCCTGCATTCACCATGTCTCTAAAGGGAAAGGTTGCCTTCATCACCGGTGGCGGCAAGAACCTGGGTGCCGACATCGCCCGTGAGCTCGCGCCTCTCGGTGCCAGCCTGGCGCTCCACTACAACTCGCCCGGCTCCCAGGCGGAATCCGAAAAGACCCGGAAAGATCTCGCCGCCGCCTTCCCCGACATCAAGATCAAGCTCTACCAGGCCGACCTGACCACGGCCTCTGCCGTCACGGACATTTTTGCGGCCGTCCTCAAGGACTTTGGCCGCATCGACATCGTCGTCAACACCATCGGCAAGGTCCTCAAGAAGCCCATTGTCGACATCTCCGAGAAGGAATACGACGACATGTTTGCCATCAACAGCAAGGCCGCCTTCTTTATCCTCAAAGAGTCCGCCAAGCACGTGTCCGACGGCGGCAAGGTTGTCACCATTGTCACGTCGCTGCTCGCCGCCTTCACCGGCCTCTACACGTCCTATGCCGGCTCCAAGGCCCCCGTCGAGCACTTCACCCGCGGCGTCGCCAAGGAGCTGCAGCCGCGCGGCATCAGTGTCGTCGCTGTCGGGCCGGGCCCGATGGATACCCCCTTCTTTTATTCTTCGCCCCCCCAGGAGTCGCCTGAGGCCGTAGAGTTCCACAAGAGCCAGGCTATGGGCGGCCGCCTGACCGATACAAAGGACATCTCTCCCATTATCCGCTTCCTCGTCACAGAGGGCGGCTGGATCACCGGCCAGACCATCTTCCCGAACGGCGGCTACACGACACGCTAGGCGTATTGTTTTGATGGACTTGGACTACATGAAGGTTGTGGGTTTCGTACATGGAATAAGAAATATGCCTTAAATAAAAACTGGAAATAATATTATATTTTTCAGACAATAACAAAGACTTGACGCATGATTGTGGTATGTCAACTGTTCGTTTTATTGTTTATCAACGTTGTTTTTTTTTAAAAAAAATAATAATGATAAGTTAATAAATGAAAAGAAAAAAAATAAGAATAAATAGAATATTAACGTAAACTTAAAGTGGGACAAGTATTCCGTATCTAACAACAAAGAAAACCGAACAACATCGCCACCCGGTTGAAGTGCTATTCCGCAGGCTGCCTTTGTTTACACAACATCATGATCACCCTCTTCTCTATCTGCTTTCCACCTCAAACACTCTTGACATCAGTTGTCCGTTGTTGACCAGACCCGTTTCCAGCTGCATTACCACAAAGGCTGCACGTGACATCATGGCGGCGCCAAATCTGACGCCTCCTTTGCTAGCCAGGCCTAATCGACCAGGGTGACATGACCGTGCTTTCTGCCTTGCCTTGCTTCCCTGGGAAACACGTCGCCTTGTTGGGATTGTCGCCAGGTTTGATGGAATTGGATAGACGCTTTTCATTTCTCGCATCTTGTATCAAATTGCATTCTCTCTCTCTCTCTCTCTCTCTCTCCCCCTCCCGACTTGCCATTCTCGTCCTTGGCGACCCTCCTCTCCAGTGCCATGGATAAGCTCAGCTTCGAGCTCCTTGAGCAGATCATCGGCCACCTCAGCGCCGGCGATGCACTGAGCCTGGCCAAGATGTCCCGCCGCATTCGGGCGGCCTGCCACTCGCGGCTCGACCCCGAGCGGTACTTGCAGCCCACCTTCAAATATGCGCGGTATCTGCTGGCCGCCATGACCGACTTTGGCTGTGTTCTGTCCGGGTCTCGCGCGCTGGAGTATTTTGTGCCCGGGTCCATCGAGCATCCGAGACAGTCCATCGGCGGCCCCGTCTCGGACTGGGACTTTTTGGTGCCGTGCCACAAAGGCAGCGTCTTTGGCATGATGGACGCCCTCGCCCGTTGCGGCGTGCGGTGGCAGGACCCAATGGCCGAACTGTTTGCCCTGGTCGGCAAGCCGGCCGGGTCGTCGGCAGTCATTCGGGCGCAGTCCGTGATGCGTATTTTGCCATCGCACCTAGCCAGCGACGCGCCGGAGGCACCGTCCGCCGAGGCCCTCGCGCTGTACCGGCGACTGCACAGTTTCGTCTATGTGCACACGGATGCGGCGGCCCGGTCGTGGGTCAGCGTGGAAGTCGTACAGGACCATCCTCCTGCCTCGAGTGAGCCGGGGTCGAACTATGCCTTTGAAGAGATCCTGCTACAGGACATGCAGTACCGCGGCTTCCACCCCCACACAGGGCGTCCTCTGACCAGCGAGGAGGTCGACGGCGCCGACATTGTCCCTACCGGGCCCGAGGCCTACCACGACTACGGCTACGCGCCGAACAACACAGTGCACTTGATCAACGGCTTCATCACACCGCCGGGCGGCCTGCGCCAAAAGGTGCAGCTGTTTCAGTGCCACCATGACAAGCACAAGGCATCGACGCCGCTGGAGTACATTGTCGACACGTATTATGCGACGCATGTGCAATGCTTCATCAGTGGCTGGGCGGCTGGCCACTTCTACTACGACCTGGCTCGGCAAAAGATGTCGCTGGCCTGGCATGTGCCGTTTGGAAAGGCAGAAAAAGCAGAAAAAGAACTCAAAACATGCATCCAGAAATACCGTGCGCGCGGCTACCGTTTCTTCCGGCCCGACGTCGGTGAGCTGGAGATGGACCGCACCTACTGCGCCGAGTACGATGACGATCTTGGGTGTGTGAGGCACGACGACAGCAACCCACTTTTTCGCAACGCTGTTTACACTCCCAAACACACATCCTTTGCCACAGCGGCCACTCCGGCTGATGTCACTCGCGCGTTCGAGAACATACACATCAAGCCAGGCCCAGTCGGTGCCGGCGAGGGGCCACGGCGGTGGCCATCACCACCGCCGCCGTCACCCCCGCGCCGCTCCGATACGGTCCTGGTCGGGGGGACCAACCCTGCCCCGCTGACGACTGTCAAGACCGGCCGTCTGAGCCACGAGGGTTACGCGACCTTGAAGCGGGATGGTGGCCGTATCAGCAGCGGCAAACTCGGCAAGACGGGCACGAAACTGGTCCGGTTCCACCGTCTGCAGGCCGGCCTTCGCGAGGCGACCCGGACGGACATTGAGGCAGCACGAGCAGCGCCCAAGTTGCAGGATTTTTACAAAACGCTCGAGTACCTGCTTTGCCGGTTCCAATTTGTGACGCTGGAGCGACCCGTCGCGGCCAAGTTGAAGCTTGCCCGCGCCGTCCCTTGGGGCGCCAACGACTCGTTCGGGTCCCCCAAGGCAGCGCCCAGCCTGTCCCAGGCGCTGGCGTGTGCCTCCGTCGGTGATGACGGCGACGACCTGGGCGCGCGCGGTGCGCCTCCCGGCACGCCAACCACACGCTTTGACAGCGCACGCAAAGAGTGGAGCAGCTATGAGCTGCTTCTCCTGATGACACCCACGGCCTGCAACTGGAACGACTGCCATGCCAGTCTCGGGTTCTCCTTGCCGCCGCAAATATGAGTTGTGACGGTGGCTGTTGTGACGGTGGCTGTCGATTGGTGTTTCGTGGTCTGATTGTTAAGAGATCTCCCGTGGATGTGTGCGCGTCGAGGTTACTGGTGTTTGTTAGACAAATTAAATGTACAGCGTATTCCCTAAACATCATGATACTGGTGGCCATTTTGAACATCTGGAAGAAATGCCTTCCTTCGCAGTTGTGGTGGTCGCTCAGGTCGTCTCAGTGCCACGACGCACGTGCGCCCTGCTCTTACCACTTTCGGTCGCTCAGCCAACCGATCGTCACCTACACCCACTCTCCCCTGTTTTAGCGCACGTCCAGTTGCTAAATTGGGCTGTACCAAATTAGTCATGTACTGATACGCATTGAACCGCTGTGTATACACATACCAAAAGGTATCGGTACTCTGCGATATGACCGCAGCCGCTTTCAGCCGCTGCGCCGGACACTGATCTGATGGCTCCAGGGGCCTTTCTTTCTGCCTCGAGCATTCTTCCACTGCCAGGAGACGCACGACGTCAGTTCCCTTGCGTGTCGCCCGTCGCTCTGGCAGCCACGAGGCTCAGCATTCCTCCGGGCGGCGATCATGCCCACCCAGCCTTTGTATTTCCTCAGGTGGCTTGGGCTTGGTCTTCGAGATGTCATCGAGGGCGTAATTACGACGTAAAAAGCGTAAAGCATGCCACTCCTCGGCGTGCGTTCACTGTTCAGTCGTTCTTTCCTGCGTTTTTGCCCTCGCAGCAGTCGTGTTCCTTCCTCTTGGCCAAGCCCTCCAATCC